GGCAACCTATCGCAAAGTGATCGTTGCTTTGTTGCTTTGAGGCCTCCGTGGCCCCTTCGCCGTGCTTGCGCTGTGCATAACCGGGCCTCCCCCCTCCCGCTCCCTCATGCACCATAGACTCGAACTCACAGACTGGGGGCTGGTCTTGCGCAGCGCACTTACCAAAAACCTACCCTTTTTTGGAGGGGGGGAGGCAAAAAGAAAAGGGAGATGGCCCGTGTGTCATGTCATGTATCCTAATTCTGCATCACTTAATGCGGGTTGAGTTTCCAACCGAAACGCGTTGCAGACTTGGACGAGAATCGGAAACACGAAGGCAATGGGGGCTGGGCTGCATTCAATACTCCGTATCACGCAACACATGTCAATTTTGCGAAATAAACCTCGAATTAATCGATGGTCGTCAATTAGCTTTTGCGACTATAGCTATGGTCTGGTCTGGTCTGGTCTGGTCTGGTCGTGCCATGGACCCTACTAAGGGGAATACTACGGCAATATCGAGCTTCACCACCGGCGGACCTAGCCTCGAGCTTACTTACCTTCGCCGATTTGTCCTAGTTGAGCTGGATCTCCGGCTTAGCTAGGTCGAGCACCTCTTCGCGCTTTAGACGCTATCACACGCCAGACGGGGCCGTGGTCGTGCTCTTAGACGCTGATTATTCCCCCCATTCGGTGTAAGGTAGTACTCCAGGGATGTACAGTACCATTCTCGGATGTCATGTATGTCTCTTCCCCATACTCGTCCTGATACAGACAGACAGACAGGCGGAACACGGAGCAAGCTCTCAGATAACCAAAACTGTAAACCTTGGTTGCTGTTCCATACCCCTCCATAGGTAGATCCAAGGCATGAGGATGTGAGTTGTCCCCTGCTATCTACGTAATCGTACGTAGGACCACACATTTCAAGTTTCCTTCGCATTGACTCACGGATGTATATGCCACTTCATCTGATCGCATATCATCCATATTAACAACGTTTGTTAGCCGGGATCATCAAGGCGTAACGGCTGCCAGAGCGCAATAAACCGTTGCGGATATTGAACGGAAACCCCTCCGCCCAATCTCGGAAAACCCGCCGCCAAAAGGGCCTCCCTCCCTTCTGCCCCCTTCTGGCCGACAAACAGACAGCGTGCTCCCCTCATGGGAACCATACTATTCCTGCCCACCATTCCACACAGCGGATCTACCTTAGCTTAGCTCTCCCAGTCAGTTGTTATTTTAACCATCGGTGAAACCCCGACACATGAAAATCGCTCTCAGCGTGTTGTGGGGCGCTCTTAACCTACCTTCTGGGAGAGAGAGAGAGGGAGATTCCAGCTAAACAGAGAAGAGGGAAGAGATCATAGCCTTAGTTGCAGTTTATCGCGCACATCGCGCACATCCCATCCCACACCCTCCTCTCCCAGCAACTTTACCAAGCCCACTCCGCTGCATCCCCAGCGCATTCTGGTATCTCGGTTGCCGGGTTAATCGGTGGAGCATCACTACAGCACGCAAGAGGGGTCATCAAAAAGTAGGCAGGCCTACTCCTCCTCCTCCTCCTCCCCCTCCTGCTCCGTTCCCCACACCGGCCAGCTCCGGCAATGTGTATACATTCGACCCATCACCGCCGAAGCTAAACCCGCCCTAACAACCTCCCTAGTATCCTTACCTCCCTAACTCCAGTGGCGTCGTCGATAACGTCGTCGTGCTCGCAATGCCCAGGGAAGGGCTGGGGGGGGTAGTACTACTGTTTTTGCCCCCAACCCCCAATGAGCCTTCGCTTCCGCGTTGAAGGGTCCAGTGTGGCTTTTAGTGCGCCGCGCCGCCCCTCCCACGACGACGGCGCCCCAGCCACCGGTGCGGTGGAGGGGCACCACACCATACCACCACAGCGGCGGCGGTCTCGAGGTGCTAGGCTAGGGAAGAAGCTAGGCGCAACCTGGGTGTCCCGATTATCCCAAGCACCTTCCTTTCTCCACCCTCTCGGCGGCGTTCGTTCCCCACAAGCCAAATTAGACCAGTCTTTAGGGCTCCGAGCTGTCCTTGCTAGAGGACGAAGGTTGTGATGTGAGGTAGGTGCCGCAAATCCCTCTCGGAGGTTGCAGTAGCGCGTATGTGGGTTGCCGACTGGGCTGCTCGTCTTGGGTTAAACTATCGCGGGTTTGCGCGAGGGAATTCGCAATCCCACCCCAATACGTCCTACGCTGCTCAACCTTACCTCCTGTGCTAATACTTAATCCATAATATGCCGTGAAAGTGTCCCCCCTCTCCCCACACCCGCGACCCGACCGCGATGGTAGCAGCAGCAGCAGCCGTAGTAGTAAGATTTGAAATATAGCGCTACACAAACTCAGGGCCCGCTCCGAGCAGAGGGGACCTTAGGGGGACACCACACGGGTTTAGCGGCGGCCTAGCTAGGGCAAGAAAGCCACAGGATGGGACGGAGGGACGGGGACGGGTACGGTACCCAGGTGGGTGTCACTAGAGTAAAATTCGCAAAATTAACTCGCTCCATCAATCCCTCCCCCGTGGCTCGGATCATGGACGGGGGAGCAAACCAAATCACTCAATCGCCGTCCCCTCCCTTCCCTCCCTCCCGGTGGCGGAAATCAGAGCGGCAAGTGGATTTGGACAAGGAACCAGCCAGATAGATTGCGCGGAGGAGAGGGGATGGCGGTGGACCGTACCGCGGTTTGATCGCAAATCGTGTCAGTCACGACGACGACGACGGCGATCTCAAGAAAAGTGTGTCTTTTGCGCGCCACACGTGTCTCGAAGCTGTGGCGACGACGCGTGCAGCAGGGCCTCAGGATTTTCGGGAATTGGGAAGGGCTAGGCAGGGGGGTTTTTGGCTTGCTAAATCTCCACACTTCCTTTTCGCGCACACGAGTATGTATTGTAGTCAGCTAGTGCACAATAATAATAATAGTACGAATATGCAACTCGGGGGGAAATGCCGGCATTGCACTACCCACCGACGCACCGGCGCACAACTGCCTTGCATAAGAATGCAGCTCTCCAGCGACCACCAGCGAGGCCAACGGGGCCCAGGCGGCGGTTTCCAGCACGCACAAACCAGCCGCCGCCTGGCCTCTTCCTTTCTCATGCCTGGTCATGCACCCGCATCCGTGTTCCAAGATCCCGATTCGCATTGAAAATAAAATCCCCACTCCCCGTGTAGTATCTCAAATCGTAACATTCCTGTGCTGCATCAAACTACGTACAGTACGATTCTAATGCCCATCCACCCCCGGCCCCCTCAACAGAGCATTGATTGCTTAGACATCATAACTCACCTCCTCCCTGTTCGAGATCCTGTGCGAGGATGAATCGCTAACGGCCGCACCGCGTATGCACGACCAGCCGCCCGAGAGACCAAGTTGAGTCGAGTCGAGAGTTGTGCATCCACCCAGCCCGTCCCCGCCCCTTTTTCCCGTCTTACTGTACGTATACACCAACTTATGTAACCCGCCTGTCCCCCCCTAAGCCCCCTCCATCCTAGCGCCCCCGCGGCCTTCGGAGGGGAAGCCGCAACCCAGAAACCCGGCGCCCCACCCCACCGCAGCGCGCCGTGGCGCGCGGCGCTCTGTGCGCCTCCTCCGCCCGCCCAGACGGAGGCCATCCCGACCCAGGACGTGCTGCGAGGGTAGTGCGCGGCGGTGTTGCTGGGTCGGTTTAGGGGATACGGGCTCCGCCGTGGCGTTTGCGTGGGGGGGGCGGGTTGGGTAAATTGGGATTGGATTGGATTGCGTGGACGGATGGAAGGGATGGGGATACGGGAGGGAGGGACGGTATTGGGGTCGGGGAGTTAGGAAGAGGCGTTGGGGTGGGGGAGAGGGGATGAGTGGCTTACGGGGGATGGGTGGTGGGATTGGGATTGGGGGTGTCGGAGTCGGAGGGTAAAAGGGGACGGCGCGGGATGAGTGCTGGGAGGTGAGTACAGATACACGTGATGAATGTCTCGTGACTGGCTGGTTTGGTCCCTGGGATGGATGGGCTGCTTGTTGCTTTTCCTCGGGGATAGACCCAGAGACGATAAGTTGACGCCTCACGGAAGCCTATCGTGAACGTGCTATCTTTTCTTTTGTCCATTGCGTAATTTAAGGCGTGAGCTTGGGCAGCAGCCACGAACGTTATCCTCCCAGGTCCCTCGCGATCGGGTGGGGGCGTGGGGGGGTAAACAAAGGGTCATCGACCCAAACGATTGAAAATGAGGTCCCGGTTTTTAAGGGATCGGCTGCCGGGTATGGCTGGCACCTTGGGTTGATATCGAGCTTTTCGTGATTTTGCTTTTCCGAGGACCGAGTTTATCTCACGATGCTACAGTAGCATGTAATCGTTGTTATCGTTGCCCGTTGGCGGGCGGTGGGGGGGTCAGCGTTGTATTGATGGCAGCGGGTGATGATTGTCGGTAAGGGTAGGGAAGATATCGTGGGCTCTTTCTTGGCTCCACATAGAGGAGGGTCCCGTGTTGCGGAGTGATATTGCGAATCCCCTAGTAATATGAGGAAATGCCTTGAGATTATCGTGGGCAGATGAGCGATTTAGGTGATTTGGGTCATGATGCCATTGTTTGTTGTTATAAGCTTAAATTTGTGTTGTTGTGGGTTTTTTATGTACGGATTATATCTGATATTGATATTAATGTTATTTTCTTACTCCTGATTCTGCCCCTGACTCTGTTTCGCCATGACAACGTGCCTCTTTCGGCACAACACAGCGATAGCATAGGATTATCACAATGTTAGTATTATAGATATGCTATGCTGCCATATATTGTGTTGTCGATCATAGTTATGTATCAGAATATGGAATAGAAGGTGGGTGGGAATGTGAATAAATGCTGTGCAAATTATATCCAAAACACGGATGAAAAACTTCATAGCTTGATCACATTCCAACGTTAACGAGGGGTAACGGCGGCAACGGTTTACTCAAATGATATTATTAGTGTTTCAATACATTACCAGTGATATAGCTTATATGATACAAGCGTTCCCCCCTCCAACGCTCCCTCACAGCTCCGGCGTATCAATAAACATCGACTTCAACCCCGTCGACGGATACCTCTCCCCCACCACCACCGCCCCCTCCACAATCCCCCTAACCTCCCTCACAGTCTCCTCACTCAATCTGACCTCCAGCGCCCCCAAATTCTCCTCTAAATTCCCAATCCTCCTTGTCCCAGGAATCGGCAATATATCCTCCCCCTGCGCCAACAACCACGCCAGCGTCAGCTGTCCCACCGTCACCCCTTCCCTCTCCGCCACTCGCTTTAGATTATCCACCATCTCGAGATTCCTGGCAAAGTTCTCCGGCGCAAACCGAGGGAGCGCGCGCCGCACGTCGCTGATCTCGAAGTCGTCGGGGGAGCGGTAGGCGCCGGTGAAGAAACCCCGGCCCATGGGCGAGTAGGCTACGATGGAGATCCCCAGCTCGCGGCAGGTACGCAGGATGTTGGTGGTGGGGGACTCGATGTCCATGCTGAAGGGGGAGTATTCCATCTGGACGCAGGCGAGGGGGTGGATGGCGTGGGCGCGGCGGATGGTGGCGGCGGAGGGTTCGGAGAGGCCGATGTGCTTGATTTTCCCGGCTCTGTGAAGGGGTTAAATTGAGTTCTGGGAGTGGATGTGAATAGGGGTTTGGGGGGGGAGTGAACTTACTCTTTTAGCTTGACTAATGCCTCCATGGTCTTTTCGATGGGTGTTACGCCGTCGATTCTGTGGGCGTAGTAGAGGTCGATGTAATCCACGCCGAGCTTCTTCAAGCTCAGCTCGCAGGCTTCGAGACAGTATTCGGGGGTGCTGTCGATGGTTCTGGCCTTCATGGCCTCGATCCCGTTGCCGCTTGCCAGTGCTTCCTTTGGGACTCGGTTGCCAAACTGTAGACTGATTAGTTGACATGTTCACCACATCTAAATGTGATGATGCCGCTTTGAAGGCATGAACAACGCACCTTGGTAACAAGAAAGATCTCATCGCGCTTCCCTGTCCTCTTAAACCATTTCCCGATTAGTTCTTCGCTGTCTCCATACACATCTGCAGTGTCCCAGAACGTAGCTCCGAGTTCATAAGCGCGGTCGAGGAACTTGAAGCGAGTCTCGTCGTCGTCAATCGTGCCGTAGTAGGCGGAGAGACCCATGGTTCCCAGGCCCAAAGCAGGCACTTCAGGGCCGTCACGGCCAATTCGGCGGGTAGGCAGTTTTCCTGGCATTGTAGCAAAAGAGATATTAAAGACCTGACAGTAGAAGTCAGTTATATGTGGCAGCAGAGTTCTCGGACAATGTGTCACCTTGAGGGTTGCTGAAACTAGTTGGGTATGATGCTTAAATGCCGTTGCGATGATGAGTGTGTCCGCCAAGGAGAAGCAACCCCATTATATATACTTCCTACATCTCAACTATTTGAGTCCACAGCATAAAAGCCGAATTGGTGGTTTCTGACGTTGCCACCGGTGTTTGGAAACGTGAGGTTATCTCCATGATTACGTCCGAAATACGCTAGCGGCCGCATCGGCGGCAACACCGACGGCCGCATCAGACGCCGCCGCATTAGACACCGCATTTCCTGCGCCTTGCTTACCTCACAAGGAGGAGAAACCTATTTTTAATCTGTACTTGGTATTCACACCTTGTGTGTGGTATAATTACCGACAGTCGTTGTTACCGATGGGACAAATTAGATGGAAGTGGTCAGGTGCCTCTTTTGAGTGAGACGAATATCGCACAATGAAAATGATATAGCCACCCACAATGATTTATTGAACTTCAGAAAGAGAAGCAAATGTAATAATCATACAACTCATACTACTGCCTTTTTCTAAAATACAAATAAATGGTGTCTTGGTTTGTTGGGCCGAGACAAATGATTATAATCCGTTCAAAAATAAAATAGAACATTAAAATAATTTACCTCAAAAAACAAACTGCCCTTTGACTATTAATTAGTGCCTTTGAACTCCTCATCATTACTCCATAGCCCCCAGTCCCCATCCGCCTTCCCATAAAAGGGTTCAAACTCTGACAATCAATACAAAACTTAAACCTGCATAACACCCCCAAAACCCCTGTATCATACTCATACAACCACAGAACCTACACCATCATTCCCATCTCTCTTCCCCCAAATCCCCAGCTCAAAGGATTTCGGGCTCAAGGGTGTCGACAACCGCTTAGAACTACCCCCTATACTCTCAGACCACTGGCTCCGAGCCCATCTCCCCCCCTTATCAGGGTTGCTTCCAAACAGCACCCCACAATACTCCAGCGAAGCCATCTGCTCCATAAACGTTGGCCCCCGCGCATCCTTATCCTCGTTGCCGAGCCAGATGCTCTGCCCCCTAAACGTCGTCTTGGAGCGAGTCGAGACGTTACTCCTGTAGCTCTTAAACCTCTGCAGCATCCCGGTAGGGGCCTCACTTGGGCCCTCCTTTTCTTGCTCAAAATCCCACGCGCTGAATGACTTCCTCGAGTCTGTATCGCTAACCCAGCTCTTCCTCTTATCTACTGAAGCCAAGAAGGATATCAAGCGCTTCGTGCCATCTTCCGTCATCTCGATCGAGCCTGCATATGAGCTAATCGCGGGATCGATACGGCTACCACCCAGCCCATCCAGCAGCTGCGCTAGCTCTGGATCTTGCAAAGCTTGCAATTTGTTCTCCTCCCTCGCAAGTTTCCGTAGTGCCAACGGCTCGGGCACCGCCTGACGTCTGCTAATCTTCGCTGCCGCTTCCTTGTCAGTGCCGAAGAGCATCTTGCCGCGCGACTGAACTCGTGCACTCGTGCGGTGACTGCCGCTGAAGAACGGGCTTGATCCAGTAGTACGACGGCTGGGTAATTGCGAGAGTGATGATCTGCTATTGCCTAGGTTGCTACCTGGTGGGGAGTAGGCCATGTCGAGAAAGGTTTGCAGGGGCTGAGTGAATGGCGAAGCAGAGTTGAATGTCAATGGGAGGCTGTCATTCGTTGTAGTCGTAGGGGAGGGGTGGTCTAGGTAAAGCACATCGGTGGATTCGGTGACGACACTCAAACTGCTGCGTGGACGAGCGGCGGAGCTTTTGATCGGACTGCCTGGGGTGCTTTCCCAGGTGCTCTCGCCGACGGGGTTGACCGATGTACTGTGGTTATGTCCATTGGCGCGATTTTTTTTGCTCCAGGGTTGGACTGTTCTGGTGCTGCGTTCTGAGCCTGTGCGTTGGAGACCAGTACTGCTGTACTGTTTGCTCGGGGTGTTTGGAAGGGGGCCTAGATCGCTGGGAGTTCGATGCCGTTTGTGCGCGCGGTATTTTTTCATCTTTGTTGCGCATGTCGCCTCCGGGGTTTTCTCGAGGTTGGGTGATGCCCCGGGAGTTGTGCGATAGGGATGGAATGAATATGTACCGCCCTTGGTGCGAACTGCAGAGGGAGCTGCTGTGATGCCATGAGATTTGGTTCCCTCAGATTCTCTGGGAAAGTTTTGAATGATTAAGATATCGGGGTCATCGTCGATTGAGTTTGCAGACCCGCCTGTGCCTTGAAATGGACGAGAGAAGTCTTTGTGGCCACTATGACCCACGTTGAGATGCGGAGATACTTCGTCGGAGTACTTGGAGGACGATGCAGATTGTCGAACGGTTGCGCTAGGATACTTTGTACTGAATGGATCCGGGTTGTCAAACGTAACCTTATTCAAATTTTTTGCCTTCGCTCTCAAACCCGGATGGGAGCTTCCCGGACTCCCATTCAGGCCCAATATTGAGAACTTTTTCTGAAGCCTTGGTGTTGAGATAGCTCTTTTTGATAGAGGTACTATGGTGTCCGACAGTTTGAAGCGATTCCGCTGTCGTCTCCCACAGTACAACAGAATTCCAGCCATGAAAATCACTGCAAATATAGACAAGATGATAGCCGCAGCAAGCTCTCCTCGAGTTAAACCGTGTCTTGAGGCATTGCCAGTTGGGGCTGTCGTGGCTTCTAAACCATTGGAATCTACTGTTGAATCTTCAGTCTCAATTGTTGCTGACGTGTGAACACCAGATAACGTACTGGAAGGCTGAGAAACGACATTTATCGTAAATGACTTAAGATCCGGAGTTGTGTTTGACAGAGCTAATTTGGGTGTCGCGGCCATGGTTATGTTAATTGATGATTCCTCAGCGGATTTGGAAACATCTCCTGATATTGCAAGAGCTTTTGAATCAAATGATAACCATGACACTTGTGGGGAAATCGATACTCCGATATCAACAGCAGTTGAATCGACGAAAACCTGGCTAACACTGTATGAGAATGGTTGGCCAATAGTAGCGTTTATTGAGGCAATGTCGCCGTCGAAGAATATATTGTTTGCAAGTGTTACTCGAATGACGGCTGTCGCAGTTCCACCGTATCTGTCTTGAGCCGAAACTGTCACATCAAGCGGCGATGCACTTTTCCGTCGCTCCCGCGGGGTCCCAAATAGAACATAGTTGGTATTGTCGAACTCGAGCCAAGGCACCTTAGTAGTAGTGACGGATATAATATCCGCTGTGTTTGCTACTTTGCCATCCAGTTTCAGACTCCCGGAGAGAGCCTTGAATTCAAATGGTTTTCCAACAAAAATTTTCATCTCGAAAGCCGGGACAACCCACTCAAGCTTGTGATTTTCAACCGTGATATAGAAAGGCACTGATGCTCCAGCAAATCCAGGTTCATCTAACGCAATAAGGCGGATTCCGAAGTGCTCCTGGGGCTGGGTTAAAGCCTTCGAGTCCGGTGTTTCTCCCAAGAATGTCAGTGTGGAGTTGTCAAAAGATATCCACGGAGGCAGAGGCGCGTTGTCCATTGTAACTGCAGCCATACCGATGGCAGATGGGGTTTCGAAGTATGTAAACGTGCTTCTGCCGACGGGGTATGTAAACGTGCCTGTGCTGAAGCTAAAGCTGAACCGAGACGACGAGTTGAATATAATCGAGTTCTGTGCAGTGTTGGCACCCTGAGACTGTAATTGAGCTGCAATTGGCATCGTAATTTCTGGCGCCTTACGTGTCGAGACGATCAATGTTGACCTCATGGAGATGGACCCAGACCCGTCTGTAGCAATAATATCAAGGGTCGGCGATGTACCAGAAGCCCAATCTGGCGGTGTGCCGGAGAGAGTTCGAGTCGCGCTATCGAGAGACAGCCAACTTGGCGCATTTGACAAAGCGTAGGTCAATACCTTATCTGAAGAAAAGGTTGATTTGGAAAATGTGAAATTGAATGGTGCTGAGACTCGCGCAACTGGAGGAAATTGAGAGTTCAAAGGGAGATTTATTGTAGGCGTCGCTGCAGCAAGACCTTCTAGAAGCATAATCATGCATGCAATCTGCGCCCGCATCCTCCACACGTGGCCACGGTGCATATAGAGTTGCATCTTGCTGCTGTCCAAGGGGACTCAGCTTTTCACTACAAGATGGTTTCTCCAGATGGTCTGGTAGAAATAGAGAATCAACAGCGACACAACATGAAAGAGCAAACGAGATATCAAAATAACAGGACAAAATGGGGAGGGAAGAATCCCGAGGTAGCAAACCTGACGAACCTTCCCGGCTGCGTTCTGCCGTCCCCATGTCGAACAAGGCGGCTACAGGCATCATCAAACGGAGATCCTCCCTCGCATATCTGGATTAGCTTGCCACGAGGTTTAATGTCGTGTGAGTGGAAGTGGTATGACGAGAAACGGCAGGCAGGGCGTTCATAAGAATGTTCGTCCTGCAAGGGGGCCATGGTTCTGTAACTTATCAAGGGGTTGGGCTGGTATGCTGCCATCTCTGGAGAGTAATAAGGCTTGATATCTCCCAACGAGCATATCCAAAGTCCACGCTTGAGATCCATGCCGAGAAGTCCACTACTTCAAAGCAGATCGACCTCGGTTTAGATACTCGAGCCATGAAATGGGAATTTCGCAACCTGGCTTTGGTTCAAGCAGGAGTAGAAAAATGTGAGGTATCGCTTTTCTATTGACTGATCAGTCTGTGTCCAAAGCACAGAGCATTCTCAACGGTATACTAACGTTATATAACGACCAAACTACTGGTCACAATGCTGTATACAGGAGTAAACAGGGGCAAACAGGAGGTAAATAGGAGGTAAATAGGAGGTAAACAGGAGGTAAACAGGAGTAAAATAACAATACCCGGGTAGAGAATTTTGTAGTTTGATTCCTCACATTGGTACAGGAAGTACAGTTATAAGAGTACAGTACGTACTGTACTTTCTCATATTGATGTCAGCGTCTTGGAAAGGAGGGAGGGTCAGGCTTGCGGCTTTCCCGCTGGCACTAAACTGAATCTGGTAACACCACAAACTGAAGTCACGCAATAAGTCACTCTCTTAGCGAATCGTAGCAATCTGTTACATTTTGATACATCAGCCAAGACGACGAACAACCTGGCGTGTACCCTACCCTACAGTAGTAAATCAGATCGATATCAAAACCCTGCGAGCGATGATCCCCCGCGTCCCATCTCCGGAATTCTCGCCTCTTTCTATCGGCGAAGACTTGACTCCTCTCCCAGTCTACAAGACCGCTTCAACCACGTCCATAGACTTTGACGGGTTGCTCACAGCACCACTACAGCTCCATGAAGATCTGAAAGGCGGATGTGGGGGCCAGTTGTGGCCGGCGGGGATGGTACTCTCAAAATACATGCTGAGGGAACATAAAGATGATTTGAAAGATGCTACAATGTGAGAACACAGTCAGCAGAGCTGTCGTCTGGAACGGTGGCTCTTGTCATTCCAATATCAACTTCTTCCGCTTCCCGGCTCACTGCCACGAAAAAAAAAATCTGGTCAGCTGACGCATAATTTAGACTCGAACTTGGAGCTGGAGGAGGACTCGTCGGACTCGCTGTTGCATTGGCTTGCAATATTACGGCACCGATATATATCACAGATCAAATAAATATGTTACCGTTGATGGAGCAGAATGTCAAGCTCAACAACCTCGAGTCACGTGTTACCCCTTTAGTGCTGAATTGGTATTTGCACAGTCACATTCCTCCCGGATTGCTTTACTGACTACTAAATAGGGGCGAGCCTCTGCCAGAAATGCTATCTTCGAGACCCGCAACACATATCCTTGCGGCCGACTGCGTCTATTTTGAGCCGGCATTTCCTCTTCTCCTCCTCACTCTCACCCAGCTTCTCACTGCTTTTGACCAGGCAGTAATTTACTTCTGCTTCAAGAAAAGGCGACGGGCTGATGCGCAGTTTATGAAGGCCGCGAGGAAATTATTTTCAATTGAGGAGATCGAAGACAAGGATAAAGAGGTGTGGAGCAGAGAACAGCTGTTCATGTATACGTTCAGGAGCAAGACTCCGAAAACTAACGGCAACAAAGCAAAGTAGATAGAAGCTACAGGATTAATATATCACATAAAGCACCTGGGTTTGGTGCATTAATGAAGCCATATCTGCTGTTTAGTATCTGACCACTTTCGATACCCTTGAGCCGTACGAGTTCCCTAGTGTCTCATCCATTAGACAGTTCGTGTGACCACCAGATCATTTGGATGATGGGTAAGTTCTGACAGCTTGGTTGCATACCAGAATCAAAGATGAGTCGACCTGTCTGGATATGTCTGGATATCTGGCTCCTCCTGTCCTTCTTCTTCGTCCATAAATCCAGTCACTCACAACAAACATTTGAGAATCGACTAACTGAGCGATGGGCTTTGGACTTTGGCAGAGGATGCCCGCTGGACCTTGTTGTACAGACGCTAATCATAAATACAGAGGCGAAACTGGCGCGACCTTTATCGGCCGCAGAGCTCCTCTGTCGACCTTTGCCCTCCGATCAGTCTTCCGTCCCGAAGCTACTCCATCAGAGCTGGAAGACCAACGAGCTCCCCCTTAAGTTCGAGAAATGGAGCACTGTTTGCCGCGAAAAACATCGTGACTGGGAGTGGGTGTTATGGACCAACGAGGACAACCTCAACCTGGTGAAGAAGTACTTCTCCTAGCTCGAGGAAGCATACTTGGAGCTACTAGGAGAAATTTACCGTGCCGACTTCTCTCGGAATTTGTACGTATATATGTTTGGCGGGTAAGTTGCGATGAAACAACCTGAGCCATAGCAGCGATGTTTTACTAATCATCCTTCCCCCCTAGAGTTTATATCGATCTCGACACCGATTGCCTCCGTCCTACCTCAGCCGCCTTCAAGGCCTTCGACATCCTAAACGCTGAGAACACCACTGCTAGCGTCGACGGCGAGCAAATAAACCAGTTCGCTATATTTAGGCGCATGGGCACTAACGAGAGCTTCGAGAACTCGATCCCGAATGCGTAGATGGCCTCCCCGGGACACCCATTCTTCCTCATGCCCCCACTGTCCGCACGAACACGGGTCGAAAGGACTAAATCGTTCATCTATTGGTTGTTTCACAAAACTTTGCCCGAGGAATGGACAGGGCCGGTTGCTCTATACAAAGCTATCCTCGAAATCAACACCAACGGGCTAAGTTAAGAGGCCACTGCTCTAGCAGCCGTTGGCCCCTTCGCGTCGCAGGCGGAGAAAACCAAACAGGAGATTGTCCTGCTCCCCAGTCACTGGATATTTCCCTACAATTGGAGGGAGAAGGAACTGCGTTCTATTTGCTCGGTAGAAGCGGAGACCACCGACGCAAAAGCCTGCCAGGAATGGCTAGAGGTTGACAAAAAGGGGAGCATTTCTATTACCTACTGGAGTCATAGTCATGACAACAAGAACGGCCATGCGAAGAATATCGATAATGTCAGTCATAAATATACATGATTAAGGCGAGGCTTTTCTACACTCCGTGTTGGCGCGCAGGTTACTATTGGCGTTCTGGTTGTGAAGGCAAGGCACATACACACATCAGTCGATGATTCATTTAGGAGTTATTCTACTATGTCTACAAGACGGGCTCGTCTCATAATTTTCGAATTTTATAAGATAGCTTACATATGCTATATAATGATAATACCCACAGATAAAGTTGATAATTCCTCTATGACATCGAAAAAAAAAAACGTGTACAAACTGTACATGCATCTTGGGAACAGCCATGAAAACAGCCCTATCATATAGTGAGGCTGTGCTTATGCACCTTACGAACAGCCTTGAATCTCTCGCAACAGTCCTATCGATATTTTCCAAGCTCTTAAATATGCCCATCAGTCTACTACCCATCGCATTTTTTAATGCGCATCCCTCATCCTACTATATAGCAAGATGTCGTTTGGATACTCCGTCGGCGATTTCATTGCTGGAGCAAACCTAAGCTACCGATTGCTCCAAGCCTTGTCCAGCAGCCGCGGGCCCACGCAGGAGTACCAAGAAGCTGTCATGGAAATTGGTGCCATACATCAGACATTCCTTCAGGTGGGACGGATGACAAGTAATCCAACCTTGAGCCATGCGACGGTAAATGCAGCATCATGTATTGTGCTCTCTTCGATGAGCATAATGGACGATTTCCTAGAGAAAACAAAACGGTACCGAGAACGGTTATGCGGAAGGGCGCCAGGAAATACTCTCTCTGATAGCTGGCAGAAGATGGGATGGGTATTATTTAAAAAAGAGGAGCTAAGGGCCCTCAAAGACGCGTTGCACATCAAACTAAGCAGTATTTCGGTTTTACTTGCTACAGCCCAATTGTAAGTTTGACCTGCAATTTTTAACTGTAACCAATGCTTACACTACTCAACAAGCCACGAGCATATACCATCTGCAGTTTCGCAATATCAAGTCAAATCTCTGATTTTACCGTCGATATCATCGTCTCTGCTACCGTCTGATTCACAACATCAAGTCAAGTCTCCGAGTTCACCGTGGATATCATCATCTCGATCGTCTCTATCGTCTCTGTCGTCTCTATCGTCTCTGTCGTCTCTATCGTCTCTGTCGTCTCTATCGTCTCTGTCGTCTCTATCATCTCTATCGTCTCAACCACCGTCGGATTCGCAGTTAGAAATACCTCAACCTTTACCGAATACACTAGATATGGATGAAAAAGATGATGGCATAGAAGCAAGATTTGCCAAATTAGAAGAGTTCATGAATCAGCGCCACACAAAAGAGCCAGCTAACTCACCAGAGGCTGTTGATATCGAAAGTACAGCTGTAAAGCATAGTGACAAAGAAAGCAAGGACTCATTGAAAGATTCGAAAGCAGGGTCTGAACCTTACAAGGAAGTTGGCATGGTTTCTCGGTTTGAGAAGCTTTTGAAGGCACAGCAGCAGAAAGGACTTCAAGATTCAGATCTACTGATAGACCTTGAGAAGATGATGATGAGAATAGAACGCGGGACACAAATGCCACTAAAGTTCAAAGACGCTGTAGGACGCAAATTTACGGTCCCTTTCCATATCGCCTGCACATGGGTGGTAAGTAACCCAACTTTACACTCTGGAAACCTCATTAAGCTAATATCTCGCACGTAGGGTATGGAGGACTTTATTAGGCAAGCCTTCATTCATGTAGATGTTATCGGGCCACACGTTCAAAAGGGACACTACGATCTAATCGGCCCAAACGGCGAGATAATTCTGCCACAGGTGTGGGAAACTGTTGTCGAGTCGGATATGTTCATTACTATGCATATGTGGCCGATGCCGGAGCGGCCTAAAAAATCTAGGAATGGCGATGATGATGGTCAATCTAGCCGTTCTGCGTCTACGACATTAGTTGATCCAGATGGGCCATCTCCCTCGGAATCCAAGAAAGGTAGACACTGGAGAATGTGAGTTTATAAAACCCCCAGCTCTTTATTATAGCCCAGTTATTAACTCGTGACAGGTTCAAGAGATGGCCAAACTCCACGTCCAAGGACAAGTAGGGGTCTACATATTTTACTTGTACTGGCGTATAGCAAATGTGACACCTAATTCTATTGAGTCTATGGTCGTATGTGGAAGATACACACCCGTCTGCTTATTGCAACGTTGGTTTGAGTGGAATTTATCACCGACCCCCCTTACATGGGCCTCTTAACCTGTCAAACTCTGCCTCATGACTTCACTTCGTGTTTCTCAGCCTCTATATTCGCTCCTCGTCAGCTCCTTGCTTCATCCACGCCCGACTGAAGCTCCTTGCGTCGCAACGTCGCACCTTCTCGAACGCGGGTCATCACGGCCCAGGTTCGCCATTGAGAATATGAGAGGATCCCGATACCAAGTTGCGATGACAACCACAAAAAATTATTGTCTTAAAAAAGCAGCGTTTATTGGTGCTCAGCCGCATAATCAATACCCGGCATGGTGTGGTTCAGGTGGCAGGGTGACCCTTAATGCGGCTAGTACCACGATCGGCAACGACACGAGAAGTGGATTGACCTGGGTTGATTTGGGCTGATTTGCATCGTGGATTTCCTTTCTTGTACGACTTTCCGCACATGCCGACCCGCCAACACGAATCTAAGCCTTAACTGCCACGGGCTAATCGAACCCTGACTTCGTAAAATGACGGTATTACTGGTGCCACGGCAGGATTTTTCTTATTTTAGCCCAGGCCAGGACCAGAGTTGAGCTGGAGCTGAATTGCTTCGTGCCGAGTTGCTAGCTATCCTCGGCATTGGCAGTGGTATAATAGTAGCAATGTGCCCTCCGTGATTGAACTCGTCAATTGTTCGTTTTGGTCTTCAGGCAGTTCCTTCTCATCACAAGCCAAAGCCATGAAGCATATAGCTCTTTTCCTCGTAGCCCAGCTCGCCTCCCTCCTCTCATTGGCCGCCGCCGATTGGACGAAGACCAAATGGGATGCCATAGTTGTCGGCGCAGGCCCAGCTGGTATCATAGGTTGCTATCCCTCCCCCTCACTTCATTCTCTCACTAACAAACATAGTTGCCACGCGCCTTGCCGAAGCCAAGCTCAATACCCTCCTGCTCGAGGGTGGCGGCCCCTCATACGGCGTCACGGGTGGAAACCTCTCCTCCCGCCGCCCGTCTTGGCTTAACAACACAAACCTAACCCGCGTCGATGTCCCCGGCCTCTACAGCTCCATCTTCGGAGACGGCGGCGGCCTCATCTGCAGCGGCACCATCAACGCCTATGGCGGGTGCACTATCGGCGGCGGCTCCGCCATCAATGCAGGCCTGTACTTCGAGCCGCCTTCCAGCGATTGGGACTCGTTCTTCCCCGCCGGCTGGAAGGCAGCCGACATGGGCGGAGCGATTAATCGGGTGAAAGCGCGCGCTCCATCTACAGACACGCCATCTGCCGATGGGAAGCAGTACCTGCAATCCGGCTACAACATCGCAAGGCGCTGGATAGTCGACAGCCTCGGCTTCGCCGACGTCAAGATCAACGAGAACAAAGACAACAAACACGACGTCTTCGGACGCCCAGTATACGGATACAAGAACGGCCAGCGAGCCGGCCCCGTCCCAACCTACCTCCAAGACGCCCTCAAGCTCCCCAACTTCCACCTCCAAAGCGGCACTCGCGCCGTGCGCGTGCAACGCACCGGCACCTCAGCAACAGGCGTCTGGATCCACCTCAACGGCATCGAGACCCTCATCCCCCTCTCCAACACCGGCCGCGTCATCATCAGCGCCGGCGCCATCGCCACCCCCGCCCTCCTAATGTTCTCCGGCATCGGCCCCGCCGCGTCCCTCACCCGCCTCTCCGCCGCCGGTAAACTCGGCAACCTCACGCACGGAGACTGGATATCCAACGCTGCCGTAGGCGCAAACCTTTTCGACAACCCGAATACATTCATCGAGCTGTCCAGCCCGAGTATCACCGCCTTCGGACCGTCTTATAGCAACCCCGCACCCGCGGACTCGGCGCTTTACCTAGCGCACCGCTCTGGGCCGTACGCTTCTGCGGGTCAGACATCTGTTTTCTTCTCCCGCGCCGCCCAGCCTGATGGCCGTATTGTTGGGTTCCAAGGCACGATCGGCACGGGGGGGTACGCGGATTATACGTCTGCTACTACCATCACGCTTAACATCTACGGCACCTCTGGTCTCGCGTCGCGCGGCTCGGTGGTGCTCGATGGGAAGTTCATCCCCGGTCCGGACGGGAACGTGTATTACTCCTCCGCCCCGGACGCTCGCGCCATCGCCAGCTTCATCAAGCGGATCTTCGCAGCGCTGCCGGCGGATGTGAAGACGTTGAATTTAGAGCGCGATGCCAGCGTGGCGAGGATAGAGCAGTATATCACCACGCCGTCGGCGTATGCGAGGGGGCAGGTGAATCATTGGAGTGGGAGTTGTAAGATTGGGAAGTGTGTGGATGACAGGGGGAGGGTGGTGGGGACGGGGAATGTGTGGGTTGCTGATGCGAGTTTATTGGAGCCGTTGAGTGTTAATCCGATGTTTGGGGTTATGGTGGTGGGGGAGAAGGTGGCGGAGTTGATTTTGAAGGGGGTGGGTAAGTGAGGGGGAGTGGTGATTTTGGGTGAGGGCATAGCGATGGGCGTACTATTGGAAGGGAAGATGGAGTTGGAATGAAGCATATTTAGGCGTTGATATAATATAATTATAATACAAATATTCACATACAAATAACTATTATCTTTTAATAAGTACTGTATCTTCCCACTCTCTCATGAACCTTATATCAAACGCCCTTTCAAACCAAAGAAAGTTGCAATAATCACTTAGATCCTTACAACTCATTCGTTTGTAGTATGCAGCTGGCTGCAATGAACTCCCATGCCCACTTGCGATACCCCACCGAAACAGCCTCACAGGCCCTCAGTTATTCATTGCGCACCTTTTCACTTAGCGCATCTATTTGCTCCAAACCGGCGCCGAGGGCGGCCTTGCCGCCCCGTCGCTGTTAGTGCACTAGTAGTCAGTCCCATGCACTCTAATTGTCATGTAATACTTCAAACCCCATGTAATCCCACTAGCCGGGCCGCCTCTAGAACCGATTTTGCGCAAATTCGGCGCCGAGGGCGGCACTGCCGCCCCGTCGCTGCCGGTGAACATCTGCCACCGCTCCTACACCCCATGCGGCTTGTGCACTCCCCCCATCAAACGGGCCCTATTAGTCCTCACTGCATCTTACACAAATCCCAGGCTGACAGCCTTGCTCACGTTCTGCAGCAGACAGGGCAGCACGGCCGCCTTCAGCGCCGGATTTGCGCAGGCAAGGCTGTCGGCCTAGAATTTGCGCAAATCCGGCATAAAGAGCAGCCGTGCCGCCCCGTCTGCCGGCTAACTGTCTCCCCCGTCTCCTCACACCTACCCACACCCTGCCTACAACCTCGGCCGCCTCAAGCAAGCGGACCTTATTGGTCCTCACTTGTGATTTGCGCAGTTTCAAGCTCCGCGGCTTGATCTGCGCGAAACCGGAAGAAAGAGATGCCGTGTTGCCCTGTCTGCCAGTTAACTGTCTCCCCCGCTCACTCCCGCCTTCACCCCTCCCGCCCACATACTCACCTACCTTAACCAAGCGGACCCTATAGGTCCCGGCCTGGGTTTTGCGCAAACCAAGCTGTCGAGCTTGGAATTGCGCAAATCCGGCGTAAAGAGCCGCCGTGCCGCCCCATCGGCGGTAAACACCCCGTTCCTAAGTTCTCTCACTATAATGCACAACTCTCGACCCAATCCCACACAACTGCTGCCATAAACGTGCCTTATTGGCCCTCCCTTCCTTTCCACGCATTTCCAACCCAGACCACCCCATCTTGCGCCAAACCAGCAGCATGTGCAGCCGTGCCGCCTCGTCCACCGCTTTCCTCTCTTCCCTCTACCCCCCCCTCCATACTGAACCTCACGTGCACCCTCGTGTGCAGCCCTAAGCAGGACCCATTGGTCCTCACTTGCTTTTGGCGCATTCTCAGGATAGACAGCCTAATCTGCGCGAAACCGGCGCCGAGAGCAGCCTTGCCGCCTCGGACGTTGGTGAACGCGCTACGCCCCACCCCAATCATAACAACACATTAGATTCTAGCCTTGTAGTAACAACGTTAGAGTCACAATGAATGATACCCGGCGAAATCTCTAGATTTTCAGTAGAAATATTATATTTAGCTATTTATGCGCAATAGATAGCAACATACTTCTATATTACCTACTATGTAGAATGAGAGAGAGCTGGGGCTCTGGGTAATGCATTGGAAGCCAAAGTGCGCAAAATAGAACGTCTAAACTGCAAAATGCGCAGAATCGGTTTTAAGGACCGTAATAAACGTTTACGGTCCGTTACAACAGCTTTAACAGACAGACAGACCGACAAGATGAATGTACACATGCCATATTGCTCTCCTTGTCCACCAGGAAGATAAGGAAGGTAGACCTGCTTCCACGTCGTGCTATGCTATGCCATGGGAATCGCCAGCTGACTACGCCCTCAACGGGAAGATGCAGGATAAGGTGACGACGCGGGGTAGAACAGCCAGCTGGCGGGGCGGCTACAAGATCCCCCTTACTCCCATATTCATAATCACAAGCACATCACTCACAAACACATCTCACAAGCATCAAGAGGGAACATAATAGGTTATGTGAAAGAAAGTGATATTGCATCCCCACACAAAGGTGAGAAATCCGCACACAGTTGGTGTAAAATATATACAACACGAAACAGAAGTATTCCAAACACACAACCCCCCCATCCCCTTTCGCCCTTCTACACCCCAAAAGAAGGAGGTAACACCCAAGCCAACACCGAAGCCTTGTCAAATAGGAACAATTTTGCGAAACCATGTTCCCATCTCCGGTAATAAACTCAAGCGCCGTTCCTCCCCCATTCTCAGTGGCGCGTCAGGACGAAAAAAAAGGGATAAGATAAATCGCATGGTTTTTTTTATCATGATATTCGTAAACCGGCGAGCGAGCTAAAACTCCCCACCCACCTTTCCTTCACCAAGTCCCCCTTACCCCAACCACCTCCAGTCAACTGAAGGAAAGATAGGATAAGATGGCATATTGGCGAAGTACTCGTGTTTTTTTCCAGAAATGTACGCCTGTTCTAATCCCGTAGCCAATCTATAACCCTGTTTCCCAAACGCCGCATCGAACTCGCGACACGACATCCCTCGGCAGAGAGCTCGGCTCATCCACCCCCATCCCATCTCTACTCAAACGGACAGGCACTTAGTTGAAGTACCAATCAGCCTGAGTGCGACCGACGCTCTCCGCAATTCCAAGACCATCGAAAGCAGCATTGGAAAGATCGAGATCACGTCCAACGCAGCCCATGCACTTATCCACAACCGTAGCCTGGACAGTAGCGCCCTTATAGTTGATAGTAACAGTCTTTCCGCAGAAGGGGTTGCCATTGCTCTGCGTCCCCATGAACTCGTGGGGGAGCGCGACGACCTTGTCAATCGACCCATCGGTCGTCTCGCCGCACGCGCCGAGACCAGCTTCGTAGAAGGTGATGTCGCCAGAGCAGGGGGAGCCGGAGCTGCACTCCCCATTTGAGGAGCCAGTGGCGGGGGCGGAAGAGGCGACGGGAGGGGCGACAGAGACAGGTGTGTTGACCGCGGCGGGTGTGTTGACAACCGGCGCAGCGGGGGTAGTTGGCACGACTGGCGCCGGGGGAGTGACCGACGCGACCTGGATAGTCGTCGTCTCCGGCGCAGGCGGCGCAACGGGAGCAGCCTCCGAAGAAGAAGGCGAAGGAGTCGGCACGACAACAGCAGCAGGCTGCGTCTGTGTCGGCTCGTGGAACTCTCCCGGCTTGACGGTCGTGCGCGGAGAGCCGGTGACGGTGGACGCGTCGGTGCCGGTCACGGGGGCGGAGATGGTGTTTCCTTGCTCGTCAACCCAGACGGTCGCGGTGAGCATGACTGTCTCGTAGACGTCGACGACGTTGGTGACGACGGCGGGGGCGCGGCGGTTGTGGCGCGCGTGGTGGCCGTGGGGCTGGGCGGCGACGGTGGCGAGGAGGAGGGCCCCGGCGGCGACGAAGGAGTATTGCATGATTGCGGTTGTTGGGTGGTGGTGTTTTGTTTTGGGTTTTATGTGTTTTGATTGATGTGTATGTGCGATGTTGGTGTGATCGACTGGCGAATCAAGGATTGTTTTTGAGAAGCGTTTATCTCGAAGTTGTTTATTTGCGTTTGTTTATTTGCTTGAAGGAATGTGTGATCACAGATACACTGGCGTCGAGCCTTTGGGGGAAGTTGGAAAGATGAAAAGTTTCGTGTTGGGTTGGAGGAAGGAAAGAGAGTGAAATTGGAGGATACCCAGGTCCTTTAAGGTGCTCGGTCCTCTGCTGGGGGCGAAAGAATGGGCAGCATTGGAGGGTGGAGAGGGTGGACGGGCGGGCGGGCGTGGGTGGGTGTGTGCTGGCTGTGTTGGCGGTAGTTGACGGGGGTGGAGAAAGACGAGAAGGACCAGACCTTTTCGTGGCAGAGAGAGAGAGAGAGAAGTGGAGTTTAGTGGATCTGCACTGCCTACAGGAAGTACCCTTGTACCACACGAAAAGGCGACAACACAAGGGTGCGCGATTGGTCAGTTTTGTTGTTGTGTACCTGACTAAATTGCTTGTTAAAGGCTCGTTTAAGGCTCGTTAAAACAACTCCGCCCGTCCAGGGGGGAGGGCAGACCGTATAATACGCACAAGTGCACATTTAACCCTAACACACAGCCAATGGGGTTGACCGTTTGTTTCAGGTTGGGATCCATATTTCCGTCTGAATTTTCATGGGATGGTACGGCGCAGCAACGCACACATAACAAACACAGTAACATAGACTGGGATGGGACTGGGATGGACTGGCATGGTACTTCCCGTGTGTGTTGTGTGCAGGGTTATCGTTTCCTCGTATGGAAGGACGCGAATCAGTAGCCCCGTTATTTTCAAAAGTCTAGAATCCCTAATCCCTCAAACGGTCTACTCTGCTGTACTCGATTGAACTAACTGTGGTAGTAAAGCATGGCAGTTAGCTATGGTACCACCGCATACTACTGCCGCTCTATGGCTAAGCAAAGTCACTCTCCAACCAACCATTCCACCGATCGGATACAGATCTAGAAAAAGCCATGTGTGTAGGAGTTGTGTGTCGAAACAACTAGAGACCCCGACCCCCTCTCTAAACAAACTCCGAACACAGCAAGAACTTACCACATCGGTGTAGTAATAAGTCATGTCTCCCACCTCCTAGTAAGGGCAATAAGTCATGTCTCCCACCTCCTACTAAGTCATGCAACTTAGAAGTGACAAGTCATGGAGCGAGAGGGGGAGAGTGTGAACTATCACTTGAATCTCCTGTACTGAAAGAGCCTTCACCACCCAATAACCTGGCTAGACTAACTGACTGGAATGGATCCCAACCCAAACCCTACAGGTCCGTTCCTGCAGGTCGTTGTGCGTGCGTTTGTTTCCTCCTCTTAATTCGTCTTAAAAAATCAAGAATGCAGGGCCAACCCCCGTCTGACACGCTCAACTCGCTCACCTAAAGCAGCCTGCACACCACACTACAGCTAGCAGACCTTGATTTCCTGCCCGAATTCGGGATAGAATTACTAGAATTACTAGTACGTGCGTGCATCTAGACTCTACTTGTACCTCTTAGCCCTGCTTGTGCCTTTACATCCCCTCCTACTTATCGAAGGTACGATAAAAACGATCTAGAATATTGCGTCGTGGGCCAAGGACGGGACGGCATGTGCGCGCCGATTGGTGGGGTGAGGGGGGAAGGGGGGAGGGGCAAGAATTCTTCAACGAGCCCGCCACAGTCGTGAAACATTCTTGCGTATGTGTAGGCTGCATTACCTCACTTGGGGAAGGGATGATGATGTGTAAAACGGTGCGGACGGGAAACGGGGAAACGGGATGGAGGGTAAGAGAGACCCCGTGGAATTTGCCTGTGCGTGGGTTGGTATGGTGGTATGTAAGGCGAAGAAGGGAAAAATCGTTCATTGCCCCCCTTAAGGAGTGGTCCCACTCGCTCTTCCCACCTTGGGGGATGGGATGATGTGGGAAACGGTGCGGATGGACGGGAAACGGGATGGAGGGCTGGGCTCGTGGACTTGTCCGTGTGTATGTAAGGGCAGAAGAATCGTTCATCGCCACAGGATGAGTGTGCCCGCTCGTTCACATACCTCCCCACATGCTCGTGGGGGGGTACTGCTGATGTGTGGTGTGCTGTACGGTTCATGCTGGTTGTGTTCTTTGATAATTGGTATCACCTAATTCTTTCGAGAAGCTCTTAGTTACTAGTCAGTGGCATGTGCTGTGCCGACTGTTGTATCCATGACTGACTACACTCCGCAGTAATTGCTATCACTTAGGTCTTTTGAGAAGCCGTTACTAGTGTCAGTAATGATGCACTGCCGACTGTGTTCATGACTGACTACACTCGTTAGAAAATGATTGGTATCACCTAAGTTTTTCGAGAAGCTCTTAGTTACTAGTCAGTGTCATGTCTGGTACAATTCATGTGTGGCTACGCTCATTAATAATTGCTATCACCCAAGTCTTTGAAAACCCTTGGGCTGCCAGCCAGTGGCATATGCCGACTCTGTTCATGACCGCATTCCTCAAAAATTGGTATCACTTAAGTCTTTCGAGACTCTCTCAGTTACTAGTCAGGAGCATGTGCCGACTGTGTTCATGACTGACTGCATTCCTCAACAATTGCTATCACCCAAGTCTTTCGAGAAGTTCTTGGCTACCAGTCAGTGGCATATGCCGACTGTGTTCATGACCGCATTCCTCAATAATTGGTATCACTCGAGGCTTTCGAGACTCTCTCAGTTACCACTGACATATGCCGACTCCACCGCACAGCACAACTCATGCCTCGGTGTCCCCCTCAACAGCAAACGTCACCCAAGTCCTTCAAAAACACCTCGTTACCAGTGTCATAAGCTCTCATTTCATCATTCGTCTACCTCCTCACTCCTCACCTTCATGTTAACCCACAAAGGCCTCATCATCAGTAGCATAAGCTCTCATCCCATCATGACTCGTCCACCTCCTCACTCCTCACCTCCCATATTAACCCCCAACAGCAACGCCGGCTCATCCACCCTATGATGCTCATAGCTCAACACCCCCACCGCCCCCGGCTCCAACATCAGCGGCAGCCTCATCCCCATCTCAAACCCAATCCACCTCTTCGCAAAAGCCCTCAGACTGTGTCCATGCGCAATAACCACAATATCCGCCGGCCTCCAGCCATCCATACACGGCGCCTGCAGCTGCTTGATCTTCGCGATCAGCTCGTCCAGGCGCGTGGCAACCTCAGTGGGTGACTCTCCATCCTCGCATCCATCGTGCCAGATGTTCCATGGCCTCTCCTTATCCAGTCCCTTCTCCTGGCGCAGCTTGCGGATATCCGTTGGCGTCACGCCCTCGTATGCTCCGTACTCCCACTCCCTGATATCCTCTGTTATCTCAACCTTCTCTTTCAAGGCCGCCTTGGCAGCATCGTCGAACAGGAGGTCGTAGGTGCGCTGGGCGCGGGTGCGTGGGCTGATGAACACCTTGGTGAGCTTGGAGGGGTCGATGAGCTTGCCCTGCCCCACCACAACCTTGCTGGACGAAAGCACTTGGCTCTCCCCGACGGCGGTCAGAGGAATGTCGGTGCTACCGGTGCATTGACCGGAGATGGTCCATTCTGTCTGGCCTTTGTTTGGGGTTAGCTGGGTGGGTTGAGGAAGAGAGTAAAGTGAAGGTGAGGCTGTGAGGAGGGGTATCCCGTGGGCAATTCACGCATAAACAACAGGTAATGGAGCTTTACCGTGCCTTACGAGGAAGACTCGCGGGGTTCCAGCGTCCTTGTCAGCCATCTTGAGGATGATGAGAGTAAGAGGACAAAGTAATCAAGGACGAGGACGATCAACGACGTAAAAAGAACGAAACGGATCGAAACAGCCCTATTCCCAGTATATCTCCGTTCTGCCGCGGTTTCAAAAAAAGTCACGATGTTGCTTTGTTGGGGTCTAGTCGCTTAGCCGTTTGGAGAACTCTGGTCTCTGGGCCAATCAACACCTCACGTTCGTAGTCCCCGACTCTTTCCGCCTGGTCACGCATTGGCCATTAATTTCCTAAGGAAGTACGGTACTCCAAATGCGTGAAGGGCCGAAACTCACGAAAGCTCATGTCCCCTTCCTGTTGAATAGACCTCATCCCTCTCTTCCATCCCAATAACCTCAACTTTCTCATCTACAATTCATCACCCTTTCAAATCCTTCCTCAAACTCACACTATAGCCAAGATGTCTATCCCAGCATTCTCCGATATTGCGAAGCTGTCCAACGATGTAAGAGATCTGACGCGACTTTGAAGCTCAACAAATTCTCGTGATGTGATCGTGGACCGAGAGAACGGACAGCTAATCCCGCATTTTCTAGCTGTTGAACAAGGACTTCTACCACACCTCAGCCGCCACCCTTGAGGTCAAGAGCACCACCGCCAACGGTGTTGCCTTCAAGGTCAATGGAAAGAGCACCCAGGAGAAGACCACCACCGGCGCTGTATGTCCCCTCCCTTCCATCCATCCCCCCCAATCTGCGCGCTTGGCGACGGACCGACGGACCCCAAGCTGACCATCTCAACCCAGCTCGAGGCCAAGTACACCGACAAGCCATCTGGTATAATCCCCACAAGATCTCCTTTCAAGCCTCCCTTGGTCATCTACATGCGGCCCTCCTTGACCGCACGAGTTTTTAACAAACAGAGCTCTCACAACTGCCTCATCTACTTCAAATCTGGCTTCGCTCAGTTACTAATCATCTACCGACGCGCAGGCTTGACCGTCACCCAGACCTGGAACACCGCCAACGCCCTCGAGTCCAAGATCGAGCTCAACGACAACATCGCCAAGGGCCTCAAGGCTGAGGTTCTCGGCAACTTCTTCCCCTCCACCCAGGCCAAGGGCGTCAAGCTCAACCTGCACTTCAAGCAGCCCAACTTCCACACCCGCGCCTTCTTCGACCTCCTGAAGGGCCCCACCGCCAACCTCGACGCCGTCATCGGCCACGACGGCTTCCTCGTCGGCGCCGAGGCCGGCTACGACGTCCAGAAGGCCGCCGTCACCAAGTACTCCCTCGGTCTCGGCTACCAGCAGCCCCTCTACACCGCCTCCATCATCGCCTCCAACAACCTGAGCGTCTTCTCCGCCTCGTACTACCACAAGGTCAACTCCCAGGTCGAGGCCGGTGCCAAGGCCATCTGGGACTCCAAGTCCGGCTCCAACGTCGGCCTCGAGGTCGCCTCTAAGTACCGCATCGACCCCCTGTCCTTCACCAAGGCCAAGATCAACGACCGCGGTATCGCTGCTGTCTCCTACAACGTTCTCCTCCGCGAGGGCGTTACCCTGGGTCTCGGTGCTTCCTTCGACACCCAGAAGCTCGATTCTTCGCCAAACAAGGTCAGTGTTTCATCACGCATTGCATTGCATTGCTTCGTTTCGAAAGAGGGCCCCAGCTAACGTTTCAAATCAGATCGGCGCTTCTTTCACCTTCGAGGCTTAGATTAATACTTGGTGATGTTGCGAGAGTAGATGCATAACTTTGAAATACTGGCGTGGACGGCTGTGTGGTCCGGTTGTATTCGATCTAGCAGATTAGAGCTGAGGTGTACGGTGTACATTAGGTAGAGAAATCTATCCTTAATACCCATGATCCTGCTTTGACTCGTCCTGTGCCATGCTACCATAATAATATACACAATCCACTCCTGAATCATACACCCCCTCCATATCTACACCATCTCCCTCAATATCTACACCCCATCCCTCCTCCTCTCCCCCCTCCCCCACAACCCAGGAACCCACCACGGCGCCGCAATCCCCCCAAAGATCACCCCCGACACAATCAAAAAATCCCCCAACATCCCCCTCCCCCCCGCCTCTTCCTCCCTCTCCCCCCCTCCTCCTTCACCTTCTCCACCCCCCCGCGCCGCCTGCGCCCGCCCCTTCATCCTCCTCTCATGATTCCTAAAAGTCCTCAAATGGCTCTCCCTATCAAAATGCCTCGCTTCTTCCGCAGCAACCCACGCGCTCTGTCCCCATCCCATCCCGCCCTCTGTCTTGGGTCGCGCTTCTCCCCCCGTCGTGCCGGAGCTGGATTCCTGCGCTGCTCGCCTCTTGGCACCGTGTTCGCCCCATCCGCCACTCCTATAAAAGCTCGCTGGCGCCCCGTGGAATGTCGCTCGACGACGACTTAGGCCGCTTGGTGCCCGGCCGCCCGCGGGGCCGTAGTGCGATTGTGCTGGCCCGGTGGGGTGCACGGGGTGGGAGGGACGATGCTGGTGGTGGAGGCCGATGTCGCGGTCGTAGCGTTGGCGTTTTTCGGGGGAGCGAAGGGTGGCGTAGGCTTCGGAGATGTGGACGAAGCGGGTTGAGGCTGTGGGGTCGGTGGGGTTGCGGTCGGGGTGGGAGAGTTTGGAGAGGTGGTAGAATGCGCTGCGGGGGGTTAGCTGGGGGATTTGTGGCGGTGGTGGTGGTAGTAGTAGTGGTAGGGGGGTTAGAGGTCGGGGAGGGGTAGAAGGGAGGAACAGAAGGAAGGTCTGGGTAGAGGGGGAGATTGGAGGGAGGTTACGTTTTTATCTCCTTCGCACTCGCCGTCGTCGGAATCCGAAGCGTCTCATAATGTGTCGCGTGCACAACCGCGGAATGGTGGAAGAGGCGCCGGCATGAGGGAATGAAAGAGGGGGGTGAGCGGTATGGCATTCCTCATCACGAAGGTGGGCGTGGCTGTCTTCGTGATGGGCGATGGGGTGAAAGATGGTGGATTGATCGGGGTCGGGGTTGCGGTTGTGCTGGGGAAGCTAAAACGGTGTTTAGCGACGTCATACCGCAAGCGCGGGTGTCCGCGCGCCTGTGGCGAGGCGAGGGGAGTGGACGACTATCTTCGTTTTCTAGAACACGCGGTTTTTTTACGGCGAGGAAGGCGCTAGCCTCGCGGAAAGCGCGTGAGGTTTGTTAAATACTAATATTACCGGCGAGGTTTTTGGTAAGGTTGATAGTTAGCTTGATGCTAAGAGGTATGGGGGGGATGTTAGTGCTTGGGAAAGCTTATGATCTTGGTGAGAAGATCACTAGTCTTGGTGAGAGGGTGGTGCCTTCCTCGCCGGTGACAGGAACTAAACTGTAGCTAAATTAGCTTACAGTCACACCGAGGATAGTTAACTTGAGGATGGTCTGAATGGGAATGAGCATTTGGATATTTAATAGTCACTCACTTTCCTTGCTTCCGCTGTTCTTGACTTTCTCATATTATTAACATATCATTCAAGAACGTAAAATTGGTCTTTACTTTGCAAAGCAACCTTCCATCTATTTCATTTTGATAACCAACACCAAACCTGACAAACTCAAGATGTCGAACTGGAAAGTTCCCGAGGGTTTGATAGATTGGCAAAACGTCTCTGAACATGATGGCGTTCTCACCGTAGAACACATCAAAACTACCGAGTTTCTCACAGGAGAATCATTCCTTTCCAACTGCCATATCCCCGATATAAATCCAAACACCAAGATCGTCGGCATATGCGGTATCACCGACTGGAACAAAGAGAATGACCCAAAATTACCAGGAGACGCAGCTCCTAACCAGGAAGGCTGGCACTTTACCGATTTCTATCTGTTCCATCACCTCCTGAAGGAAGTTGCTTCCGACCAAGTCTGGTTGACTTGCGTATCGCCCGAATCTGCCGTTGAGAAATACGGCAGGTACGTTTATGGTGATTACAACCCGAAAAAAATCGAGGAGCGGCGCGTGGTCCTTGACGAAAGCAAGCTTGGTGAACTGAACGACGTTCAAACGGTATCTCCGGAAGACCTCTTGGAGAATGTGTTGGAGGCTATCAGCAAAACATGCATCGATGCAGCTGCCGAAAAGCGCCCTGTTCTCATTTTGATATTCTCTCGATCGTCTCAGCCTGCGTATTCGATTGTCATGGGCGGGGAAAATGCAGAAGATCCAAAATATCTCACCAAGGAATCGTTCCGGCAGGCAATTGGATCTCAGGCACCGGAAGCAGGGCTGTGTTTACTGGCCACTGAATACCGCACTGGTGCGTGGGCTATCAATCCTGATATGAATGTCGCCCCTGTCGCTTCTCAAGGAAAATATCTCGAGTCTATGGCATGGCCAATTAGCGGAACCAATAACAAGCGTCCATGTGGACCAGAATTCTCTCATCGAATAGTTGATATGCTTTTGAGGCTCCACCTCGAAGGTTATGAGACTGTAGAAAACGATGGGGATAAAGATCCTGATTTTGAGGAGCATGAAGAAAGGCTGTCGAGCGTTATCGAAGGCATTCTCGAGAAGGAGGAGTCTAAGGACATGTCTCTGTTCTCTGGCGACGATGAGTGGGAGACTGAGTATTCAGAGCGGATAGGCATCCATATTAGCGAATTCCATCGAAGATGGTGCCTGTTGAAGGATGCAACCTCCGGCTACGATGAGCTTTTGACTGCGGTTAAGAATGAGGCAAAGGTTTATTTCAACAGCTTCCCTGGCTTAGACTACAAGATAAGGAACCGAGCGCTGCACAAGAAGCTTCGCGGTATCACCAAGGGCACGTTGACACCTAACTTTATCGAGCTTGAACTCCTGCAACGCCAAATCGACTATCGCCTCAAGCTCATGAAAATGGCGACGAAGTATAAGGATCTTTGGCACCTTTCTACGAAAAATTGCGAAGACGTCGAAGTCGAGATTGGAGCAGGTATTGGCACTCATCGTTGGTATCAACTGTGTAAACTTGTCGAATCTTATCACCTTTTCGATCATCGTGATTATCAGGGTGAGGGTGAGGGGTATGAAAAAGGGAACTGGTATATTGCTTCCTGTATTCACAGTCAGGGGTGGGATGATACTCAGGCGGCAGAGAAGATCGGGATCTTGATACCTTTCAAGGTAAGTCTATATTTCCATGTTCTTGATTTGACGCCGACATAAACAGGTAACAGAAGCTCCAGTCCGAAACGAGACAGAGTCAGAGTCAGCCGAAACAATAGCTTCTTCCTGGTGCTATGATCAAGATCTTTTCGTACTTCAGAAAGAAGCAAAACAATACTTTGATAGCGGGCTGTTTCCTCATGACACGGCAAGTGACCTGGGGCTAAACAACTTTCTTCGCAATGTCATCAAAGGAACTAGAGAACATGGCCCTGAACATCTAAGATGTGGAGTCGACCATCGGGCTAATCAGATCATGGGAACTGCGACACTATACAAAGACTTTCTAGACATCGACTATCCCGATTGCCACGAGGTCGAAGTTCACAGGTTCTGGTGTGATGACTATAAACGATATAGGGAGATCAAAGCTTTAATCAGCACATATCCCTTGTTCAACGTGCGCTACCATCGTCCGTTCTACAAGGGAGGGGAATACCTAGCCCAAAGCATTTCTACCCAGGAATGGAGCAAGAGCGAGAGCGAAACAATAGCTAAGCTGGACAGCTTAGTGAAATACAGAGGTCCCATCACATGCCCCTTATTTGCTTGGCCAGGAGGTATAGACACAAAATATGTAACCTCGGGGGTTCCAAACGTCAAAAACGCCAGCCGGATATTGGAAACTGTGAACCATTTCCAACTGAGCAGGGACGAGCGTATTCGAGTCCTCGTTTGGAAATTGGGGCAGATCACTGACCGCAAAATCCGCTCGCTGCCCACAAACTCCTGTCGTCGGAAACGCCTCCCAGGCAATTTGGCCAAAGAGGGCGTCACAGCTGGGATTGGGAAGTTGAGCCTCGAGGGCGGATCAAGTTGCTAGGAGTGAGAAATTTTGTTTGAAGTATGGCGTTTAGCTGGGAAAGGTTTGGGATAGAATACGAAAGGATACCATTTTTTTTTGGTTTGCAATACGGTGTTTGTCTGGGAAATATTGGGATAAAACAGAAAGACCAAAAAAGGGTTGGGATATGGCGTTTGTTTGAGAAAGATTATGCGGATGCAATAGAATAATCCATTAATGATTTCAAAAACTCATAAAAGATGCATCAAGTGACCATTCACATAAAAAAGGGATGCTCTCCCACTCTCCTTCCAAACCTGACTCACATCTCATCACATCACACACACACAGCACATCTCAAAACAAGCATAATAACCAGTAATTACGTCCAGTCACTATGTATCACTATCCCACACCCACCCCCCCTTTTCAATCCAAAAAAACCCCCCCTCCCGCACAAATTCAAACATCCTCCAACATCCACCCATCTACCCACCCCATTCCTCAACTTTCAAGCAAAGTAGTTTTCCCAAACAAAGATGCATCTCCCTCGGAACCCAGCTGATGATGGTGCAAAAGAAAAAAGAAAAAGAGAACGGACAAGATCTTCGGCTGGGGCGTGTACCTTTTTATTATACCTCCCCCTCCACACTAGAAATCGTAAAAAGTTAAAATTTCTTTGGTCCTCTCATCCGTCCCAAACTACCAAGACAAAAATCCTACTCCTCCTCCTCCTCTGCACCCTCTGCATTGTGGAGTAAAGATACGTTTCTATTCCAGCCCGAAGCCCATGGTCTCCTCCACCGCCGTCGTGAGCTTGCCCTGTAATGCGTCTAGTGATTTGTAAGGTGGCAGGTCCAGACGGTTGAAGCTGTTCATACGTGTTAGCAAATGTCCCCAAAACTCCCCATCAATAGATAGACAAGACTTACCAAGTATGCGACTTCGGCAAATTCCCAACATCACCCGCCTTTTCAATCGTAAAGCGTCTCGGCCCATCACTACCCTGGAGATCCTTGAATCCGTTGACGGGAATACGCGATGTACCAGTAGCAAACTGCAGGAGACGAGACTTCTGCTCGCCATCCCAACTCTTGATCGTCTGCCAAAAGAACTTGATGACCTCGTCCGACTCCTGGTATCCTCTGTAATCGGTGTGCTTCTTCCAGTCATCGACATCGATCTCGGCAATACCACCAATCAGCAGCTCGAGCTCGCGCTCATCGAAGACGTTAACCAGGTCCGCGGGGATCAGCTCGTGGAAGCCGGTAACGAAGGCCTGGAACTGCTCGTCCACGCGCTTCTGGATGCGCCACTTGATCATCAGATCAACGTATTCCTTCTTATTCTCGTTCGTCACGGCGATGTCTCTTCCGCCGGGCTTCAGGTCCTCCACGCTTGTGACACCGAAGCGCTCATCTTCTGTCGAGAATGTCTGGTCTAGGACACCCTCAATGTCGTTCTCGAGCGTCCACACTAAACTTCTGTGGAAGTCGGCGTCGACACCCTCCATGTCCTGTAGTGACACAGGCTTATGCAGCATCATTTTGTACAGCGCTCCGATGAAGAACGCATCCAGGAACCTGCGGTGGAAAATCGCAAGGCCGACAACGCGGCCGATGAACTTGAAGTAGTTGAGATGCTCCGGGTTGATACCGGAATGAGGGTTGATCTGAAGGGTATAGTTGTCGTGCGCTGAGTACTCGAATAAACAGTAGAAAGGATTGAACATCTCGTGAGAGAGGAGGAAGAAGAATTCTCTGGAAACTCCACCGTAATCGAGACCATCTTCGCCCTCGAACTTGATCATCAAGCGCTTCTTCAGATCCGTCGCGCTCTGCCTCATGATCTCAGCATAAGAGTCCTCGAAGATATGAGAACGGCGGGCCTTGATGTGGCACTGGCCAGACAAGATGCGTAAGGCCGGCTGGGACCTGAAATAGATAAGCTTGCGCCTGAAATCTCTCTTATACTGCGGAACGTTCTGGTCCAGGGAAGAAGGAAGTCTAGGATCATCCCAAGTCGTCGTCTTAGTATTGTGGTCCACAAAGTACACCCTGGCGGTGTTTGTGAGTCGCATCTCCCATCCACTGGGCAGCGGCCCAAGCTGGGACACTGGCTGCTGTTGGATGGTATTGTTCTGGTTCTGCCCACCGTACATCCGGATGTATTGTTGCCGACGAGGGTCCACCCATGTTGTAGTTCGAGTGTTGTGGTCGACAAAGTATGCACGTCCTTCTGGCGTATGTCTCTGTTCCCATAAGGGTGGTAGTTCGCCTGTACCTGCAGAAGTGGCTCCAGTGGCAAGCATAGCGAGTGAGCTGCTGGTCGCCTGGCTACTAACGGAGGGAGGTGGTGATGGCTGCGGTATGCCTGGTGAGCTGGCGCCAGTCCTGTCCTCTGGAAGGGTCCGGTTCTGATGTCTCTGTCGCTCCACCGCCGTATTGGCATCACGCTCGTTGCGCTGGGTCTCGGCGTTTCCACTAGCCTGCGGTCTGACCCAGCTCGTAGACCTGGTATTGTGATCAACGTAGTACGTGCGCCCAACGTTATCCTCGCGGCGCTCCCAGCCAGCAGGTAGTCTGCCCTGTGCATCTTCAAATGAGCTGAGCACAGTCGGTGCGCGAGAGGACGGTACGGTGGACTGGCTGGCTGTTGAGGCGCCCATACTTCCAGCGACTGGGGCTCGTCCAGGCGTTGGGGCAGTCGAGATCGCACCGTTCGCCATCATGACACCTTGTGGTTCCGCTACATGGGTATCTGACCTGGCTCCTGGGAATCCACCGCTGGCAACCGAACTTTGTGCGGATCCTAACGTTGGTCGAGTCGATTGTGCTGGGGCAGCATTGCGTACTGGCTCGGACATATTAGTCGACAGGTTAATGATTAGCTTTCCATGAACGACGAGGTTGTCATTTGACTTCTTCAGGTCACGCGTGAGCATCTCTGTCATGGTCGTTAGTATATCGTAGGAGTAGACCGTTGGCAGCGGGACGGCTCACCATCTTCCCCAGAATTGAAGTCGACCACATCACCAATCCGAACATTGATAACCCCCAAGAATCCTTGATCCTTCTTCTTAAACTTCTTCTGATCAAACACCTGAACCGCGAGTATACTATCCTCCGTAGCACGCCTGTAGCCTCGTCAGCAAATGAACCACCCAACAAACCCCACCAGCACCGATGACAGCAACACGCACATCTCAAACGTCTCATTCCAGTACGGGTTCAGCGTCCGCTTAATCACCGACGTCGTATTCGTTTGTTCGCCATTGAGCGTCGCGACAGCAAAAGGGTCCGGGAATCCTAAAACCAACAAAAATCAGCCTCTCCACGGACTCGAGAGCGGGGAAGGACGAGTCGACGACATACGGAACACCTCGCGCTTATACAATCCATCAGCAGCAATGACTACACTCTCGTCAGTACAATCCCATCACACTCTCCACAAAGGGGTCTCCTACTCGTAACCCTGATGTTGGGCTGCCTAATCCACAGTTAGTCCCCGTCCACACACAACAGATGACGCGGAGCTTACCCAGGCAGACTGGTATCGACGCCCGTTCTCGCCGACATGGCAGCAACAACTCTCTCACACTCGCCTCTAATCGCGTGGTATTAAAAATCGGCGGGCGAATCTTTAGGTCCTGGGAACAGACCCGGCGCCGTTGGGTGTAGGAGTCTGTCGGGTTTCGTTGTCGTGCGTAGGCGCCTCTCTCCAACTCGTTCCAAATGACTGGGGCTGTGCAAGGCGTGTCGCCCCCGGAGTCGAAAAGCAGGCTAGCTAGGGCGTTCAGACGCGGGCCGTCAGCATCACTGGTGCGGGTGCGTGTGGCGGGGGTGCTCGGCAGCCTCGAGGGAAGTCTGCGAGATGTAGGTTTGATGCTGCGAGGGGGTTGCTGCCGATCGTTGGTGAAGGCCTTCGAGATAACAGGTTGTGCCGCCGTCAGTGTCACACCTTCCCTGGGCGATAGAGAGCTGGAATGCCCACTTCGCTGAATGCGGTTTAGTGGGGTTTTGCGCACAAGGCCGTTTCGTCTCTCGCCGATTCTCGCTACAAGGACGGGAGGGGAGTTTTGGGAGGGCGGCTGCTTACGAAGGAGACGGCTTGGCGAGGATTTTTGGTATTGGAGAGGAATTAAGACGATTGTTTTGAACAATGGGCAATTGGATTTTGAATCTGTAGTGATAGTATGCAGTCGCCCGAGTTACTATTTTAGTTTTGGCGCCCTGAAGGGATTTTTTTTTCTCGGCAACGAGGGAAAAAAGCCAATCGTAATCGAAAGGGTCCATGTGCGTCACCAGTCAAACAGTCACATTTTATAAACGGGCACAAATGCCAGACACAGGCCATGAGTGTGCGTGTATAAACCAGTCCAAATAACTACGCAGAGGAGTGCAGCAGCATCATTAACTCAAAAGATCACCTTTCCCTTTGGCTCCCTTCACCTCATCTGCATCTGCATCTGATCTGATCTCCATTCATGGCGGCGGTCCGGTCCAAATCTTCTCCCTCGCGGCCTGCTCTATCGTACAGTGAGTTTCCAATTGGTCCCGGCCCGTCCTCCACCATCATCTAATAAGGAGTGAATCCACGTCCACGCGAGCTCCCACGATAGCCTCCTCTGTATCCTCCCCTCGGCGGGAAACCCCCTCTTCCAAAGCCTCCCCTTCCTCCGCGTCCGCGGCCGCGACCCCTCGTCATGCCTGGGATGTTCGTCCTCTTCGGGTCGACCTGCACGTTGTCAGTATAATCATCCACATGCCCACCAATCCACTCGGCCAGATCAGAATTCACAAACCTTGAGGTTCCTCCCACGGAACAAGCTCTCATTGAGCACCAACGCCTGCGCCACAAAGGCCGGCTCCGTGAACTCAACATACGCGTACCTGCACCACCTAATTAGCATCCATCTCTTGCCAGGCAGCGCACCCCCCAATTCCCACTTATCCGTCACAGTTCGTGACCAAAAGACATATTAAAACAACGAGAAAAAACTAAATCAGGAATCGTACCCCTTCGGTTGTCCCGTAAACTTGTCCAACAAGATCGTAACCCTATTAATCGACCCACAGCTCTGGAAATGCGCCTGGATCTCCTCCGGCGACGCCGCATAATCCACATTCCCCACAAAGATCGAGCGACTATCAATGTCCTCCTTGTCATCGTGCATCTCCGAGCTCTGTTGGTCGAGGGTCGCTTGCATCTCGCGCAGCTTTGCGGCTTCTTCTTCCATCTCTGCGACGCGGCGCTTCATGGCGGAGATCTCTTCCTGGGGGTGGGGTGTTAGTATTTGTCTTTCTGTGTTGTGGGTATGTGCGTGTCGATGGGAGTGGGGGAGGGGGAGCTTACCTCCTCATTCGTCTCATCATCCCCAGCGGCCATCACCTCATCGGCCGGCTTTGGCTCGGTATCCGACATATTTGTGTTTGGGTGTTGTGTTGTCGAAGGAAGTAGGTATCCAGAAGTCTTTGTCGTCGTGCAGTAGTGAATAGAACCTGAACCCGCAGCGCGCGACGTTAGCGAAGTCCCCTTGATCAAAGCAAGCCTGACACCAAGAAAGTTGAAGAGCGAGTGTGTGTGTTGACCAAAGAAAGCCAGCAACAGGAAACGGAAGAGAGTTGCGAACTGTGTAGATCAAACCAGCTCTGAGCGCAAACTCAAAGAAAGCCAGTAGATGCCCACACACTTCTCGCACCTTCCACCCCCATCACCATGAACCAGCCCAATCCAAACAGACAGACAGGAAACCCAAAGCAAGCAAAGCAGACAAGAGCCCAAACATACCACTAACCCCAAATCCTTCCCTCTTGCTCAAAATCCCAATCCTACCAACCTATCCAATCTCCCAGCAGAAAAGAACCCAACAGCAACAGTCGTCGACGATCCCAAACAAGAAAAAACCCCTCTTTCGCAAAAAGAAGCTTCGTCAGAAGAAAGTTAAGATCGCGGAGTTGTGGCGGAACAAAGAAGACAGAAAATAAATTCCCGTGGAAGTGTTGCGCACGAGGTGTTGAAAGGACGAGGCTGCCGGTTTGGCTTACTCGATGGACCGTGAGCGCGGAGCTAGGATTAAGCTTGCCGCTAGTGGCAACGACGGGGGGGTAAGGTAGGATGACTGAGGCGGGGGTTGAGCACCACTCGGAATTCAGCACCCAGCGTGGAGAACTGGGTGAATGAGGATGATGATGGAGGATGATGGGGTGAGTTGGAATGGTGTTGGATAAGTAAGGATGATGGCGGAGGAAGGGTGGTGAAGCTGAGTTGGCGGGTTGTGAGGTAGCAGTGGTGGTGGTGGTGGGGGAGGCTCAACGACAGCACTGAGGGGTGACGGGGAAATAAAGTCCAAGAATTACTACCACAACAACAGCAGCAGGTCTTCAACGACAACAGCGTTGGAACGGCGACAAGAAAGAAGGTTGTAACTTAGAATTTTTTATGCCTCGACAACAGCATCGGGAAGTAGTGACAAGAAAATGAGAATTCAAAACTCACAGTGAGAATCAATCCCCTAACAATAGTAGCGCCCACCGACAGCAATAGCACCACCAGTATCTATTTCATGTATCTCAAGCTTTCCCTATTGTAAGTGCCGTAAGACCCATCAATACCCAGCTCAACAGCCACAGGAGGCAGACGGAACAGGTTGCTGGATAGTACCCCAACGATGTCTACGAGGTCGGGGAGAAACTATCACAACCACGACGACGAGGGGTTTTTTATCTTACCACCTCGTCGTCACACAGTAGATGGGCGAGTCTGAGCGTGTGTCCGAAACGTTGTTCTAGGGAGGGAAAGAGGGGAGTTTAATACACATAAATAACAGGGAAACCTGTGGGTTCATGAAGACTTAGTATCTTCATGAACGCACATCAGAGTATAAACTGATGACGACGGGCGAGTGAGGAATGGAAAAGGGCAAATACGAAGCACGAGCACGAGCATGAGCACAGGCTTAAGGACAAACACGTCTATCCATCACTTCACGAGTTAAGAGTAAGATTAAAAGCATATCTTTTTTCATTCTTTCTACGCCTTCTCGTCTCCTTCCCGTCTCTCCCCTCCTTTCCCGTACAAATCATCACACAACACCAGGCCAAACCACAGCCATCTACCCCTTCACTTCACCCTCCATCCCCGTCCCCATCATCCACCCTCCCCTTGTTCTTATATCATACACCTCCCCATCCCCAAAACAAAAGAAAATCACCCCCCACCCCACCCCCCAGAAAATCACAAAGATCGCAAAAACCGACCAAACAATGCATGCTAAGCCGCTAGACGCCATCCCACCCCATCCATCCCATCCACCCCTTCCCCACCCTATCGACCAACAGGTTTTGTATGTCGTGTTCGAGAAAGAAAGCATCTCAAACACAGAAAAAAACAGAACATCCCCTCCCTTTTCCCCGGAACTAAAAAGCGTAATAAGAGTGTCAAAAAAAAAGATGCCAGAGTGGCGTAGAACAGGAGTCGTGGGTAATGGCCACACTCCACCTCGGGAGATCACATCCCTCCTCCCCAACACGAAAGCCAGACAGCACTCGGGCCAGTCTACTTCCCCCCCTTAACAGCCCTCACAAACCCCACCTCCCCCCCCTTCCTCCTCGCCCCCCCCTTCCCCGTCCTCACCACACCAACCTCCTCAATCTCCACCTCCTCCTCTCCCTCCCCCTCATCACCCCCCTCCACGCTCTCCTCCGCACCACTACTCTCCCCATCCTCCACATAGCTGTACTCCCCATCATCCGAGATCAAAGAAGGTGCTTTGTTGGATGCAGTAGCGGGCGAGAGATCCGCGGCGTCCATCTCGACGTCGATGTCGTCCGAGGAGGTGGAGGAGGAAATGGTGTCATACGGTCCCATGAGGGGTAGGCGGAGTATGTGTTGCGAGGCGGGCGTGGGTGGGCTACCCGGCGTGCTATACAGATTCGAAGGCATCATACCCGGTCTACGAAGCGTGGTAGAAGGGCCCTTGCTACTACCCGGTCTAGCAAACCCAGGCGGTAAGATCGGAGCATGTCGTTGCGGCTGCGGTGTAGACATCGGCGCCGCCGCATCAGCAGTAGCAGAAACAGCAGCGACCTCGCCGTTGACGGGAGCATCATGTGACAACACAGCAGCTTCAGGAGCGTCCATCTCGAACTCCGAGTCCGAATCACTCGCCGAATCACTCACCCCATCCGTCCCAACCACTCTCCTCCGCTTCGTCGGCGTCTTAACCTCCTCAACAAGCTGATCTAGGTTCTGCCCGAACCCTCTCCGATGAAGTAGGCGCGAGAGACAAGGTGCAGAGTCAGAGGCCACAAATCCATCATGCGGCTCTGAGCGTTTCCGCGAAGGCGCAGCAGGGGCGACGCTGGGGATGGACGTGATACCCGGCAGCTTCCCCTCGTAGAACATCCGCGTCCCCTCGCTGATGCGCTCGAGTAGCGTGTTGACGGTCTGGCGATCGTATGGTACAGAGCGGATGAGCGGGTGCACGAGTGTGCTTGAGCCGGTGGGTGTGTTGGTCGTAGGTGGCGCGGGTTTCGACGAGTCACCGCCGACGATACTGCCGGTGACGCTGTCGACTTCGACGGGCTGTCCGCTCTGCGATGCGGCTTCTTCGTGGGACTTGAATTCGCGGTGGTGAGCGATGCGGCAGTGATTGATGAAGCCCTGCGTGCTGCCGAAGTTCTCGCGTTGGCACACGAGACACACAAGCTTGACCCACTGCCCATCAGCGCGCTTGAGCACGAGCGGTCCCGCAGTCTCCTTGGGTGGCGGATACCCGCTCGGTAGCGCCTGAAGCTTCTTACTCGACGCAGCGCCGCGTCGTGGTTTCGTCGTTGGCGTCTCAAGAGCAAGACTATTCCTCGTCGTGCGACCCGGTGCCGTGTTGTTCCCCGCAGCTGCGCCAGGCAGCATGCCCCAACCTGTCTGCACACCGTCGAACTCCGGATCCGGGATGAGCCAGCTGGCGTAATGCCTGCTGTACGGTCCCTCCGTCACGCCAAACGGCGCCGCCATGCGCGGTTGCGTGCGACGCGCCTGAGGTATCGATGGGCCCGTCCCAGTGCTGACCGTCAACATAGCCTCCGGGCTCCCCAGAGACACAGGGAAAGGTATGAGGTGGCAACGGCGCAACTGATCCAGCGCCACCGTCGCCTTCGCAAGTTCCTGATCGATGCGACGCAGCTCATCATGCTTCATCAGCACCTCGAGACTGAGCTGGTGATCGATGACCTCGCGCATCCTCGCCAGCGCGCCCGGTTTCGACCTATTCGGCACAGTCGCAGTCGCCTCAATCTCCCCCGCCTGCGGCGCGCTCAACCCTGCTCCCATGTTGTTGTCGCACTCCTTCTTGCGCTTCGCCGCCGCGGCGCACGCGCTCACCCCGAGCGGTGGCGCGTCGCGATCGTCCAGCTTGCGCTTCGTCGCGCCGACGGGCTGGACCGAGTAGTCGCGGGCGTCCTTGTCGAGCGGCTGTTCCATGCCGGCGAGTTTGTTGTGTCCATGGACCGCCTCGTCGCCTCCCCTGGATTCCGAGATCCACGAAGAGAAGCGGAACATTCGCATGCGCTGATGGTGACGTCTGGGCGTAAAAGGGTTCCCCGTTTCTGCGTGCCTGTTGCTCGCCGTGTCGCCGCTGTCTAGCAGCGACGCCTGTGCGCCTGTTGTCGCGATGAGGTTCGGACTCTAGATCATGGGTTGGTTAGGGTCTAGAGTGGTGCGATGTGGTGTTGGGCGCAAACGGAGCCGTGTCGCAAAGCTGACGTATGCCGATGCGACGGGATGAGGAGACGCGGAAGCGACCGGGCGAGTTGCGACAGTTGTCGGAGTGTAATATGGACGATTAAAAAGTGAGTATTGAAGTAGTTATGCTGGTACAAGGTCGTGAAAAGAGTATGAAATGCTGTTGTTGTTGCGTCGGAATCGCGGGTTTGCGATGGCGAATGTTGTCGCGATGGGGTGGTAGAGGGTGGAGGGGGGGGGAGATTTGAGCGAGTCGCGGCGGACAAACGGGGTGTGGTGTGGAAGCGGCGAAAGAGTGGACGGATTGCGGGAGTTAGGGGAAGAGCGAATTTGGTTGGGCGAGGTGACGAATGACAAGTGACAAGCAGAGTGGTATCAGGAGTACCTTTCTCAATTAAAAAGAGTTTTTATAAGTAGACGAAACAAAAAGAGTAGTAACAGAATCAAAGGAAGGGATATGAAGTATCGTGAATATGGGGAAATTGAAGTTTGGTGGTTGTATCAGTATGGGCGACGACAAGAGCGCGCAAGTTTGAAGGATGGAAGGGAGAGGGAGGGAAGGGAAGGGAAGGGGAAGAAGGAGGGAGGGGGGGACGAGGTGGGTGGGTGGGTGGTGGATTGGGGGGGGGTACTAGGATGGGTACTGGGATGGGTTGTATGTGGGTTTTGTATTTGGAGGGTGTATTGATGTAAATGTACTTTTAGAGGGAGTAGAGTACATTTGGGTGTTATTTGGGTGTTGAATTGTATGTGAGTGGAAGGTGAGGAAAGGGAAGGAATGGGGTGGAGGGTGGTGTGTTGGGAGGTGATTAGTGTGAGTTGGTGGTGGGTTAGTGGTGGGTTGTGGTGGGTTGTTTGGTGGAAGCAAGGGAGGGAAGAGCATTCACACCACTAGGAAGAGAAGGGATTATTGAAGCCTGAGGCAAGAAATAGGCTACAATCAACTACAAGAGAACAAGTCACCCCTACCTAACGGTACGTGCAATCATCCTCCCTAGCGCAGATACGGTCGGGCAGGAAGAACGGGTAAGCGCATGTACCGTCTGCGATGAGGTGCTGTAGTAGAGCAGTAGAAGGACTTGGCGTTTGCGCGATCGTCGAGGGGGGAGAAGAGGATATATGCACTATATGCACGAGAAAGACCGCATTCAGGGTGTTTGATATGGGATAGTATATGAGTGCCTGCCTGCAGCTGTTTACAGATTCTCGATATAGAATGTGAGGATATACACAGAGTGTGGCTGGGACGGATAGATAGATCACACAGCACAGAACAGAGATGCATTCTGTGTTGTACGCAGGGCTGTACTGTACGCTATACGCTGTACGAGTAACCACGACAGCAAGGGAACGAAGACGCGTCCTCTATCTTGTTCTGATACTGTACTCTGCTCCTCTGGTATGCTATGGATGTCTCGCCTCGTATTCCCGCATTACCAAGTATAGACGGAGAGTATGGAGAACCAGTAGAAGGGTACACGCACCTCCAATACTCCCACCACAGCAAAAGCAAGTACTATCTATCTATACCTCCCTTCACGGAACAGGGCGGAGACAATATCTCCGACTAAGACTCATAACTATGGGCCCGTTAGCTGGGACCGTAGCTTGATTACTAGATTACTAGAAGTCTAGCTCGACTCGTAGTGGCCAGTCTCACGTGTATCCCCATTTAGACCATGCTAGTACTGGAGTTAGACTGGACCTGTGGCCCCGTATACAAACTGTGTAGTATAGTACAGTCCAGTATAGTACAGTATAGACAGAACACCACAGCCTGGAACACATCACGTGATTCAGGCAACAGTGCCTTACCTCAAGCAAGCTGCAAGCTGTAAGCTGTAAGGGACTAACTGCCATCAAAAGCGACGACTAGCAGAATCCCCTCACCCCGCCCAACCAACTCTACTACCAGCCTCACTCCCACACAGTCAACGATAACACCTCCCCCTCTATCATAACCACCAATACCTCCTATCCCTATCCCTTATCACCTCTGACTTCATCACCCCCTCTCCTCCCCTCCCTCTCCACTTCCAACTTCCCACCACCCACCACACACCCCCTCCCACCACACACCCCTCCCACCAAGCATCCAGACCCTCCTCTCTCCCCTGCCCGACCTGCCCACCACTAGCGCAGCTCAGCTTACTCCCCATGTCCATGCTCATATCCGTCGTCCATGCCCATCTCGCCCATCTCGCACCATCGCACGCCCGTTACGGTACACTCCCCATCCCGTCCGAGACATGTTTTAGGGGGGGAGAAACGGGCTGGGAACGGGTTTAATGTGGTGGCGGGGATGACCCTGGTGATGCTGGTGGTGTTGGGCCAATTAGAGGGGAGGATGGGGGCTGCGCTGCGACCGTATGGTATGGGGTGTGGTGGTGGTGGGTTGGGTGAAGTAGAGTGAGTGAGTTCTGTACATGGGTACCTTTGGGGGATGATGGGGTGGAGTATTGATATTCCGGGTGAGCGGATTAATATCTACCGATGCCGAAAAATTGTGGATTAATAATATGCCGTCGCCGAAAATATAGCGGATTAACTATTCACCGTTGTTGAAAAGATACCGGATTAACAATCAACCGATCGAAATAGTAAGTCCAGAGACACAACTCGAGCGACTACTCCAGGAACTTCGACTGGCAGCTGAGAGGGACTTGACGTATCGAGTTGTCGCCGAGAGGGATGAGGAGCTGTTGTTAAATACACTCACAGATCGAATAGTTCTTGCTTGAACGCTAGAAGCTATATAACCACCCGCAATCCCGATCAGCAACCTCTCTACGGTCAACTCACGTTTATCGCAGCCTCGACTTCAAAATCACAGCCTCGACAGCAAACCCCACAAGACGACCAGGCTACCACGTCTACCTCACCATACGACCTCACCACAACCTCCACAGACCTCATAACAACCACTCAACCTCACCACATCCACAACCATGCCCTCCGCCGCATCCAAACCAAAAAAGGCCCACGGCAAACAAACCACCCACCGCCCAGCCGCAAAACCTCCCACAAAACCATCCGCACCGAAACAACCCACCACACAACCAACCACCATGAAACTCCCCATCACAACAACCTCCAAACGCCCAAACCCACACGACACCCTCATCCCCCCCCCCGCCAAAAAACCCCGACCCTCCCCGCCCGCCACCACCACGCCCATCCCCCCCCCCACCACCACACCAACAACACCGCACCTCCACCCCTCCCTCACCCCCACAACCCACACCCTGCACACAACCCAAATCCTCACCTCCACCAAAATGCACACCAAAATCACCACCCTCCTCACGCAACTAAAGTCCTTCTCCTTCTCCGCCCCCGCAGCGAAACCCGTTATCGTGATAGCGTGGGCGAAAGCGAAGAGTGCGGGGAAGCTGGTTAGTGTGGTGGAGGTTGTGAAGAGGGAGTTGGAGGGGGAGGGGGGGGTGTGGTTTCAGTATAATGGGCTTGGGGAGGGGTTTGCTGGGGTGCCACGAGATGGGGGGGGTGAGGGGGAGGGGGATGGAGGGGAAGCGAAGGGGGGGGATGGGGATGTGGAAATGGAAGATGAGGGGTTTGAGAAGATGAAGACGAGGATTGAGAGGGCGATTGAGGGGACGGAGAAGGTGAGGAGTGTGCCTGTTATGACGGTTTATTTGTCGAGGGTTAGGGTGGAGGCGTTGAGGGAGGCTTATGGGTGAGTTTCTTCCTTCTCTTTTTCCCCTTCTTTCTTCTGTGCGGAGTCGATGGGGGGCGATAGATTGAGAGAGAGATATGCTGACTTGCTGGCGTGTAGGGAGCAGACGAATTCAAAGAGGTGAATGACGACTGGTGGGAAGATCGAGTGGCGGAATATATATACCAGAGGTGATAACCTGGATGAGACGAGGAGAGGAAAGATCGGTGGATTCTGTGGGAAGATGGTATATGGATGTACTGCATCCCCAGAAGATATACGCAGCACACAGACGGATACTGAGGGAGGATATAATATGGTACTGAGAGGGAGGGTGTAATATGGTGCCAAGAGGGAGGGTATGATATGAATACACAGCAGATGGAGGAGGATATATATACATTAGAGCCTAATACCCCATCACCTTGCAACCACACAATGCACCTAGAGCCTATAGCAAGCAGTCCACACATCACACAAAATAAACACCATCCATTGTCAACCACAATTCAATTTAATTTCGCCATCCCATCTACCAACCCCCCCATCCATTCATCCATGCTTATATACCCCCCGACCATACGCCAACACAACATCGACATAAACTGAAATCCCTCCCCATGAAATCCCCCTCCCCCCCCAATCGCCCTGCACACTCACGCGCGTCTAGAAACGCCGCTGTGTTCTGTTTCGTTCTGTACACCCGCCCATCTCCCGCTTCGTGTCGCCACTTCCGCCGTTGTATCACCGTGCCACCATGCTACTGTCTGTACACCCCGCTCGTTTGTACACCACCACAACTTTGTACCACCGTCAGACCTCCATATCTACCCCCATCTCCCCCTCCTCAGTTCTTCCCATCCTTCTTCCCCCCATACCCAATCCTCAACACAAAATTCACCCCCACCGCCACCACCAACACAACCGCCAACACACTCGGACCGAACCGATCATCAAACCCCGCCTGCCCCCTCCTCCTAATACTCCTCGCCCTCCAATGATACGTAATCAACGCATAAATCATCGTCGCGATACTGATCCCCGTGAACAAGAACGCGGAGATGAAGGCGGGGCGGTCGCCGAAGTTTAACATCCCGAGCGCGAGGGCGCCGAGGATGATGGTTGAGTTGAGCCAGGAGAGGAAGGTGCGCTCGTTGGCGAAGAAGACTTTGGGCTCGATGCGGGTGGGGAGAGCGATGCGTTTGCCGGGGGCGGATTGGAGGAGTGGTTGCGTGGACATGGTGGGTGGTTGTTGGGGTGTGTAGTGGTAGGTGTGTGGTTTGTGGTTGTGGTGTGAGGTTGAGGAGGATTGATGAGCTGGATGCGCTGGCCGAGCTGGTGTAGAACTTCAGATGTATGTATGTGTGTTGATATGTGCAATTGGCATATGCAATCGAGATGTGCAGAACCTCAATGACTCGCCGTCAAGCTTCTTCGTCGTCGTCTCAACCTCTGTCGTCAAGCTGTCGTCACTCCCGTCGATACCTCGGAGCTCTCTCTCTAGCAATCGATGCCAATGACTGCCAATTCCCAAAAAGTCCCAAGAATATCTCCAAACTATACAGAACCCTCAATGATATGCGTAACACAGAGACAGACAGAAAGAAGAACTTCAAAGACAAGAAGGTGGGGGAACACACGAAAGATGTTTCGCGGCTATCCTCTTCCCAGCATCGCCCTGCTTCTCGCTCTGGCTCCTCTCTGTCTGGCCCAAGGGAAAAACACAGCTACCCCAATCCGGTAACCACATCTACACGTGTGTTCGTTAACGCTCCCGACTGGTTCGCTTGGCGTTGCGACTGGATTGGCTGTGGCGCTTGTCTCATATATGGGACGACTCTGAATTGTGGCTGTGCCTAAATATCCGCCGCATGTGTTCTGTCGGGATCACGTGGTAAGCACAGACCCGTTGCTGGGGCGCGTGAGCGGTGGGTGTAAACACGGTGTATGTGTGCATTGGACAATTAGCGGGTTCGATTGATTGTGACAAGCTGAGCCGCATTATTAACTTGTCTCAACTACGCACGATTGATAGATCGAGAACCCCTACATACATACACATACAAACACGAGCAGTAGATATGTCGACTGCTGCACCAGTTACGCCTGTGAAGGCTGAGGCGGGGAAGGCGACGCCGGTGAGTTGAATGAGGCTTCTGGATGATGGTGATGGTTGATGCTAACTGTGTGAAGCCGATTAGTACTACGCGTTTGAAGCAGATTGCTACTGATGTATGTTTTCAATCTACTCCCCGCTAGCGAGCGAGCGAACGAATGAACGAACGATTGAGTGAACGATTGAATGAATGGCCAGAGGAAGGGAAAACATCCACAGACCAACCAACTAACACAACACAGGCCTGCACCTCCGCCCTCGAAGGCGCAGAATTCTACGACCACCCAAAGACCGCACAGTGGAACAACTCCATCATCGTACGTCCCCCTTGCCTCCTTTCTTACCCTTCCTTTCCCCCCCTCCCTCACCCCCTACCCCCTCACCCCAGACCAAAGACACCCAGCTAACCCCTTACCACCCTCCCAGAACGCAATCCTCAAATCCCTAATCTCCGAATCCACCACCCCCCCCGCCACGCAACCCGCCTTCAAATTCGCCATCAACAGCACCATCATCCAGCACCTCGTGCCCACCACCGCGCTCGGAAAGTCATCCAGCGTCAAGAAGGAAGACGGAGAGGAGAAGGCAGGAGGAGCAACAGCGGAGCAGGCGGGGAGGAGGGGAATGCATAGCGCGACGGGGGCTTATTGGAATGAGGCTACGGATGGGATGTGGAGTTTTAAGTTTGAGGGGGGGAGGGGGCTGGATGTGGTGATTAGTGTTATTTGGGTTGGGTTGTAGGTGAAGAAGGGGAAGGTGGATGGTGAGGGTGTGGAGGGCGAGAGAGCGGGGAAATGGCAGATGGGGAGTGAAAGTTGGAGCATGAGCATGGAGAATGAGAACATGGAGAAGCATACCAGCATGGCATTTGTATATGAAAAATGGCAGTTTACGAGCGGTGAACGACGACTATGTGCCCACACTGGACCCTACTTCTTAAAATGCAATGCAGGGAAGTGGAACTGACTAGCCTTAGGGATATGATATGTTGAACGTCAGACTCTATGTATGGCCGTACTCTGCATGACATTCTACTGCAAATTTGGTATATAAAGTCTAGTCTAAATCATCACCACCACATAACTGCTCATACAAATACTCAAACTGCCGATGCAAATACTCAAAACTACTAATCCAAACACCCCCTAAAACACCTCTACACCCTTCAATAGTGAAGGCGGAGGCCCTTCCGACTCCCCCATCAACCAGACTCCATACGGAATCAGCTCAAGACTAAGCTGACGAAGCTCCGGCACCCTCTCCATCACCCCCGCCACAGTAGCCTGCATCGAGTCGCCCGTCGCCAGCGACGTCTCGTGCCCCTCGATCCAGCTGAACCCCGCTGGAATGAGAATAGCCAGCGCAGTCAAGTTACCCCCAATCGCACCAGGGTCAGACAGGAGGTCAATGAGTTTTATATGATGCCGATACTTCCTCCACGTGCCCTCATACGGATTCTCGTTCAGCGCACCATCAATCCCCCCAAGAGCGTGCAGAATTGCCGGCTTCTGATCTTGTACGCTCAGGTGTGCTGTGCGCAGCATCACCTCGACCTGTACTATGTTCTTCTTCAACCGACATAAGTGCAGGATCTCACGCTGGACAATAGGATCGTCCGGGCTGGGCCATGGTAGATGAACGAGGTAACGTACCGTCTGGTACTCTCCGCATGGCACTGATTGTCTTCCCTGGCCTCTCGCGGTTTTCCTTGCTACACATACGGACGAGAAATCTTCCGAGGCTCGTGGGTTCCCGGGCTTGTGGCGCGTCAAGGAGGCTGTCGCTCTGAGGCGGCACGTCATCCATGCGCCCTTTCCCCTTATCCCTTGCCCGACCCTCCTGAGGCTGTGGCTGGAACTGGGTTATTTCTGTACTCAGGGGAGAGCTCCGATACGGCACGTAACCAGGCAGACTGTTGCTATAAAGGGACACATAACCACTGCCCTCCATACGCCCTTTCTCCTTATCCCTTGTCCGGTCCGCTAGAGGGTGCGGGTGGATCTGGGCAGGAGCAATGCCAGTGCTGCCACCTGTACTCACGGGGAAGATGTTTCAACTTTCGCTAGGTGATAGGTACTGAAGGAAGCCCATAATAGCTGGAGAGGTGTCGTCGCTCTGTGGCGCGGACATGATGGGCAGATGGGCATCAGACCTTCCTGCGTCCGCGACATCCTGCTCTGGCTCGCCCTCATCTTGGATCAGGACGGTTGCAAAGAACTGGCTGTTCCGTTTTTTTACTCCTGTGGAAGTCATGAATACTAATAAGCAACAACGGCTGAGGCTATTCAGGTGAGTATTGGAAGCTCGCAATGATGCTACCATGTGAGAACCTCCGGCTCACTTAATCGCTCTCTCAACACAACGGAACGGAAGTCTTACAGTAGAGTACAGTATATAGGATAATAGAATTAATAAGATTTCTACATTATCTACGGGTCTATGTACATTATTTGTAGGCCTCAGGGGAAGCGCTGAAACCCCAACTGGCTGAAGGCTTCTGGAATTTAGTTGTGACTGAACTTAGTGAGCGGGTAGCGGCCTTGCATGCACGCCGCATCACCCGCCAAGCCAACCGGGGGACTTATCCAGCTCCCCGGACAACTCCTCGAGAAAGACCTGTCATTTTGGGAGTAAAAACGACACTGTATTTCTTAGGAAAGTCCGATTTCTTTCAACAGATGCAAAACCATATGTCAGTCACGTGTATCGGTCTGGTGTATCACTACAGTGATACGAACCTCGGAAGTCAAAGCTCCTTATGCACTCTTGTATCCGGCATCGCCGTAACCCGCAGCTGGCTTTCGGCACACCCCACGCCCCTCTATCATGCATATTTAGTAGATTTAGTAGATTTAGTACTTGTACATACAGCACAATTACAAAGTGGTGTGTAGGATTCTTGAAGTACACATCCCTGACAGCAGGGGTGGAGATAGTGATCCTGCACGGAATTAGAACTCGCCACGTCTATAGCTGTCTATGGCCTGTTTATAGTACGCCTGCTAAGGAATACGTAGCATGTCGGCATGTAACTCTAGGCCCCCCGTCCAATCTAGACCAGTCTGGAATTTGATCTGTGATGCTGTACGCACTGGGCATACCGAGATGTGTGATACTCTAAATACTGATATTGAAAGCTGACACGGGTCGGAGTGTACGGAGTCGGGTCGGGTTACAACAGTCTGTATTCTAACAAACTAGTCTAACAGATCACGATCACACACATGTTAAAAAAGGGGTCTGTAAGTTTGTAACATTACTTCCAACTTAGTACAACTCAGCCAACTATAAATGGCATATCATTCCCCCTTTCGCATGTTAAACTGCACTACTACTCATGCTAGCCCCACGACAAACTTAGAAATGACGACCCCGTGACCCCACATCCATCCACTCAATCGCTCCACCGCCACCGTCCGGGGATGCGGGAAATCCTCGTTCTGCATCTTCACCGTCTTCCACGAGGCTGTCGGCCGGTACGTACAGTAAAAAATCTTGAAAATCTTGAAAATCTTCATCCTTTCAGTCTCAAACTGTCCAAACTAACTGCCCACTCGAGTTACAGTCCCTACAACCCCTACAGCCCATACAGCCTCTAAACAAGCCCACATACAACCTTCCCTTCCCGTCCACCCACCCAGTCCCGGGTTGACCGCCCTGGGTCCGGGTCCAACTAAGTGAAAAGGCGGAAACGCTCAGCCTTGTTATTGGTGTGGTGTGTGGCCCTCCTTCTCCTGTGCCGCGGCAACAACAGGAGGCGTCGACAAATTCACCCCCAAAGCCGATCCTATTTCTTTCTTACTCACATCACACTCTCTTCCTTTTGCAACGAACAACAACTACAACCTCGAGTCCAAAGAGGTCGCCAATCTCAGCTCACACTCGTTTACTCGCTTCAATCAAACGGACCGCGCAAATCTTGCTCGCCACTGTGGAAATCTCGAGAGCCATCTTCTCACACCGTCGCCCTCACCTCGTCGCGCCACGAAACGCACTCGAACCCAACACAACCTCCCCGCACCATCGTGCCCTCGCCCGTCGTGTTTCGTCGTGAGTCGATTCCCGGACTCGGTAAGTCCCCTATGACACCTCACCGCCGTCCCTTAAAAAATCGTACCATTCTAACAGTCATCACAGCCGTCCCACCCGAACGCCCCCCAAGCGAAAGACGAGTGCAGCTATAAAAATGGCCACCGCCGAGGTCCTTACCACCACCCACGCGATGCACACTTCCGCCGTTGACCCCCCCACTCTCGCCTTATACCCAGGCGGCGCCATCGATGCCACCATGCGCGCCCACTACGACGCCACGATCGACCTGCCGCATGCGCCAGTTCACATCCCCAGCTTAGCCGCTGCTCTCACCCCCGTCGAGACACCCACCGCCGCACCCACAACCTCCCTCACCTCCCTCCCCACCGAACTCCACCTGCTCATCTTCTCCTCCCTCGACCCCATCGACAGCACCTGTCTCGGCCTCACCTCGCGCCACTTCTACACCGCCTACCGCACCACCCACCGCGTGCGCGTCCCCCTGAACCAGCGCCGTCGCGGCCCCAACACGCTCGAGAGGGCGTGGGAGGTTCTCGGCCCCGTCACGGCGTGCAGGTACTGCGGCATCTATCGCTGTGAGCTACACATGCATATTCGCGAGTTCATGCCGGGGAGGTACGAGTATTGCGCTGTTAGGGGCGTGTTTGGGTTGAAGGCGAAGGAGGGCGTGGAGGATTGGTGTTTTAGGAGTAACCCGCCGAAACCGATGATGTGTGGGAGGCATTGGTTGCCGAATATTGAGGAGCCGGCGGTGGAGGCTAGTAAGCTTTGAGAGGGGGTGTATGAATGATGATGATCGAAATGGAGTTTATGAGAGAAGGGTTATGATGGTTATGGAAGAGACGGATTTAGGCGAGAGGGGAGGTATAAAGGAGTCCGCGGGTTATTTGGGGGAGTTGTTCTGGGGAAGCAGAGGGGCCTTGTGATTTAAGGGGAGCCTTATGATTTAAGGGGAGTCTTATGGTTTAAGGGGAGCCTTATGATTCAACGGGATATCGAGGCGTTGGAGTTGCATATGGACGGCGTTGGTGACTCGAAGATCAACCAGTCCCCTAATGATGATTAGGACTGGTGTATGTATGTATGGGTATGTGTATTCATATAGCGCGTCATGTGCAGAACCACACTTATCTCGCGTGGGCACTTAATGAATAATACGCTTTCAAATCAGGTTCTGGTGAAGTTGGCTCATATTCTGCTTATCTTTGCTATATTCTTCAATGAGTAAGAAGGACGCGCCCTTCTGACCACGCCCGGATGCACAGGTCAAATGCCGCGGCTCCTTTCAAGCCTTTCAAGTCCTTTGAATGCTCGACAAGGCCACCCACCGTCACGGATAGAGTTGAAAACCGCGGAGTCGCGGGCTTCAACCCACTGCATTTTTTCTAGGATCCACCATCACACGCACCAGAGGCACCGTCGATCTCTACAACATCCACCTTATTAATCCGCCACGCCCATCACACTGATCCCAAACCAGCTCGCCGAAGAGAAACAGGCTCTTTCTCCGGCGAAAGTTCGGCAGAAGGTCGGGACGGGGAGAGATTCCGGCTGGTTAGTGGAAGTGTTGGCATTGATAAGCCTGAGAAAAACGTGCTGTCTCCGGGATGGCGGCCCGGATATTTTGACCTGAAGTGGTGATATATGGCATTCTAAGAACAGAAACTTCATCACATCAGTTATAACCTACATACAACTGCCTTACTAAAGTAAATGAAGCCAGGTACGAGCACTAACTCCCATCCTCCCCGGTCCGGATAAATCTCTCCCGGCACTTGCATCACGAATTCGTACCCGCATCAGCAGAAACAAGCATTCTGATAAATGGACGCACAGACCACGTCCCCCGCTTCTCACATTTCAATCAGCCTTGCTTTGGCGGCCGCTTGGCCTCTCGGCCGGGGCTTCCTCAGTCGTCGATCTGCAGTCAGTTGACTTATATAATAGCTATGCCCAGTTCTTGGGAGCTGCTATGGCGCCCTTTTCTCCTCCATCGTTGTCGATTTTGTTGTCATCGAAATAGCTGGCCTACATGAGATATATCGGAAACCTCTATACACCCCTCTGGTCACACTTGACCCTCCCCACTGAGCATCGTCGCCGCTCATCGTCTTCCTCACGCGATCCCTCGGAAACAATGGAGGAACGCCGCCGTATGTCCCTAGGGCACCTCAAAACCCTCCTCACGCGCCAGCAAGGCTCGAGCCAATCCCCTGAACCACCTCCATGCCCGCCGAAACACTCTCTCGACACTCTACCTACCGAGATTTTAATCCAGATCTTCACCAACCTTGAGCTCATCGACGCTTCCTGCCTGTCTCTCTCCTCGTCAGTCTCCCTCCCTCCTCTCAGCCCCACCCCACCAACCCCCAACTAACCCCCTTTTTAGACCCCGCCTCTACATCATCAACTCCTCCCTCAACCCCGGCCCCATCCCCCTCACAACCCCCTGCCCAATCTCCACCCTCCGCCACGCCGCCCTCGGCTCCCCCGCCTTCGAACACGCCATCATCCGCTGGCGCACCTCAATCCTCCAACACAAGCGATTCCCCGGCCCACCCCCTTTGTGTCCACACTCCTGCTCCCAGGAATGCGCGCTGCACTTCCATATCAGGGATTGGATGCCCGCGGAGACGCTGTTCTGTGGGAGTTGCGAGAAATTCGCGAATTGGGTGCAGGTGGATGGGTTTAGGTGTCCTTGTAAGGGGGTGAGGAGGCCGGGGGTGGGTGGAGAGAGAGGGAGGGGTGGTGGGAGTGGGGGGGTGTTGGGGAGGTGGAGGAGGAGGGGGAGGGTGGGAGATGTGGAGGGGAGGAGGAGTGAGGAGGGGGTGGGGAGGAGGAGTGGGGTGGGTGATGTGCAGACGGTGCAAGCGGTGCAGATTGGAGTTATGTGAGGGTGAATAGGGAAAGACGCCGCGATTTTGTCTACGGGGTGGTATCCGAGCTGCTATGAGGGTGGGAGAGCTGGAATTGGGACATTGTCGCTTAGGTTGGCAGAGTGGCTCCTGTTGAACCACATGTTGGTACAGAGTCGATTTACGAAAGGTTTATTGGAGTTTGAGGTTGTGGCCTACTGGAGGTTTGGGAGGGTGGAGTTCTTTGATGGTTTCTTGGAGGTTTGATCTGCGGGGGATCTGATTCTCACTGTACTATTCAGTCTGCACCGTTTAATTCAAAACAATCATCACGGCTTCTAGTTTATGTCATTTTGCACCCCTAATAATAATAGTATCTTCTGTCATAAGACAACCAACTCCTCCCCCCAGGAGAGCAGAAAAACGGGACGAGTGCTAAAATCAATATATTACAAACAGTAGCTATAAACCAAAGAAATGATAAGGGTATAGATATCATTAACAAAACCACCAGCCCTAGTCCTGCCAAAAGAATATTTTTGAAGTTGAGCAGTTACCCAATTTAAAATTTCTTTTTAACAGACGCTTGCTTCTTTGCAAACAAATCCAAGAAGCTAGCAAATACATGAATAAGAAACAGAAGTGCAGGGGATTGTGAAAGTCGCATAAACGTTTCTAGAGCAGCATCAACTTCTTCCTTTTCTGTCTTCACGAGATCCTGCACAGCGTGTATAGCTTGTCCAACCTCGTTGAATTCTTTCTGTACCTCAGGTACCCCGTTTTGCGCGCCTTTTAACGCTGCAGATATCTCCTCATCCCGCTCCTCCACTCCTACTAGTGTCACCGTCGAACTTGAGGACATACTCTTGGGAGCCCTCCGCCGGATCTGGGCTGGAAGAGGGAAGGACAAATGCGCCCTAGCGAGCTCTTCAATGAGGGGGTCTTCGGCGACTGGTGCGGTGAGCATTGGCGGTTGCGCTGGAGTAAGATCGATCCGACCTATTATTGCCTCTTCCGACGAAGGGGGTGGCGCTGGATTGGAAGTCGCTGCTAGCTGACTTTGCTGATTGCGGACTTCCTGGAAGAACGCCGGTATAGCTTCGGGCATCTCAACTGGAATTTTCTCGTAATTCTCCATTTCCATTGCCATCGCTAAGCCATCTGCTAACGAGTCAAGGCGAGTGTTGAACTTGTGCTGTGGACCAAGATCCATCTTAACGACGGTCTCGCCCTGGTTTTTTGATCGCTTTGGAGGGAACTTCAGGTTCTCCTTTATACGGTGCCGCACTCCCCGCAGTTTGCCTGTGATTTCAACGCGAAGGTAGCATGGTTTCTGATCATGCTCAAATGTAAATCCCGTGTGGATGGTACTACTATGTAGCGATTGGAGGTCCAACTCGTTTTCGCTCAGTTCCCACTTCAGAGTTCGGTAGGCTGCAGTCTTGCCTGGCTGAAGCTGTCCGGTGAAGGTCCACCTACTGGTGACTTCCCGCTTAGTCTCAACATCTTTCCCTAATCCTCCCAGACCAGTGCCCATGACATTGACCTCGGGGGTGAGGCGGTAAGTAGACTTCATATTCACGGTCGTTTGCTTGCCGCTTAGCTGCCTTGGTCCGAAATAATTGGTCATCTGAAGCGAGTTTGCCCGAGAAATGGACACAGGATCTGGTCTCCGATACCTATCTATGTCATTAACCTCATGATCTAACGTCAATAAAACCGTTGCGCTAGATAGCCTGCAGTCCTTTGGTTGATCAAAGCAGAGATCCATGTAGAGAATTCCAGCGGACCGTTCTGCGTTTCCCAACACACCCCATTTCGATTTCGATAGACGGAATCGACAGTCTATCTTGACCTTTCCGAGCTCTCGATTGCCCACGCTCGCTGATGATAGGGAATCAAAGCATTCGAAAGACCGGCCGAACTTCCGCGCGGAGATGCCAGGCTGTTGGGAAGTCATGCTTCTTGGAATCCACAACTGTTGCGGGGTTGCTACTATGAACGATTTGGTGCGCTCAATCAATCGAGTAAAATCAATCGAGTAAAATCAATCGAGTAAAATCAATCGAGTAAAATCAATCGAGTAAATATCTAACTGACATGAGGGAGGCTGGCCCCAGCTGAGAGGCAATCCTATGAAGCTGTGAGGCTGAGTATATAAATCCGCAGTCCGCAGTTCGCTTAGTTTTGGCCCCATGCTGCAGCCAAGGCGCAGCAACTGCGTGGCTTCTATTGCTACAATTAAATCCCCTCACACTACCCATAAGCGACAGCCTTCTAGACTACCTTGCACGAGATTCATGATTTATTTTTGTTTTTAGCATCCTGTAAAATGAATAGGTCGTCGTCTCTGGAGCGAGCCCGACTGCATAGCAGCCGAGACGCCCAGTCTCGGTTCTTGGTGCCCACGGCCGTCTCAGACGGCCCTGGACTCCTTGTACGGCTCGACGAAATGAAGCGTGAGTTCGATCGTGTCAACAAAATCGAGCGCGAACTCGGACGCATCAACAAAGTCGAGCGCGAGCGTATTGACGATTTAGAGTCACAGATGCGTAAAGACAGAGCGCCTGGTTCTCCTAAGCTAGCCCCTCCTCCGGGCGCTCGAATAATGAATGCCTATGGTAATCCGATCGAAGCACCTCCGGTTCATCTAGAAGCCAAAACGCCTTACCACAATATCTACTATGGTACATTATTTCTATCATCAACAGTAGCGATACTAACTGGATTCAGATAGAAATGTGCGTACTATGAGTCAAGAAAACCCCGAGGATCCGTTCGTGCCACCTCGCCGTACTCCGCTTAATGTAAATACTACACAGCGAAGATATGCTGCAGATATTGAAACTGCGGAGCCGCTCGCGGTGAGGGAGAGAGACATACCGTATCGTTTTCGAGATAACAGTGGCAAGTCTGATGGCAGGGATTTATCAGGGCCAGGAAGGGATTATGAGCGCTATCCATGGTGGCAGGACCAAATTCCTAACTACGACCCTCGAAATGGGGTTTCTTTGCGCGATCAAAACGAACGGGGTAAAATGACAAGTGTTTCGCGGGAGAAGGTTCAGTCTCAAGCTCGCGGAAGTTCCTCGGATGCTGTCAACGTTACATGGAACCCTTCCTCGCCTCGTGATACAACCGTTCATCTGGAACTTGATGTAGAGGATGATGTCGAGAGCCGACTAGAAGAATTCTCCCGCTTGGTTAGATTAGGGCACTTCAAAGAAGCCGAGCTGCACTTTGAGACGCATCTCTTCGACCACAACGACCTGGAACCCGTCCTCTTAGAGTACTCAGACATGCTTCTAGATCGTGGAAACTATACGAAAGATGAATCACATAAGACACCTCTTCCGGGTGGCGACGGCCCAGAACCTGCACAAAATTATGGTACGGAAAGTGAACGTCATGCTCTGAACAACGGCAACTTCGGTCCTGGCAGGTCCAACATCATGGCTATGGAGAGAGGAGGAGTAACCCCCGGACAATTACCAGAGCCTGTTACGAGAACCGAGATTAGCATCTACCTCCGCTCAGCGTATAGGGAATTTCATTCCAAGGGTCTTTTTAAAAAGGGACTTCAAACCGTAGAATTGGACGAGCTCTCAACATACATCAACACAAGAAAGACGGACAGACAACCTTGCTCATCAGATGTATGTCATTCAAGGCACGTTTTCCATAATATGAGAGCTATTCTAACATGCAAAGCTACAAATACTTCAATACTACCTCAAAGTCCTGTCTTATCTGAGAGATAAATCGAGTTTTTTTCCGCCTTTCATGTATTCCGGTATCTGGTCTGAACGGCCAGGGTTGTATAAGTCACTTCTATCGGATGGGCGAATATGGGACGTCCGTGATATAATTTCAGCATCTGTGTCAGCTCTAGGACAAAAGCATACCTGGAAAACCTTTATTGGCGCCGATATATACTCCTCCGCTTTCTTTGCTGACTTCCTACGCGATTGGAATCTTGAAGAGTACGACGAATCATCATATCTCGCTACTCTCGATATCCTGGCAACTCTAGGCCAGAGTTTTATTTCGCAGCTCCGCCCTAGGCTTAATCAGCAAGCTATTGGCAATGCAAAACAAGTGTTAGAGCTTGCGAGGAGATTCTCTACTTGTATTAAGGACAACAATCCTGAGCATGTCAAGTCAAGGCCATATTTAAGATGGATATTAGCAGAGGCGGAGCTAGCAAGACACGTGGCAGGCTTTGGAAATGATGCAACATCGACGCAAAAGAGTTTAAGGAGGTTTCCTGGGCTTACCGTCTGGTTAAACGCATTACCTATTTACATTCCGATCAGTGCTGAAAACCCAGGATGGTGTGCCAGTACTCTCCAGGGCAACTCAACCGACCTATTGCATACTGGTCTAAAAGCTGCTCAGGACCTAGGAGATTACCGTATGGAGGCAAGCTTTCTTAGAGAGCTCGCCTGCCGGTCTGAAGATCCTACGGAACTACTTGCAAAGCTTGGCAACTTACAGAAGTTAACGCAAGGGGACATGGTTGGCTATCTGCAAACATGTCTTACAAAATACCTTCTCGCACATGACGAAGCACAACTCCAAGCCCTAAGGGATGAGCTAGCCGACTTTGAAGACCAAATGTCATCACCGCCAAACTTCGCTAGAATTCTGGAAAACCCCCTCATGGAGTGGTGCAAACGGATGATTCAAAGTGCATTGTTTCGATTCCAGGAACAATTTACCGTGCAACTAGAAGAGGCCCAACGTGCGGCAAGAGCTGTGGCTGGGGATTTGCCCCAGGACATGATTGTTGACTTATCCAACTTCAGCTTTTACAACCAAATGGCTGAAGATGTAAGGCAACCGTTACCCCAATACCAGGGTCATTCTAAGGGAGATTCTGAATTGGAGAGAAGAAAGGTATTAGAAGAACGTCAGCTAACCCAAGAGATGATGCAGGCTCGCATATACGAGCAGGAAAAGTCGAAGACGGAAAAGGAAGCCAAAGAGAAGGAGTACCGCTCCAGAAAAGAATTGATCAAAGCAAGGATAGCCAAGAAAGAAAATGCAAAGAAGGCAGTTGAAGACATCATAGAGGAAACAGAGCAGGACTCAAGTACAACCTCAAGTACAACAGACGATGATTGGGACCCCATCTATTCAGGAGATATAGAGCCAAGAGAAGAACAATCAGTCGCACAATACCGGGAATATAGTAGACCCCAGGTTGAGATTTATGATGGACAGCAAGTTGAAAAGATTGATGATGGGCCGCAAGTTGAGAAGATTGATGATGGACCGCAAGTTGAGACGATTGATGATGGGCCGCAAGTTGAGAAGATTGATGATGGACCGCAAGTTGAGACGATTGATGATGGATCGCAGGTTGACGATACTTGGGACCCCATCTATTCAGGTGATAAAAAATCAGAAGCTAAACAACCAGTCACACAAGACGAGAAGAGTGATGGGCCGCAGGTTGAGATTGATGATGGACCGCAGGTTGGGATTGCCAATACACAGACGGATGATAAAAATCACGCAGCAGATGATCCTGGAGATACCAAGAATGAGGGTTCAAATGGCGACAATGAAGCAAAGGGTCCAGAACAGGACCCTGAGATGGAACCACCCCAAAGGAGTAAGTGAGAGAATCACGAAGGATGCTAACACGAGCAGTACCTTTGCCAGTAGAGTCATGCTATAGATGCTACTTTAGATATAATATTTACTAACTTCACTCTAACAGGACCGACATTCGCTTATGTTGAAGGCACCGAGGAAGATAAATAATGCAGGGAGACTATGCCAGGAAACATAAGTATGTAAAGAAGGAAGCAGTAGAGTCATCCTTCATTTCTGCCCTACTCGAACAGATAAAGTTCGCAGCAAGCGGAAACTATTGAAGATGGATATTTCTTAAGGGCTATTGTCAAGCTCATATATATCAAATGGATATGATGAACCCTTCTCGAGGAGAACAAACGGATGGTGATAAATGTCCGGCTGAGTTGCAAGGGTGGCAAGTCAAGGAGGTAATGCCCGTCCCATTGATTTTTAGTGGGTCAGGTCGCGCTATAGTACGGTGTTGGGAGCTTGGACCCCCACTCGGCGGTGCCAGCGGCCCGATCCACCCATGGCAGTTGCCAAGGAACAGTCGTAGCCATATCTCTATACTAAGGATAAAATTGTAATTGATTCGACTGGTTATTTTACGGAAGGGATCAGCCCTAGTTTGTACTGTATTTCTCCGACAATCCTCGGCAATCCCTGTGGTAGGTTCCGGGCTGCGGCACCGTTTTCCCTTATGTCCAACACTCTGCGTCTCGTCTTTACTTCCTTTATCTCACACTTTAAGCCTACCCCTCTACTCATCTTAATCTGCATTATCACGTTAATAGCTATAATTATAACAGTATACTATGAACTCGATCTTCAGCGGATCTGTTGCTTCAGCACTAGCCGCGACACTCACGGCCTGGCTCGTGTACGTTATCACGCAAGCTGTCTATCGCATATATTTCAGTCCAATAGCCAAGTTCCCAGGGCCCAAGCTAGCAGCAGTGAGCTTCTGGTAAGTAAAATAATAAGACACACTCTATAGATTACACTGATGAATGACAGGTATGAATTCTATTACGATGTAGTACAAGGTGGGCAGTATACGTTTGAGATTGGTCGGATGCACGAGAAATATGGCCCTATTATCCGCATCAATCCCTATGAGCTGCACGTTTCATCACCCGACTTCTACGAGAAACTGTACTCAGGGCCCGGAAAGCGTCGCCATCGGTGGGATTGGTTTTCGGCACAGTTTGGCTTGCCCGAATCCATGTTCGGGACTAACGATCACGACTCCCACCGCATCCGAAGAGCAGCTGTCAATCCATTCTTTTCCAAAGGCGCGGTCAGGAAGCTGCAACCTATCATTGACGAGAGAATTGACGCGCTGCTGAACCGCTTTCAAGAGTTTCAAGCTTCCAGCCAGCTCATAATTCTGAACTACGCATTCTCTGCATACACTAATGGTATATATATCATTTGCCGCCTTGACTCCGCTGACAGTCGTTACAGACATCGCTCAAGAATATGCCTTTGCACGGTCTGACCGTCGAGTTGATCAGCATGACTTTGAACCCACATTTCACAATGCGTCTATTGCTGGCAGCAGCGGCGGTGCTCTCGTCAAGCAATATCCCTGGATCTTGCCTCTCATGCAGTCGTTGCCTGAGTCATTTATGACCTGGTTAGATCCCGACATGGCCTCGTATTTTGGTCTTCAAAATGTTGGTTGCTTTCTTTCAACTAACGTTATCCATTGAACACCTTTCTATAAGAATTTACACTAACCCTGTGATACAGATGATTAAAAAACAGATTAAGGAGATGAAGGCTGGAATAACTGACGACAAAGGTGCTGATCACCGGACAATTTTCTATGAGATTATTAACAGCGACCTGCCGCCCGAAGAGAAGTCAGATGCTCGACTCGCGCAGGATGGTCAGACAGTTGTCATTGCTGGAACAATCACCACAGCTTGGGGACTCTGCATTGCCGTCTTTTATCTTCTTTCCCAGCCCGGGACGCTAAAAAAACTTAAGGAGGAACTGCAGACGGTGTTGAAAAGTCCTTCCTCACCCATTACCTTGGCTGCCTTGGAGCAGCTTCCATTCTTGACAGGATGCGTCCAGGAGTGCATTCGACTGAGCTACGGCGTATGCACTCGCCTCCAACGCATTGCACCTGACGAGACTTTGTCTTTTAACGACGGAAACAAAGACTGGTACATACCTCCCGGAACACCGGTCAGCATGACGAGCGTTCTCATTCACCATGACGAGTCGGTCTTTCCCAACTCGAGGAAGTTCTTGCCTGAACGCTGGATTGGCAACCCACAGTTGTCTAAATACCTTGTCTCTTTTTCAAAGGGCACGAGACAATGCATTGGCATCAATCTGGCTTACGCAGAGCTTTATGTTGCTCTGGCGAGGATATTCAGGGCTTACGGGAGCGAGGATATAAGGTTCGAGGATGATGCGGGGTACTTGGAACTATTCGAGACGACTATGTATGATGTGGAACTCACCAAGGACGTCTTCATCCCTGTGGCGCCAGATGGCTCTAAAGGGGTCAGGATACTTGTAAAGAAGTAAAATGTTGCTAATATGTTAAACATCGTACAGAGTGACGGGAGTCAGGCCAGATCGCCAGGCAGCGGCAGGATTATGACTACTATACTGTACCGATTCTCAAGACCTTTGCCCTATTTTACCAAGTTTTGTGGCCCCCGTGCTTTTCTAGTCTGTGCTCGGGTCGTGGCGTTTATTTTAATACTGGTGTTTTTGGAGAAAGTAAACAGAAGAAACGGCTCCTGATAGCCCACTCTACAGGAAGAACAATCGCATACGACCACAGACTCAAGAGAATTAGGCATCCCGTCCGCTCTGCCAGGGCGTACTTTCCAGTTTCCCTGACAGGCTGCCTTTGTATTTTTTTTGCCTGTATTAGATTACATCATCATGTGAAGCCAGACTTTAATTGGTACTGAAATAGCCATCTGTCAGTAGGGTCATGTAAGCTGGTCAGGTAAGCTGGTTAGGTAATCTGACAACAGCAGATTTTATTGATACGTCTTGGTGCCAAACGATGTTCTTCTTAGCTAAGAGGTGTCCCTACCTACATGGCATCGCCCTTGTGTATATAACTAAGACCTTCATCCCCTTAGCTCTTAACAACCCCCCAATTCTATTCTCGTAACGACAACTCCAATATCACCAAATATACCAAGTATATTTTGGCAATTTCTATTTACATTTGACAGATACAACCTACAGCGTCAGATTTATAAAAGCATCTTCAATCTTAGCCTGTAATTTCCCTCTGGCCCCCGGTTTACAAAAAAGTGTGTCTAACATTGTTCTCATTAGTTTATAAACTTTATCTATCCGCCCATATAAATTCTTATAAGCTGGACTGCTTCTCAGAAGAAAGTATTCACCATTTCACGTCTATTAAACCGGCCCTGCTTTAAAGAGCTCCTTTTTTCATACATAAGACAATGGCTACTCAAGGAACACCGCCTGTTTCTGGAGTAACTGGCTACGCAGCCCAGAACGAAGAACGCCGGGCACTATACCTTTCCTATATTGAGCATTGCAATGCACACAATTTCAAGGCAATGGAGTCATTCTATACCTCGCCTATTAACGTCAACGATGAACCCTGGGCTCCATCCAAAGTTACGGCGCAGTTCAAGCCTCTGATTGCCGCATTCCCCGACTGGCATTGGGAGATGAGGAATCTCACTATCGAAGGCAACTACCTCGCCCTGCATCTTAGGGTCACTGGTACCCACCAAGGCACTTTCCAGGGAATTGAGCCAACTGGTTGCCGCGTGACTGCTTCACAGTTCACTCTTTATCACCCGGTGGATGGCAAATTCGCTGATGTGTGGGACCTCGTCGATACCGATTCGGTGATAAAGCAGATTGAGCAGGGTAAAGCAGTGCTGTAAATAGTTTGAAATGCTAGATGGCACCAATTTAACTATTATGCACGTGCTTGCTTGAAATCGCTAGTGGACGATTTGGAGGAGGAGGAGTTGGTGATACGTCAGGTAGACGAGAACGAAATAGGCTTACACTGCTCCTAATTATATAAGCCATGCCTACCCCTCAACCCTTCTTGCAACGTTCTCAATTCAATCGGGGTAACGATAATGGCAACACGTATTCTCATTACCTGCAAATCGCATACAGTCCCTGGTGCAGACAAAGATAAAGCTACATTTCTTACTAATCAAGCCTGTCAAATGGTTTTCGCTCGAGACTTTAATGAGACTCTTGGCGATCGTTTTGTAATGGAGGGAGAATTTTCGTTTGGTGTTCGGTGCTCCCTACTTGTTGATAATGGTCCAGTGGATAGTACAGACTATGCAATCTCATTTTTCAGATGGAACGGGGCAGAGCTGTATGTATTGAAAGATCATAGTCTTCATGCTGTAGCTGATATAAGATGCAGTGTCCGCTATCCATTGCCGCCATACGCCGCTAGAAAACTAGAGGAGAGGTATCAATTTAACCCTGCCAATAGACCTCAAAGCGTAAGCTACTTCCTGTTATTTTTAGGGGTTCTCAGCTGATGTTTCGTAGATCTCCTACACAGATGAAGAGTTTGAGAAAACATTTGGCTCCGAAAAGTACAATGAACTTGTCAAGGGTAAGGAAGAGAGACGGGACATTGCAAGAAGATTTGGTCATAACTAGCGACTAATCAAGTATGGCGTTAATACGATCAGTTGGAAAGGAGCATCATCTTTAGATGAGTCTTTGTCCCACCTGGAATGACAACAAAAGTCCTTGAACTTGGACTTGGACTTGGACTTCGATTTGGACTTCACTCTCCATTGGGGAGTCCGGTAGCGATGCAGAGAGAGGGGTTGAGGAATATTTTGAGGACTTGTGAAGAGGAGGGTGTGGATGGGGGTTGCCTGGGGTATTTTGCGGGGTTGGTGGAGAGGGTTGTGGAGGGAGAGGGGGAAAAGGGAGGAGATGGGGGACTTGCTAGGTGGAGGGGTTGTTGAGTGGGAAGGATTGATGTAGTAGGGAAGGTTGGAATTATATTTTTATATAGCTATTTATTTGATTATGCCTTCTTGGCATCCTCTTTTAGACTTACTATCCTGTTTAAAACGAGGTTTGTCTCTGTACTGTCGCGGTCTAGGCAGAAATATGCAATGCGCATCCCTTGGAATCGAACGGTTTCTGGTGGTGTGATGCCAGATGCAGCCTCGGTATACCCCTCGCGGGGTCTTGGCCATGGAGCGGTGCGCTTGATTTCCTCGATGCCAGTCTCAATCATTGCGTTTGGGAATATCTCCTCGAAGTGGGGGTTGACATCAGACAGAAATCCCTCAGGTCGAGTATTGGGGTCGTCTGATTTGAAAAGGGAGTTGAAGACGCGGACAGTAGCTTTGACGGGGCTGTTCTTTGAAGGGCATTTTGCAACCCAGTGGATCTAACTAACTAGTGAGAAGGTTAGCATCTACATTTAGCTTTGATATATTTTGGGGGTGAAGATAGTAAGGATAATACATACCTCTTAGGCTTTTTAAATGCAGACCCTTCGTCGGGCTTTTCATAACGAGCGTTCACTAGAGTAACTAATCTTGTTTCAGGGTCTGTTTCGAATCCAGTTGCTGTGATGGGATATGGGACTTTTAACAGTCCGACAGATGTGCCAGGTGCAAGACGGAAGAAGTCTTTTGAGGCCGATTCTCGGAAGTCACTGCGTTCGATGTAGACGGTTCTGGTGAATGGAACGGTATGGACCTGGCAAGGGATTATGATTAGCCGTTCGTGAATGTAAAGACAGGAAAACCAAAACGATGGCTCTGTATGCACAAAACTTCAAGGGGGTTTTCTCATCGCACAGGTCTATAGAGGTAAATCACTTACACCAGAAGCTGGATCTTTGGAGAACGGCAGCTCCACCATCTCAATATAATCTTCTGGGATATTATCAATAACCACTGGAATAGGATCGAGGACAAGCATCAGGCGAGGAACTGTGACTTCTAGATAGCGACGAATGCATTGCTCAAATCGGTTTGTATCAATAGTAGTCTCGGCCATGGTAACCCCAAGCTCGTTGACGAAACCGAGAATCGCTTCGGGAGGAACCCCCCGGCGCCGAAGAGCAATAAGCGTATACAAACGAGGGTCATCCCAATCATGGACATGATTACTCTCAATAAGAGCAAGTATCTTGCGCTTCAAAAGAACAGTACCCGAGATCCCGAGGCGGCCGAACTCTCGCTGCATCGGCTTGTAAACAGCAACCTTGTCACATAGCCATTCATACGAAACCCGAGAAAGCTCAAATTCCGTGTTGCAAAGCGAGTGTGTTACCCCCTCGAAGGTATCGCATAGGCAGTGCGTGAAATCGTAGGTGGGATAATCCTCCACTTGTTCCCCATCCGGTGATGCTTGTGCTTCTCGTCAAGGACACGATAAGCCGTCAAATCCCACATCTGAGGATTATTGTCTTCTAGATTTTGTTTCATGCGGAGGACTGCCTTGCGTGGTGCGTATTTCCCGTCACGCATTGCTCGGAATTCGGCCAGGGATTCGGAATTGGGTCGGCCTCGGTGAGGGCAGGCGTATCTAGCCTTGCCTTTGCCGCCACCGCGTTGGGCTACAACCTCTTCTTCTGTAGGAAATGTTAGACACCGGCCACGATCAGAGGTCTCATAAATATCTAAATCTTACTGGTGCAATGGCAGACATAGGCACCGTTCTTGTTAATGAGCTCCTCTGCAAGCTCATAAAGGCGGTCAAAGTTATCGCTGGAATGGGTAACTTTCACCGGTTTAAATCCCAGCCAGTTAATCATCTCTTCTATAGTTATGAAATACTTTTCTTCTTTTTCCGTCGGATTCGTATCATCAAAGCGCAGGTAGCAATCGCCGCCGTGGAACCTGGCGAATCCAAAATTAATCATAATCGCTTTGGTATGCCCCAGATGGAGGAAGCCATTGGGTTCAGGCGGAAAGCGTGTGACGACTCTTCCCATGCCATCTGATCTCACGGGATTCTTGCTGTACACGTCGGCAAGGAAGCCGCCCTTGAACATTGAGTCGGGGTCATTTTGGGCGTCGCGAGATGGAGGTGTGGCCTTGCCTTTGGGGTTTGGTGGTTTTGGTGCATTTTCTTTCTTGGGATTTAATCCATATGGGTTCTTTAGATTAACGGAAAGAGCTTTCTACGTCATACTGCTGGCTGTAGCTTTGGCGGAATGCATGTTGTCAATGGGCAATGTGGTGTTGTTTGTTAATCAGCGAAGGCTATCGCGAAGAATGGTTTTGGTGATATGGATGGAGTGAGTCACCGTCAGTCACAGCCACAAACCAAGGGAGTCATTCAAGGCTCGGATATTAGAAACGATATTCAATTTGATCACCTATTAAGTTAAGAGCGAAACGCATATCTCTAAATTGTTAGATGTCGATATTAACTTTTAAGTTGCAAATTATATGGGGTATAGCGGGGATCCCGATCATGGCGCTCTACTAGTCCCTGCTCCACCATCCAGATGGCAGTTATTACCACGATACGAGAAATCCCACCACATGCAATCATTCAAGAGATTTGACATCGACTTCACTCTTCTTTTCACAAGCTTAAGTACTACTTGGGAGTAGGCTCAATCATGCCAAGAAGTATAGCGTGGAATGTTAGCTATTTTTATGTGCATTAATTTCAGCTCCCCTGAAATGGTTTTCCATGAAGCCCACTAACGTATCCTCTTTCCTAAGAAATATTAGCCTAATCGTGTTGGTTGAAGCTAGTTGGTCTGGACCTGAGTTACGGGTGAACAATTGTGCCGTGCTGACACTAATGTAAACCACAGACGGGCCAAGCCAACGGGGCTATGTTACCACATATAAAGGGAGCATCTTCAGATAATTAGGTTGATCGTCTTCGACATCGCATTGTTATTTTTGAAGTTTTAGCGTCGCCATAATGAAGTTTTCTATCACCGCTGCCCTCCTCCTCCTCCCTGCCACCATCTTGGCCGTGCCTGCCGCAGAATCCTCCACCGAGCAGTGCCAAGTAATTAAAGCTATATCATGTAAGGTCATCAACATAAGCGCTGGAACCACTGCAAATTGTCGCACTGGGCCCGGCACCGACTATCCTGTTGCAAAGAAGGTGGATGCCGGTTCAAAGCACGCCTTCTCATGCTACAAGAAGGGCGAGTGTGTCAATGGAAACTGGTGCGTGAGAATTATGCCAAGCATGTGGCTAAGATGGCTAACATTGTCCGCAGCACTTGGGATCAGCTACACTACGATGGCGGATCCTGCTTTCTCAGTGGATCGCTGACTGATAGCAGCTGCTCGATTGGTAAGTGCATTCTATTTTTAAAGATCAAATGTCGTATTTGTGCTGTTGCTAATTTGATACTACAGCTGCTCTTGGGCCATGTTAAACCAGCACGTCTAACCCACACATGGCACAACGAAGTTATGACTTCGGCCTTGAAGCGTGTAGTTAGTTATCTTAACAGATGCTAAACTGCGCCGCGGGGTTAATTCCTAGGCACAGGCTGCCTGAGCCAAACGACGGTGGGCGATGTTTGGCAGCTCACTAGCTATCTATAGCATAGCTATGCCATAGCTATGCGTTGTAATTTAATGAGATAGAACCAGTCTTATCCGTTTTCAATGGACGGAGAATTATGACTCTGAGTAAGCGGCTCAATCGCAGTTCGTTGTGCTAGTCGAGTGTGATATGCGGATGGTGTCAGTAATAGCTCACGAGTAATCGCTGCTGTATTCCATCAGCAGACTCACCTTGTCATCTTCTTCCAGACAATTAAATCCAAACTCCGCTTCTTGCAGTAGGTAATTGCAATGCGACACAGCTACAGAGAGGAAGGTTTTCAACTCACTTGCTTTCTGCCCGAATCATGTCAATGGATTTAGCATAGGATCTGGATTTATTGTAGGTTAAATGATAATCTTAGAGTAATCTTAGAGTAATGCGACGGTGAGCAGAGGAAGGAGGCGAGGGAGCAGGGTAGATAGGGTGAGGTCGAGCAATGCTTCGTATTAATTTCGCGGTGCTCTTACGTTGATTTGACAACAGTACCATGGTATAAACATTTATGTTACATGAGGCGCCGCCTCGTCTTGGATTATTGGTGGAATTTATAGACGCAAGCCACCCGTAATATAAAGTTATGCTTATTAGTACGATCCTTATAACTACGCTCTCCCGTAACTGACTCTTTTTAATTCACGGAGAGGTTGTTTCCCGAATTGCTTCTTCAAAAAAGGCAACTTACGATATGGCCTCTCACTTACGCAGAAGAGACTCTTTTGAATTGGGGAGTTTTATGGCGTATATGGTCTATAAATGATGGCGTGCTCGCACTTCTTTCCAACGGACAAACACACTTGCATTCATCTACCTCAACAGCCAACAACCAAACCAGTCAATATCAAACTCGAATAAAGCCACCATGAAGCTAATCACCATCCTCGTCGCTGTCTCGGCTATTTTCTCCAGCGTCGTACTTGCCTCCCCCGTCGAGGCAAAGAGCGCCGCGGCCGTCGGTTCTACACTAGAGGCGCGGAAGTGCGCCTACTCAGGCTGCTCAGCTTGCCATGCATACTGCTACAATGGTAAGCGTTATGTCTAGCCCTGTACAGGAATGGGGGCGTGGAAACAAAATCTACGGAAATCTAATAGTTACTAGATATGCCCTGCGCTCCTGGCCACGACTGCAGCATCCAGAGATTGGGGTGCATTCTCTTGTGCCAGTCCACAGGTTGCTGCAGCTGATTTACACCAACACGGAGTATTGAAATATAGTTGCTTGTAGTTGGATAATGTTGCAAAAAGGTTATATATAGCTCAATATACGACTATGTTACCATTACCCCAGAGTTTTGTCTCCTTTGATTTTGACACAGGGTAGGGGGCCACCCCTACCGTATCTAATATACATTTATTTTTTAATTTTATCCTTGTAAGTATTGGGGAACTAGAATGCGCCCATTTCCTACACCGCCAGCGATGTTAGCACTGAATGGACTTGCATTGTAGCTAGCCACTTGGTACCAGTAGGTTCCGTTTGGTAACTTCCTTTAAGCCTGCTGATCCTCTTTGATCCGCTCAATCATGCCTTTCAGCGTCATCGCCGACTTGGCTATATCAGCATTCTCGTCGCCATTCAGCGGCATCTGAATGGTCTTTATGATCTCTTTCCTCCCAAGGACCACAGGCAAGCTGAAACAGCAACCGAACTCCTTTTGGAAATGGCTAACGGGACGAACATTCCGCTTGTCCAAGAGAATAGAAGAACACATGCTAGACACAACAGCGCCGGTTCCAAAGGGTGTCGCCCCTTTAACCTGGATAACGCTCTGCGATCTGTATTTGCAATCATTCTCAAGGTCGGCATGGTTGAAAATGCTAGGCAAGAGGTATTTCTCGACTCGAACACCAGCAATAGTTGCAGTCGACCATGCAACAACTTGAGAATCGCCATGCACACCTAATACGTAGAGGTCTATTGAATTGGCTGCGACCTATCTTAATCAGGACGTTTGGACGGGGACGTAGGAATTCTATGCACGTACTCCAGCTTGGGCTGCCAACAGCCCACGAAGACGCACCGAGTCCAGGAAGGTGCCTGAGCCCAAAACTTGACATGCCGGAAGTCCGGAGAGCTCTTGAGCAAGGGACGTGAGAAGATCGACAGGGTTCGCCACGACGAGTAAGATGGTGTCTGATCTAAATGGCTTCATTGCTTTGATTGCACTCCGAATAGTCGCAATGTTCCGGTACATGTGGTCGATGCTAGGTTGACCTGACAAATCACATAAGCTCGCGCCCCCAGGATATCAACTTGATCTATTACCTAAAGAATACTTTGACCCTGCGGTAATGACAACAATGTCGCACTGCCCTGCCTCTTGGTGCGTGCCGGCTCGCACGCTCGTAGCGCTGTTGCGGCTGTAGGTCACATCGGAGAGATCGCGGACCTGGCTGTCTCTCAGGTCAACTTTAACATCAACTAGGACCAGCTCGGTCGCGACGGAGCCGAGGATGAGCGCGTTGGCAGCAGCGGCGCCGACCTGGCAAACGCCGATAATCGCTATCCGTGGACTCGGCTTAGTATTTCCAGGCGGCATTTTTGATGATCAATTGCTTCTTGCACTCTCAGGGGAGATGCTGCTTCCAGTTCTCTTATATCATTTTGTGCAGTATGTAGGTGGCATGACATGACGTTTGCTTGTAAATACGTAGAAATATAGATTTCAGGACCATTACCCTAAATATCACCTGTTCACCTCATCACACTAGTTTTGAGTTGTAACTCTATTCTGATTACTAAAACTTAACTGCACCCTGATTATATCTCTTCGTGGGAAATGCTGCTTATGATACCTAGACAACGTTCCGCCTGCTCCATTTTTTTTACTGACGAACGCCTCTCGTACGAGCACCATCACGATAGTCTTTCAGAACTGGTGCTGACTTCCCCTTATACTCTGTCTTCTTCATCCATTCCTTCACAGATTTCACTCTTGTGGGCAAAATCTCATCCAAAAGTTTGTAGTCCCTCTTAGTCAATTCATCTTTCCACGTATTCCAGAACCCCGAGTAGTTCTCGCGGATAGTGAATAACGTAGGATCATTGCGGGTAACCGAATGCCCAACCTTCGCCTCTGGGTCTTCAAATACTCCAAGCTTGAAATATTCGTCCAAGGTGATGTCCTTGTAAACTGACTTTATACCCGTCACTTCTGTGAAGGCAGCAGTCAAATCCTTCCAGGAGATGTCCTCTGTAGCAACGTGCAACACCAACCCGTTGCTCCGAGCAGGTGTATCGAGCATCCAGCGGGCATAGTCTCCATAATCTTTGAGATATATGAGAGGGCACTTCGCAGTCCCAAGAGGGGCTGCGAAGATGAGCGTACCAGGGTTATTCGGATCAGGGTGAGGGGCAAGCACCTCTGAGAGCCCTTCCATGTACAAACAAGAGGTCAAGACTGACCACGCCATCGGGGTTGTCGGCTGTGCGGAGAGGTAGTCTGTAACTTTGGCTTTCCCATCGAGATGGCCGCATCTATATTTTGGGTCAAAGTTCCCGAGTTTCGAAGCATACTCGAGACCGGCATAAATAAAATGCTTCAGGCCAAATTCTCGGGCAAGCTCGTACATGCGGATGCCCCAGTAGATCTCCGCCTTTTCTCCAATGGCAAAGCCATTTGTGTTCACAAAGGCGTAATCAATGCCAACAAACGCCTTGCGAAGGGTGGCTTCATCATAGGAGTCACCCTCGAATATCTCCACTCCAGGTATTACTGCCAACTCAGAAGCAGACGAAGATGAGGCATCTCGGGTGAGAACGCGTACGGCATATTTCGAACCTGACGCAAAAGCTGAAAGGGTCAGCAACAGCAATGGAAGTGAAGTAGTGTAATACATTTTACTACCGGTACTCCTTGAGCACCTGTGCCACCTATAACCAAGATCTTTCCCTTGGAACTTGGCATTTTGTGACAATGCTTTCGAGACAGTCTTGTAATGGAATGAATTTAATCGACAAAGGTAATGAATGAAGAATGAGGGACGCAGGAAACTTTATATGCGCGGTTCCATCCTTTCTGAATAATCCGTCATCCCCAATGCTTTGTGTGAGGTGGTTGCGCCCTATAGAAGCTCAGGTGATAAATTTTGACGTATTGCTCTCGCCTGTGGTTGGATTAAGGCCACGATAGTTGAGTAATTAGGGGCCAGACTAGTTGTTAAGTTGCAACTCTATTCTGATTACTGAACCATAACTGCACCATGATTATTATATCCGCGGAGAAAGGCCAGAAAAAGGATATTCACAATTTGATAGGATCTGGATGAGGTCACATATGCGGGTTTGCTTGGTAAACTTACCAATATCAGTATATAAATTTACTTCTCGAAGCTAACCAAATAAAGTCCACGTTACACCTTCAAAAACTCACTATTTACACCTCTCTCAGCAATGGGCCACTTTTAAACGGCTCAATGACCTCAAATTCCAACCTTGGCGGTAGTCCATCTTGGTTCCAATACGTAGTCCCGTGCCTGAACCAATGCGCATACGTCCCGGGGATATCGTCTGACCCTTCGTGCTTCCTCCATAACGACCCCAAAGTCTCTTTGAAAACTCTCAAAATCAACCCATGAGCTAGCTTAAACCCAAAACTCTTCCCTAGGCAAGCCTCGACTATTTCTCTTGCCTGTTTTTGTTCCGCGCTCTCAGTCTCACCTTCTTTGGGAAGCGACAGCGACATCAGATCGAACGCCTTCCGCCCATCCCATCCTGTGATCTCGTTGATGAGTTGCGAACCCACCATGTAGTCGATGGCATATACGTGCTCAGCAACGTACTTAGGTCCATTCCAGCCGTCCTCGTCGTCAACAAGGCCCATGACCATTGTCATAGCCTGCCCCTGAATGATATAATCCGTCAACATCTTGCTCACCTCCTCCGGTCCAATCTTTTTATCCTCCTCCTCAATCGTAAATGAACCTCCCATCATCGGCAGACCCTTTAACAATGGGCTGCTGTGCATCCCGTCGGTGCTCGTTTTCCCGCCGTCCTCAGCCCATAAAGCCTGGAACAGTTTATGGCATCGCTCAAACAGCGGATTATTAGGGAGACACGCCAGGAAATAATTCGTCAGACCTCGCCCCTCTACGCCTCCCATATTATACGACAACACCTCAAACGGCGAAGCCGGATTGCCGACCGTCTCACGCCACATCCTATCCAAGTCCCCAATCTGCATCAGCCCCACATCCGCATATACTCCGCCATACTTCAGCAGGAGCGGCCAGCGAACGAGGTCAGATGTATGCTGCGGCGCATAGTCTCCGCCAATAGTGCCATCCACAAAGGCACGGGGGAAAGTATCCGGGTCTGAGATATCGAGGAAGTTCGCCACATTTAAAGGGTAAGGGGATAGCCTATCGAGAACGCGAATGGTCCAGCCTTGCTTGGAGAAACGCCGGTGCCAGGCGCGGATGTTTCGCTGGGTGTAGGGGTGCATCTGCGTGTAGCCGGAGTGCCAGAAAAACCAGACGTTCTTCTCGTCTGAGACGGGTTTGGGGTGTAGGAGATCATGGTCAACCTCGGAGTCTGGGCGTAAGTCGAGTAGATGGGGCGGGATGGGATGGAGCCCTGATGGCAGTGGGTAGTTGGGAGAATCCATTGTGTGTGGTTGGAGTAGGTCTGAAGGTATATGGCCTCGAATTGATTTCGTAATGGCGTGAATGAGCGATTGATGAAGGCTATTTTTCTTTCTTCTCAGTGAAGCCTTATGAAACTCCAAAGTTGTTGCAGGCAAAACATCTGACTTTCGAGGCTTTGGGTCTCATATTTATTCTTTGGTGTACAGTTAAAGGGACACCCATAAATAATTGTGGGACATGCTCCGTAGCGCGATAAGACTCATTATGAGTATATGTATCTATAGCTCGAGTATTCCCGTATGTAGCATACTGCAGGAAAGGGGTGCGGGGTCGCTCTAGGGTTCAATAATAAATGGCTGGTCCTGCGGTCCGCGCCGCGCTAATATCCCCGCCAAATCCGATCTCTATCATCGGGTCTCTAGCTATGAAGGCCAATAAAGACCATTGGGCGCATTTTAAGCAAATGATGCGATATAGCACTGGTGGCAATGCATTTCAACTTTAGTTGGAGTAGACATGAAATGCAGTACTGTGATTGATATGTACAGAAATCAAGGGGAAGCTCCAATCCATAGTATTCATCCCCTGAGGCCCAATCCTATATATTGACTCCTGGCCCCAGAACCACAAGAATCCTTTAGCCCTCCATGATGACATTTAAGCGTACTTGCTGACCATCTTCAAAATAGCCTCCTCTGTCTCCTTGGGACTCGTAGCATTAAGATAATGTCCCGCACCCTCAACAATCGTCAGCGTCGCCTCCGGCGACGACGTAAAGAGCTTAATCTGCTCCTCCGGAATAGTCTTGCTAAACACCGGATCCTCAGGTCCCTATCCCCATATCAGCACATCGCCTCCCACCCATCTCAACCCAGCAAGAAAATACTCACATGCAACCAGTACACAGGGCACTTCACATCCCTCAACCTCAACAACAACCCATCCCTCTCTAGAAGACAAATCACCGCCATCCTCAACCTCTTCCTCCCCTCCTCCCCACTATACACCTCCCTCACCGTCTCATCCCAGAACGCCAGCGTCTCCGCGCTGACGGTCCCGGAAAAGCCGAGGCTGCCTACCATACCGCACCAGACGGCGTCGACTACGAAGTCGGGGTTGGGGACGGACCACTTCAGGTAGAAGGGGAGGAGGTTGGTCTTAGGGTCCCAGCAACCCTTCTCGCGCGAGGATGCGGATTCGTAGTCCATGGATGTTCCGAGGGGGAGGAGACCGAGGATCTTGGTGGTAGTTAGTACACTCTTGCTCTTAGAATACCGCAGGGAAGACATACCTTCTCAGGCGCCAACAACGCCATCCTAACAACCATCCACCCCCCCTGACTAGTCCCCAGCGCAAAAGCCTTCTCCACCCCCAACGCCTCCATAGCCTGCAACGCCATAGTCGCCGTGTCCCAATACGTGAAGTGCTCTGTGGCTGAGGTAGTAGCGCCGTGGCCTAGCGGCTCAATGGCGAGGAGGTTCACGGCATCGGTGAGGGACTTGCTGTTGAATTGCTCGTTGTAGAGGGAGGAGGTCGTGCACATGGAGTTGATTAGGACGACGGTGGGTTTTGTGGCGTCGACGCTGTTGTTGGAGAGGCGGTAACCTACGTCGATGCCGCCGAGGTGGGGGACTTTGATGGTGGTTTTTGCGGACATGGTGGGTGGTTATGGTTTAAAATATGAGATAATGAGGTTTACTTGGTAATGTTTGCAGAGCTACTCTGATGATAGAGGTTGGAGTTAGGATAAGAGGGCGCTTCTCGTATCTTTGAAACCTTTATAAGGAGGGGTAAATGATGCTATTGCCCCACTTACCCACAGCCGCCTCCGCACAGGTGCGGGGAGTGCTCAACACGGGAAATGGATCTCTGAAAACTTTCTGCTTGAGGATGAAGATGATCGCTTTACAGGCCTCGAGTCTTTAGCACTTGCATCTCTAGACCAAGCGTGGGGAAGACAGCCGGCCAAAGACATCATAGAGGAGCCCAGAGACAGCCAAGAAATTTGATAAAACATCGTGAAGCCTCGGCCCCTTCAGAATCAGCATTGCTCGCCCACCACTTTTCTACAATACAAGCCATATATATCCGATCCAGCCATTTTATAATATTTTTATCTACCGCTCTCCCTGCTTTCCCATTGCGCCAAGAAAAAAACCCACGAGAAATAAAATAATAACTTGGTTTGAACACACAGCTACGCGGCAGCTGATTCGAAGAGAACAACATTTCCCAGACACACACGGTCGCTTGCCACGAGCAAAACCTTTCTATCTACTACCCACCCCACTCGATCCAGCAGCGTAAAAGCCTATTAAGGATCTGGAACTATTCATGCTTGTGCAGTCTCCTCATCACGGCTTGTGCTCGCGGTCGTGTCCGCCTTTCCCGTGCGGCCCCTCGTAGGCGACTTCTCATCGTTGGGGGATTTCTCATCACTGTCATCGGCATCGCTATCATCGCTTCCCTGGCGACTGTTCCTGTTCGACGAGCGGCTGCGTGTCATCTACTCCCATTAGCCCTTATCCATGATTCCTCGACCCATAAACCCAAGAGGGAGAGAACACATACCCACGACCTCACCCCCCCAATAAGTCCCAAACTATACCCCGTCGCAAAATCCCCTCCATTCCCATTTCCCCACCCCCCCGGCAACTCCAACCTCTCCCTAAGATGTCCCAACGCCCTCGGACTCCCCACCGCACCCCCCTCCGCCCCCCCGCTCAGCCCCCGCATCGGACTAGCAGGCCGACTAGGCTGCCAGAAGCGCTGTAGCTCCTTCCCCAGCTCCTGGCCCGTCGAGGTCCAGTTATTGCGGATGGAGTCGCGGATCTCGCCCACGTGGCGCTTGAGGTCCAGCTCGTTCTTCTTGAGCCATGAGACGTTGAGTTCCTGGCGCGAGGTGCCGCGCTTGAATTGGCGCGCGATGTATTTCTCGTAGTCGCGGACGACCCTGGGAAGGGGGGGTTAGTTATGAGCGGGGTGTGTGGGGGGAAATTGGGGGGGGGGTTGCTTACTTCGTGATAATCCCAGTGGTGCTAACGCCCTCCGTGCGCTGGGTGACGAGGAACTTGCCCGCCTCCTTGATCGGCTTGTAGATATCATCGCCCTCGTCCGCTCCATATGGCAGGTCATCGTGCGCGACATAGTCGATCTGGTGCTCCTCCAAGAACGCCGGTGTGACAATCCACGGGCAATTATCAATCACCTCATCCACCCACTTACAGTGACGCACCGTCTCCGCGCGTTCCTGTCCAGACAACACAGTCAAGCCCTTACGCTTGTGCGTCTCCTTATCCCCCGTCACCCCAACAATCAGGTATACCTCCGGGAAAGCCTTCTTCGCCTGTTCGAGCTGGCGCATATGTCTATTATCCCCAGTCAGCACACACACCTCAACCCCACCATCACGAAGAAAGAAGCCACCAAACTCACCCCAGATGAAAAAGATCAAACACCCCATCAGCATAAACCCTCACCGCCCTCCCCTCAGGCGGCGCATTCGTCTTATACCCCACCGGATCCGTCAACCTCCCCACCGGCGGCGCCGCCATCGCATCCCCTCCCAGCCCAACACTACTGCTGCTCTCCTCATCCTCCTCCTCGTCTGCACTACCCACCGACCTCTCCGTCGCCAATCCGGACCGCTGACGCTTCCGCTGGGTCTCGATCGCGAGTCCTCCCGGCCCGCCTTTCTTGTGATGCTGGTTCAGTGGCGGCGCGGTGGTTTCTTCGCCCGAGGCGTCGCGAGAGGAGGGTTGAAGGGTGATGGGCGCGTCGCGCTTGCGTTTTCCGGCTGGGGCGGCGGCGGCGGGGGGGGCGGAGTTGAGGGATGATGCGGAGGACATTTTGTGTGTGTGGTGGTTGGGTGGAAGTTAGGGGACGCGAAGAGTTTTGGCCCGGTGTTGAATGGGATTGTAGAGATAGTAGCTTCGTAGAATTCAATTGCGAAGGCTGGTGTGTTGAGCCTACAACTTCCTTGATTGAGCTCCCAGTAGACCTCCTTTTATTTTCGGGTAGGTGGACAAGCTCGCCGTTGTCGCAGATCCTTATTAGTATCGCGCAGAAGATCAATCGGAACGCTCAAGAACAAATCCACTCTCTATAAAACGCGATCAGGTCGAGATAATTAAAGTAGCGTCTGACGAATTGGGAAAATGGAGGAGAGAGTTGTCGACAGACGGAGCTATGTCATTCCTAGCTGACCGACCACGGTGGTCTCCCGACCGCTTAAATATATTTCGCTTGTTTCGCGTTCCCTGGCCAAGTTTCGTGCCCCGGACCCCCACTCCACCTTTCGCAAGCAAGCGCGAGCTCGTCATTTCAATGCAAGCTAGAGGACCTGGGACGACAGACACCAGCCACAACGGACGGGTGAAAGACCGCCACAGCGCGAAGTGTGGAAGTTGGTTTGCTGGGGTTTGCTTTTTTGGATAATATCATAATTTCCTTTTTCCTCATTTCATTTATAATTGTGACGCGGTACAGTTCTTTATGTTTTCGTATACGGATGGTTTTCACTGGATTACTTACTGAGCACACTGGGATGGCGAATTACCTTGTACCACCAACCCAGACGCCTGGGATACTTCAACAGTTTCACCTCTCAAGGCATTAAACCACACCAGACATCAAATCAACCCCCCCTCAATCAATCACTCTTCAGAAAATACAAAAAATGCTTTCGAAAACTAGAGTCTTAAGTCTATACCACCCCCCTCCCTAGACGGACAGCAGCATGTATGCGCAATCGAACAGGACCCCATCGGACAACAAGAACGCGCTGGTATGATTCGCACCCGAGACAAAAAGGAAACTCCGCACTGGGGAGACAGACAAGCAAGAAATAAAAAAGTGTTTTCAGCTCGTCAGCTCGTCAGTGCCCTCCGTAGATGTGCCTGCCGCAGCAGTAGCAGCAGCCACAGAACGCTCGCTGCATCATCTCATCATCGTCTGCCCAAAATGGCCTTGGTGGCCGCCCCGTCCCCCCTCTCCACATCCTCTCCCCTCCCCAGCCAAGCCAGCCCTATCCCTCCCGCGCCCTCCCTCCCGGGATAGATCGCCCCAGCTCCAGCTCCACCACAGCAGCACAGCAATGCACGATTACGCCCACTACACCTGCACTCCTCCTTCCACCTCCCTGCCGCGCGCGCACGAGGGCCAAATATATGGCAGATTAATCTATTCCCCCGATTACTCGCTCTTCGCCTCTCCCTTGACCACATTCTGTATCTTCTCCTTCACGTCGACGATCGGCCTCGTAATCTTGTCCGGGATCGCGGCGCTCGTCGGCAGCGGCACGTGGTCGTGCTCCTCGCCCTTGACGGGCTGTGCCTGGCTCGCGAGGTCCTCCTCCTCCTCCTCGTTGTCGATCATCTCCGCGTCCTCGGGGCCCGTGAGGATCTCGGTCCCGTCGCCGAGGAGGATGATGCGCCCCTTCTTACCGCCAGCGACGACGTTTCTCGACCGCTGGTCCATGTCCATGTCGTACCCGCTGTCGCTGTCGTCGAAGTTGTGGTGAACGCCGGGGCCGCGGAACTCAGCTGTCCACGCATTAGTGAAGAATAACTCCGGGAATAATGAACCGTCCTGACCATATTCAACAGGGGCGCATGGGCCTTCCCCGTTGGCAACTCGCTGTGCGATCTTCTCGTACCACTCCTCCTTGGTCTGCCCGTTGAGGATACCAACGACTGCCATGGTCATGTTGTCACAACCAACGCCGCCGGTCTCCGAGTTGGAGGCCAGGCAGTTGTCCATCATGTTCTCACAGATCTTCTCGAGGTCCTGCTTGGCGGCAATTCCACGCCTCACAAACTCGACAACAGCCTGCGAAGACTGGCAATCCCAGATACCTTTTCAGTGTTAGCAGAATCCAGAATCCACGTCTCATGTGCCTCCAATCTCACCATCACAGGCAACAACCACAAACTCATCGTCCTCGGAGATGTCATGGATCGTTACGTCGGGGTATGCGGTGACAATCTGTTGCTCGGGCGCCAGTTGATGTGACTTCTTGAACTCAAAGTCACCAAGAGCACGAGAGAGCGCCAGGTTGCCGTTGACTCTTCCGAAATCAACAAAGCCACCAGCGGCCGTGATACGGGCCTTCTCGCCTGTTATATCGCATTAGATTGGGTCTCTTTCATGAGTTCCGCAGTATATATACCTTCGTTTTGCGGCTTGTGGTCAAAGGAGAGCGGCTTTGCGCGTCCCTTTACTCCCAGCACGGTTCTTGAGTCTCCAGCGTTACCCTGTCTCAATTAGCACGTACAATGGCACGAGATACGCTCCACAACTTACCACGTAGATCTTCTTTCCCGAGATGATTGCGACCGTAGCCGTGCAACCAGAGACCTCATCCTCGTATTGTGGATCTAGAACGTCAGCAAAGATGAATGACGTCTACAGCGCGCAGCAAAGCTAACCATTCAGAATCGCACGGTCCGTCGCCAAAAACCCATCCTTCAGCGCCTGCTCGATATCGCCTCTCTTGAACGCCTCCTGCTTCGCGATGATCTGATGCACATTGTCACCTGCGAACAAGGCCACCTTTGCTCCGCCGTGTCCGTCGTATACTCCGAAGAACGAGAGCCGTTCATCTGCGGGCGCGTCTTGCCTGGGCTTGTCGGACTGGGACTGTAGATCAAGAATCGTGGCATGCGCATCTTCCATGCTGATACGCCATCCTTGCATACATGAGATTCCGTATATCAGTCGCTCATCACCGCCGCTGGACGAGTGCTGTGAGAAAGGGAAGAGTCAGCACAAACATCCGTTGGTAAACCCGCACGTCTCTCTGCATTCCCAAACAACCACAAACCCAGCCTCGACACGCGGAAATAGTATATCCCCATCCACTGCAATGATATACACCGTATTTCGTCACGAAAGGCCATTGTTGTCGCCAACCCGAAAAGTTCGACACGTCCACCCACACCACACAGCCCCCAAATAACAGGCAGAAAGAAACACCACACACCTTTTCAACAACCGGCTCTGAGAGAGTCTGGCCCATGGCGAACTGATATTCTGAGCACTTTGCAACACCACTGATATTCAGACAGGCAAGCGCGTAGTCGTAGTGGTTGAGAGAAGGGTTGGTGAGAAAATTATCGCAATGTGTCTATTGGAGGTGCGGGGTCGGCGGTGGGCGAGGTGGGAGGGTCGATAGGGTTGGATGGTGGGCTAGAAGTCAATATTCATGAGGATTTCACGAAAGTGTCGAGATGTGGTTGAGGGTTTTAACAAATAAATATGAATTTGCACAGGCACGCGAGTTTGAAAGTGAGGAATTTCGTGAATGCGGGAAGAGGAGGGGGTGGTGGTGGTGGAAGGGGGGGAACGAGGTTAGGTCAGGTTGTTGGTAGTTAAGGTGGATGTGTGGTGGTGGGTGGTTGATTGATGGGGGGATGACGATTGAGGGTGGTGGGCAAGGCTAATTTGGCAGTGGGCAATTGTGGGTGTTAAGTACCTTATAGTAGTGAATTGGGTGGTAGGGTACTTTTGGAGGTATTTGGTAAAGGGTGGTAAAGGCTGGTAAAGGCTGTAAAAGGCTGGTAAAAGCGGTGGTAGTGGGTAGAATACTCTAGAGCGGGTGTGGGGAGTTCGGCTTGATGGCCCTGGTCCTCTTTGTGAGCTGTGTACAGGATTGAGGGGGGCTTAGAGGGCTTAGAGGGTTTAGAAGGCTCAAAGGGCTTAGAAGGATGGAGCAAAGAGGAGCAAGTAGGAGCTGGAGTGGGATATTAAAGTGGGATTTAGGACATTTAGGACCAGGCAGAGAATTCTGGACTCACAAAGGACTGGATACTGGAGTAAAGTTAGTACTAAGATGGTATATTTGTGCATGGAGTACGTACTGTTTTTGTGTAAAAAAACGGATTTGGTGGGGATGGATGGATGCGCGGGCACGTCCGGCTTTTTCACTGTGGGTGGTTTCTTATCGATAACGGTCTGGAGCCGAGTATTATATGTCTTCATGTGAGGTAAAAAACGGCGACAACAGGAAAATAGAGAGAAGAGAGAGGTATGAGTGAGGAAATTGTTATTATATGGTGAAGTAACAGGCACCATACTAGATGAAGTGAGTGAAGGCATAGACTCTATTTACTAGCCACATTACGCCATACCATGACTCGGTCGCCAAAGTAGCTGTCAATACGCCGCTACCCGAACCCCCTCCCTCCCCTCACCACATACCACCACCACCACTACCACTACCACCGTACTCCCCACACTCAACCTCACCCTCCCTCCAGAAAAAAACGCCCCTTCCTCCACTCCATGCAAGCCACGGCATCCACCGCCTCATACAACATACCCCTTCTTCCCCCATATTCCGGGGCAATCTTCCTCCCACTGTCCAAGGCATCGCTTACCGTATATATGTATATGATGCGGCTATCCATCGGCTCATGCAAGGCTGAGGTTGACAAAACAGCCGCACCAGGCCAGGCAGCAGATGTGTGTGGCTGGCTGTGATAATCCCGCAGACTTTGAAAGGGGTTTTTTAGAATATCCCTCATCCCTCACTCTGCATGCCTCACTCGGTTCTGGCTACCCTACTGCTACTGCGCCATATAAAACACATATGGCGTAAACCAGGCTCCCCAGATCACCCACCTTCATCTTCCATATAAAAATCCCATCGCTAGCCCTAAGCGAGCATCATCACCACCCAAAAAAAACCACCCTCAGCCTTCCCCCTCAGCCTCGCACTTTTACCCCTCGGCAAACCCACCCCTCCAAAAAATACAGTACTGCCGAAATAAAAATAAAAAATAAAAACAAAAAGACAAAAAAAACCACAAAAGAATTAGCAATTGCATGTTTCGATCATGCGACCTCCGGGTTATGAGCCCGGCGCGCTTCCGCTGCGCCAAATTGCTTTGATTTGATGGGAGGAGACTGCTTGTGTGGGTTCTTGTAGTCGATGGGTCGGGTTGTGGAGGTGATATATGACTCATTACCTGGGTGGGTTGGGCTGTGAGAGATGTGGGAGTAGGGGGTCCACCTTGCATATACATATGATATGCATAACGCGGGGTGGAGTTGTACGAGACGAGATGGGAGGGTGTGGTATACAGGTGTCTTTGGGATTTAAGTGTTCGTTCTTTTTAATCCTATTTTGTGGGATAAGGCATGGTAGTTTAACTTCTCAAGAGTACCTGAACAGCTCTAAGTTAGGAGGTTTGCATTATATCTGCATATGCCTCAGTAATCATAGTTACTACTAATAATGATAGCTTTCACAACCCAGCTGTGGCCCTGCCGCTTCTCCCAAGTCTCGCAACTCAAAACGAGTACTGTAACTTCTGTCCAGAGTTACCTTGAATCATACCAACGACCAATTCGATTCCCATCCTATCCCCTTTTCATCCCATGGCATCTTCAGTTATAACCCTCCTCCCCAAACCCTATCTCATCACCCCTCCTTCCCCTCCCCCTCACCCCCCCAACCGACTCCCCATCCCCAACGCCCCCACCCCCTTAACCTTATGATCCCTCGGATTCGCCGCAGCCTCATAAAGCACCCCCTCCGGCGCCCCCCCCAACCTCATCCACTCCCCCCTAAACCCCACATAACCCACCCTACTAACCTCCTCGTCCCCCTCCCCAAAACTATCCTCAAAAAACAGCGTCAAGCTCTGCACTTTACCGAATAAGGCGCGCTTGATGGGGATATCTTGGATCTCGGAGGTTTGGGAGAGGTGCAGGGTTTGCGTGGGGGGGAGTTGGGTGGCGAGGTCGAAGTCGATGTCGGTGCGGTTTATGAAGAGTTTGAGTGTGCGGGGGGCGGAAGGGGAGAGAGAGGTGCGGATTAGTATCGAGTGAAGCTTGATTTGGCCCGTAAACCTGCCACGCGGTTCAGTCAGATCAGCTCCTGCTAAATTCCACCACCAGTAACAGCCGCGCCCACCCAAGAACTGTTCGGGGGGGGGTTTGTGGAGGGGCCGCCGGGGTGTCTGGCGAGGGGAGGACGACTCACGGAATATGCATCAAAAGCTGCTCATCAGCATCACTCCCCACCTCCGGCACATCCTCCAACCGCTCCGCCCACGTCTTCTTCACCACCGCCGCCCCAGACCCAGCAACAGCCTCATTCAGCGTCGTGATGGCGTCGAAGTCGATGTGTTGGTATAGCGAGTGCTGGATCGCGGGGGTGATGTCGTCGCTGTGGTCGTGGGCGCCGTCGTCGCCGTGGGAGTGGCCGTGGCCATCGTGTTCATCATGGCAGTGATGGGACATTGTGGGGGTTTGTATAGATGGCAGATTTATGGGGAGATCTTGTGGTGGAACTGTCTGTATGGCTGTATGTTGATGGCAAGGTGGGGGTTGGGTGGCGAGGCTGTGATGGGTGTCAGCCTTGTGGATGTCAACGCGACGAGGCTGTGATAACTTATAAGCCGCTGCCAGGAACCAGGAACAAGCAATGTGAGAACCGCAGATTAAGAGATGAAATTCCTCGCATGCATTTGATAACTAATAGGTATTCTATGTACAGAGTAAACGAACTCGCCCCTTATATATAATAACCACCCCGCTTAATCCGCCCGACTTTGTTTATTTTCGCTATTCGCTCTCACAATCAAAAGCAACCCCCAGACTCGCGCATCCATCTCCGCCTCATGATTTCCGCTCACTTCCAGCTACTAGCAACAGTAGCCGTCGTATCACACGTAGCTGGCACCGTATACTGGCGATTAGGATCCGACTCCCACGTCACCGCACCATTCGACGCAACGTTGATGAACTTGTACTGGAACGTCGTTCCAGATGGCAAGTTAAGCGCGATGCTCCAGAGGTGGTTGCTGCTCGTATATCCACTGGCAGACAGGGCGATAGCGTTAGCGGTGTTCCAGCTGCCGAGTTGCGAGATGGATCCGACGATCTTGACGGTCTGGCCGACGACGGTGGTTACCACTTCGTTGAATGTGACCGCGACCGTGGCAGGAACCACGCATGAAGTAGAAGTAGAAGCCGGCGCGGATGTAGTTCCCGTAGCCGTTCCTGTGGCCGTGGAGGTTGGCACGGCTGTCCCAGGAGTCTGGTTAGCGGGGAATGAGACCGAGGCCTTGGAGTAAGACCCGGTGTATGCGGAGTTTCCACAGGTGCCAGAGGGAACCGTGTTGCCGTTGATCGAGCCCCAGGAGGCAGGGACGATACCAGCGCGGCGGTCGCTTGCGCTCAGGAATGCAGCATATGACCATGTAAGGTCGGCGGCGGAGAGGGGCGATCCGCTCGAGCGGTCATATTGCTCGGCGAGGGCTCCGCTTGAAGGTGTGTATGCCTGTGCCTTGGTCATGTAACCATCGGCGTAGGTCTTTACGGCTGCGACGATTGCGGTGTATTGGGTGCTGCCCTTCTGATATGTTCCGGTTGCTGCCGAGGAATAAAGGTCCTTGAAGAAGGCCAAAGACACGTCAGTGATGGCGATAGCTCCGACGGCGTTCCATTGGTAGAGAGCGTCGTAAAGCTGCTCTGCGGCGGCGAAGGTGGCCAGGTACCAAGGGTTTCCATTGTAGTAAGTATCCTCCGAGTAGCGGCCAACTGAAACTGCAGCTCCTTGGGCGATTCCAGAGTTGATGGAGTATACGGATCTGAACGAGTCGGTGACGGCCTTGTGGTTTGCAAGAGCACGGTCAGAACATCTAGAAAACGTTAGCGACAGCTTTGTACTCTTCAGATCTTCAAAACGTACGGCTGGAACGTGGCAGCATCACAACCACCTGCGGGGTCGAAGCTGTGGATTGAGGTCAGGATGGAGTTAGCATCCTTTCCAGTGCGCCCGTTGTTGACATTGATGTTAGAAATAATGTAGTTGCCGTTGGAAGTCCAGTAATATTGCTGGTAGCAAAGGATCTGTGGTGCAACAGTGGCGCAGTTGTTGCAGGTCTTGCCGATTCTAGCTGCGAATGCAATACCCTCTACAAGAGCACGGTGCTGGGAGGCTGTGGTGAAGAAGGAGTTTCCATTCACCTCTTCCCACAAGTCAAATCCACCCTGGTTCCTATGGATGATTAGCATAGAACAAGGCTTTGATGATGGAAGTCACCCTTACCAGTATTGGACAACATAGGCAAGGTCGTTGACAAGGACTGGCCAGATTGAAGACACTGCAGTAGCAGAATAACCATTGTCGACCAGCCAGTTTCCATAGCCGATCAGAACCTCAGCTCTAAGGGCTGGGCCATCGCGTTGCGGACGGCCCCAGGCTCCTGTAAAGGCAGTGAGATCAACATTGAACTTTGGCTCTCCAAGCCCAGCCCCGGTATCGAGCGAGCCCGACGGGTTCGTGACACCCTGGAGATTGGCCTGGGAGATAATATAATTCTGAATCTTAGTCTGCAGGCTTGCATCGTATGAATTCCCGAGCCTATCCACGAGGTATTTGAAGACAAGAGCTGAATCCCGTGACCAGGTATACCAATCTAGATTTCGTTAGAGAGGTTCATCAGGGAGGTGGTTTGGAAATAGTCACAATCTGGCGAGCTTTTGCTCGGGGAAGCAACGACTGCTCCGGACGCAGCACCCGAAGCGGCGCATCCGTCTGCACCGATATTACAGAGCAGTCTCGTCAAGGAATAAGGGCTTTGAGTCGTGATCCAGGAATTGAGATCACGCTTCTCGATATGGGCACGGCTAGTGCCAGGTAATGCGAGTGCATTCTGGAAGGCCAGAAGGCTCACCAAGAGGGCAGGGCCAAGTCCAAACATGATGAACTTGATGGTGAAGGGATTATGGAAGAAGCGAAGTGGGATCGGCGATGAAGAGGGAGCTGAATGAAGAGCGCCCTCATGAGACTTATATAGAGGATTTGAGTCTTGGACCCGTCTATTCAGAGACAAATGTCAGTGGGGTCAAGACGGGCCGACAGTGAAGCCTGCGAAGGCATCTTAATGAGCCTATATCGTATCTATCGTACCTGGAGAGAGGCGCCATCTTCTCGGCGAACAACTAAAAGCGGAAATGATGCGGCGATAGTGGGCTCTGTCCTCCTGGATGGGCAAGCTAAGAGGAACAACTAAAAGCGGAAATGATGCGGCGATAGTGGGCTCTGTCCTCCTGGATGGGCAAGCTAAGAGGTGGGCTTCGGTGGCAGTTTGTGGCGTCGAGTGCGACTTCGTGTCGGCACCTGAGCCAAAATGTCTCACTTACCGCCAATATCCCATTTCCTCACTTACATCATGGAGCACATGTCTGTTTGTCTGATGTGATTCGCGAAGATAAAATGAGGAAGCTACGACCTGTACAAGTCATCCGTTAATTCACGGCAATACAGTCACTTTCAATCGGGGTTGTTTCAGTGCATCCATCACCGTTGACTTTGGCAGCTTACAACTGTCTCGTGAACGGAACATCTCGTGAGCCCAACGCACTGTAAAAGCAAGGACCCGCCGTGCATATGCGCCGATGCGGGGTCCCCATATTGATTATTTCCACGTGCGCGGGGAAAAGCTTACTGAAAAAAGCATCCATGCAACTCGTGAACAGGACGAGACGGCCCTTTTCCTAGGGCTTTTCCAGCACCACCAATCCGATTTCTCGGTGCCTGCCGTTACGTGCCGATCGTGGAGTCTCTGCACTCTAATATATAGTGCGCGCGGCTACTCTTGCCATTGAAGACATGCCCCTCACTTGTTTATTCGTTTATGCGGCCGACACTCGGCAGCTACGGATGCGCGTACAGGTATTATCACGTCTATTCAAGGAACTTTGCAGATTTCCCCATGGATCAGCCGCTCGCCGAGGAAACGCCGCTAAATAGCCTTCTTCATCACACTGCCACGCGTAGTCTTAGCCGATTAAAGAAGCCGATCATACAGGATAATGGTGTAAATGGGGTGTCTCGATGGGCATACGACGTGATTCTTAGCCAAGCCGCAGGATCAATAAGCCCTACAGGGGGGTTTAAAGGCGTCCACGGCACGCCTCCGGCGGTCAATAGTTGCCGTCCGATGATTATTACTAGTGGCTATATATGAAAAAAACGAGTTTGGCATGCTGCTTCTCGCATGTGGGATATGCACTACAATGTTGCTTTTTTCAGGAACGGCCCGATGTAGTGATTTTGTGGTCTTGTAGGCCATATTATCCACTGTCGAAGGCGCCATATTGGCCAGAGGGGCATCAAAAGAGCCTCGGAAGTGGCTGGTGAGACGGGATATGAATCCAATTTATCCAGCCCTTTCACAGAGTAATTCGGCCCTATTGGCAGTTCGAATTGTGCCTGAGAGTTGGTAAGAAAGTGAGGAATAAGCCACAGCGCGCTTTTGAAGCTATCGTCGGTTTCGATATATCGCTCAGCAAGTGGGATATGTGAATAAAATAATCACTCTTCCAAACCGCACAGGGTGTCTATGGCTCACGGTGCCGACATCCGTCTTCACTCTGCATCTCTGTCTTCATCGAATCGATCATCTGCTGAACTGCCCCTTAAAGGGCTTCTTCGCAAAAGAACAGGCAGCCCGAAGACGGTGCATGTAGCATATCCCAATCTCACAACGGAATGACCACAGGAAAAAGTAAGTAGAATATGAGGCCCTGAATATCTCATCATCAAAATCCAGATTGTATCACCAGTCTAAGCTTTGGAAGTACCAGTATAGAGATCTGTTGATGGGAAATTGGCATTTTGACCTCAGCAAGCCTGTATAGGCGGCCAAACTAATTCAATAATCAACTTCACTTCATAGATCCAGGCAGCCAAATAAAACAATCACTGGCTTCAAATCTGGAATATAATGTGAAGAAGATGAAGGCGCGTGGAAAAGTGAATAGTTGTAGACGCTAAACTGGCTTAGCTTAGTAAGCTAGCGCATGCGCCCGTCATGCCAAGATACTGAAATTGGTAGCCTCAGCCTCATGTCGCCTCGTTGCCTCCATCACAACGGACTGGATTTGAACCAACACAACGATTCAAAAGTCCACCTACTCACAACTCAATATGGCGAGCGCAATATCTATCGAAGAAACGAATCGACTTCGTATATCACTGGGACTGGCGCCTTTGCCAGTACCAGGAGTCGGGCCCGTTTTCAAAGACGCCACCAAATCCTCTCCGGACGACGAAGAAGTGGCGAGCACTCTTGAGTCGCGACAAGCAGAAAGCTACGCGAATTACCAGAAGCTTCAAGATGCCGAAGAAGCCAGGCGCAAGCGGGATGCGAAAGCAGAGGCCATCAAGAAGGCTCGCGATGCTGCGAGACGATTCGCCAAACTCGAAGGCAAGGGCCTCGGGGAGGCCGACGAGGGCGACCAGGATGCTAAGAGCTGGCTCATCAAACAAAAGAAGCGCCAACGCGAGATTGAGAAGGCTCGAAAACTCGAAAAGGAACGAATAGAGGCTGAGAAGGAAGCGGAATATACGGAAAAGGATCTCGCGGGAGTCAAGGTTGGCCATGAGCTGGGCACATTCCAGGAAGGAGAGGACCACGTCCTTACCCTGAAGGACACAACTATTGACGAGAATGAAGAGGAAGGAGATGAGCTGGAGAACACAGATCTGAGAGAGCGGGAAAAGCTCAAGGATTTGTTGGAATTGAAGAAGAAGAAGCCGGTTTACAACCCCAACGATATCGATGACTCGGAGGATAGGACCATTTTATCGCATTATGATGTTGAGATTGAGGGCAAAAAATCCAGCAGGTTCACTCTGGATGGGCAGGGAAGCACAAAAGAGCAACTGGAAGCGATCAAAAGTGGCGCAACACTGGGAATGAAACCAAAGGCTATCAGCCTTGATTTTTTGAGTAAGTCTTTGTACGGCTATTGGGAACGATTCAGTGCTAATTTTTTTCAAGAGGACGAGCCATCTTCTGATTATATAGATGCTGCAGATATCAAGATCCGCAAGCCAAAGAAGAAGAAGGCCAAGTCTACAAGGCAGAGGGCCGTCGATGAAGACGACATTGTCCCACCAGTGGATGAAGTACTAGCGGATAGCAACGATATGGAAATTGACTCGGGAGCCCGGATTATAAAGAAGCGAACATACGAAGACGTCTCATTCGTTGATGACGACGACCTACAAGCATCACTTGCGGCACAACGGCGGAATGCGCTCAAGAAAAGGAAGCGAGTCAGGCCCGAGGATATCGCAAAGCAACTTCGTGCGGAAGCTGCTACCCCTGACACTACTGAAGAAGAAGAGTCGACGGGGCTTGTGATAGATGAGACCTCGGAATTTGTAGCCAATCTTCAGAAGCCAGAGGCACCGGAAGTTAAGAGGCCGCGCGTTGCACCGAAACACACAGATATCGCTACAACGATGGGCGCAGAGTCAGACGAAGATGGAGATGTCAATATGGAGCAGCAATCATATGCTAATATTGAAGATCACGAGGATTTGCAGGAGCGCCTCAAGCGCGAGGAGGAGAATATTTCCAGTATGGGAATGGATGACGAGGCCACCCTTGATAAGGGCCTAGGTTCGACACTGAAGCTCCTCAAGGATAGAGGTATTCTCAAGACCTCGGAATCTGGTGATCGCAATGCCATCTTCAGAGAGAAGCAACTTTTCCTCGCCGAGAAGCAGCGGAGGGAAGCTGCCGCCGAACTCAAGGCACGCCAGCAACGTGAGAGGGATCGTGCCACTGGGCGCCTCGACCGAATGTCCGCACGAGAGAAGGAGGACTACGCACGCCAGCAGAACACCTACCGTGATCAGCAGGAGTCGAGGCAACTTGCGGAACATTTCAATAAGGAATATAGGCCGAATGTGGAGCTTAAATATACTGATGAGTTCGGGCGAAATATGAACCAGAAAGAAGCCTTCAAGCACCTTAGTCATCAGTTCCATGGCAAGGGAAGCGGCAAACAGAAGACAGAGAAGTTGTTGAAGAAGATTGAGGACGAGAAGAGGAGAGAGGCACAGAGTTTACTGGACTCCAGCCAGCTGACGGGCATGAGCGGCGCCGTTGGCCAACAGTTGAAAAAGCAGAGACAGGCTGGTGTCAGACTTGCTTGAGCCTTGTACGATGGATGATGAATCTATATAAAGGTGCAAGCCCCAAATAATATCATGGAATTCATTGCTGACAAAATCATGACCGCATTTATGATATATACGCATTTTCGATATGGGTGAAGGTAACATGTTGTTTTACATTGATCGTACAAAGCCAAACCGGCTCATGATTCTAATATCCCTCTATACCGTAACCTTTCCCGGCTTTCCCTCCTCGGCCATAAACTGTACATCCTTAACTTCAGGCTCGTCCTCGCCAATATCAATCTCCACATCCTTAGCTAGCGCATCGTCGTACTTCTGTATCTCCTCTGCAACCTGTTCTTGCGTGACTGGCAGCCCATCCTCTCCAATAAGCACCTCCTCCTTCGGCGGCAGGCCCAGCGCCTCTCGCTCGGCTCTAAACCTCTCCTTAACAGACTCGGACTGCATAACTCTCCACCTCAACTTCCATCCCCCCATTCCGAGCTCCTTGATCCTCCCTGCCTTGTCGCCCAACAGGTACTCATCAAGTCCACCACACTTATCAACCGTCCTCAGCACCCTAGCTGTGACTCTCAACCTCAAGAACTTCCCGAGGGCCACACTCCACAGGCGCTTCTGGTGCACGTTCGGTCGCCAGTAGCGGCGGGTCTTGATCTCGTTCCTCTCAGACACCATGTTTCCGAAGCGAATCTTCTGCATGCCGTACAGGCCAAAGTTGGACTGCTTATACCATCTCGAGGCTCCGTAGGGGTATGGCGGGATGGCGCTGTGTTCGAAAGCCAGGCGCTTCTCTGTCGACTTGGCGAGGGTTTGTGGGGTGGTGGAGAAGCAGCGCGTGAAATAGAGAATCGGTTGGGAGGGGAGCCTGGGCGGCATGGCTGTAGTGGCTCTGCGGCGTCGCGCTCTGTCTGGGAAGAGGTTGGCGGTCGAATTGGGAGTTGCTGCTGCCGTTCTTGGAGGTCACCCCGTTGATGGACTCGCGAACATTTCTCTGGGATGCGGAATTATGATGAGCCGAGCTCCGAGGAAATACGTATGCACGTGACTTTGATGGTGCTGTCACACATCCCTGGTTCAGACATATTTCGGGATCTTGAACTTATAATCATTAAAAAGGTCGTTTAATGTATTATAGGTGGTGTTAAATTTCATATTGTTTCTCATGTCATGTTCTCTCTGTTCTATCTGATATGGTCAAAATTTGACGGGATTTTTGAGAACTCCACAAAACCGGGCTAATTCGGCCGAATCACGGCGGACAAGCTGACATATCACAATGATGATGACAATTCAAGACAACCAGGCGCATGCTGCACAGAATTAAAGATATGAGCCTGTCAGTGTTTACAAATTTCTCTGTATAAGGCTGAAGGAAATCTCGCCTGTGTCACGATGTCGCCGTCGCACATATCCAACGATGGCAATGACGAGCACCGTGACAAGAGAGTTCGAAGAGTAAGAAAAGGGACGCGAAGTTGCTGGGAGTGCAAGCGTAGGAAAATCAGGTGCATATTTGGCGACGATAGTGAGCCCACATGCAAAGGATGTCTAGACAGAGGCACATCATGCGTTTCTCAAGAGTTCCTCGATGATGCTGAGCGCTCAAGTTCAAATAATACTGGACTTGGCCACCGGCTTGGCAGGGTCGAAGAGCTGTTGGAGAAGCTGATAACAAAGGTCTCGCCGAGCATCGATAGATCTACTCCTGCTGAAGAAGCGGCGGACAATCTAGAAGCCTCCGCATCATGCATTGGTATCGATGTGATTGTGCCGACTGACGAGGGCGGCCATACCGAGTATGGAAACGCCCCGATTATGTCTCTCTTCGACAATAGTGTTGTAAGTTCCAGATTTGTCTGTCTCCTTATAATAGAAATTAACGGTAATAGTTGAGCCGGCCTCCTGTTCCACAGCATGTGCGGCAAATGCCTACCCCGGGCTCCACAACCAGCTGCTCATCGATGGATACGTGTAACAAGATAGACACCGTTCGTCGTACCTTGTACCGCCTTCTTCCCTCTCAGGCAGATTGTGATCTCCTGACAAGCCGTGCCAACGAGTGGTGGTATCTGAATAAGTATTTATCACAACTTACCATTCAAACCGGGGACAGGCCCTACGGAATCCCTACCGTTGGGGTGGAGGAAGTCCGGGCATGGCACCCAGCAGCTATAGCAAGGCACCTGCTTGCACTCTGCCTCTGTGTCCAGCAATCATCAGAAGGGTCTAAATTGAAAGCCCTGGAAATGCCGACGCCTTCTGCATGGATGGAGAAGTGCCTGACAATCATCACGAATATCGTGACCTCTGACGACGAACTTGTTGGAAATGTGGAAGGTCTCGAGTGTCTCATCTTGCTTGGAGGCTTCCAGATCAATGTGGGAAATCTACGGAGGGCATGGCTCAGCTTTCGTCGGGCATTGAATATCGCACAGCTAATGGGCCTCCACCGGTCCCCAGCCAAAAACAAGCGTGATAGCACAATGCCTTTATCTCCAGAAGATATCCACCGCAGCTACATTTATTATCACCTTTTGAAAGGCGACGTTTATTTGTAAGTGGTATATATGCTGTCATTTCCTCGCGGCCTCTAACTCTATGCCAGAACCTTGCTCCTCGGCCTACCACCAGCCGTTGCCAAAGACCCCTACGCAGGGCAACCAGAGGGTGCATATGATTCCTTGAGCAAGGAAGAATTGTACATTAAGGAACTCAGCACCATTGCCCTCCGTGTCATCGAACGCAATTCCTCCGGTGAATCCAACGCCTACGCCGAGACGCAGCAGATTGACGAAGCACTCGAAACCTTGAAGCAGACCATGCTTCCATGTTGGTGGCACGTGCCAACAACTCAAGAGTACATGAAGAAAATGAACTCTAACGGTGTAACGAAGGAGATGGACCGCCTACTCGGCCAGCTATGGCACTATCAGATTGAGACCCTCGTGCATTTACCATTCATGCTTCGCTCAGCCACCGACAGACGCTACGACTACTCCAAGATCTGTTGCCTTAACGCCTGTCGGGAATTAATACAGCGATGGCTGTTACTGCGGAAGTGTGAGGATCAGCCGTTCATATGCCACATCGTTGACTTCCAAGCCTTCATGTCCGCCATCATCATCCTCCTCGGGCTCATGGGAACACCAAGCCAGGGCATCCTTGACCCGACCCAGCGTGACCAAGACCGCGGCATGGTAGACGACCTCATCAAATCCCTCGAGAACACGGCCTTTGCATGCAGCTTCGCCCTCGGCAAGCAGTGCGCAGATGTCCTCAAAACCCTCATCTCGACGGACCTAAACGGGCTAACAGGCAACCTACGCCTCAAGATTCCCTACTTTGGCGTCCTCACGCTCGTATCGGGAGCACAGGCTGCGAACGTCGAGAAGCAGTCGCCAATCACGCCGGCCTCGTTATCTAAGGAGTCTAACGAGCCGACGCCACGACCTCCGGCCTGGCTTGGTATGCCAGGCATGGGGGAGAATATGGTGCCGGCACCTGTGCTATCATTTGCGAGCACGCAGTTTCCGGGGATGGATGAGACAGGTATTGATGGGGGGTTGTCAGAGTGGCAGTTTAGGGACTCAGATATTAGGGTGTTTGATAGCCTCGCTAACACGGATGTCGAGGGTAATTGGGGGTTTGGGGCCGTGTAGAATAGGGGCTGGGCCTCCACGATATAAATTGGAAGGAGGATTACTGTGGCGTCTGAGGCGTACTGGCTGGCACTGGCAACAGGGGCTGCACTTTGAGATTCTAAAACATAGAATAATTGTTAGATCTCCCAACTCCATACTTGTATTTAATAGTAATCAAGATACTCTTGACTGCTCTTGGGTCCTAATATCAGGCTTAAATGTGCTAGTAACTGACTTACAATTAGTGTCATATCAGTAGCTGTCCCTCTGTTCCATACTAATAAACACTGGGACTAACAATTTATCATTTAGGCACTAACATTCGTATGATATATAATAGTAGTCCATACCTAGTAAACGACGCACAGGCACTATGCAGGCTACAAGAAGCATCAGTGTCTAGCATTCGTGCTGTATATGATAGAGACCTATATCTAATAAACGGTATATAGAGCTTATTCTAGCCACGGCTGGCATCAGTATCTAGCGTTCGTCCTGTATATAATAGCAATCAATATCTAGTGTGCATTGCACATTACCACGATATCAAGCACAAAGCACCAACCAATTGCTTCAAGTTTTTAATATTTCATTCTGAAACTAACGCCGTGAGGTACTATATACAGTATGCACCCGTTTTTACAAACGAAACTTCCCGTCCAGGGCCACAGATAACATTTCCATCTACTTCCTGTACCACATCCTCGTAATGCGCGTGTGCCTCATCTTCTTCTGGAGCTGGAACACGCCGTACATCAAAGCCTCCGAGGTGGGCGGGCATCCCGGAACGTAAATATCAACAGGAACGATGCGGTCGCACCCTCTCGTCACACTGTAGCTGTAGTGGTAGTATCCACCGCCGTTGGCACAGCTTCCCATGGAGATGACCCATCTCGGCTCGGGCATCTGATCGTAGACTTGTCTCAAGGCGGGGGCCATCTTGTTTGTCAAGGTTCCGGCAACAATCATGACATCGGATTGACGCGGCGAAGCACGGAAAATGATACCGAGGCGATCCTGATCGTATCGTGGGGTTGAGAGATGCATCATTTCGACGGCGCAGCAGGCGAGTCCGAAGGTCATGGGCCATAAGGAGGATTGGCGGGCCCAGTTAGCAACTTGATCGAGAGTCGTTCTAAGATGAGGGGTTAGCTGGAAGCTCGCAATGCACACACAAGTGTGCCATGGCATATAGGTATCGGGGAATTGAGCACGTACAATGCGTATTGCATAGCACCCTTCTTCGGCTCTTGGCTGGGCAACAGCACCTCCCGCTTCGGCTTGCCGGTCACGCCCAGGGGAAAGCCCGACGCATTTTGTGAGGCGAGCGCACTCGCAGTCTTCGATGCTGAGGACGAGATCGCGGCAATTGACCTGTATGGGACAATGGCGGATGTGGGTTTGGCTACACCGGAGAAGTTAGGATTTGTGGCGACGCGGGATGTGGTGCAGGCAAGCTTACCACGGAGGGCCAATGCGGCAGCAGGCCGTGCGGACGACAGCATCTTGTCTGTGCCTCTATTGTATATTGGCAGAGGAAAGGGAATCGAGGGACCGCACGGGATGGAAAGCGAGGGGCGTTTAGGGTCGACGTCGCGAACTGGAGGCTCTGAAGATTCAATGATGCTCGGTCGTAAGAACGCTAAAATGTGTGGACCAATGAGCGTCGCTTAATTGCAATCGCTCCCGAGATTGTCCCTTTCCGAGAAAGCTCACCAAAACTGGCCTCACCAACTTACAATAAATACAGATATCTATGCTTTATACAGAAAATCGCATTGTATATATAGTTGTTAAATGTCTTCCTTATAAGAACACATTATTCATCTATAAAACACCTATCCTAACGCTTGAAACTCCAGAAATGCCTTAACCACACACTGTTACCCCTCTACAACTTGAAGCCACCAGCACCATTTGTGATCTGTGCGGCCTTGATCTTATTCCCCTCAACATCCTTGATGTCACCTCTCCTGCCAATGACCTTTACTCCGGCCTTCTTAAGCTCTTCAACTGTCTCCCTCTTCGCCTTCGCCTTCTTGCCCTCAGGTCTCGCGTTCTGAACCTCACCACCTCTCTTCTTGATCCTCTCCTTCTCGCGTCTACGCCTCCTGAGTTTCTCTTCCCTCGTCATCTCCTGCCTGGCAATAGGAGCACCGCTCTTCGGCACAATTTCTCCCTTGTCCACCGAATTCTTATCCTTGCCAGCCTTGTAGATCTCCTGAGGTGCCAGCATGCTGTCAGCTCCAGTAATACCGCTTGCCATCGTAGGCTGTGCGTCCTCCATGTTAACGGTCGCCACATCAGCGACGACAGTCAAGCTTGGTGCAGGAGGCTTGGGCTTGTAGTGCCAGCTGCTGAGCGCATCTAATTTGCCACAGACGTCCTTCCAGAGACCCTCAATCTCGAGATGTTGCTTCTTCAGCTTGTCATCGGCCTTGCTCATATATGTGTCAGGGTTGTTGTTCTTGACGTGCTCCTCTTCGTACATCTCGGCAAGACTTTGCTGGGCTTTGGTGTCCTCGAGCTCGAAAGCGCCACGGCGAGCATTGTCAGGAACCGAGTCGGAGTCTGGACGACGGCGGATGACCTCGTCAAACTCTTGAGCGATGATACGGCGCTTGATAAGTTCCTCGATGCTTTCGCTGACTTCTGCGGTGATAACTGGCACTGGCTTGCCGGTTCGCTCAAAGTCTAGATCCTGTTCCAGAAGGGAGTTCTGGGGGCGGTCGGCAGCTCTTGCTTCACCCGACAAAGTCCACTCTCGCTTCTGCACGGATGCCGCTTCGAGGCGACGGATCTCTTCGGCGAGCTTTGCTTGACGGCGCTCATGGGCAGACCTTCTCGATTTAGGGTCGGCAGCGTCAACATCCGAAAGATCATCCTCGGAACGATCTTCTTCTTCATCGTCGAAAAGGTCACGGCGAACATCAGCCATCGCCCGCTCAACATCCTGCTCGTCATCTGCTGGGAGTGCTTTTGCCTTCTTCTCTTGTCTTGCGAGATATGAAGCTTGCTTTTCGGCCTTGGTAACTTTGCGTGCTGGAGGCTGGAAGAAATCCTTGTACAGAATGTCGTTGGTGTTATCTCCTGGGGCATCGATGACATCCTCCATATCCTCGTCTTCTTCGTCATCGCTCTCACCTTCGGGGGCGTTCAGGTCCATGTTGCCAAAGGTTGGCCCATCCTCGTCCTCTTTCTCATCTTCGTCCTCGCTTTCATCATCCGCTGCACCCGACTTCTTGCTTTTCGTGCCCGCTGCGGCCACTGCAGTCATTGGGTCGGCATCCCAGTCGATTTCTTCTTCGTCACTAGCCTCTCCGGTGTATGGATCCGCAGCAGTATCTTGCAATTCCAGGAACTCGGTTTGTTTGTTGAACTGGTCGATCGAGAAAAAGCCGTCGTTCAGTCCGTGAGGGTCTTCGACAAATTCTTCCTCTTCTCCATCATCCTCTGCATCTTCGTCGTCTTCATCCTCGAGGTCGTCCTCACCGTCCATCATAGCCGCCATATCGTCTTCGTCTTCATCGTCGTCAACGCCCTCCTCCATGACATCCATCTCCTCCTCTTGGTCTTCGTCGCCCTCTGCACTATCACCCTCGCTTCCAATCTCAAGTCCGTCTTCGCCGAACTCCATCCCGTCCAGCTCACTATCACCTTCGCCTTCTTCACCATCTTCACTCTCACTTTCATCACCCTCACTAGGCGCCAACTCATCCAAGTCCCTCTCGACATCTCCCCTCAATGCGTCAATAACTCTCCTCGCTTGCTCCCAAACCTGCTCTACAGCAAAGCCTTGCGTATGCACCTTCCTAATCTTCAGCAGCTCCCCGCCATCTGCAGCCTCGCCCCTCTTCCTCTTCCGATCCTTCCTCTCCTCCTCCACCCTCTTGTTCTGCTCATCATACAGCTGCGCCGCAAATCCATCCAAAGTCGACTTCGCCAAATCCAAAGCCCCCTCGCAGATTTCCTTCTCGGGCGCTATGAACTTATACCGATTCTCCGGCTGCAGCGCCTGCAGAAGAGATTTCGCGTACGCGGAATACGACGATTGGGGGGTGCCCAATTTCTGGTTCGTAGGTTCGGCAGTCATCGTGTGTGATGTCGAAGTCATGGACGAGGACGTGCTGCCGGAGACCTGTGCCATGGTCTCTTACAGTGCTGTTGCGACAGGAAATGGAAGATTTTGGATTTATTTGCAGGGACCAATTGAAAGGTATTTTCGGGCGGCCGCTAAGTTGATAAGCTGCTTATCGCCCCAGTCCACCTAAAATTTCCTATGCGGTCACGTGCTTGGCCCGAATATTGTGCCTGTTTGGATGGCAACCAATTGAATCTTAGTCAAGTGGTGATTTGATCTATATATAATATATAATTATATGACGGGTGAGGAGGACGACTGTGTAAAACTCACTTCGTATCCAGGTGTTGTTCGGGGGCAAGTATTGAAGTGGGACATTAATAATCTGATTTATTTTTATATTTCTCATACTTTTATTTTTGAAACAAATTTAATATCAGAACATTCACAATCACAAAGTAAGAACATGACGTTCAGCTTGAACAATAAATTACTAGCAAACGTTCACTAGCTACTGTCTAGGATCATTCGGACTGGGTATGGCGCGCAACGGTGGGTGAGGTGAAAAAAAGCTAGAATACTCCCAATTAGAAAAAGAAACTAGTTCCTCGGGGAACTTCAGACCTTCGTTTCCAACGAGACCCTAGGTTACGTTAGTATCTTTTCCACTTCTGGGTGCTCGCCAGGTGACAAAACCACGCCGACAAGGCCACTTACCATCCGCCGCAAGCTGCTCCGGCATCGCGGCTACTCTCTCGGCATCCCAACACTTGGCCACCCAGCATGTAACGAGTAAGTCCCTGATCCTAGCTTTGGCATCTTCACTACTATCATCACCGCCTGCATTCTTCCCCTCCCCCACCAGCTCCAAAACAGGTGGTTTCCACGCCACGTTTTGGCCTTGAGTCCTCTGTTCATGCTCTTTCTCCATTACCTTTCTCTTCTTCCTCCCCAAGCAGACCCCTTCGGGCTCGCGGCCAACGGTCCGTCCTAGGCCATCTATCCACTCCTCGCCCTTTCCCCTCATCAGCAACTCTCCCGTCTTCTCCACCGTGCAGTCCCAATACGGGCCTTTGATTATATTCGCATGATACCTTAGATTCAAGGTCCCTGGGAAGGTGCTTCGGCGCTTCCCTTCTATGATAAAGCGGGAATTAAAAAAAGAATCCCGGCGGATGGTATAGAGGTCTTTATCGGTGACTTCAGAGCGCTGGCTCCCGTCTGCTCGCGTAACGGCGGGGACGGAGCGTCGGACAGTATTCGATCTGCCATTGGGAGACAGTGCAAATGCCAGGGAATAGAGAGCTTGAGAGGGAGGCGGCGGGAAGATGAGGTCGCGGTCGAGTGAGAGGAATTCAGGGGCTCTTTGGGCGGCTTGAGCCGTCGCCTGGAGAGCATCGAGCTCGGCGGGTGTCTGTTGAGGGGGGAGGCTCGATTGCTGGCGTTCGCTGGGATGCGTAGGTGAGGCTGGCGGGGTTTGATGGCTGGCTTGAGTTTCGGGTTGAGGTGGTGTGGACAGACTGATACCCGGGGCAGCTTCTAGAGGAGGTGAATGTTCCAATAATTGCCTATAAGGGTTGTTTGAGCTGAGAGGGCGTGGTTTAGGGGTTTCTGAGCTGGCTTGGTGTACTGGGTGAGAGGAGGATGGCTCAAAGCGTTCATCGAGTGTGTGGTCATTGTAGGAAGGGACAGCGTCACTAAATGATGGCGGGTGATCGCTCGAAGGGCTGAGCATGGAAGTTATACGTTGCGACATCTCTTGAGAGTCGTACGGAAACCTTGGTCTCCCTAGAGATTATTCGTCTTGTTGATAGCCTCCCAGTGATGGGTTGCCCATGGAATACAGTAGATTTGGAGCGATTCTCTATCAAAGTCAATAAGACTAGGTATAGAATGGGAAATATAGATTATGGCGGTAATGACAGACAACAGCACATCAATAATTCTATAAAAAGCAATACTTATTAAGTATCGTAGATCGTACTCAAATATGGTTGTCATCGATATGTAATGTGGCGGAGGAGCCCACCTGACGTCTGACGTCTGATGTCACGTGTTTCACCACTGTAGTCAACTCCAACACGAAATATGAGAACTGACAAACCTCAGTAGATGAACTGAATAAATTTTAGAAGATGTAATGTACTGAAATACCCTGATTGAACGGCAGCTCTTCATGAGTGTGTTCTGTGCCTACCTTTCATTATCCATCTTCAACATTCGCCTTGAAGCAATATTTAGGCGAAGTATTTCACGGGAGAATGTACTGGCCATAGTAAAAAAGCTTCATGTAGATGGTATATAAAGACGCCTTCTACCGCAAAACGCTTTTGTTTGAACTCCAATCCCCAACCGTTGGACTGCCGCTTACTCTACAATCTTTCCCTTGTTCACAACAAATGCCTCAATCGCAGCGATTGCAGCATACAACCTGTTCTCCGCCTCTGGGAAAACGAGACTCCTCGGGCTGTAGAAAACCTCGTCCGCAACCTCCTCTGGGTGCCTGGGCAGGCAGTGCATGAACTTCCAGCCCTCCTTTGCGCCTCCGCGTTTCGCGAGGTCGTTTGTGATTTGATATCCAGCGAAGGCCTCCAGGCGCTTCTTATATTCTTCCTCCTGACCCATAGAGACCCAGGTGTCTGTCACAAGGATGTCGGCATCCTTGATAGCTTCCTCTGGCACGCTTGTTTCGGTCAGTTTACCCGGGTTTGAGACTCCTTTTGCGGAGGCAAGGATGATCTCCTTCATTCGTGGTGGGATTGTGAAGCCCTTGGGGGAAGCTACGGAGATATCGACCCCCAACTTAACAGAGGCGATAGCTAAGTCGAAGAGAACATTATTTGAGTCGCCAATCCACGCAATCTTGAGGCCCTCCAGCCCGAGAGAGGGGTTTGTGAGGGAGTCCTTGACTGATGATGTGGGAGGGAATGTTTCGTGGATTGTGAGGAAGTCGGCGATTGTTTGGAGGGGATGGTAGTCGTTTGTGAGGGCGTTGATGACGGGGACAGAGGAGTGCTTTGCGAGATCGGCAACTTCACTGTGCTCGCCGGCGCGGACCACCATGCAGGAGGTCATAGAGGAGATCACGACGGATGTGTCGTAGAGAGACTCGTTAACCTAAAGCCATGGTGTTAAGAATCTTCAGAGTAAAAGGGGGTTTATCAAGGGTGGAGGGAAGTTGACTCACGCCAAGTTGAATATCGTCTTTACCCAAGAACATCGGGTGGCCGCCCATGGTGACTACTGCGGCTTCGGTTGAGACTCGAGTCCTTGTGCTTCGCTTGTTGAACATCATCGCTACGGTCTTGCCATTGAGAGATTCTTGAACTTTTTTGGGGACGAGACCCTTCTTGATATTGGTCTTGTGTGTCTTGGCACTCCTCACGAGGGTAACCAGCTCGGCCGGAGTGAGGTCTGCAATGGACAGGAAGTGACGAGGGGCGAACGGAGAGACGGCGGGGTCCGCGGGACTGGCAGGGCCTGAGTAAGTTCGCAATTGTGGTTTTGATAAACACCGGAGCGCAGTCCTGGCGGGACGAAGAGTCATACTGGCCATGTTGAAGCTAGAATTAAGACGTCAATTGAGAACTTGGAAGAAAAAGAAGAAGGACATAAGAGATAGAATACTGACATTGAACTTTTAATGGTTTTTGTATCGCAAATATTAGTGATGTGGTTAAATTCTTGCGAGAAACAAAAAATAGTTGTGGTTGTAGTTGAATGAACATGGATGTTGCCGATGAGTACAACTATTCGGGTATAATCTGAATTCCGGTGTCGGTCACTGGCCGGTCGGGGAAACTGATTCCGGCTTCCGGGGCACCGCCTGCTAGCGTCCCAACCTTACTCTCTTTTCCCCCGCGTTCACTCTTATCGGAAAGTGGTTCCTTATCGATAAGTGGCCGATCTTTAGTGGCCACTGACCACACGCACGGCCGTCGCCGCCGGAGCCTGTCGATGGCGTTTCCAAGGCACAGTGCATGTACTCTGTTGTATCATCGACGTCCTCAACCCTCAACATACCAAACACCTACTCTAATCATCAATATCACAGGCAACGGCGTTGACGAGCATATATATACCGAAGTAGCTCTTTCAACACTATTGCTACACACAGAATGAGCGCATAAGATACACCAAAGGGCTTACAAAGACAACCGGAACGATGCCGACGGACGACTCATCCCGGCCGCTGTTGGGCGACTCGGATGAGGTGGCTCATCGAGCATCGGAGGAGCGTCGCGAGGATGATACAGAGTATGCACCGCTGCTCTCGCATGGACACGGAACTCCACGATATGACGGAGAGGAAGACCCCGCGCCACTCTCACCAGCGTCGACGTCATTGCGGTCGATACAGAGCAACGATTCCAGCGCCTCGGCAACGAAGGGCAAATCTTGGGCTACTATCACAGCTATCACCGGCCTCTCTGTGTCGGTTTTGCTCATCATCTCGGTGCTATTTTTTGCACCAGCTGCCGTCGAAGAGTACAGCAAGCAGTCGATGGTTATCGACCCGTCCGGCCTGTCCATCGACTCGTTTACAAGCACTGGGGTGCGAGCCCGAGTGCAGGCAGACTTCCAGCTCGATGCAGCCAAATGCGAGAACTCTGTCATCCGAACCCTTGGGCGACTTGGAACTTACATCGCCCACACGGTCGAAAGCGACGAGACAGAAGTGAAGGTTTACCTTCCCGAGTACGACAACTTACTTATTGGCACTGCAACCGTTCCGAAAGTACACGCCAGCATCCGCAACGGCGAGGTCACGCATCTGGATTTCTTGACAGACGTTAAACCTGCCGAAACCGCAGACCTTCAGCGTATCGTCAATGACTGGCTTTCTGGACGGATGACACAATTGACGGTGAGGGGCATGATTGATGTTCCACTTAAGTCTGGCTTCTTCCGTCTCGGGAACAAAACCATATCTCCAACAATCGTTCTTGAAGGTTAGTTTCCCTATTTGAATACTTATGAATGCGTTGATTAACCTCCCTAGGCCACAATATCCCTAATATCCCGTCCTATAATATAACTCACATCAATATCGAGGAAACGAATCTGATGCAGGCTCGCAGTCGCAAAGCCATAATCAAGCGGGGCATGAGGGCAGATGCAACTCTTGTTGTTGACAACCACTATCCAATCAGCCTGTCAATACCACCTCTTCAGTTTGACATCCTAGTTCAGAACTGCGATGTGGTTGACCCATATATTATGCTTGCGGAGGCGTCGACGGATCGGGTCGATGTGCAGCCAGAATCGGATATCGAAGTCCATGCCGGAGGCGTCATACGGGAGCTCCCAAGCTCTTTAACCAAGCCCTGCCCTAGCACTACACTGTCGCCATTGGACGTGCTGGTGGGCGAGTATATGCACGGCAAGGACGCCACCATATATGTAAAGGGGTCCAAAAACCCATCGCCAGAAACGCCGACTTGGATATCCGATTTGGTTTCAGCCATTACAGTACCGGTTCCATTCCCAGGCCGAAATTTCGATGGACTGGTCAAGAACTTCACGTTCGCGGATGTACACTTTGGGTTGCCTGATCCATTTGCGGATCCGCGCAGCCCCGAATCAAACCCTCAAATATCTGGCACTATCATAGTCATGGCCAATCTACCGAAAGAGGTCAACTTTGCAATCAATGTCACCAACGTCCGCCCAACAGCGGATATTTTCTACAAGGACAAGAAACTCGGTGTCATGGATCTGAAGGAATGGCAAAAAGCACAATCTGAGAGGATTGATGCAACGGACGACGAAGATGCACTCTTAAAGATCCAGTCCAAGATCAAGGATGCGCCTATAAATATTACCGACCAGAGAGTGTTTCAAGATGTGGCACAGAAAATCCTTTTCGGAGAAGGCGTGACATTGGAAGTTAGAGCACTCGTGGATGTTGAGGCCGAAACTGTGCTGGGGTCATTAGTTGTTAGGGAACTTCCTGGGTAAGCAGAACAGCTAAAACCCATTAATTATCAAGGGAATACTAACATTTTACAGAGAAGGATCTGTCCCGGTAAAGGGTGGGATGTTCGGCCTAGATGCCTAGACAAGTCCGAGGCTGACGAAATCGCAGCTCCCGGAAATGGCGGCCTCAAAGGCGCTCTAGGGGGTATAAACCCCCAAGTATTCGACTTAAAAATCCTCGACACCGGCAAGAACTCGTTGACTCTGGAAGGCAAGGTCAACTTCACAAACCCTACGAATTACACCGCCACCATTCCATCATTGAACATCCATATTTTGAGCAACAACTCTGTTATCGGGCTAGCTACGGTGTCAAACGCTGAGGTCACCTTGGGCAACAATACAAACCTTGCTGTGCGAGTCTTGTGGGATCCCGCGACCTTGGGAGATGCCAATTCCTCAGCGAACGCACGAAACCTCATATCCCAGTACATATCCGGCTGGAACACAACCATCACATTCCAAACATACGACGGCAGTATCCCTTTCCAACCAGCCCTAGGTGAAAGCCTCTCCAAATTCCCCATCGAGATGCAAATTCCCCGCCTATCTTCTCCCCACAATGGCTCAGGCGACGATGACGACGACGAAGATGCTCCAGATCATCTACGATTCATCCAAGGCGCTACATTCCACATCTTCTCCTCCTCGGCTTCCTTCACCATCTTCTCTCCGCTCAAGGACACCCACATCTTCATCGAAACCATCAATGCCACAGCATTCTATAACCACACCGAACCAGTCGGCACTATCGTATATGACCTACCAATCGATGTTCCGCCTGGACTCAGCGAGACCGACAAACTGCCTGTAGATTGGGATCCGGACTCTATAGGCTACGACCGTATCCGCGAGGCGCTTGGTGGTGGACTGAAGCTATCAGCGAAGGCGGAGGTAGGGGTGAGGTTGGGGAAGTGGAAGGAGAAGTTATGGTTTGAGGGAGAGGGGATTGGTGCGAAAGTGAGATTGTAGATAGGATAGGACTGAGTTTGAATATGATGGCGCGATTGGGAGGGATTTTTGTATAGAGGCGTATTAGGCGTTGGGTTCCTCAAAGGTGCTGTTGTAGGGTTATGTTTTTAGAAGCGTTGGACTTTCGTCCTGAGTTATGTTTTATCACTCTCTGAGATTTCACGTGAACCTCGATATAAGAGGGTCATTGAGACCTAGAAATCAATAAGAATAATAAGTGAGATTCCCATAAAGATACCACATCGGTTCACCTAAAAATATGAAGCCCGACAATCAAGTCCTATGAGTCAGATACTCAACATGTACGATTCTTCCATGGGATTTTACTGTATATTTCACGCCATTTTGGGGCGACATTCGAGGTGCAGTCAAAACAGATAGTTCAAGATAATTCAAGTAGTATGACAGACCAATTGAACATTATAATCCGAGACAAGCTGCCTATCCCATACCTAACGAGCTAGATACCGACCATTTTTAGTTGGATTTCGATTTGTCTAAATACAAGAGCTCCAACAACCAACAACAACCACACAACCCACCTCCCGTACAATTCCCGTAGCATTGCCTAGCTACCGCCGAACAAACGAAGAATGACGCCGACTCCTTTTCACAATTTCCGCAGGCGAAACATTTATCCTGGTGGGAGCGAGCTGGCGTCGACGATCTCGTCCGCCTCCTTCAGATCGTCCTGGTGGGCGTCGAAGAGAGGGGAGCGCGGCAGCGCCATGAGTCCCGTGCGGGTAGACTCGAGGATGCCGAACGGGGAGACGAGCTTCATGAACGAGTCGATACGGGTGGGTTTCGCGGAACTAGATAGGTGTGAGTAACATTACATCACCGGCCATGTTTTAGGGATGAGGGAGTACTTACAGTTCAACAATACAGTTGTTGTTGCTGATATCCAACACCTTGCCACCGAACTGGTGAGCAAAGTAGGTGATGGACTTCAGATGCTCATGCTTCAATCGCAGCGCCTGGCTGAGCACGAGTTTGCTGGGGTGGAAGTCCGCGACCGCGCTGTGCTCCAGGCCGTGGTCTCCGATCTCGCCATCAATCTCTGCGGTGATCTCGCGGTGGTGAGCGAGCAGCTCCTCGAAATACTCTGGGCCGAGGATGTTGATCTTTGCAAGCAGCAGCTCGCGTTGCACAAGCGGCGCTTGAGTGTAATCTAAAACGGCCCAGACGGGGACGAGGTCCTCGAGCTGGCGGCGGGCCTGCTCGACAACGCCGTCTTGACCGGAAAGGACAATTGTCATGCGGGACAGGTCCTCGACCTCGGTGTGGCATACGACCAGACTGTCGATGTTGAAGCCGCGGGCAGCGAGAATCCCGGAGACACGGGAGAGAACTCCCGGCTCATTCTGAACCAGGCAGTTGAGGATGTGGCGTGTTGGAGGTGCTTTCGAGGGAGCTGGAGTCTCATAGAGGATGTTGGAGACGGCAGCCTGGGCAGACCATGCTGGGGAATCCTGTGTTGGGAGGGGGGTGATGCGGCGGTGAAGGGCCTTGTATGCAAGGGCTGAGGTTGATGATGAGGTCGACTGAGACCGCTTCGCCGCAGTGATGAGGGAGCTCGTAGGAGTGCGAAGCTTGAGGATGGAAGTGCGAGCTGCCATGGCGACGACAAACACCCAATCTGGGGATTTCAATTGACGTCGCTGAGGCAGTTGTGGATGAAGTCGTAAAGACTTCTTTGATATGTGAGTCAACACCACCGCAATTGGAATCTGTGAGGTTGAGAAGCCAGAGCTCGGCTTTGTGGAAAATTGTCCCCGATGTCGCTAAGGGCCGTGTGCCTTGACCATCACCTGCGCTTTGTTTCGGTGGGGGAGGAGGGACGGGGCTCCGTTGTCCGTTGAAAGTGTGGAGCTAGCGATGAGTAAGGCTACCAGGCCCCGGTCGCAAAATAAAGAGGCTGAAAGAGCCATACGAGGGTCAAAAGTAGAGCCATACGTGACATTAATTTGTTGCCAACGAACGCTGTTAACTTGATTATATCTTCACTATTTGAAGTATTCACCTTTATCTTGCCGGCGAGGTTAGAGGCGACAGGAAAACTACCTGTTACAGCTTCTTTGCACTCGACAGGAAGGCCTGCGATCGACCAACCTTTTTATTTATCTTACCACCTCGGCCATCATGGACGACACCGAGAGGAGGACGGCCAAGAGGTCACGCTTCGACCAGAAAGAGCCAGCACCACGGGCTTCGCGCTTCGATCGCCGCTCAAGATCACCCCCGCCAGCCAGGGAGAGAGATGCCCGAAGAAGCAGGAGTCCCATGAGGAGGGAGAGTGGCAGCCCAGCTGCTGGGGAACCTGCGAAGAAACCAGCTCTGGATCCTGCTGTTGCTGCGGGTATGTTTCATAGTAAATTTAAACCAAGACACAACTAACATCTGATAGCTGCCGTCGCATCGCGCATCCAAGCCCAGATGCAAGCCAAAAAAGGTATCCAGCATGTCGACGTTCCTCCGATTCGATCTACTGGCAGTCCCGCCGAAGTGAAACCTCCGACCCCGAGCACAGCTATGGAAACAGGCACCATCGGAACAGTCAATGGCGACATGTACATCGCAGACGGAGATTACATCCGTGACATCGAAGTCAATGACCTCCGAAACAGATACACACTGACCAAAGGCTCTACTCAAAAGATGGTGAATACCCCCTTGTGTCATACCCACTGATATCCCCAGTTCCCTCAGACCTCCTAATTCATAATCTTTCTTCCCCCCGGGGAGTTCCATACCCCCTCTCTTACCTTGTGTGGGACCTGTCAAGCTTACTTGAAGCGCGATAGAATTCATATAAACCTCTGTGGCACCTGCTGACGTCCGCTGCGTGATATAGATCAAAGAAGAAACCGGCGCTGGTACGCTATTCCCGAATTTAACGCTTTTGTAGATTTAATATTGACTTTTAAAGATATCACGACACGCGGAGAATACTACCCCGATAAGAGCATGGCCACAGCAGCGGTACGAAATACCATGATAGAAGGATGGACTGGTTACTGATATTTTCTTAGAAACCACCACTTTACCTACACGTTACGAGCACGAGCAAGGTTGGCCTCGAGCAAGCCGTCGAAAAGATCGAGGAGCTCATGAAGCAAGAACTGCCTAACCTCGTTGACGAGAGGCGCTTCAGAAGGCGAGAGCCAGATGCTGTTGAGCGTGATGAGTTCGGCAGAGTAGGTATATGTTAATACGTTAGGGAGAGTACTGCTAACCTTGTGTAGCGCAAATGGCCAGAGGAGAAAATTCCCATCGACTTCGAACCTGTACCAGGCTTCAACCTAAGAGCTCAAGTTGTTGGTCACGGGGGCGCCTATGTCAAACATATCCAGCAAGAAACGCGCTGCCGCGTGCAAATTAAGGGCCGAGGTTCCGGATTTATGGAGCATGCGACAGGACGGGAGAGCGACGAAGACATGTATCTGCACGTTGCTGGCCCGGATCCCAAGGAGGTACAGCACGCTAAAGAGCTTTGCGAGGATCTCCTGGCCAACGTAAGAGAGCAATACGAGGAGTTCAAGTCGAGGCCACAGCCCCAGCGCGGGTTTGGTGGAGACAGAGCTCCAAGTACCGGCTATGGAGGTCAGAGCGGATATGGAGACAGGCAAAACAACGGTAGACACGACTCATACGGTGGTGGTGGTGGAGGCGGCGGTGGAGGATATGGTGGATACAATTCCCCAGCAGCTGCTGCCCCGGCTGCCCCATCAGCCCCACCTGGAGCTGCCAGCCCTGCTGCCGGAGCGGACTACGCCGCTCAGTATGCCCAGTACTATGGCGGTCAAGATCCGTATGCGGCTTACGGTGGCTATGCTGCGTATGTCGCATACTACCAGTATTACGCCGCCCAACAAGCTGGAGCTGGCGGTGCTCCTGGTGCAGCGCCTGGCGCGGCACCAGGCGCGGCCCCGGGCGCTTCTACAGCCTCTTATGCACCTCCACCACCCCCGAGCGAAGCACCCCCACCACCTCCAGGGTCTGGACCACCGCCTCCCCCAGGACCACCACCTGGAAATGGCTACAATGCGGTATAGTATTCCCGAACCTCCTCGACCCTGATCAGCACTAACGATGAATTAGGTCCCTCCCCCACCAGGATTGTAAGACTGATGGTAGCTGAATGAAGCTGACTGGTCTTCGAACCAATCATCACTTCTCACGTCATCACAGGAAAATGGACCGTTTATGGAACAGACAGGGTTGGGAAATAGAGCGGCTATTTGGTACCACGTAGCACTGTAATACTGATAGACGCGTGTCGTCCAAATTGAAAAGATGATGGGCTGAGACCAAGGGTTCGAACTGCTTCCTACTATTTGCTATTTTGGGACCGACTAGTAAGTCAGACAACCTGGCTAGTGGTTCTGGTTCTGACACAAATCCATTGTCCATGCGTGACCGTGACATCTCGAGTTCCCGACGGGACATGATCTATCTTTGCTTGTGCAAGAGACATGCCAGACGAGACCATGAATGCCCGAAAGAATGCCACTGAATGATATGGACACGCTTGGCTACGGCTGCGTTTGCTGAATCCGGCCTGACGCATGGACTCCTGCGCAAGCGTCCGTTTGGACTAAAAACAAAAAAAGGGGGCTAGATTTCTAGCATCTTTGCCCCTGCCACATATGTGGTTTATTTTCGAGTCCGAAACGTTCGTGTTTGCAAGGTTCTAGAATCAAGTTCAGGGATCGGAATTTGGACCCTTGACACTATGGGGGGATTTTTTTTGCCCGACACGACAGCTGGCAGGGGGGAAACAAAGATGCACAAAAGATGACCCCTTGTGTTGTGGTTTCCTGGATTTGTGCTATGAAAAATAACCCGATTTGAGAGATGGAAGAGCACAGAAAATGTTGTGTACGGGCAAAACGGCATTTCTCTGATCCATTCATCCTTTATCTTATGTATGACACCCGCCGTTGCCCTTGAACTAAAATGTTTCATACTAACTGGACCTTGGCTGTTAGCGGCCACTTTATCTGTGTAGTTTGTTCCATCGTAAGGAAGATCTTGGACAGTCTTGGTAGTTAGTTGTGCTAGTGGTACGCGTAGTAGCGGTGTAGCGTCCTTTTTTCGATCGTCTCGCTCTCTCTTGGATCCGGAATAAGTTTTAAACAATTAAACAGCGCATAGATAAGTTGTATAAGTTGTAATAGTTGTAATATTGTAATAGTTGTAACGTTGCAACAGTGTAAAATCCATAAATCCGCACGGCTAACGGCTAACTTCGTATGGCGGTTACGAAAGTACTGTACGTATCGTACTTCGTTTACTGATCGCACTGGAGTTAGTTAGCAAGGTAAGTCCCTGTAAGTCCCTGTAAGCCCCTGTAAGCCCCCTGTAACTCCCTGTAGTTGGTCCCCTAAAAAATACGAAGGAAGGCCCGTTAGCACCCTAAATATCCCTACGCAACCCCCCTACGCAACACCCTAATCCCCCCCCAGTCCCTCCCGTTATTTCACGCACCGACAACACCAACTGCCCCACCAAATGTGGAGTCCTTCCGATCTCTCACAAGCAAGCATCCCCATTCCATCTTCAATATCCATATCCTCACATTCCCCCTCATTCTATACCCAAGCACACTCCCAAACTCCCACTCCCCGGCAAACCAGTGGCTACTGCAAATGATCGCTTTGGGATCTTGGGTTACAATCAGGCCTTGCCGTCATATCTTTTCCTTTCCTTGAACCTTAGCCATCCATTAGCCGATTAGCAACTCGCACAATTGCCAAACAGAAAGTTGCAACCCCACAACTATATTTCGATGACAACATAGCTCACAAATCGTTTGCCCTGGGCGATAATTCCTATACCCGCGACTGCTCAAACAAACGCCCCAAAGACGCACACACACGCCCACCATGGACCCGTCATCAGCTCCCCTCGCGGACTACTTCTGGATCGCTGGCATCGACTCCGTCTCCTACCACGACCTCCCCGAAGCTCCCAACAGCGGTCACACGACAAACGGCCTCCCGCCCGTGGGAGACAACACCATAGCCGAAAACACTATAGCAGAAGGCCCCGAAGAGGGACAAGACGAGCCGATCCTCGGCAGCGCACCACGAGGCTCGACGGCACGACACTCGCGCGGCTCCCTCCAACGCCTGTCGCGCCTGTCGATCGACGCGCGAAACTCGATCCAGTCCCTCGAGGGACTCGATACCTATAGCGGCAGCAACAGGTCTTCGCTGACTGTGCGCGCCGTGCCGAGCAATGGGACGACGCAGGAGTCGCTCAAGCAAGGCCTGTCGGATTTCGACTTCGATAGGGCGCTGGTCAAGTTCGCGAATGAGCGCGAAGTCTTTTTGGATGATTTGAGCTTCAGCGCGGGCACGGTGATGCAGAGCAGGCCGCCTATGACGGCGAGGGCGGAGAAGATAAAGCATGATGAAGATGGACTGGGTGGCAGGAAGAGTCCGTTTGGCAGGGTTGGTGGGAGCATACGGAGGAAGATCAGCTTTAGGGACCTGAACAGTTCCAAGAAGCAGACTATAAACCGGAGTGGTAAGTTATATTCTTGGGATTTGCTGCTCGCAATTGCGCGCAAGACATTTTTTATATTGGCGGTGTCGCTATTTGTGCCTTTTGGTTTTCAGATTGGCACACTGGGCGAGAAGATACGAGTCTATTCGCACTCTATTGATGTGTATAATAGAACCCCAACTAACACAATATAGTCTCGAGCCGCACCTCCAAACGATTGAGCAACTATAATTCCGTTATACCACCACCTGAACCCCTAAACGCGGACCCTGATATGCACCCTTTAAAACGACGCCTGGAACCCGTGCTCCTTGACAGATACCCACCGAAGACTGCAACGGACGAACTGCAGAGAAGGGGACGGTTCCCCGATTATGTCCCTATGTTCGCTTTCCCTAACGATATCAACATTGTCTCCTCAGACGAGAGGCCTCGGTCCACGTGGCACGGATTTGCAATGACTGGAGATGATAATGCTAAAATATACGGAATTACTGTGATAGTGTGGCTACCCCTTGGCACCGATGCGGCTGCGGCACTGGAGAGAAAATGCGAAGATTGGCGTCAGAGCCATATGACGAATGAAGAGCGGGAGTTGGCAGCAAGCCTGGGTGAGAGATTGGCCGGGGAAAGAGCTCACTTATCGCAACTCCTTACTCAGCTCCCGGCGATGACCTCTGGGTCATCTGCCCGTGACGATCTCGAGGAGCGAATTAGCTCGGTCGAAGAGAAGATTTCGTTGATGACGGACATGTTGAGACCTGTGAGACATGGTGCAGCATCAAAAATAGAGGGTCTGACGGACGGTGATACAGGTCTCTGGACCCCAAGGGCTTATGGGATTCTGGGGCGCGATGCTGGGCTAACGAGCTTCTGGAAGGAGTGGCTTCGGGCTGTTATTGTGCCTATGACGGACAGCGGCGTGTTACGGGTTCCACCAAGTTCACCTAAAGTGGGCCGGTGGCAGCCGCTAGAACGATATGTTGTGAACCTGTGCACCGAAGCACTGTCACCTATCACTTCCAAGACGCAGGTCGAAATTGCTGTCCGAGAGCTTCGATTATTTGCCCGAAAGGAGGCTGTGAACGAGCTGCCCGAGTCGAGAAACGCGGACCTGTATGCTCTTTTCAGGGCCTTGACAATCCCGAATATCGTGGCCTTGTTGGAATTCGCCCTATCAGAATCTCGGATTATATTTTTGTCGTCACACACGGCTATGCTGCATTTAGCGACCAAGGCATTGATAACGCTGCTGTACCCATTCAAATGGGCAAGCATCTTCATTCCTGTGCTACCTGCGCGCCTTATTTCCGCATTGGAGGCCCCTTGCCCGTATATTGTGGGTATTGAGCGACGATACGAGAATGTTGATTTGCCAGATGACGACTATGTTCTCGTGGATTTGGATAACGACACCATCGAGTCTACTACGCCACCAGTGTCTCTACCGCGGCAGCAGAGGCGAAAGCTTTTCTCCTTGCTTCAGTTAGCGGCACCGCACCATAACAAGTTCGGCGTTCCTGTTGGGCCTCCGCCGTATGCCATCGAAACTTTCCCATACGATGCGTTCTCAGGTGAAATTCCATCCCTATTTACGCAGAACTCTGCGCCAAGCACGCTCTCCAAGTTTGTTAGCCAGAGCTCAACCACATTCGTTGAAGAAAACGTTAAAACGACGTCTCGGCCGCTCGTTTTCAACGCCTTCCTCCAGTCTAAGAATGACCACACTCGTGTTGAGCGTCCGTCGACTAGCAAGTCAAACACCCCTTCTAGTCCGCCACAAACAGCAATCTCTCCCAACTCGACCCATTTCCCGAACATGCCAAACAGCCCAATGATTCGCAACGAGTCCGGTTTCACCTTGACGAGCACTCTGAAAGAGAAACGCTCTGGTCATTTTGAGCCCAGTTCCAGACGATCTTCGTCCTTTGGTGTGGGCGACAATATCCCGTATCGCAAACCAGAGCCGCGGTTCACAGCGGGGCACTCGGCATCCTTGTCGGCGTCTGCCATCTCCATAGACAGCAAGAGCATGTACGGCTACGCCCCCAGCAGCTACGCAGTTAGCACACTGGCAGCGAGCACGGTTATGCCGAGCATGCTCATGCAGCCTGTCAGCTCGTCCTCGGAAACAGTTTGGGTTGAGGGACATTGTCTCAATTGGGAGAGCCATGATACTTCCTCCGTCTGCTCTATATGTGACGAGAAAGCCGACAGTGATGGAACATACGGCTGCAGCGGCTGCAGCATCACCGCCCACGCCCGTTGTCTTGGCCAGGTGAGCTTAATCTGCCCATCGGCGTTTAACGCGGACAAGGTCAGAGCCGCTTTTGTGAGATGCTTCGCCAGCTTTCTGTATACATACCGCAAGCATTTGAGACCCGCGACTACCAAAGAGCAGAAGGCCGCGAAGCAGTTATATGCATTTGACATGGAGGGTTTCGAGAGAAGTCTGCCCGGGGAGATGTCCGACTATGTTGGAGCTTTAAGGCAAACGCAGGGTATGTCTAACTTCAACCCCCCCTTCTATGAACCCGCGCACTAACACACAACAGCATTCAACGAATTCATCCACGAGCGCGAAACCACCCCCGCCTCCAGCCCCTCCATCCGCCTCTTCGACGAAATCATCCTCGCCAAACGCAACCGCGGCTTCTCTACCTCCTCCTTCTTCTCTAAAGCCAAGACCTCCTTCCTAGAAGACCGCTCCGACCACCTCTGGCGAAGCGCCAGCGTGCCCAGCCCCAGCGGCGCGTTCAAGGGCGAGTACAAGAGCGTCATTTGTCGTATGCCGGCAAGGTTGGATCCGGAGCTCATGAGGGAGCCGAGGGTTATTGGGGGGGTGCCGAGGGTGGTGGTTAATGGGGGGAAGAGGATGGGGAGGAAGGCTGTGCCGAGTCTTTTGGGGCCGAGGGGGGTGAATTGAGAGGGGAGAGGGAGAGGGAGTGAGTGAGTTTGGATATCAAAAGCTGGTATGATATCGTTGTAAGATTGGATCGAGGGCATTTATTTTCTGCTGACTTTGGCATTTCGATTTTTTGAGTCATCTCCGAAGAGTTGGGATGTTTTTTTGCATTTTGCATTATTTTGTGTGTCGATCTTCTTTTTTTTTGTACTTCGAGGGCGAGCGATATGGCGCGGAGCGATGTATATGGGATGTGCGTGCGGACTCCGCTGGATGGGAAAAGTGATCATTGAGTTGAGGGGGAGGTGGATGTTGGGAGTACTTTGGTTGGACATGTGGGGGGAATGTATAGCGAGCGAGGCGGGTGAGGAATAGATGAGGTAGAGGTGTAGAGGGAATGATGATGAATTAGATGATGGTGGACTGGCTTTTTTATAAGAGACTGGTGATGGTGAAGGTGATACTGACTTGTGGTGAAGATGGTGTTGGCGTTGTGTTGTGGGGACTGCTACGGGTTGTTCGTTCGACTGGTGATTTAGATGTGTGGGAAGGGGGATTCTCTTGGGATTCTTCGAATACTGCATCGTCTCCCAGGCTTCACATCTTATAGAATGGTATGAAAGACTTTCTACCTCTGACTTGCTTCTCAATCATCGGCTTTGCCGGGTCTTGACTGCAATAAGAGGCTCCCCCTCACAAGATTACTATTTCTTCTCCTTCCTCCTCTTCTTTCCCTTCTTCTTCTTCTTTCCGTTCCCCTTATTCCTTCCCTTCTTCTCCTTCATATTAACTCGTCCCAGCAGCTTATGACAAGCTTCCTCCAACAACCTCTTTCCCCAATAAGCCCTGCTCTCAGCTTTTGACGCTATAAAAGGGCTTTTGGTTACAGGGTCCTTCTTCCTTCTTACAACATTGACCACTTCGATCTTGCGCTTCGATCATGCTTTGATCGAAGACCTCTTCGCAAACCCCTCCATCCATCTTCCAACATCGTTCACTTCGATCTTGTCTTGGTTGAGGAACTCTACATTCAACACATGCCTTTGGGGCCTACGGAGCCTTTCGAAGCTTACTTTGCATTCAATATCTGATACTCCTCTCTAATAATTGAGTTTGCCCACGTCGATCTCAGCGTAAGTTTCCAATTCACTTTGTCATCCACTCTCTCTTTCGTCTTCACGTCTTGTAGCACTCTATAAGAGGCTTTCCTTCACAGTCTTGGTTCTCCTTCCTTGCTTCATCGCATGTTTGAAACTTCACTTGAACTATCTCCTTTGGGCGTCTGGATTCGACATATACCACCTCCGTGATGTGAAGAGGCTTCCGAAGCTCTATCTTAATCAAATATCTTATTCCTTTCTTCTCATTTGGCGCATCTTCTCATTGTCAACTACCCACCCCAACTTCAGTGATATTGTCATATTCATCCTAGGCTTATACCATCAGCCAGGCATTCGCCAACTCCGATCTTCAAGCCTCGGTTTCGGTTACTCTGCTTCAAATTCAGTCGGTAGCAATGGCTATCTCCGAATCCCTTAAAGGGGTATCGGTTTCTATCTCAATCAATGGGATCGAGAGCCGGGAATACAAGGCCCCAGAAGAGGAACAGCATCATTATCCAAAGCAAACTAAGCTTATATATATCGAGTCTATCTCCGGAACGAATTACGCCATTCTCAGCAAGGTCGACCCGCAATACAGGCTTAAATCCGCCCTTGAGTTCCAAATTCAAGTTGACAACACAAAGTTGTCAGTCGCCCCTCTATTTGTTCCAAAGAAGATGTCTAATTCCTGGATGAGAACTACCGACGGGATGGAGCAGATCAACAGACACGGAAAAGAATCGAAGCGGCTATTCAAATTCTCCGACATTAAACTGGGTAATTCAGCAGCACGAGCGACTTCATATTACTGATGAAGCTAACTCGAATATCGTAGTTGACACCAGTGATAAAAACCGTGTTCGAAACGACGCAAATGCCGCAAAGCACGTTGGGGAAATCAGAGTCACCGTGTTCCGCAAGCAAATTCTCGAGCAGACAAGCGCTGAGACTGGAGGCCAGCGCAATAACACTAATCTTGAGATCGCCGAAAAGGCCGTGAAGGGGCAATCAATCTCCCATGGTACCGAGTAAGTTCCCATGCACATTCAACGTGGACCAAGAAGCTAACAGGAAGGAGGTTCGGAGAGGCGATCCGTACCAGAAGCCGCGCAATCATTTTTGAGACGAAACCTGCAAGGGGAGCCCGTGAACCGGCTGCGGTTTTCATCTTCAGATACCGATCGAGAGGTTTGTTTGCGTGTTTTCCATGATAGCCATCCGACGTACGAATGCTAACGGCATCAAAGAAGCGCTGCAGGCTGAGCACATCATCCCAAGGGCTCAAAGTGAAGATATCTTGCACGGATACTCTGAAGAGGACATTCGCCGCATTGCACGGGAGCGCCTATCTGAAACTCAAGTGTGTAATATCATCCCTGAAATCATGGAGCTGAACTGACACCAAATAGGACAGTAAGGTGAATATTAAGAAAGAGCTTAATGCTGATGGGGGACTTTGGGCCAAACGCTCAACTAAAGAGAAAAGTTACACGTTCGATCTCACCGGAGACGAAGTAGTGGAAGTTGAGGAGACAAAGGCCCCGAAGCCGCCAGCGGAGACTGTCGATCTCTGTGGTAGCAACGAAATGGAGCCTGGGGCATGTGGTAGCACGGATCCGATTCAGCCGGGGGGTCTTTTTTTTGAGGATGAGGATCGAGGTGGGAACGGCGACGAGTATTACTTCGGATTTTGAATTCGGAGTCGCTGGTAAAGCAGGGAGCCTTGGAGTTGGGTAGATAAGAGAAGATGGCCATTTTGAGAGATTTCAACTGGTAAGCTACATTAGATTTATGGCAATATTGGGCTGGGGAGTAGTGATCAAAGGAAGTCAGTTTAGCTTCATCTCGAATAGTTTGAATTGACTTCTCAAGTTATAAATATCTGATTCTTACAATGGTGATGTTGAGAATCGAAGTAATGCTTCAGACTGTAGTGGTGAAGGTGAATGTGGAAAGTAGAAGGAAATAGTTGGCTATCTTATAATTTAATTGCACCCATACAAAAATAATAGATGCAAAAGAACAGTTGTAAAGCTAAACTGAGAAACTCATATTCAGTGTATGAGAGAGGCTGACAAAGAGGTGGGTAGTTGGCTGATTCCCATCTTGCCTGTTGACTCGGAACGGAAGGACATATTGCTCGTGATATGTCTATGTAAATTAAACAGAGCTGGGAGTTTGGAGGTTTTATATTGTTGCATACTCTCAAGTTGGAGCTGCACTCACTCTTCTGAAATGATGATAGCTATAGTCAATTTCAGGACACTAATTACTTCAGAACTTCATACTCTCTCTTATATTTCAGACAGCACGAGTGGCATAACAACAAACAAAAGAATCATAAGAGGTTCGCTTCTCCTCCCTGTCTTCGAAGGCTGCAGCCTCGCCTGGACGTTGCGTGCAGCTTCGACCGAATACACAGCTCGGAATAAACAAACATTTCCTCTCAGCCTTGTTTCTCACAGCAGCACGAGTTCACACTGCTGGACAGTCAAATTCACCAACAAGATCGCCAAGAAGCAACGTGAGTTGAATTTATTTACATTATTGCACTGAGGTTGGCACGCGTGTGCTTTCTGTAATCATCCAGATCTCAGAACCGCTTGTTATCCTCAATCTCACACCTCTCTAGCAAGTCCACCCATCTTGTCACAACACCTACCTTCACTATGGCCATCCTCGAGGCAGTCCCGGGAGTTGGCGTCTCCATTTATATTAATGGACAGCCAGTCAAGGAATACGAAGACGACGGCGAGGAAGTGAGTGGGCCCTTGGCGCCAAAGACTGTGGTGAAGTACATCGAAGCCATCTCCGACGCGGAGTTTGCAATACATGCATCTGTTCTTCCTGCCTTTCGGGCGCATGTGCAGACGATATATGATCTTGCCTTTCAAGTAAACATTGACGGCAAATGGGCTGCGGGTCGTTGCTGGCGAGAAGCGGCTGAGGCTGCCCATTCTTCCTGGAACAGCCAGATAGACGGGTTCTATAGCGAAGACGCGACCGGCAGACCAACTGTGAATCCCTTCAAGTTTGCTGATGTTGAACTTGGTAGGTTTGCTATCAACAAGCAGCCTCAGAGAGCGCTAACAATACGAAGTTGAGGTAGCAGATAAGGCTAAGATAGACCAAGATGTCAAGGCCGCAGCTGCTTTAGGGCAGATAACTGTTGAGGTTCTCCGTGTTAAAATAGGGGGGGAAGTCAACTGCCGTGCAATTTTGCCCAAACAAGTCGTGTCCGAGATTTCAGAGAAAGCCGTTAAAGGTCGCGCTCTCTCACATGGAACAGCGTAGGTCCAGACTCTAAAGTGCAACAAGAACATTTGCAAAGCTGACATGTCTATAGCTTTGGCGTTGCAAAGACAGCGCCAGGACAGAAAACTGTAGACTGTGTTCTTATTGACGGCAAAGACGAACCCTTGGCTCGCTTTGTATTCCGGTATCGCTCAAAAGGTAGGATGCCAGATAGAAGAGTCTCAGGTACTAAGAGTCTAACCTCAATACAGAGGCACTCCGCCAGCTCCTGATCATCCCAAGATCCCCATCTCCAGACCTCTTTGATGCCTTGCCAACAGCAGAAAGGGAGCGTTTGGCCCGCGAGGCTTTTCAGCAACAACAGGTGCCTTATGTCTCGCGATTTGATTGTCAGATGAGAGGCTTACTTCTATCAGGATCCAAAACCCGAGCCAGGGATCAAACCAGAGAGAATCATCAAAAGAGAGCGTCGCGATTCAGATATTGTGGATCTGACGAGCGATGCACCGACAGCAAAGCAGAGGAAGACGACGATGGAGGCCCCTATTGACCTGACCGACGACTGAGCGGCTCAAGATACACCCAGCATATTTATTCGCAGTATGGCTATATACAGCAGGACGAGAAATTTCTTTTTGGCGTCATAACAATACCATACCATCGCCGCGACGGCGTTTTGAGCAACAGGCTGAATTCTGGAAAGGTTGGCAAAACCGACATAAGAACTCATATTTGAGAATAGCGTGGCTGATTTCCGGAAACGGTGGCTAAACCGGGCCAAGAACTTGCATTGATGGCGAATACGTCTCCCAAACATTGGTGTTTATTGCCTTCATCAGATAGCAGGAGCAATGATATTATATTCCAATAAATCCGCCGAAGCGTCCTTTCATTAATATTAATATTAGCATTTCCATATACGCTCAGAGAAGCACTTTCGTAGCAACACTCAACAACCATGCGGCGTCTCCCCACCCCCCTTCTTCAGATCCTTCCGGCGGCGGGGGCAACACAACCCCCTGCTCCTTCGCCTCCTTCTCAAGCATTTCCCGCCACTGCTGCCTTTCTCGTTCTTTCCTAGTTCTCCCATACCCCTCTCCATCCGTATCAGTAGTCTCTGTCTCACCCCCCTCCCCTTCCCCATCCGTCTCCTCCCCATCCTCTTCCACAGCAAATAGGCTCCACCCCATCAGCCGCTCCACCCACGTCCCCAGACCTAGCGTCCCCGTCTTCGCAAGCCGCCGCATGAGCATCTCGTCATAAAGGGCCTGCGCAGGCTCCGCGTCAGCATCCTCATCGATATCGACAAAATCTGGTTTCGCCATATCGATGCCACCGAGCTGGAAGTAGCTGTCCATCTCCGGCGCCTGGAGGGGTGTGAGAACCAGACCCGACCTACTGCCCCGACGAGATTGTACACGCGACTGAACGCGGCTCTGTGTGCGGGAGGCAAAGCGCGAAGCGCTCCGGCTGTGTGCGACGAACGATCGTGTGGTGACGGGGGATAGTTCGTCATCGGCGTCTCCGCTCGGGCGGCGTGACCGAACAAAGCCGTATTCAGCGACACGGTCATCCTCCGAGTCTTCGTCATTATCGAGGCCCGCCAGGGAGGTAGAGCTAGCGCGAGACACGAGCCATGCCTGGCCCTTCGACTCGCGTGAGGCCGAGGTGATTAGAGAGCCAGTGCGGAGCAGCCAGTCGTCGTCGTCGGGCTTTCTGCGATTGAAGAACCCAAGCGCGAAGTCTTCCGATGCAATAGATCGGTGCTTGTTTCCCTGTGTTGGGCGTGGCCCTGGAGTAACAGCACCGCTTTTATGGACATGCGACTTATGGTATAGAGCGGAGGTGCCGTCTTTGTGGATTTGTGTGCTCGACTTGGACTTTGGGATGCCAGATGAGCTTAGGCGGCGCCGGGGTCTGGTGCGCGACGGAGAGCGGGAGCTGGTCAGAATGCCGGGCGACGGCGGGACAGAGGCGGTTTCTAGGTATGAGAGGCGGTGTTCGGGTCGTGGACGTTGTGGACGTTGTGGAATCTGCGCTTCGTCCGCATCATCAATGGGGAAACGGGAGGTGAGGGGCGCGAGGGAGAGGGCGTTCAGTGAGGTCGAAGAGCGGTTGTGACGCCGAATGTGCGGCGAGTGTTGATAGTATGCCTCATCCATACTGGCGGTTGTGCTATTGACTTATAGCCAAGTATGGGAGGATCTTTGAGCTTTATAAGGCGGAGGAGGTGGAGTTGACGTCGAGTTATCGGATGATATCGCGATTGGGAACCTTGGTAGAATCTGGGGAAGCAAGCTCTCGCTTCGGATAAAGAAGGCTGGAATGTGGACACTTATGTGCACGTGAGCGGTGTGAATTGTCACTGAAATTATAGCCAAGCGGACTCCTCTTTTTAATTTGATTTCCAGATAGCTAAGATATTACGAGGCAGCGCTATAATTACAATCCCATGTGATTAAGTGCGATTAACAGCATTGATTGCTATTTTCTACGAATGCTAAGGAAATAGTTACGGCCTTATAATTAAGGCCACAATATGTCGACATTCTAGCCATGTCCCTGAAAATTGACGATAGGCGATAAACGATAATGATAGCCTCGTCAAAAAGTTTGATATTGCCACTCTACACCCTAGATCCTCCGTGTAGCACGTGAGGCTTGTGAAGATGCGCAATCTAAGGAATATCAAGTATGAGACTTGGAGGAGTCCCGATGAATTTTCAGTGAGAAGCATTACGGCGACGGCGTGGGATACAAGTTCGGACAGCGCGATTGTGGCATATGGGCCAAGCGAACATGATACCCTTGTCGAGCTGGTCAGAGTAAACAAGAAGGGCAACAAAAAGTGAGAACCCACACTGTACACACTGGGCATATTGGAATTGACTTACTGACGGCGTTTCTAGTGAGCATACTGTCATTACTTCCTGGGACGCGCCATGCCCAAACCCTGACCTTGCCTGTGATGAGATCCTATCCTTATATTACTTTGGCGACTCCCAGACAGCATGTCTCGTCTTAGCTGGCGGCGACATTGTGGTCGTCAGAGAGGAACCATTGCCAGGAGAAGACCGTATTGAGATTGTAGGATCAGTCGATGCAGGTATCACCGCAGCGAGGTGGTCACCTGATGAGGAACTGCTGGCGATCACAACGAAAGCTGACACCGTCGTCTTCATGAGCCGCAGCTTTGAAGGTATCATGGATGTTACAATGACTGCAGAGGACCAAAAGGCTAGCAACCATGTCAATGTCGGCTGGGGAAAGAAGGAGACCCAATTTAAGGGGCGAGGGGCGAATGCTCTCCGAGACCCGACAATGCCAGAGAAGGTCGATGAAGGCCTCTTGAGCCCAAACGACAAGAAAGACGCTACGATTAGTTGGAGGGGAGATGGTGCATATATTGCTATCTCCACAGTCCAAGAAGGCTTACGGCGTCTTATTCGTGTCTACTCGAGAGAGGGTGTGCTTGACAGTGTCAGTGAGCCTGTTGATAACCTCGAAGGAGCCTTGAGTTGGAGACCTGCAGGGAATCTGATGGCCGGCGTTCAAAGGTTTAGTGACCGTATCGACATTGTTTTCTTTGAGCGAAATGGTCTCCGTCACGGGCAATTCAGCTTGAGACTGACTCCCGAAGAGATGGGAACATTCGGGAAGAACATCTCCTTGGCATGGAACAACGATTCTTCTGTTCTTGCAGTTATATTTGAGGATAGAGTTCAATTTTGGACGATGGGCAACTACCACTGGTACTTAAAGCATGAGATCGCCACCAAGACGACGTTTGCAAACTCTTTGGTCTGGCACCAGGAGAAGGTTCTACGAATGATTGTTGCCAGCGCTGATGGTATCAACATCATAGAGTATATTTTCACTGTTGCTAAAAGCTCTACGATGCCGCCACATGATTATGGCGCTGTTGCCGTCATCGATGGCAAGAATATCAAGCTCACGCCGCTCAGATCTGCCAATGTTCCTCCTCCAATGGCTCACTACGAACTACTTATTAAAGAAAACACGATTGATGTTGCCTTCAATGCCGAGACTTCTCGCATTGCTGTGTTGCACCAAAGTGGCATCGAGGTTTATGATTGGGTAGTATCAGGAACCACATCATCCGTTCCTACTCTCAGTGGCCGATTCACTTTTGAGAAGGATTCCGAAAGCAGTTATCTCCATGCTAGCTTTGATGAGGATGGAAATGTTTTGGTCTTGAGACGTAATCTTGAAGACGGCACATCGAGTATTAGCTTCCACGGCTTCGACAGCGAGTCTGGGCGTATGATTGAAACTAAGCCCCAAAGTCACGAATCAGCCATTAGCCTTTCGAGCTTCGAGCAGGATGGCAAGGATCACGCGTTTATCCAAGGCTCGTCTGGAGATGTTCATAGTACCGATGCTGCTAATGCCTCCCTTAACCACTGCAAGCTCCCTGCATTTCTGCCCTGGGTCGAGATTATTCAGCACGGAGAGGATGTTATTGCCTTTGGGCTGTCCCCTAATGGCCATCTCTATGCCAACTCGAGGTGCCTCGCGAAGAACTGTACATCTTTCCTTACGACCCCGCTACACCTTATTTTCACTACCACAACTCACATGCTTAAGTTTGTGCATATTACGGATGTGCAAGACCTGGAAGTTCCAAATGACGACCCGGAGAAGGACGAGAGATGCCGAGCCCTCGAGCGTGGATCTCGACTTGTGACAGCTATGCCAACATCTCTCAGCTTGGTTTTGCAAATGCCTCGTGGAAACTTGGAGACTATCTGGCCTCGGGCTATGGTTCTTGCTGGAATCCGGAAGCTAATCGCCGAGAAGAACTACAAGAGAGCGTTCTCCCATTGCAGGACACAAAGAGTCGATATGAACCTGCTGTACGATTACCAGCCGGAACAGTTCCTGGCGAATGTCGGGCTTTTCGTTGATCAAGTGAAGAAGATTACCTATATCGACCTTTTCTTATCATCGCTGAGGGAAGAAGACGTCACTCAGACATTGTATAAAGATACACGCGTATTGAAGCCTTCAGCTAACACCAATGGCTTACCTGTGGCACCGCCTACATCGACTACTACCTCGAAAGTAAACCGCGTCTGTGACGCCATGCTTTCTATACTCTCGCACCGCCAATCTACCAACCTTAAGAACATTATCACAGCGCACCTATGCAAATCGCCGCCTGCTCTAGACGACGGTCTGAAGGTTGTTGCTTTGCTGATGTCTACCGATCAATCCATGGCCGATAAAGCAGTTGAGCATATTTGCTTCCTTGCCGACGTCAACAAGCTATATGAGCACGCCCTTGGTCTTTACAACCTGGACCTTGCATTATTAGTTGCACAGCAGTCTCAGAAAGATCCTCGAGAATACTTGCCATTCCTCCAAAAGCTACAGGAAATGCCTGTTCTAAGGAGACAGTTCTCGATTGATGATCACCTCAGCCGACATGCAAAGGCTCTCACGTCTCTTCGGGACTCGTCTCCAACCGACGAAACCGCCGAGATAGACGCATACATAGTGAAGCACGCCCTATACAAGTCGGCACTAACATTGTATCGCTACGTCCCAGCAAGGCTTTCCGAAATAACACACCTCTATGCTGTGCACTTGGAGGCAAAGTCTCAATATCATGCTGCAGCCCTAGCATACGAATCTCTACGTCTCTATGCGGAAGCAAGCCACTGTTACCACCTCGCATCGCCAACATACTGGCGCGAGGCCCTATTCTGTCTTTCTCTGACATCTCCCACACCGTCTGCGTTGTCATCCCTCGCGGAGTCCCTCGCCGACTCCTTGGCTGAAATTAAGAGCTACTTCGACGCCGCCACTATCCACGCTACGTACCTGGGTTCGCCAACCGTGGCAGCCAAACTTTTCTGCAAGGGAAGCTACTTCGCCGCAGCCTTCGAACTCGCCACGTCTCCTATCCGGCCGTGCCCAGAGCTTCTGGAACCAAACGGCGTGATAGATACAGGCCTCACGGACTCTCTTGGAGTCACGACAGAATTACTCGCTGAATGCAAGGGCCAACTGAATGCGCAGGTGCCTCGTATCAGAGAGCTACGTGAGCGAGCAATTGCGGACCCACTCGCATTCTATGAAGGAGAGGCGTCGAAGGGTGATGCCGACATCCCTGATGATATTTCCGTCGCAGCCTCGGGTGTGTCAACATCAGCTTCTCTTTTCACGAGATACACCGGCCGACAGTCTCTCGGTACCGCAGCTACCGGTGCGTCGAGGGTGACGTCTAAGAACAGGCGCAGAGAAGAGCGCAAGCGCGCCCGTGGCAAGAAGGGGTCCGTCTACGAGGAAGAATACCTCGTTGCTTCCGTTGGCCGCCTGATTGAGCGAGCTGAGTCCACCAGAGAGGAAATTCAACGACTTGTTGAGGGTCTTGTACGCAGGGGTATGCGCGAAGGTGCGTTGGCTGTCGAGGCACTAGGCGCGGAAGTCGTGCAGATGTGCAAGGATGCCGTGAAAGAGGTATACGGCCAGGCGGACGAGACCAAAGAGGTTGAAGAGGGCGAGGTAGATGAGAATGGGTATAGGCCCATTGGAGGCGATGCAGTATTGGCGGAGAGTATGGAGGCCAGTCAGCGGGCAAAGGTGGCGCCAGTTATTGGAGAATTTAAGAAGCTGAGCTTACTGGGTGTATAGTTGGCAGCATTGTGGAGTTTAGGGGTAAAATAGAGGAATTGCCTTTGGATATATGAATGGAACAAATGACTGTATTGCTTGTTCTGAAATCATTATACATGTTCATGATATATGCCTGTCTGACCTCAAGCTCCCCTTTAAATGAAAGCTAGATACTCTACAAGTATACTACGACTCCTCCCACTTACTCCCCTCCTCCCCTCCCATGCTCCTCCATCCACGCCTTAATCTTCCTATCCGACTCCCCCTCACTAAACCTCTCAAACCTCCCCAACCCATCCTCCGGCAAATCAAACCACCCCGCCTGCTCCTCCAAAAAAATATGCTCCGTCGGCTTCACCAACTCCCCCTTTACACTCCCCTCATCAATACTCCCCGCCACAATACACATCTCCCTCGGACTAGTCGCAGAATGCAACCTAACCGGACTCCCGCAGTTCCCGCAAAACCCCCGCCGCGCCCACGGATTCGCCTCGTAGAAGCTCAAACCCGACTCATCGGATGTATTACCTATGCTCAAGCCGCGCGACGTGTGTGTGGTCCAGGTGAGCGAGTCGATGGGGAAGGAGGCGAAGGTTTGGAAGGGGGAACCGGAGGCTTGGCGGCAGGCGAGACAGTGGCAGTGGCTCATGGAGGTGGGGAGGCTGGTGGAGGTGTAGGTTATGTTTCCGCAGCGGCAGCCGCCGCGGAGAACGACGTTTCCGGGGGAGGGGAATTTGATGTCGTGGCTGTCGGCCATGGTTAAGTGTGAGAGAGGCTTTATGAGTGGGGTGAGGTGAGATTGAGAATCGAGGGTTTGACAGGAGGGTGGTAGAGAAACGGACGTTGAGGAATTGAGAAATAGGAAACTAAATAATAGAGAATAGCCTACACTTGTAGAACTTAACTGTTGACGCGTTATGAGTAGTTTAACACTGAAAGATGGAATGAAGTCATCACTCCATCCATTCACCAATCCCCACCCAGTCCCTCAGCCTTGCCAAATACAACTACATAGCCTCGTCAATCGCGCCCGGTCGCAACCGCGTCTCCCATCCTCACCAACGCCAACACCCAAACCAACAAAAGAGCGCCTAACATACATCACACACTCGAACAAGATGCCTCCAGCAGACTCACCGCTAGTAGAGAAGCGCAATGCCGCCCGCGAAGTCGTCGATATCCTCGATGAAATCGCAACGCTCCTCGTACGGGCACCAATACCTTCCCCGCCAGCGAAGTAAACACTAACACATGGGCAGAACACGAATCTTGACCGGCACACGTTGAGTCTTTGTATCAGTATGGTGGAGAATGGAGTTAATCCCGAGGCATTGGCTGTGAGTGCTGCGTGTCGTGGGTGGTGGTGGGAGAGATACTGACGGAGGGCAGACTGTCATCAAGGAGCTGAGGAGAGAGGCTGAGGAGGGAAAGAGGGAGTTTGACCAGGCGCAGAGATAGGGTTGGGGATGGGATTGCAGGCATCGAGCCTTACATGAGGCCTGCGGAGGCTGTCGAGGGAGTTTGGGTGATTGGGATGATACCATGCATACACTGGCGTTTTTATGGGCTGTCAAGCTCGAAAAGGACGAATGGACGAGGTTATGACAAATGATACTCTCTCCGAGACCGAACATAAAGCTTCTATGCGTGTAGTAATTTGGATATTTGATATTTCTGCTGCCGCTCATTATATTGCTACATGCGGTCCTGTCCAGAGGAGACTCAAATAGTGATCTCCTTCAATCTCGATCCTCATGCGCCCTTCCACCCAATGGACTAACCATATGCTTCCCAAGGGTTCTACGCGGGTCGTAACGCCAAAACCATCCCATGCCCGTAGCTTCCAGCTAGCGATGCCCAAATAACTCCATCGTATCAATATCATCATCATCATCATCATCGTCTTCCAAAGACAGGTCCAAATCATCCTCATCCTCCTCCTCCTCTTCTTCTTCTTCCTCCTCTCCATCCACCGCGAGGTCCGCGGGTGTCCGTCCCCAAAAATCTGTATCTTCATCATCCCAAACCTCAGCATCATCTGCCGCAGGGCGTGCGGGTTCTCCCTGCCTAAAGTAGCTCCCCCGCACAGGCGACATCGACCTGCCAATCCTCGACGGTACGTCTGGAGCTAGCCCAGAACTATAATCTCTCGGAGCAAGGGTTTGTTCAGCACTCAATGAGTGCCTCCTCGATCTTGGAACTGGTATAGCCATCTCTGCTGTCGCACCCTCCCCCGCAGTATCCCCTTGTCCCGCCGCCTCGGCAGGCGGTGCCAATGGCTCGTCGTTGATGATATTCACCTGTATTGTGTTATAGCTATCGCAAACTGCGCACTTGAGCCCCAGCCAGTGATACGGCACCGCACTCTTCGCCCTGCAATCATTACAAGTGATCATAGCTTTCGTGTCCTCGAATTGCTCCGGCATGGGCTGCGCTTCGATAGCCCTATCAATGGCGCGGAAATGAGTCTCCATATTTACGATCGTCTGCTGGCAGATCGGACACTTATACGAATTCTCCAGATGTGCATGGTAGCAGTGCTTGTGGATGGTATGACCGCATTTCATGAACACCACGGTTTGCGGAGATGTGAACATATACTCGTGGCAGATGGGGCAGTCGCAATCGCTGGACCGCTCAATGCATTTATGGGACATTTCCATCGAGATGTTCATGCAGAGACCGCACGTCTGCGGGGGATGTTAGACTCTGAATGCGATAGGGAAAATGGATGCTAACCTTGCAATGGAAGAAGTCCTTCCCGAGGCCCATACCAACTCTACAGATCCCGCAGTCATTACAGTGATAAATACTCCTGTTCGGATCATCTTCCCAAAGATGGCAAATGTCACAGTAGTAGTTCGCGGCGCGGCCTGTGCAGTGAGTGCATATTTCAGCTGCTCGCTGGGCGTTGCCACAGATCATGCAAAGCATGTTTTTGGTCTCCCTCCGTGGTAATGTATGAGTCTCAGCTGCGTCATGGCACAGCCTACATGTATACCATTTGTTGCATGTGAAGCATTGAAGCTTGACATTCCGCTTGTAATGCTGACAGCCAAATACCTGTGTCTGCTCTACATCGTCACTGCCATCAGAAGCTCCTTCGACTGGTGGGGGTAGAGGCGCATATGTGGGTTGAAGGTCATCCTTTGTTAAATGGAATGTAACAGTATCTCCCTTTTCAGGAGAATGAGAATTGTCCTTCCCAGGCCAGAAGTTAAAGGAGCTTATCGATGTAGGAGTCGTTGGCCGCTCCTGGCTCACTACCGCTGCTGGTGAAGGAGGGATCTCCTGGCCAACTTGAGACTTGGTATATCCTTCCGTCAGGAGCTCATGCATCAGCCGCGCCTTCTCATCCGTAGAAATATCCTTTACTTGTATGTGAAGAACCCTCTCCCGCAGTGCGCGCATGCCATCATCTTCGGGCAACGCGGTAGGCGGCTTCTCACTGGCCTCCCCAATCGAAGCGGCAGACTCTGCTTGAGCAGAACTCTCGGCCTGGGTGTCTGACTGGTTTATATGCGGCTGCTCACTGGCCTCCCCAATCGGAGCAGCAGAGCTCCTTTGCGTTGAACTTTCGGCCTGGGGGTCTGACGGGTTTATAGGCGGCGCTGGGGAGCTCTGGGCCCCGTCTGGTATTGTAGACTCGGGGTTGCTGGACGCGTCCTCCCCAGTCGCTGGTGTCTCGGTTTCCTGCCGAATGGGCAGTTCCGTTTCCGACCCGGTCGGAATTGGGTCGCTCTCGAGACCGCTTTGCGGTTGTACAGCGTTCTCTAAGCTTTCTTCTCGAACAGGTGACCTGGACTCAGATTGACGTCCAGTTGAAGCCTCTCTCCCGCCCTCATCTTCGAGTATGCCTTCCTGACTTCCTCCCTGGCCCTGTGCTACCCCATCCGCCCCTTGCTCCCCCTGTCCCTCCCCACCACTCCCAGCCCTCTCCTCTTCCTGTTCCGTTTCTCCCATCACAGACATCCGATCATCCGCAAAGATATCCACATGTTCATCCGTCACCACCCCGCTCTCCTTCCCCCAAATCCGATACGACTCGCTCGCCAAAAGGTTCGTCAGAAAGTCGGTGGCAATTGAGTTCATCTGGCCAGCATGGGAGGCGGGCGGGGGAAAATAATATGGTACGACCGATGTGTGATGTGTGGTATTATATATATAGAGGATCTGCAGTACGAGCCAAGTCTGCCAGACCGAGACAGGTGCGATGGATGTGGATTGTGGCGAGGCTTGACGTGAGGCTTAACTTGGGGGAGCGAGCGGTGTCTGGCAGGGTGGTCTCTCCGCTAATGCGGCAGGGGCGCACGCGGAGTGGTTCCGCTGACGTAGAGCTGTACCTGTACCATTGTAAACTTCGAGGTGCTATCAGCACAGCTATCGCAAGTCGACAAAACAAGCCAGAGGAATTTGGATATTTGACGCCCAAATACGAGCAATTGCGCGTATCAAGCTTATATCCAAGCTCTTACACACAAACGCATGAGAATACAGAAACTCAATCCACCTCATCACCCCAGCATCACACGCGACGTGGCCCAATCTACCTGAACTAAACCACAATATGCCACCGCACCTCTCATAACTCCCACCCACCCTCACAATGGCATTCGAACCCACCCCCCTCCGCCTCGCCCTCGCCGCCCTCCTCCTCCTCCTCACCACCATCTTTGTGCGTCCCCCCTCTCCCCCCCTCGCACCCAGCTAACCCCCCATTCACAGCTCCGCATCCTCGCCATCCTCCCTTCGCGCCGGCCCCCCGCCCCCCCCCGCACCTCCCCAGCACACATCCTCATCGTCCTCGGCTCCGGGGGTCACACAGCCGAAATGCTCTCTATGATCCGCCATCTCTCGCCGGAGAGGTACATATACCGGACCTACCTCGTCTCCTCGGGCGACGCCTTTTCGACGCTGAAAGCTATTGATTTCGAGCGCGGGCTTACGGGGGTGGAGACTACGATGGTGGTGGATGGGAAGGAGACTGGAGTGGTGCGCGGGGAGGGGTTTGAGATCCTCACTGTGCCGAGGGCGAGACGCATACACCAGCCGCTGTGGACAGCACCCTTCACCTCCCTCCTCTGTCTCCTCTCCTGTCTCCGTTTCCTCTCACCCACCCACCGCCGCCCAAGACTCCCCACCAACTCCGGGGGACACAAAACATACACCCCCACCACCCCCGACCTCATCCTCACCAACGGCCCCGCAACCGGCGTACTCGTCCTCATCGCCACATTCATCCTTCGTTTCTTCGGAGTGATAAACCCCCAGAAGGGGGCGCGATGCGTGTATGTGGAGAGCTGGGCGAGGGTGGGGGGGTTGAGTTTGAGTGGACGGATTGTGGAGGGGTTGGGGCTGGTGGAGAGGTTTTTGGTGCAGTGGGAGAAGGGATTGGGGGGGGATGGGGAGGGGGAGGAGGAAGATGTGGTGGAGGGGGGGGAGGTGGTGGGGAAGAGGAAGGGGGGGAGGGAGTGGAGGGGGTTTTTGGTGGAGTGAGGGTGCATTCATGGCGTCAGTCAGTATGGAAGATATAGAGAGCGATGATGTACTCATTGCGACAGCATGAAAGCTACAGATGGAAAACACAGAGAAGCGGAAGGATATGTGTATAATGCGATTGTATTGTTGTACATATATAGATTTGACAAATGAAGATGCAAACGCCTATAATGCCCACTCTACTACACAACCATCACAGTCTCTCGCTCTACTACTACTACAACATGCGCAATTTTCCCCTATTTGTACAATCTCCATCTCTCAAACGCCCCTCTAGAACGTCGCAGCCTCCAACCCCGCCGCCTCCAACGCCACCCCCCTCTTCCTCGCAATCACCGCCCCAATCCCTGCCAACATCTCCTCCGTCAACTCCCCCTTCCCAAGCGCCTTACGCTTCGTCCTCTCGCGCTTATTGACCTCATTCAGCGGCGTCCTCATCAACTTAATACTCGCCTTCCTCTCCTCCTTCGCCGCCTCCTCCGCCTCCTTCGCCTCGAGATACGCGTCCTCGTGACGGGTACGGAAGATGGAGAACTTGTTCCTCAGCTCATCAATCACACTATCCGGCATCGGCGGCTTCAGCAGCGTCGGCAGGAACGTCTTCGTCTCAACATCAATACGCATCGTATCGACGTCATGATCAGGGTGTTCCTTCGGCGCCGTCTTGGGCCAGGGAATAACGGTGTTCAGCCCGGCGATCATGCGGTAGAAATTCGCGCCCCCGGATTTGTTGAAGTAGATCTTGCTGTTGACGATGTCGCGGACGATGACGTCGCGGACGTTTCCTGTCTCGGGGTCGGGGAGGGGGACGACGAGTTTGACGGAGGCGATGGAGAGGGGCTTCTCGACGCTGCGGACGGGGCGCTGGTCGGATTCGGGGGCGGACATCATCCATTTGGGGATTGCGACGTCGACCTAGGATGGCACGTGTTAGTCTTCTGTCTTGAGAGGGTGTGCTGTCCTGTCGAAACCGCAGTGCCCTGGGTCTTCTTTTTTTAGGAGAGATTCGGAAAGAGAGAGACATACCATATTCATCCCCTCAACAGTAATCTGCTGCTTCTCCCTATCAAAACTCTGCACCTTCCCAATCCTCCCCTTATCCTTCCCCTCCAACACCACCACCCTATCCCCCGCCACAATATTCGCAAACCTCCCCCCGGACGGATTAACCGCCAACCGCTCCTCCATCGTCAACTTCGGCCCATTCAACCGATTCGTCTGAATCGTCCCATACGTCTCCTTCTTCAACCCTACATCACGCCTCGGCGCCAGGGGACCCAAGTCGTAATCCTCACGTCGCGCGGAACGGGCATTCTTGATATCCCCCGTAACCTGCTTCTGCGCGAAGCGCTCGTGCTCCCGCCGCGTCTTCATCTCCTCGTGGTGGTTCTTCGTGCGGCGCTTCACGAGACGCCGCGCGGCTTGCCTCTCGGCGAGGAGGGTGCGGCGGATCACGGACTGCATGGTTGGTGAGTGGTGACGTGCGTGTGGTGGCCGGCGTGGGAGGGAGGCCTGGTTGGGGAGGCTGTCGTTATAATTTTGAGTCGGGAGCTTCGAATTGAGATTGGAGGCTAGTGTGGATTGGAACTAGTGGCATTTGGGAGAGGTGGTTCGGGTTGTTTGGGTTGAGGTGGCCTGAATTTCAAGGCTATAATATAAGGCTGCTAAGGGGACTAGCGTGGGATCTCTTCATATGGGGCCTCCTTGTGGCTTTAAGATAAGGCTAGGTCACGTGCGATGAGATTATTAGGGATTGTGGCATTAATTGAGGGGATTAAGAGGGATTAGCCGCGTCAGCTTGTTGGTTTGAGTTGGATAGTTGGATTCTTGTGTTACCGCCCATCGCGCTTGTTGCGTCTGGAGTGATGTGGTCGTGGATGTTTGGGAGCATGGTGCCCTTGTTCAGCTGAAGAAACCCAGATATGCCTGCGATTGCCTTGGGACAGTTATATGCAGCCGTATATTACGGTTGGCGAGGCTTTTGTGTGGCATTTTCGTGGAAGTTATGTAGCTGGTACATCTCCGGGACATGGATGGGAAATCCCCCGGATTGCTCCTTCCCCCATATAGACATAAAGAGAGCGAACACACGACCGACTCGGAAACAGCTGGAGTGTTGAGATTATATACGGGCCGGTGATGGAGAACGCCGATGAATGTAACAGACGGTTATTTATAGTTATTTATAGGGATTCCAGACGTTACGGGGGCCCTCGAGGAGAGCGCATTTTGGTGTTTCGGCTGACGGCTGAGGTGTGTAAGTGTGAACCCCTTAAAGAAAGTTATGAAGCGTCTGGGGAACTGGAAAACAAGTGCCGTACAAGTCGATGTTCGGTACGGGTACTTTGTACGGTGCACGAGTTACCTTTCGCGGTACGGGATTGTACAGCCCCCTTTGTGGAAACTTGAACCTGGAATTCAAACGGCGAGCCCGTGATTGTGATGGGAACGATGATGACGACGGATAACGTGACGAGGGATGAGGGAGGGAGTTGATTATAATGAAGATGCTGATCGGCCGGCAAGATACGACGAGTAGGCAGTCAGTGTATAACAGGATTTTATGAGGCTATCCATCCACACACTAGGAGCTGACGATGAAGAGGCATCGAGTAGGAGACAGAGACAGACGATATAGAAGATCGATAGGGGAGCAGGGGATACTTTATAGAGCCTCGTATGCACATGCCCTGGAGGTGTGAGTAGTACGGAGGGTGTAGAAGTAGGGAAGCGTAGAGAGTAGTCATAGTGTATACTCATACTGGATACTACCATACCATACTACCGTGATGCCAGTCTTGTCTTGTAGTAGATGTCTAAATCTATAGGAGAATAGGAGAGGTGCAAGAGTAAGAGTATCAGCAGTATAGTATAAAGAGATATCTCTTGTGATGGACGAGTACATTACACAGGTATACTGCAACAGATACACGACAAGATATATGATATATCCATACTCTTATGCTTCATTCGTACTATAATCATCAAATGCTAAGTAAGGGCAAAGCAGAGGCAAAGCATATTACCAGATAGAGAAACTCGTGATCCCCTCTCTCCTGTATATCTCCTGTATATCTCTCCTGTTTATCTCTCCACGCGGCCTTTCATCTTCGCTCTACTGTAATGTAGTTTGTATGTGCTTGTATGCCTTGGGTACTTGTGTCTGTCTGCCAGTCCCTGCGCACCAGACTGCGGAGATCCTTGTACCTGGTACTTGTAGAATATAGTTCCATGCATAGTAAAATAGCGGGCAAATGTTAGAGAGATCATGTCACTAATACCCCCCATCCCAGACTAATTTACTTCTTTGCACCTCCCACCTCCCACCCTACCACCCTACCACACTCCCTCATCCCCTCCGCCCTGCGCCTGCGCCCGCCTGCCTGCTCTGCTACCCTTCCCACTCCCACCTAACCCACCTACCACCCAACCGTCCAACCCCGTCCAAACACGGCTAAGCTGCTAAGAGCAGCAAAGGCGAGCAGACAATCGATCTCGCAACCTCGCATCCATCCCAAAACCCTCTGATCTCTCACAACCACAACTACAATCTCAACCCATCAAACCACATCAAACCACCTCCGAACCTCACGAATTCTACCTCCACAACACCCTCACCTACCAACTAAGAGCTCTTCAGGCTGAGATCCTCATCTCACCCTTACATCACTCTATCTTCCCTCCCCTTCCACAAACCAACTTCACCCCCGACAGTATGGCGGAGATCCGTCGGAAGCTCGTCATCGTCGGTGACGGTGCTTGTGGTAAGACTTGTCTGTTGATGTAAGTAACCCAAACCCCATCGCTGCTGCCTCGATGAGCCCGTCTATTCTGCGGCTCATCCTTCCATCTACGCTGATGCTGATGTTATCTCAAGTGTTTTCTCCAAGGGCACTTTCCCAGAGGTAAGCCTCCACACTCACCCCCCCAGTCACCCATCGCACAACCCGACCCATCATCGACTCGTCGCTATCGCAGACACGAACAGAACGACTACAAATGCACAGCGGCAAGATCTGTCACATACGAGGAATACCGGCTAACGAGATAATGTGGCTTGATAGGTCTACGTCCCAACCGTCTTCGAGAACTATGTGGCCGATGTTGAGGTCGATGGAAAGCACGTCGAGCTGGCTCTTTGGGATACGGCTGGCCAGGAGGATTACGACCGTCTCCGCCCGCTCTCCTACCCCGATTCCCACGTAATCCTCATCTGCTTCGCCGTCGACTCCCCCGACTCGCTCGACAACGTCCAGGAGAAGGTACTGTAGCCCCCCCTTCGTGGGAGATTGCGCCTCGTGCGCAGGCTGGCAAGGGCTTGGCTAACTTTTTTTTACCATCACAGTGGATCTCCGAAGTGCTGCATTTCTGCCAAGGGCTCCCAATCATCCTCGTCGGATGTAAGAAGGATCTTCGTTACGACCAGAAGACCATCGAGGAGCTTCACAAGACCAGCCAGAAGCCAGTTACACCAGAGCAGGTACGATAAGGATTCCTTTCGGAGCGACATCCCCCAGTTGTTCACAACCGTATTTGTCCCCGATTGCTAACATATCGTGAAATAGGGAGAGGAGGTCAGGAAGAAGATTGGTGCCTACAAGTATCTCGAGTGTTCCGCAAAGACCAACGAGGGTGTTCGCGAGGTCTTTGAGCACGCAACCCGTGCCGCTCTTCTCTCCAAGAAGGGAGGCAAGAAGAGCCACAAGTGCCTCATCCTGTAGACATATCGATACCAACTCTCTATGCAAATCAACCTCAATTTTTTTTGCTTCGTCCGGTCTCAAGTCAGTGAGATGGTTGTTGTTGTTGTTGGCTGAAAGTACGAAAAAGGACTGCCTGCGTCTACGCCCCGTCGTTCCCCCACGCTCAAGATCGGTTGATGTTAATGGAACCTCCTCCTTCAGAACCCCCCCGTTTTCGGAAAGAATAAGAGGTTGAGAGCATGCATGCCTTTTAACTACTCCTACCGTGTTTTGCTGCGGGCTCGGATCATTGCCATCACATCAGGGTTGTTCTACCCCTCCCCCTTTTTCGTCTCTGGGCTGGATGAAGGGGATTGGCGTTGGTCCGGCGTGCAGGCGAGCACTCTCTTCTATCTATCTCTCTCTCTCTCTCCGCGCTATTTTGTGTCTGGAGCCTCTCGCACGCATGGTTGCCCCGTTTCTTCTTCTCTTGCAATTTGAGTGCGCTGGGTGGGCGACGGGCTACTTCTCTCTGCGGCGTCACTGCGTTTTGTGTATGTGTGTGGTGCGTGTGTGGTCTCTCTGTGTGTGTGTGGCTTGCCCTGCTGTTGTTGTTGTCGTTTGGTGGTGGTTGGTGGTGGTGGTGGTGCCGGTCTGACTGCTTCTTACCCGTGTTTCTGTCTCGTTGGTTGGTCTGAAACATTTCGAGCTGTCTGTCGGGTGAATGATGGTCAATGTGTCCCGGACCGATTCGCATTTTCCATGGTGTAATAGCAATAGGCCGTAGTTTATTTGAAGATCTCTTTCCTCACTGTGAGGGTTTGCCTGTGTGTGGTGTGTGTGTGGTGATTTGTGGTGGGGGGCGTGCTCGTGCTGTTGATGCTTGGTGTGGGTGGTGTTAACATTGATTATAGCGGGGATTTCCTCTTTTCTTCTTCTGCTTCACTGCTGTACTCTCCACTACAGTCGGCGAAGGGATTCTCGAGATTCTGTTGGCTAGGCATGGTATAAATGAGAAACGTCCCCCTTTTCAGTCAAGGGTTTAGGCAATGAAGCCCCCTCGAGATAAATGGACACCCTCTACGAAATATGATCTCGCAAAGGCCAACACAATCAACTCGATCCAGGTTTATACTATAGTCTTCCATAGGTCCTCAACCACAAGCTGGAACTAATTACCAAGATCGGTTCAGTTATTTAGGTGTGCATGTCTTACCCATTAGACTACGGGGTTGGTTGGATTGAGGGGTAGCAAGTATAGAGTGATATATCGGAGGTCCTGGGCACTTAGGGGAGCTGGGGAATTCTACATCACACTACTTGGGATATAATTTGCAATCCCTTTCCAGTCATTTATTTAATGGCTTCTCGTACTATGTATTATAATTTACTTTGTTCTAAAGACATGGGCCTTGAGTATTTGAATTGGATTTGCATGTGTTTGTGGCATATCCATTCTCCGGGAGCTAGCATTCGGTCCTTTACAAATCAACTCCAAGTTGACCCCCTGGATATTATTTTCAAGAGCGTTTCCACATCATCTCACGCGTACATGACTCATTTTCAATCCTTCCATCCGTTGTCATGGAAATGAAGCTGTTCATCTACACCAAAAAATAGATAATCACGTGACTCGCCACTTGTCGCGTTGTTCTGCCTACCACAATGTTTGTCGCGCTAGAGCTAAAATGTCGGCAAGTCGCGTCGGATTATCAATGAACGCGTAAAGTACTTGAACCCCAACTCTGCTTTGCCCACTCTTCTCTTTCCCACATCAATCAACATCCTCAACTCTCCTCATCTTCCACCTCAACTCCTCTTCCCCTCCCTCACTCTTAAATAAAGGCTGTCAAGACATCCCCATTGTTGTCTACGCCTTCTTTTACCCTCATATAACTATACAAGTTCTCTCCTCCAGTGACGTCGAGTCGCTTTCGTCACCATGTTCGTGTATAAGCGCAGTAAGTTCATGCAGACTCCACACCCTGCAGCTACACCCTCTAACGAGACTTGCAGATGGGAACAAGGAGCGTGTCCAGTTCGACAAGATCACAGCTCGTGTCTCGAGGCTGTGTTACGGATTAGATGCTGAGCATGTCGACGCCGCTGCCATCACACAAAAGGTCATCTCTGGTGTGTACCAGGGTGTGACCACCATTGAGCTCGATAACTTGGTATGTATAGCCTCTTTTATGAGAGTCCACTTCCTGTAGACTTGTTCAATTGCTAACAGACGTCACAGGCTGCCGAGACTGCGGCCTACATGACCGTCACCCACCCAGACTACGCCATCCTCGCTGCACGTATTGCAGTGTCCAACCTTCACAAGCAGACGAAGAAGCAATTCTCGTCCGTCATCCACGACCTGTACCACTACGTCAACCCCAAGAACTCGAAGCCATCGCCCATGATTGCAAAGAAGACATATGACATCGTTATGGAGCACGCGGAGGAGCTCAACTCTGCCGTCCTCTACGACCGTGATTTCAACTACCAATACTTCGGCTTCAAGACCCTGGAGCGATCCTACCTTCTCCGCCTTGATGGCAAGGTTGCTGAGAGGCCACAGCACATGATTATGCGTGTTGCGGTGGGCATTCACGGTGAGGATATTGAGAAGACAATCGAGACATACAACCTCATGTCTTCCAAATACTTCACACACGCTTCCCCAACACTCTTCAATGCTGGTACACCACAGGCCCAGCTGTCGTCCTGCTTCTTGGTCGACATGAAGGAGGATAGCATTGAGGGTATCTATGACACACTCAAGACTTGTGCCATGATCTCAAAGACTGCTGGAGGTATCGGATTGAATATCCACCGTATCCGTGCCACTGGTGCATACATTGCCGGTACCAACGGAAACTCGAACGGCATTGTCCCTATGCTCCGCGTGTTCAACAACACCGCAAGGTACGTTGACCAAGGTGGCAACAAGCGCCCTGGTGCTTTCGCCATCTACGTTGAGCCATGGCACGCGGATGTCTTTGAGTTCCTGGACTTGAGAAAGAACCACGGCAAGGAGGAAGTCCGTGCCCGTGACTTGTTCTACGCTCTCTGGATTCCGGATCTCTTCATGAAGCGTGTCGAGAAGAACGGCGACTGGACCCTCATGTGCCCCAACGAATGCCCTGGATTGGCAGATGTTTACGGCGATGAGTTCGAGGCGCTCTACGAGGGCTACGAGAAGGAGGGTAAGGGTCGCAAGACTATCAAGGCCCAGAAGCTTTGGTACTCCATTCTCGAGTCTCAGACTGAGACAGGAAACCCTTTCATGTTGTACAAGGATGCCTGCAACCGCAAGAGCAACCAGAAGAACCTCGGTACCATCCGCAGCTCCAACCTGTGCACAGAGATTGTCGAGTACTCTGCCCCAGATGAGGTTGCCGTGTGTAACTTGGCATCCCTTGCCCTGCCGACATATGTTGACATGGCCAACGGCACATACGACTTCCAGAAGCTTCACGAGGTCACACAGGTTGTTGTCAAGAACTTGAACAAGATCATTGACGTCAACTACTACCCCGTCCCGGAGGCCAGACGCAGCAATTTCCGTCACAGGCCAGTTGCCGTTGGTGTCCAGGGTCTTGCTGATGCATTCCTGGCTCTCCGCCTTCCCTTCGATTCTCCCGAGGCCAAGTTCCTCAACTCCCAGATCTTTGAGACCATCTACCACGGTGCCTTAACTGCCTCCGTGGAGCTGGCCCAGATTCACGGCACATACGAGACCTACGAGGGATCCCCAGTGTCCAAGGGTGAGCTCCAATACGACATGTGGGGCGTTACTCCTACCGACCTGTGGGACTGGGACTCTCTCAAGGCCCAGATCAAGCAGCACGGTGTCCGCAACTCCCTGCTCGTCGCACCCATGCCCACTGCCTCCACCTCCCAGATCCTCGGCTTCAACGAGTGCTTCGAGCCATACACCTCGAACATCTACTCGCGCCGTGTCCTGGCCGGCGAGTTCCAAGTCGTCAACCCCTGGTTGCTCAAGGACCTCGTCGACATGGGTCTCTGGTCCGACAACATGAAGAACCGCATCATTGCAGACGGCGGCTCCATCCAGAACATCCCCAACATCCCCGCCGACATCAAGGCCCTCTACAAGACCGTCTGGGAGATCTCCCAGCGCACCATCGTCCAGATGGCCGCCGACCGCGGTGCCTTCATCGATCAATCCCAGTCCCTCAACATCCACATGAAGGACCCGACAATGGGCAAGATCACATCCATGCACTTTGCCGGCTGGAAGCTCGGCCTCAAGACCGGAATGTACTACCTCCGCACCATGGCCGCATCGGCCCCTATCCAATTCACCGTCGATCAGGAGGCCCTCCTCGTCGCTGACACCAACGTCGCGAGAGAGCGCACCTCCTCGCGCAAACCCCTCGCGAAGTCATACATCGCCCCCTCCCAGGCATCTGGACCTCGTCCAATGTACATGAAGCAGAACTCCACCCCCCCAACCAACAGCCTCACCTCCAACGGCGTCCCAACACCCAGCATCACCCCCCCTCCCACCGAGACCAGAAAGCCCGTCAACCCCCCGCTGAAGAGCCCCGGGTTCCAGGCTGATGTCGAGGAGGGCGGTAGCCCAAAGGCACTGGCTACTGAGCCGGGCGCGATGCAAGATGAGGAGTTGAAGGATGTCAGCTTGTCGAAGTCGGAGGAGAAGCCGGATAGCGATGAGAGGGAGAATGATATCTATGCTGATGCTGTGTTGGCGTGTAGTATTGAGAACCCGGAGAGCTGTCTGATGTGCAGTGGTTAGATGGGTTGTTTGAACTCCGGGGTGTAAGAGTCGAGTATGATTAGGGTTGTATGAGGAGGAATGGGTATATGGTTCATGGCTCACGCTTTTTGGTTTTTTTGTTGTTGCGATTGTTTTGTTGTGGGTTTGGGATACTGCCTGGCTTTTATGTAGTTTTTTGGTCAGGGCCGATGTGGCTATAGCATATTATAGTGTTTGATATGTTGGTGGTTAATAAATCGTCGAGTTTATAGAGATGTTGTTGACTTGATTTGTGCTGCATGGATATATGTAATGCCGTGCTGAGTGCTGTTAAAGAGTGATGTTATTTTATTGTGTTGATATTATTGGAATATATTTCTTATAAAAACAAAATAAGCTGAGAAAAGCGTAGAAGAAACGATGATCACATTTAAGGGTATGATAATATTCTATTTCATCTAATCCGCACAAACCAGTTCTTTAAATGACCCTCCTGGCCTGGGTTATAAAATCCATTTCTCCCCAATATAACAAGCACGCCGTATATCAAACCAAATCTATCCTTGCCAACGCCGCATTGTCGTCCTCATCATCGCTATCCACTTGTTTGGCATCCGCATCCACAAAGGTTAGACGGTCACCGTATGAAATACATAACTCATCTCCTTTCCTAACATCCTGCAGCGTCCTATAAACCACAACCCCTTTGCTCACATCGCGCATCCATCCAACATTCTGTCGCCTTTGAGAGTGGTTAAAGAGGCTCCCAATCCCGAACACTACCGCTTGCGTCTTTCTTGGCGTTTTGGAGCCCTCAGCTGCGGGGAGTGGCCAGTTACTGCGTGATATGTCAGGGCATGACAGGCCGGTAAAACACGTGCGGCAGATGCTTACTATGTGTAGTTATAAAGATCTGTCTTCCGGACGTGCTCTTCGTTCTCCTGAGGGTCCAGTATTAGAACTGGGCAGACTTCTAAAATTGTACCCCCTGGGATGTCTCTGCCTGCGAAGACGCCTCGGCCTGTTTATCTTGTCATTTTCACCGTGTGTGGAAAAAGGGGGGGGGGGGGATGGGTACCTTTAGGGGTGTCCAGGACAAGTGCGAGGCCTTCTGTGCGTATGAGTTGCACTTCCCCAGCCTTCCCCTCTTGCTCTTCTTCTATGGACATCGTTGCGTTCGCATCCAGTTTTATATATTTTAGAGGTTAATTTTCTTTCTATCATCGCCAAGAGCGGCCGTTGGACCATACACATACAAATCCGATCTGATAAGATTAGAACCTAGGCGGTGAATCATGGCAGAACCACTCACAGCTCCCATCCGCTTACGACCAGCTTCCAAGTCGACTCAAGCCCCAGAAACCAATGGCTCTTGACAGTTGAGACAGAACACCATGGCGCACCAGCGCGCTCAGTCCGTGAGCACCACCGAAGTGCCCAAAGAACCCCACGCCGTCTCCCTCAAAGTCCTCCGGTCCGTCCCCCCTCCCCACCCAAACAGTCCCCATCTAACCCACGCCCAGCCTAACCCGACCCTCCCTCGCAATCCAATACCCCCTCCCCCACCCCTCCCCATCCTCAACCCTCGCCCAAACCATCCCCCGCGCCGCATCCCTCACCTACCCCTCCGCGCCCTCCTCCCCCTTCGCCCTCTCGCCGCTCCTCACCCTCCCCCCCGCCTTCGGAAACGCATACGTGGGCGAGACATTCTCCTGCACCCTATGCGCGAATAATGAACTCCCATCCGATGCGCCGCGCGTGCACTCCGTCAAGATAGAAGCGGAAATGAAAACACCCAGCCTTACAACTTCCCTCCCTGTCTCATTCACCTCGGCGTCCACACCGTCATCGCCGGACTCAGATCCGCTCTCTCAGTCTGCACCGCCGCCTACCGATCTCGCTCCTGCCGCAAGTTTACAGGGGATAATCACCTGCCACCTCCGCGAGGAGGGACCACACGTCCTCGCCGTCACGGTGTCATACTCCGAGACGACATCGACGTCCGGCCGTGTCCGCAGCTTCAGGAAGTTATACCAGTTCGTCGCGCGCCCGGCGCTGGTGGTGCGCACAAAAATCGGGACTGTGGATGGCGGCTGGGCACTCGAGGCACAGCTAGAGAATGTAGGCGAGGAAGCGCTAGTGCTAGAGGGCGTGAGGTTAGATACGAAAAGCTGGTTCCGCGCGAGGAGTCTAGAGTCCCTGTGGGATGGCGAGAAGGGGGAGAAGGGGAAAGCGGTGGTGGGTCGGGGAGGGGTTCAGCAGGTTTGCTTTGTGGTGGAGAAGGTGGGGGAGCCGGATGAGATTGGGGAGGGCGGGAAGGTGTTCATGGGCGTGTTGAATATTAGTTGGAGGGGACCGATGGGGAATATGGGGGAGCTGTCGACGGGGTGGTTGGGGTTGAAGTTGAAGCAGTGAGGGGCTGGAAGGGGGTGTTAGAGGCGCTATGATGGGGGGAGTATAGATTTTTGGTTGGCGTTGTGGGATATGTGTGCTATGTTTAGCGGTACTCGCTCATGCCTGGAAGTCTAAAGGACTATACGGAGATACGAATTGATACTGAAATTGAAGTATTTTGATTGCTATGGTATACCAATTTTCCGATATAATATTTACTTTATAGCTCGCTATCTCGAAGTTCTTCCTTTCAATTTGGTTTTGTCGTGTAGAGAAATATCGCATTCTGCACCCCTGTAGTAACTGGTCTCATCCAACAACAAGCTTATTATCCTCTGCACCCACCAGTTTGGCCCGCAAATCCTCGACAGTAATGTGCCATGAAGGCGTCATCGTGATCGACCCTTTAAAGCGCTTGTTATTAGCCGAAAATGCTTGATCCAGTAGCTACATCTGTCAAACTACGCCGAGTGTCAGACGGGCCAATCCATCGGCGACGACGTATCAGCAGCCGCGTGGCTGTGACGGTACCACTGCAAACCTCCTGCTAAGTTTGCTTATTTGGCTCCAATGGCGCGGGCCGTGGCTGAATGATATGCCCAGGGTTGGCTGACTGTTCCCGACGCGGGAACGGGTACAGGTGAGACTGCGTGTGAGAGTACGTAGCCACGGCTGGGAATCCGAGGGAATGCGAGGTCTCAAATCTTCGCAGCCATGTATAAAAGAGGCATTTCAGTTCAAGAGCCTAGAGAACCAAAACTACAATAACTCACAGCTCACGCATTAAACTCACCGCGAAATACTCTAATAACCCACCCATGCCTCCCCAACGCGCAACCGTAATCGGCCTAGGCCTCTCCGGCGCCCTCCTCGCCCTCTCCCTCAATCGCTACTCCTCCACCATCCCTACAATCTACGAGCTGCGCGCGTCTCCCTCTACCCTAGGCGGCGCGATCAACCTTACTCCACCCGTCTCGCGCATTCTAGACTCTCTCGGCCTCCTAGCCGCCGCAAAGGAAATCGCCTTCGAGACAAAGGAGATAAGTATCTTTTCCCTCCGAAGCGGGGCTAAACTGGGCGCCCTCCCCTTTATCGACGAGGAGACTGGGCACACCAGCCTACGTATCGAGCGCGCGCTGCTGCTTGAGCTCCTGATCCGCGCGCTAGATGAGGCGGGCGTGCAAGTCGTGTTCGGGAAGCGCCTTGAGGGCGTGCGTGAGGTTGAGGACGGTAGGGTCGCGGCGGTTTTTGCAGATGGGGGAGAGGTGGAGAGTGAGTTGTTGTTTGGGTGCGATGGGATACACTCCCTTGTGCGAGGGGCGTATGTCGAGCCGGACAGGAAGGCGACGTACTCTGGCCTGAGTTCGGCGTATGGGTTTTCGGCTACTCCTGAGGGGTTGATAGGGAAGGAAGGCTTCGAGGGAACAGCGGTGGCCTCGGGGATGAGAGGGAGTGTTATTGTAAGTTACTGCGGACCGAGGAAAGAGAAGGTATTTGTAGGCGCGGTGATGGAGGTTAAAGCCCCCGATGCCGACAGGGACGGGTGGCGCGGGAAGGGCGCCATGGGGACAGAGGCAAAGAAAGAGCTAGTAGAGAGGTTTGGCGGGGGAGACCCGGTGTTTAAGGCAGTAGTTGAGGGAGTGGAGGAATGGTCATTTTTCCCAGTGTGGGTCTTGCCTAATGGAGGGACGTATTGGAGGGGGAGGACGGTTTTGGTTGGAGATGCAGCACATGCGGTAAGATTTTGCCCTGATTGGCACGGCGGTGAACTGGACTGACTGATACAGGGTCCCCCTGGCGGAGAAGGCGCTGCTCTCGCGATGGAGGATGCAGTCGTACTGGGGCGTCTTGTTGGGAAGGCGGAGGAAGAGGGGGCAGCCGTGGAAGCGGTTTTCAGGCGGTATGATGAGCTGCGCCGGGAGAGGGTGACAGAGAACTACACACGTGCGTCGGCAAGGTGGGAGGGGGCGAAGAACCGCTCATGGCTCTTTCAGAAGACTATGGAGTTGTTCATGTGGGCGTTCCTCATGGTGTGGTGGAATAAGAGGGAGTGGGGGTTTGAGTATGATGCGGCGAATGTGGAGCTGGGTGGTAAGCTGTGAGTGGGTACGGTTGTGATGTCTAGGGGTAATGTAATCGTATATTTTGACCTTCTCAATGAGAGCTTGCGAATTCCCAGAAGAAACATTTCAAATGAAGGTAGGGGTAAAATGGCGGCGTCCGATTTCGGGAGTCAATGCGTGTATGAGACGGTTGATTAGCTCCGTCTACTAGAAGCTGGGCAATCATCTTGATTGAGCGATGTGCTTAAGAGTTAATTATGTTGAATGTAAGCTTATGCCAATCCAAAGCCCATATCCAATCCGCTGTTGGTTGTGTAGATTTGAACCAGGGAGCCCTGGAATGTTAGGACAAGAATTTCCGCAGTAGTTTATGTGAAGCTGACACTCGGGGATAGCTCGGAAAATTGGGCATAGTAACTGATATGATCGCCTACTTGGCAATAGGTGAAGATTCAGGATTCATAACTTCAGCTTTTGCTTCCTGTTTGATTAAATAAACGTGGGGGTTCTGTTAGGCTTTCGTTATCACTAGTGGACAGTTGTAACAACCCATTTATAAGCAGTTCAGCTTTTAGTATCACTACCCGCAGTACCCGTAAGTGGTAGTTGAGTTAATATATATTACCATTTTAAAACAGGTATCTTACCGCTTCACCATTCCAAAACAAGTATGTTACCACTTCACGATCCCAAAATAAGTATGCCTCGCAAACTTAGCGGCCAAGTGCTTCCCCGCGATCCACTGGGAGATCCACCGAAAACCCGCTGGGACCTGTCGATTTCATGTCAGCATCGTCACTAAACAATTAAGTCTATAATCTCACCTACATTATAGTGCAGCGGATGTGTCAGATAATGCACATCCGGCTGGGATGCGAATCCTTCCTCGCCACTAAGACGGTTATTTAGACACAGGTGACCGAGGGGGTCACCTGTGTTAGAGCAATGCGGTCACTTTAGTTGATCTTCGCTATACGAAGTACGGTGAGATCCTCACTCGCCGAACATGGCGAAGAGCATCTGTAGGTAATATTTCTGGTTAAATGCTATCACCGGTGATTTATGGAAAAATTGTTCGATGGCCGTTGCGATTTCCTATCACAGCTACGCAAGAGAATTGGCAGAATCCTTCGCGGATTTCAATGACAAAAGTTCTCCCAAGCCAAGAGTTTAAGTTGAAGTGAGATTTTGAAGTATAAAGATGCAAGCTCAGCTCGTAGTTATCACAGTATCTCCCCAACAATCAGCACCAAGCCTTCAAACACATCTCACGCATCCCCTTTATAAGAATTCCAAGTAGTAAGTGCTTCCTGCTTCTGGGCAGGGCAGCTTGCTAACGTACAGTGAAGACCAACCTCTGCAAAATGAAGCTCACCATCTTTATCGGCCTCGCCCTTGCCGTCATGGCCCCAGCAGTCAGCGCCATTGAGTGCTCCGGCGAGTGCGGACCCTACCCCAGCACTTGGCAGGTGTGGAAGTGCGACAGCGTGTGCTCTGGCTGTGTCTGCCGCTGTGGAGCGGGCGACAAGTACGCTCTTTGCTAGAGTGCGAACTGGTAGATAGTCGATAGCATCGTGGAATCAAGGAATCAAGGAATCAATAGAAGAACATTCATTTGGTAGCGAGAATTTAGTGTTTGGAGCTGTGTGTTAGTGTTCCCGGAGGCACGGCAGCGGCAGACGGGATACTTTAGAGTTCGTGACTAAGAATCTTAAGTTTCTTAAGAATCTTAATCTTAAAATATCAAGGACAGAACAAGAAGGAGGCAATGCACCTTCAATCCCAGGCCATCAAGAAAGGCATCCATGCATCACAGCACGTGTCTCTCCACGTGCCTTGGATATCATATATCCCAATCCAGTTAGTCCCGACCCGGCCAAGGTCTGACACCAAAAGCCAATATATTGGAAAGCTTCAGCCTTCGGTTCCCTTATTTCCATTATTTCAGCCAATCAGAGGCCTGGGACTCCCGGCTGAGACACACGGGACTGCCCGGGTTTCCCACATGGCGTTCCCCACGGCCCTCCAGCCCTCCAGGCAGTTAATCGAGACCCCCATGGCCCATTAACTACCGCCCGCGCCTCTCGCTATTGTTATCTCTGTCTTTCTTTCCTCACTTGTTGCCTCTCTCCGCTCTCGCTCCCCTTCCCTCTCCTCAGCCTCACTCCTTTTCCTCCCTATTCCCCCATAGCCATGCGCGAATGCCATCACTTCCATAAGTCTGAACCCTGCCTAGAGTGGGAGGAAGATCTCTACGACCTCCTCTAGCATCGCCATATCCTCCCCATAGCATTATTACTACCCCTCCCTCCCCCCCATAGCAGCCAAGATGATGCTCCAAGTCGGCGACTTCATCACCATCGCCATGGTGGCCGCCCGCGCCGCGAAAGCCCTCAACGACGCGCAAGGCTCCAAGGCCGAGTTCACTTCCCTTCTCAAGACTCTCAACGCGCTCGCCCAGGCCATGCTCCAAGCCGAAGCGCTATGCATGGGCTGTCAGTCCGCGCGCCCAAGCAACGACCCCTCTAGCATCAAAATGCTCGAATCCATCGGTGCCGAGATCATCAAGGAGCGCAAGGAGTGCGAGAATCTCATCACGCAGTTCCTTATTGACTTTTCAGCCTACTCAGACGCATTTGTCGAGCAGACGAGCGGCGTCGTGCGGAAAACCTATCGCAAGCTAACTTGGCTGGGGCGTAAGGAGGAAGCGGCTGCGCTGGAGAAGAAGATCACTACGCATATGCAGGCGCTGCAGCTACGTCTCTATGCATTCTGCTTGTAGGTTATTTCGATTTCTTGGCAAGCCAGACAAGATGCTGATTGGTGTAGCGCATCGATGAAGAGCGATGTTGTCGACAATAGTATTGTGCTAGGTTCCATCGATACCTCGGTTGAATCGCTAGCGATGCGGTTTGGCGACATGCATCTTATGGTTGCTGAAGCTGTCAAGAGAATCGAAGTCGTCCAGAATACAGTGACGACGTCAATAGGATACAGCTGGGGGCCAGAGGCACCGATTATACTTATAGATGGGCTGGATAGGAAGGTGCTTCTTCCGTTAATGCTGGCCAGCACCCCAGATGTAAGTTGAGACGAACAAGATGCTGTTATTATCGCTAACAACTAGCAGACCTTCCGAGAAGTTCTCCTTATCATGCATCGTGGTGGGCCTGGGTACGACAAGATCGAGAGCGGCAAGTACGTCGTTTCCGACGAAGATTTTGGCGGCGCCCTGATCCCCCACGCGAAATGGGCCGAGAGCTTTCTGCCGGGGAAACGCATCGCCCTAAGTTTCATCCTCCGGCATCCTGGACTAGGTGATGAGAAACAATGCCCACGATGTCGAACAATGGAGACATGGCTTGACGATCAACCAGGGCGACGTAGATGGTATGTTCCCTTGTAACACATACAGAATCAACTGCTAACACATCACCAGCCTAAAATGCCACCTCACCTTCAGAATAGAAGACCAAGAACGCACGCGTCTCTTCTGGAAATCACTCAAGCCTCGCCCCAAACCCCCGACACAAACACAATCTGCGCCTTCTCTCCCCAAAAAAGACAAAGACCCCAGGCGCCCCCTCCGCCGAAGCTCTACCATTCCCCAGGGCGAATTCGCCCACCAGTACCGGCGCGTGCACTACCAGCGCGACATCCTGCGTCAACCATCTGTGGAGCAGCGCTGGCAGAGCAGCGATCCCGAATTTGGCGAGTTCCTAGGCGCCCTGTCGCCCGTTCACCGCGCGGCGGCGACAGGGAACGTCGAAATGCTGGACGAGCTGCTCAATGACGGCGCGAACGAGGGCACTCATTGGAAGGTGCCTCCACACAGCATGTTCCGCCACGACCGCACTGGATGGGACTTTACCGGCGCGCCACCAATCCACTTCGCGGCGTACTACGGCCACAACTCCGCCGTGTTGTACCTTCTATCGTGTGGGGCGGACATTGAAGCAAAGGACTCGGCAGGGACAACGGCTCTACATGCTGCGGCATGGACGGGGAACGAGGGGCTGTTCAAAATGCTTATGAAGAAGGGAGCAGACAGCTCAGTGTGCGACTACGACGGGTGGAGCGTGGCCATCTACGCAATGAGCCAGGGCCACGATGGCATCACACGCCTCCTCCTCGGCGAGAACGCTGACGCCGACACCGAGATGCTGGTGAAGACTTATAAGCTCCGACACGCCGCGAAGCTGGGCAATACCGACACCGTGCTCGGTATGCTCCTCGAAGACCAGGAGGCGAACGCCGCGGAACCGTCCCAGGACGCCGATGCCACAACGGAGTTATTCCTCAACGAAGCCCTCCTCGGCGCCGCGGAGGGCGGACACGTCGAGCTCGTGCGCACGCTCCTAGCAAAAGGTGCCGATGCCTGCGCAACAGACGACACGGGCTCGACGGCGCTCCACTGGGCAGGATGGGGCGGCCACGCCGAGATCGGGAACCAGCTATACGATGGGCAGGAGCAGGGCCAAGACGTCGAGTCTCGCCTGAAGATTACCAGTCAGCGACATGAGGAGGCGATGACCCTGCTGCTTGGAGGAGGGGCAGATATCAATGCGAGGAATGTGCAGGGGTGTACGCCGCTGCATTGGGTGAGTGGCGCGGGGAGCGTGCCGATGATGAAGTTCTTTGTGGACCAGGGTGCGGATCCGGAGATTGAGGATTTTGCGGGTCGGACGGCGGTGGAGAGGGCGAGGGAGACGGGGGATGAGGGGGTTTTTGGGGAGTTGGCGGGGTGAGGGAGTTTTTGCGTGTTTTAAGATGGTGTATTTGGTTTTGTTTGATTTAGCGATTTGGTTTACACAGCGAGCGAGCATTTGGATGGACTTGGGCGTCCTTTGGGGGTGGTGGCGGCTGGGTCATATATGCAATTTACAGTATAATATTATGTTATAGTATCATCGGCTTATGAATAACTTACTTGGTACTCCATATCTGAGGTTGTCACAGGTGGGAACAATGATGTAGTCGTATAGAATTAAATTGTATCCGCATGATATCCCTGTCTCACAGAAATCATTAGGTATAACCTAATACTTATTTAGTTGCAGTGTCACACCTGAAAGATTTGGGACCCGACAATCGATTCTTATAAACCAAGAATTCTAGTATAGAGCATTCTTATGTAAAGGTTCTACTATATTCATATCATAATCATCATCGCCATCATAGCTGACATGTCTACGCTATTCCTCACCTCAACCTCTCAACACCAGCAATACTTCTCCAATGCAAGCCACTCAACCCCAGCTTCCACCTCCCCCTTCCCACCCCCCTCCTTCCCGTTCCATCTCAAACACGGCACACTCCCCTCCGTCCTATTCTTAACCTCAACCTCTTTCCCCATAATAACCTTACAAGCCTCTTTCACCCTCTCATCCGGATTCCACACGACCACCTTCCCTAGTCCCCATGCATGCGCCTCGGCCTGCGCTGCACGCAACACACTCACCACCTCCTGCACACCCTGCGCCTCTCCGCCCTCCAACGGCCCACCCGCCTTAAGCCGCAGCATAATCAGCTTCCGCTCATTGAAATCACGGACCCAATACCCGAAAGTGGAACCAGCTGCCACACCCTTGAGAGTCGGCGGAGCCTGGTCGGGGTATAGCTTCGAGGCGGAGATGTCCTCGGCGCCGAAGTGCCACTCTGCTTGTGCGACGGAGGGGTCGAAGGCGAGGCGCGTATGGTTGCCGGGGGAGGGAGGTGACATGACCTCTGAGGTCAGGGTGAGCAAGTCAGACTGCGTGTAGGGTTGGAGGGATTCTGCTGTGATGGGTGTTGTAGCTGGGGAGGGAGAGGCGGAGGTTGGGAGGGGAGAAGCGGGGATAGTGATTTCGGGGGAGGGGACGACAGCCCAGCCGTGACGGGCGTAGAAGTTCTGTTTCTCGTGTTAGGGTATCTGTGCCGATCTGGACTAGGACAGAAAGGAAGAAGAACGTACCCCAACGTCCGAGAAAAGAACGCTGAATTGGCAGTTCGCCTCCTCGGTATCAAGCCACTCGCCCAACTTCCGCATCATCGTCCCTGCCAGCCCGTGGCCACGGTACTTGGCTGGCGTGAAGACCGATGCGATGCCGTAGGAATCTTCAGTATTAAACCCCTTGCTCGTCTGCACCAAGACTCTCTTCTTCAGCGTCTCGACCGCCGCGTAGATCTCCCCTCCCTCCCCTTCAGTAGTGAGGCCCCAATACCTAACCCCGCCGTCGCGTAGGAGGCTACTAGCCCCATTTGCAGCTTCGCGGGCAACGTAGTCGGCTTGGGTGAGGCGGCCGGCCCAGGAGACAGAGTTAGTGATCCAACTGGCCTCCTTTTCAGCCGGGGTGAGCAGGCGCAGGATCAGGGCCGAGGGGTTAGGGATAGCTGGAGGAGGGGCTACCACGGCGGCGCCTAATTGGGGGTCTATGGGCTTAGGGGTTTCTGCTGAGGGTTGAGACGCCATAACGGTTGGCAAGTTTAGTGAACGCTGGGGGTATAGGAGTGAGGTTGTTATTGAAGCAGTCAGAGTTGGATTCCGTTTTGGTGGGATAATGTGAGAATTAATGATATTGGGGTTGACGATGGAGGGGGCAGGGAGGGGGCGGGGTCGAGGCTTGTTATCGCTGATCGCTGCCTTGTTCCTGGCCCGAGCGCTCTATTGCTTGGCAGGGCTCACGACGAGGCCCTCCAGACGGCGGCACCGAGTTTTAGCTTTGCAACGCGATATACATATTGGAATAACGTGGCAATAATTTATTTAGGAGGCGCAAATTCGGCAGTTGGGTAAAATGCCCTGTATGGAGCCTTATGTAGCAAAATGAAAGACGAGAGGGGTGACTTTCGGTCCAGGCGATTGAATAAGCCGATGCTTCGATTTTAGCAATAGTTTATGCAAACAAAATGAGACGGCCTGTCAAAGATTAGCACTTTTCCTCAAAAATACCTCGGCCGGAATACGAGGCAGCTCAGAGATACATGTGAGTATCGGGTGTTGGGTTCCATTTCTTCGCAAATGAATTTTTAGTTGGGTGTTTATATTATTGAATATTCTTGTGGATTTCTTGAGAAAATAATTCAATTGGGCAGAACTACCTTCTTATGGGCAGAAAGCTCCGTGTTCGGGATTGGCTTTAAGAGTGGCATTATTGCCTGTTGGGGAACTGGTGATAGTAGAAGAATCTACTCTGTCGCTCACAGCTGGTAGTATGTAAATGCTACGAGACGATTCGCTTTTCCAGGCTGCCGAAGAAGCGTCACAAGTCTAACCTTTTCAGCTCAGGTTCGGCCAGAGAGTCACTATAGCTTTCGTATATCGGATACATAACTAGTACAGCAAGAAAAGAAGGAGAAAAATGAGCCTCGCGAACAGCCGGCTGGCTTGTCGTCTCCGTAGGCAACAAACTCCAACTTATCGCGGGGTTCTTGCAGAAAGATCGGCATCTATGGAGCTGTACGAGCGGACCGGCGCAGATCTAGGGTCGACAAGTAGCCCATTAGAAACAAAACAGCGGTCCGATCCGAGTAAATGGAGGGGACCCTTGACATCATTTTGCGGGGTTAGTTCTCCTCCACTTCAGGTCCCTGATACAATATATGTTCGATCGTCTTTCCATTACTGATTTACTTACGACTGTAATTCTATTCCTAAAGCCGAGCTCGATCTATAGAAAGAGTAAAGTACAGAGTACTTCCTCACCCGGCGATCCGAAGTTATCGTTTAACGTTGACGCCCAACGAACCTGAGACTCGCTTGGAAGTCTGGCAACAATACCAGAACAGTCCCACTGTTCAAGTCCTTGACGAACAATTAAATCAGAACATACGAACCTCTTGCTCCTGACAAGATGGCCACCACCACTATCACCGAGACTCGAGGCACTGTCGCCGATTACGACAGCGATGTCTACAACACCGTAAACCACACACTCTTCATTGCCTGTCAGAAGGCCGAAGAACGTAACATCCAGCCAGTCATCAACACAGCCGTTCGCGACATCTTCCTCAAGCACAACGTGGAAGAGGACTACAGCGCATGCCTCATCCACCGCCACTACGACCTGGCCGCCGACGAGCGTAACGTCGAGGCAGACGGAAAGGCCGTCGCCTCCAAGGATTTCACAGGTCTCTACCCTTCCAGCTGGATCTTCTACAAAGGCACGTGCTACCCTTACGAGTACAAGAGATACGTTGTTCCACAGCCTTCGCCAGCATTTGTCGCAGACTTGGGAGACCTTTTGGAGGAGAAGGGTCTCACTGATTTGGTTGGATTCCAGACGTACACGAATGGGATAGTGGGGCTTGAGAGCACAGATCGCGAGACCAATGTGAGCACGACTGTCGACCAGGATGAGAAGCTTCCTGTCCCAGAGGGGATGGCGCCTGCATCTTGGGCATTTTTCCGTGTGTAAAGGAGTAAGTTGTAGGTAGCCTGGGATTATTAAAGCTTCCTATAAAGCTTTCAAATCAAGTCCCTCTTGTGATAGTGACTGAAATTGTGGCATCAATTTGTTACCGCCTAAAAGTAGCAATATATGACCCCTGAGCTGCATGTGAACCGCATGATGCTCCCTGGTGGCCGCCAGCTCAGTATCCAGCTTGCATATTTGGATACAATCTCTATCTGCCAACGGTTGAAACATGAAATAAAACAAAGGCCACCTCTATATGAGCTGGAATATCAAGTTACACCACATTAAACCAGAATGATGGAAGCCGATGGGCCGGGGGAGAGTCCCGCCATTGGCAGTGTCGGTGGTCACCACCCTATAAATGAAAAGATAGACTCACACAACGTATAATTTGACGTTCAGCCCCGGATTTTGTCTCTGTGCCCCTCATATAGTGATACCCTGACCCGCACACGATAATCACAGAAAGTTTGGCAAATAGTTATTGGCTGAACTCTCCGGAATGGCAGAAATCGAGACTTTGCGGACTCATGACCAGAGAAGAGATGGTCCTTTGGTTGAAACTCGGGAAGGCATACTAATAAACGAGAGATAATCTACTATACCGTGAGATCTTCTTGTATTGGCAGGTGCGACCTATATCTCTTACTAAGCTGTTCCTTCCCCCTTTATGACAAGAGAGGGTTCTAGTATTGGCAAGTGCGACCTATATTCCGCACTAAGCCGTTCCTTCCCCCTTTATCTCACTGACTCCGCGCTCCTCAGGGCCCTCAGAAAGCTGAGCTTTAGGTTTAAAAGGCCCAAGCTAAAGAGCCCGGATAGCTCGCCATGCTACCAAATCAAGCCAGACAGCAGCTCTGTAGGGCTGGAGTTTAGGCCTGAGAGGAAGACCGCCTCCGAAAAGAGGGTGGCAGCCCCTCGTAATGCTGGCATCCCAATTCCTTCCGCATGCAAAGAGCCAGTTCCTAAACCAAAAGCCGAGAGCAACAGGGAGAGAAGGAGTAGGAGAGATTGCGGGAGCGACAAATTGAAATTTCATACGATAATTGATTTATGTACCTTTACATACAAATTACTATGAAAAGGTACTTACACTATTTGGTAGTCGAAACCGACCACATTGCTTCCCCCTAATACCGCGGCGATGTTTTTTCCAACCTTGATGAGAGAAGAGAAAGTTTGATCACGACAATTAGGGGATACGATACAGCACAAGCACAGCCAATTCCCTTCAATGACAATATAATCCACAGTAGATAAAGTGAGTGGGCAATATGACGATATAATTCACGTGGACAGGACAGACTCTGGACATCATCCCTACGAGCCATGAAAACTCCCATAAAATGGGAGAAAAGAGATTTCTCGCAGATCCTCATCGGATCGCGTTCTTCCGCATCCGGAAGCTGGGCAATCTGGCAGGTGGGCGTGGTGGATCGATGGTTGGCGGAGCGGCTCTGCGACAGATGATGATCGACAGAGCGAATTGTAAGGGCGTGGGTAGTGCTGCACTATGGGAGTAAGGAGGCAGTAAGGAGAGTAGAGGGCTGACCGAGGCTATTGATGCGACTGCCTGGTTCGGCGTCGACGGTTCTGCTCGGGTCTGGATCCGTAGTGGTTCTACTACGCTGGCTCATTTCCCACACGTGGTCAGGTAGTCAGTTTGCGCTTGCTCGACGCGAGATGAGGCTCTACTTGGGGAGATATTTATCCCGTAACCGAGGGTGGAATGGGTGACAGATGAAGTGGCGTGTTGATCGCCGGGATCTGCTCTGTGGTGGGTAATGGAAAGGCATGGACATCCATCGATGAAGATTTCTTCACAGCCTGTCTTCACAGACGAGGATGAGATATGCTCGGCGTGACCGGTGAAGTATATGGCTGATAAAAAGCCAAACTATGTCGATTCAGTCGGTATGGCCGTGTATGGTCGGTCCTACTACCCCGAGTCGTGGCTGAGCTCTTATCTCTCTTGAGGCGGATGAAGTCATCGTCCCCAGTCTGCCCCTAACCAAGCTTTTTCAGCACCGCCATCTCCTGGGGGAGCCACAATCCCACAATCCCATCATCCACCCCATCATCGCGCTCCTTCGTCTGGCCCATCCCAGTCGGGATGAAATCCTAAAGTACTCCGCACCCCCAAATCAATAGCCAATCCCAAAGCAAACCCAATCTAATCCCAATCCACCCCGCGATCACCGGCGCATCCTTGACCCATGGACGCCTGTCTCACCCATGGCGAGCTGAGGAGTAACTGAGCGCACTGTTAATTGGGGAAAGTACCACTCTGTACCGTAATTGCGCGGAGGAGAGCTCCATCGCGCTAGGCCGACGCGATGCTGGGATTGAGACCTTGGCAGGACAAACATTGAAGGTGCATGGCGCGTGTTGGCGACGGGAGTTCCTGGTTTTGCGGCTTGTTTTCTTCTTCTGTGCACCGCGTTTGTTTGTTGTACCGTGGAAGGGGAAGGGGAAGAGGGGATAAATTTCCCGGGCGTCAATGTTTGGTACTGGAGTAACGCACAGCACAGAGATAAGCTGTAGTACTGTAACCATCTCCGAGGGTCAATTTGAGTTGTAGGCCCCTATGACAATGCAAATTGGATGCGATTCGATTGACTGATACATCACCGCATCGCTGCATTGACAGCGAGTACCGCAGGAGGAGCGGCGGCGGCCAATGGCTGGTCGACGGCGACAGAAGAAAAGAAACGTATGATGTCAGGGACGTTGTTTGTGAGACCTGCGAGATTGCTCCCTGTCAGTATTGTGCTATGGTCTTTGGATGATGGGTACATGGGCATGACTTGGACTGGTACATTGGCTTCTCCAACAATCGTTGTCCAGTTGGCCCTGAAGATGTTCGCTGGCACAGCACAACGCAGCTATCTGTCATGTCGTAGATTTGAGCCCTTATTTGTTCATCTGGACTCTCTTCATGATGTTGTATTGCATTGTATCGTGATGTACCCTATAGCAATGGTTGTATGCGCTGTAGTAACTCCCACGTTAAGGTTCTCAGGTCCCATCTCCGTTAAGATCTCCCTAGGAAGGATGAAAGTCGGCAATCGGCCACAGCAACCCTGCGAATGCTACACGTTGTAGATAGTTGTAGAGTTGTAGAGAATTGTACTGCCCATGCACGGCTGTGGGTTGCCGCAGTGCCTACCCTTTCTGCCTTTCTACCCCTTCCTAGCTACCCTTGTCGTCCCTTCCCTTCCCAGCTCTCAAGTCCGAGTGGCGCTTTCCTTTGGGTAGGTGCACTCTAACGCTAGTGAATGACAGCAGATCAGTGCATCGTCAGCATCATCATCCATCGTGAGTGAGGATAAGTATCAATTTATGTGTCAATTGCTTCAATTTGATCAATTGTCGACTGTTCACAAGACAGCCCCTTAGAAAGTGATAATATATTTCATACTGGGCGTTTCGCAGTGATACACTCATATCCCATCAAGGCAGGAGAACGAGATGAATGTGCGACAGCTATCGTTGTCTGTCTCACCCTCATCTCCGACCCGTCTTTCACTACAGACCAGTTCAAGCCACCACAGTGTCCTCTAAGCATCAGCCAACCAAGGAACACTTGCGGCGTCCTAATCCTTTCCTAGCTGTATCCTAACTGTATCCTAGCTGTATCCTAGATCCTAGCTGTATCCTAAGCCCAACTATTTATCCTAGTCTTATAGCAACCGCGCTTGTTGTGCCCTGGTCTACCGAAATACAGGAAACTATCCCTGTTTTTTTTAAGACCTAACAACCTGCTAAAGTCAACTAAACCCCACTAGATACACGTCTCTAACCAGACAAAGAAGTCGGTTAACCAGGACCTGAAGTCTAATTTTCCATTTGCCCATGGTCCATTGACATTTCCATCGGACATTTCCATTACTCAGGAAATTAGACATCTCTATTGGAGACCGGGGATGATAGCCGCCGTTCCCCTTCACTGTCAGTGCACGTCTTTTTGCCACTCAGATTCAGCATCTCCGCTGTATCTCCCTGTCAACAACACTGAACATTCACTCGACTATTCACTAACTCACTATGACATGTATATCTGCAGCTTCATATGTACCACTGGGTTTACTATTACTATTACTGCACTCTCCTCCTCTAGTAGCTGCACTTCTCCTGCACTTCTCCTGCACGCAGCCAACACATCACATCATAGATAGCTATCTCGTCTCTTCGTCCTACGTCTCTAGTCATGCCTATACGCCCCTACCTGTCCCTTTTTCTGTCAAGCATCACTCCCGCCTCAGACCGCATCACACCGCATCACACCGCACCACACCGCAACCCCCCCGCGTTGTGTTCACTATTGCCTGCAGCATTGTGACGGAACAACCCCCAGAATGTCTTCAATTGCCTCCCACTAACGCACAAATATGCACACATTTACCCAAAACAGACATCCAACTGAGACCGGAGCTATCCCCTTGCTCCCCTGTTCGCCGTTGTGCTGTGTGTTCCTGCTTTCCCTCCTGTTCCCTATTTTTCCCATCCTCCCCCCCCCTAGCAACCTGTTAGCCCACCTACAGCCTCCAACCCCCTCCGCCCCAAATCTCCCCCCAATCTCCCCAATCAAGAAATCCACACTTTCTCCAAAATCCCGTCTTGTTTTTCCCTTCCAAGTACCGCGCCGCTCCACTCCTCGCCGACCCACCTGCTGCAAGCTCCACACCCATCGTCCCCATCGTCCATCGCCGTCCTCCACATATAAATGTAAACAGCCCCGATCCGCGCCCAGATCTTAACAAAACCTCCTCTTCACCTCACAACTCGCAAATACCTAAACACACAGCTCTTCTCAATCTTCATACACACACACACTCAATCTCTTCACTCTCAACAATCATCAACATGAAGTACTCCATTGTCTTTGTCGGTGCTCTCGCCGCCCTCGCGTCTGCACAGTCCGTGTCCGATCTCACTGCTTGTGGTGTAAGTGAACCTCGCCTCAATTCGTGTCAATTCACCCCCCAAAACACAACAATTCATCACCAAACAACCCAATAGACACTCACTAACACATCACAGCAACAATGCGTGAAGAGCATGCTCGCCCAGGCCGCCACCCTTGGCTGCTCTAACACTGATGCCGCCTGCCTCTGCAACAAGAGCGACTTCGCCTACGGTATCCGTGACTGCGCCAATGAGGCCTGCGGCTCTGACGCCCCTAAGATCATCGCCTACGGCACCGCCTTCTGCAAGGGTGAGTCCCCTCTTGCTCTTTCTGAAGCGTTTGAACGTTCGTACTAACGGCGCGACTAGGCCAGAACGGCGGCTCTGACAGCGGTGCTTCCACCTCGGGCTCGGGCTCCGGCGCCGGAGCCGGTGCTGGCTCTGCCACCGGAACTGCCGCCTCTTCTTCCGCATCCGCCACTGACGGTGCTGGTGGTGTAAGTTCCCTCGCCTCTCTCACTTACTGAATCATATCTAACGTATCCCAGGCCGGCGGCGCTGTTGGAGGTGGCGCAGGTGCCAGCGGCTCCGGTGCTGAGGGCGGCCCAGTCCCAATCACCACCTCGGCTGTTGTCTCCGACTCCAAGACTGTCGGCTCCACCACCATCTACTCCTCTGACGCCAGCGCGACCCCGGTCTCCACCGTCACCTCTGACGGAAAGGCCGTCACCACCCTCTTCGGCGCCGCCGGAGGTGCCAACGGTGGTTCCGGCAGCGGAGCTGGTGGCGATGTGAGCACTGTCACCAGCGGCTCCTCCACCTTTGTTACCACTGTCTCCTCTGGATCTGGATCCGCCTCCACCGGTGGTTCTGACTCCGGCAACGGCGGTGCTGCTGGTGGTGCTGGCTCCAGCTCCTCCACCGGCGGCTCCGGCTCCGGCTCTGGAACCTCCACCTCCTCTGCTGGAGGTGCCAGACAGACTGCCGCTGCTGCCGGTGTCATGGCCGTTGCTGGTCTTGCCGCCTTCGTGTTGTAAGCATCCACTTACCTCACCTAATCTTGTATGAATGGAGTAGAGACGGGGGAGTAATATATGTGGGGTTGCGGGTGGTGGTGTGCGATACCCTTCTAGCCTACGAGGTGGCGGTCGTTGAAAAATACATACATACATCTTCTCGACATTCTTTACCGGGTCGGAGCAGGGTGCTGCGAGCGACGAGTGCCTGTGAGGATAGGTGAATGCCGTCCATGATCACTGACGGAGCGCCCAAAGGATCGTATGCCCTATCACGTCTGTATGAGGGGTTAATAAGTAATGAGGCGATCGATTGCGGAAGAAAATGGTCTTTGCGTAGATGCATCATGGCTCCGGGGGGAGAATTAATAAGGCGGATTGTGTTTATGAACGGGACGAAGATTCCGAGATACAGTATACAAAGAAATGGATTACTGGACTAGATATTGATGTGTTCTGAAGATGTGAAGTGTGCGTGCTGTGATAGTAATGTTTACCTTCCACCTTCCAATGGTTGCTCGCTGGGGGAATAGACAATGATATGGTGCAGACCTGACGGAAGGCGCGACCTATGCATGTATCGAAAGAAGGTATGGAAGTTGCCACCCATGGATGATCTAACAGATGGAAGGTGCCACCCATGAAAGGTCTACCATAGGGAAGGCACGACCCCACTTGCAAGGGATGAGCGGGAAGGAGGTGCGGGACTGGGGACTAAGGAGAGCTGGGGTCAGCGAGACAACGATGATGCATTGCAGATTCCAGTCCTCAGTGTTATGTACAGTATCCTCCGGGTGTTCAATTTAGAACCCATCTCTCTTCATGTCTTTCAGTATGCCTTTCCCCCTGTCCTCGTCTTCTCACTTCGTCCCCCCCTCACCCCTCACAACCCCACTATCATATCTCTCTTCCTACCCCCTACGATGACACGTACACCGCCGGTCCAGGAATCTGGTAACTCGAAAACGAAGTATAAAGATTAAACAGAATCCCCGGATCCGTCGGGGTATACAACCCCACCATCGCCACGCCCGTTGGCTTCTTGGTGCCACTGCCCTTGATATTGAGGTTCACACACTGCGGGTAATCCTGTGCCCCATCCGCCTGCCCCGCCGCATGCAATGCGATGATCTCGTGGCGCAGGACATACTCTCCCGGCGCGATATCAGCTGGGATCTTAACGGTCCAGGTGTTGTTATTCGCGATGAGGGTGTCAGTTGCCCAGTTACCTGGGTTGCTGCCGGAGAGGAGCCCAACGCCATCTATTTTGAACCAGCGCAGCGCGGTCTTATCGACCGACTTACAGGGCCCGTTGCAAGGGGCGAGGTAGTCGATGACTGGTCCGTGGTGGGAGACGGGCCAGGGGGTCCATTCGAGAGTTAGGGTTGAGCCGGCGGTGATGGGGGCGGTGTCTTGGCCCGGGGTGGCTACCTTGTGACAGATGACGTCGGAGGTGGAGAAGGCGGAGGGGGCGATGAAGCCGTTATCGAGGTCGGTGGGGATGGACCAGCCGACGACAGATGGGATGGGGTTGGCCCACTGGAAGGAGGGGTTGTAGCCCACGTAGCTGGAGGAGGTTAGTGGGGAAGTTTGGTTGGGGCGGAGTGGTGAGGGGAAGACTGGAGGAGGGAGACTGGAGGAGGGAGACTGGAGGAGGGAGACTGGAGGAAGGAGAGTGGATGAGGGAGTATAGAGGAATGTAGGTGAGGGGAAAAGATCGGTGGGACGCACTATTTTCCGTCGGCGATGATGCCGCTCACTGTGCCATGGGCGGCAACGATAGGGGCCAGGAGGCCGAGGCCAAGAAAGGTGAAGGAAACCATATTGAGCGGGTCTTTGATATGCTAATATAACAAGAGACTCTCGATCTGAGAAAGATAGGGGGATAAACGGGGGATATATATGGCTTTTGCGGGAGCTGGCTGCACCACGCACAGGACGTCTTCATCTTCTCGGCTGCAGCATCCGAGCAGCACCAGCACGAAAAGACGCGCGGGGCGCTGAGATGCAAACGGAAAGAGACTCAAACCTGTTCTTCGCAGACTGTTGTCTGATGACCCTCCTCTATTCACATCGATGTGAGCACTTGCCACGGCGTGGTGTATATCCGCCTATAATCACCGTTCAATAAATGAAGCTGCCTCCCTGGCTGGGCGGAGGAGGACGCGCCGGCAAATGGGTGGGTGGGATATATATTGACCTGAAGGAGCTAGGACGGAAAATAGAGTGGTGTCGGGATGGCGGCATCGAGGAATGCTTTTATCCGTCGCAGGCGAGGTGGGAAGAAGAAATACCAAGAGAGGCGATCCGGCAGTTGCCTGATGTCCTCGTGGCGGAGATATTGGGGCGCATGTGGGAGATGAGGGTATAGATGAAGTCCGGGAAGGGGAATGCATGGGGAGAGCTCCGACCGTTGAGGAAGGAGATGCCGGAAGGCTTGGAGCGACAGGGGAGGGGAATCTGGGGAAATAATCGCGGGGAAGGCGGCTTGATGATGGACCGAATTTGGGACGAGGTCAGCCGGGCGGTAAAGTCAGGAAATAGGTTCAATACATATGGAATAAATTTGAGACTGGTCAAAGATAATAGCAACGACGTTATACAGAACGAGAAAGGCTCACCAGCGTGTCTTCTGTTGTCGTCGTAGGAAGGTTGAAATAAGCATTTATATCACGTGATTACAGGGGGTGCGAAGCGTATCTCGTGACATAAGATTTAGGCTGTTTCATGAAACTCCTTTTTACAAAGTTGAAGTTTACGGGATTGCTCGTTAATTAGCTTGGCTAGACCTCTCTAACTTTGCGTATTGGCGTATCTCGTGGACAGGCAGCTCCATAACGAAATCCCAGTGAAAATGGCGGAAAATCAAGTAGAAAAGCCTATCCGGGCGCCCGGTTCGTCCATCCGCAGATTCTCCCCTCCCGCGGCGGCTGACAGATATTCTAGGAATAATCGAGCGTTATTATATCGCTCGTAGTCATCTGGGATATTACAACAACGTAGGCGTCACATCAACCTACACCATCCCGCCGGCTCTCCTCTCATCTGCCTTCCTCGCAGCAGACTGCTCGGCGGCCGTCGCAAACCTCACGTACCAAGTCCTGGCGCAGCTGATCGCCCAGCACCCATCGCTAGGAATCTCAGTTCTCGGCGCAAGCACGCTGACCCCATCCTGGAACCGGCTCGAGAGCATTGACCTCCCCAGCCTCGTCACCTTCACCGAGCCTAACGCCTCGGTCGAGGAGTACCTCATCAAGCTCTTCAACACGCCCATCCTCGGCGATGACGGCACCTCACCTCTATGGCGCGCCCTGGTCATCCCGTCGCCCCCTGTTGCTGCGGATGCCACACTAAAGTCTCCAGCTCCATTCCACCTAACCATCGGCTTCTTCTACCACCACGCTATTGGTGACGGGCTCAGCGGCGCCGCGGTACAGACTTGCATCCAGCGCACTCTTCTTGCCGCCCTGCGCGAGCCGTCGAGTAGCCCACCTACTACCGTTCAACCATCCAGCGCCGACCTACCGCCCGCCTTCGAGACCGCCGTCCCGCTCACCATCACCACAGGAGGGTTTCTACGCGCGCTTTACCAGACTGTTTTCCCGAACCGGGACGTCTGGTCGGGTGCCCTTATTACGAAATCCCAGCCTGTTGTAACGAAGCTGCGGCAATTCAGTCTCTCAGCGGCGCAGGCGGCGGCGCTAGCGGCACGGTGTAAGCGCCACGAGACGAGCGTGACGGCGCTGCTGATGGTTGTTGCTGCGGAGGTGGTGGCGGGGAAGACGAAGGGTGCGAAAGGGATTGACGCGAGTGTGGCGATTAGCTTGCGGAAGTTCGCGGATGGGGTGGGGGCAGAGGATATGGGGACATATATATCCGCCATGTCGTGCCTGTTTTTCCGATCAAATGCGAAGGGAAAGGGGAGGCTGGGCGATGGGGTGGAGTGGGAGGAAGCAAAGAGAGTCAAGGGGCTGTTGGCCAAGGGTGCCGGGGGGACGAAGAACCAGTTCTCGGCTTTCTTGAAGGTGATACCTAATATGATGAAGTTTCTGGAGGGTAAGCCTGGGCAGTCACGGGAGAAAAGCTTTGAGATTAGTAATTTGGGGGTGGTGGATTTTGGCAGCGAGAAGGTGGATGGGGGAGAGGAGAGCGTGAGATGCGAGAGTGTTGTTTTTGGACAGTCGGCGAATGTGATTGGGGCGGCGTACTCGTTTAGCGTCGCGACGGTGAAGGGGGGAGAGTTGAATGTGCTGCTGAGTTGGCAGAAGGGGGTGGTGGAGGAGCGCATTGCTAATGCGGTGATGGTGGAGTTGGAGAGATGGCTAACGGCGGAGGCGTCGAAGCACGGTGCTACAAATGGCCCATAACGAACGTGATGGAGGGTGTCTGTGTTCCCAATGGTGGCCGTTTAGCTGCCAGGACTAATACTAATATTTATAATCAACTAGATATTTACTTCGGGGATGACATACTATTTTAATAAGACAGCAGAATATATATTAAACTAGATATTCAATTCGGGGACGGCATAGTATTTTAATAAGACAGCAGAATATATTTATTTAAAGCCAGCTATTTCACTTCTAAAATGTTATCGAGATGGCCACCGTATGCCCATGGCCCAATTTACTTATGAACAACCTCCAATACCCGGAAGTAGCATCCTCCATCATCGCCATGCATATTCGCAATTTTCAATCCAGCATTTTCCAGCAAGTCTACCCACTGCTTTTCACTCCGCTCCACCCCGCTGAATGTCAGCATGTTAATATCCGACCACGCTGTTTGGATATCGACGTGTCCAACGGGCATCACAATCTCAGAGATCAAAATGCGCGAGACGCCAGGTTCCATCGCGGCAGCGAGATGTTGCAGAATCAAGAGACAATCGGAGTCTGGCCAATCGTGAAGACAGCGGTGGATGTAATAATAGAGGGCACCTAGAATTGTCAGGTTCGTGAGTCCATTAGTTGATTATAGGGCGAGGAGAGTGTACCTTTGACTGGCTGCGGTTTGAAGAAATCATGCGCCATTCCCACCACACCCGTCGGCAACGGACCTGCGATCCCCTCAATAACCTCCTTCTGATCCTGCATGACGATTTTCCCCTTTACATCTCGACAAGCCTCCCGAATGGCAAGCGTAGCCTGGCCTATGCCGCTGCCAACATCTACCAGCAGAACAGTCTCATCCGTAGTCTGCACCTCTCCTAATTTGTTTTTGAAAGGGAACAAGTCGTAGGGAAGGGATGTTTGGGAAGAACGAGCTTGCATCGCATCGTTGAAATTTTTGAAACGCTCAGGGTTCTGAAGGAGGAATTCGAACATATTTAGGCCTTTAGTGTCATGGGCGTAGGTGTAGGGATTGTTACTCCGAGAGTCGGGGTTGATATACCCATTTTTCTTGAAGAATTCGGTCATCTTCATGCTCGCGAAGCAAGTCTCGTCGTACCTGAAGAAGGTTAGAACTGGTTAATCTATTTTGAAAATAATACCAAATTCTCATACATCATTTTGAAGTTGGCCCGCAAGGGAAGCTCCAAGTAGACTCTGGAGTTCGGCGTGTGAGTGTAAACTTCTGGGCGTGGTTCTTCGAAGAATGTAGGTATGACAATGCGCATCAGACGAACTTTGTGTCATTAGCCCCGACCTTACGAACCCACTGCTTCATTTATAACAAACCGAGAAGAGCTTCGTCAACGCCTAGCTTCTTAGCCAGTTCCTCCGCGGACATTTCACTGCCATCAGCGGGCAGAATATCAAAAACACCCATCTCCAGCAGTGTTCTAAGCGAGCTTGAACGGAAACACTACTTTCACCATCCAAGATCAGGTCCGGCTCTCGCCATTGCTTTGTAGTAGGAATGTAAAGGCTTACCTCTTCATAATGCAACATAACCATATTCAATGGCCCATAGATAGCGCTTTGCATCTGCTTCACGCTCTCAGTCATCGTGACTTGGCATTGTGAGATTTCGCCGATAGCCGCAAGGTCGTCGGATGAGGAGTTCTTCTCAAACGTAGCGGAGTAGGCATTCACAGCATCGGTGAGAGTTTTGAGTTGCGTTTTGATAGCATTATGCTGCGCTATCCTCTGTTCTCTGTCCATTTTGCTATTGAGAAGGTGATGAATAGTAGATTTGAAGTCGCTCGTTACTTTGTGAAGCCAGACGATGGTGAATCGCAATGAGTAGGATGTTCTCACAGGCACGTGTTCTGATAACTTCAGTGTTTTTTCGAATCGGCACAGAGGTCAAATAGGTGGAGAATAATCGAGGTCCAGCAGATGGCGGTGAGATATCCTGAGCTGACCCAATACAGACAACTCGTCGTGTCCAGATGCGTCCGATCTTTCCATTGGAGGGGTAATATGGACCCTACTTGAGGCTATCAGATGCGCTTGAAACAGGGTCCATACGCTGCCCTACTCAATAAAAGACTATCCGGGCCCTATCAACTCACAAAGCCGTGCAACTGCACCTCCCGGCCCGTTAGCTTTGGAGAGGATGACCCACACGCGGAGAGCTTGCCTAGGTCTCACAGAATGATAGGAATATCCCTTAAATTCATGCAGCGTGCTCTAAAACAAGATTCATATGCAAGCAAAGCGTACACAGTCACAGCGCTGCTGTTTAAGTGCGTTTTCTCCGAGACATCTCCCAACGGCTCATTCAAAACGGGAATTAATACGCCAAAAAGCCACCTGAAAGTCGCACAGAGGTTCCGCTTTCTGCAAGTTCAAAGGTATATGTTATAGGCCAACCACCCCGACCTGCATATGCTCCTCGGCCAGTTAGGCCGAGGCACATACACATATGCATTCCTAATTTATTGTCTTACCATAGCTGTCCGTTACATATCGAGGCGTGCATTTTGCTATAATGCCTACATGCAATATTGGTTTCACCTGTATGTGACGTGGGATCTAGACCCCACAGCTTTTCAGCTCCAAAATCATGAAGATCAGCTCTACTTTTTTAATATTGCATATTAAGCGACTAAGGTTGGATGGTACAGTATCTTCAACACTATATGGCGTCACGGCCCCACAGACTTGGGGCGGGCCTGTGCATCCCCATTTCTCCAACTTGTACATTATGGGGACTTTTTGGCGCTGCGCTAGCAACCCCAGCAGACGGGAGTCGGTGCATTGCCCGCGATGTGAGACAAGTACTGATCATTAAGTGTGGACCTCAGAAGTATATTCATTTTGGTGCTGAGATGCGGCTTTATGCAATCGATTAGTACACAACAGGGACACAAAGTGTTGAGATGCATTACAAAAACAATAATGTAGAGGCAGAGACAGGCATCCTTGGGTTTCAATAGGGATTTCCCGTTATGGCTCCGCCGCGTATCGGCTTTTCAGCTCCGGAGGGCCTTGGAGTAGCTTGGAGGAGCAATAGCCCCACTACATGCAGCTATACGGAAGTAATACGTTGAATTGTGCGCGAAAGGTAGCTCCCGTTTTAAGTGAAGGCCTACATGAACACGTGATGAGCGCGGCCCTTGGAAAGTGTGCTTGTGGAGGGAAGAAAACCAACATACCAGTATTGATCATTAATTTCTCTACGTCCCAGAATCTATATTGAGTTTGACTCGAAGCTTCATTGTCAAAATGTCGACTGTATATACGTCTCCGTCAGAAATTGCCGACTTAGTGAAAGGTGTAAATGAAGCGGCTGCTAGCTTTGACACAGCAGCTGCAGCTCAAGGTGACCTTCATGTTGCTCGACGAAAGCTGCAGCACGAGGCTAGAAAGCTTCTCAATTCTTTGGAAGAGCCTAATGGAGAAGTTTGGCCTCGGATATTTCAAGTAAGTGGGCGAAGTCCCTGAAACAGGAAAAAGGCTTATATAGTAACCTATTGTTGCAGGTCAATGTCAGTGTTTCAATTGAGATCGTGTCTCAACTTAAACTATGGGAGAAGTTCGAAGGAGGAAAGGAAGTTTCCCTGGCGGAAATTGTGGAGTCCACTGAAGCCGATGAAATAATCATTAGTGAATATTCCCTTTTGCCGCGTCCTTAATGAGGTTCTTTACTGACTCTTGTGTAGTCCGTATATTCCGTCAGCTCACAGCGGCAAACCTGTTTGTGGAATCCATGGGCCCTAGAGGCCCAGGTTTCATTCTCACTTCCCTCGGGAAACCATATCTGCACCCCGACCACCGCGCATTCAACAACTTCGTATTCTTCGATCTCATTCCTTCGATCATGGCAATGCCAAAAACATTGGCAGAGAAGCAGTACAAAGCGCCCACTAAAGAGACGGGAACACCTTTCAAATGGGCCTACGGGGAGGAGCTCTGGACCTGGCTAGGCTCCCACCCCGATCGAGCCCTCAATATGGTTGCTGGTATGACGTCACATAACGCCCTGGATGCTTATCCATGGGGTGCTGAGCTTGGAAAGTTGGACCTGAAAGATGAAGACATTGCGGTTGTGGATATTGCTGGGGGCCAAGGGCACATCAGTAAGGCGAACTTTCTTTGTGTCTGAATCGTTGATGAGCACGTCTTTGCCAATTCTGGAGATATGCAGGCTGCGGCCTTGTTCCATGCGTACAATATACAAATACTGACAATGGGTTATCTAGTGGGCGAGGTCCGTCAAAGAAACCCGCAGATCAAAGGACGGTTTATTGTTCAAGATTTACCTTCTACATTTGAAGCTGTGCCCACTCCACCAACTGGAGTAAATTTCATGAATTATGACATCTTCACTCCCCAACCTGTCAAAGACGCCGATGTCTATCATTATCGCCATATTTTCCATAATTGGAGTGACGATGATTGCACCACCATTCTCGGGCAAATTGTGCCAGTGTTAAAAACGCAGCCAAGAAGCAAATTGCTGTTGGTTGATGTGGTGTTGCCAGACTCGAACGGGACAATGCAAGAGGCAATTATGGATATCACGATGTTTCCAATGGGGGGGATGGAGAGGACTGAAAGTCAGTGGAGGAAACTACTTGCAAGGAGTGGCTTGGGAATCAAGAAGATCTGGAGAGGGAGCGAACCAGAGGCCTGTATCGAGTGTCAGATAGATTAGGGGCATACAATTGTGAATGATGAATTATCTCGGCATAAGTCTTTGCGTGAATTGAAAGAGATGCAAATACGTATTATATTAAATTAAAAATATGGTAACCATTTGTTATAGTCTCGAGAAAGAAGGCCATTATGCAAATTGTTAACATCAACCTTTTGACCGATCTATTGATTCTATATATCTGACGCAGTCTATTTCGCGCGTTCATGTCTACAAGCTAATATGCCATGTCAACCGCTTTCCAAACCCACAGTAGAGGACTCAGGGCTCCAGCGGTATAGATTCAAGGACCAATAAGCAAGTCTGATCGAAAGGCCGAGTAGAAATTGCCTGGTCATACAATTCCATGCTCCCTTTCATTTCCGGGGCAATTCTAGTCCTGTATCGAGAATATAGTTCACGAAGCAGGCATTTCATTTCAACCGTTGCAAGACTAGTATTCTGTTAGTAAGTGTTCTGTTAGTGGAAGTCGCAAACATACTGTCTGCCTGTGCAAGATCGCCCACCAGCCCCAAATGAGAAAAACAGCCTGTTCATCTCAATGGCGGCCTTCGAATCAAGCCATCTTTCTGGGATAAATTGATCACCCCGATCAAAAATATGCGGGTTTAACTGATGGACACTCCAAGCCTGACAGCTGACGATAGCCCCTGCAGGAATAAAATATTCGTCGATGACGCGGCCAGCAGAGGGGACACACCGCGGCTGTGACATTGGAATGGGAGGGAAACACCTCAGACCCTCTTTGATGACTGCTTCCAAGTATGGCAGGTCATCAAGAGCTTTATCTTTGTTGGAAGAAAGTTCAGCAATAAGTTTGTCTTGGATGTGGTGACTCCCGGGTAGAGATAATTGATGTATCAAGAAGCACAAAGCGTCACCTGTTGTATCAATACCCGCTGCAAGATGGTTCATGCACTCCGCAGCGACTTGCATTTGCTGGAATTCCGCCTTACTATTCTTAAGTTTGTACGCCAGACTGTGGTCTCCGGAATCAGTCTGTTCGCATGCCGTTATTACGTACTGGCCGATTTTCGACTCCAATTTCTGTTTGAAGGTCTCATCCAGCCAACGTGTCATAGTTGGCAAACGGTATCGAAGTAACTTTTCTGCCATACTGTTAGAACTGCTTCTCGTGAAGGATTTGAGACTACGAACTTCTCAATGTGTCGCCAAATGAATACTCTTCCATCAAATGGAGATCTCTACCCTCAATTGATTTGGTTCCGTGAGGATGGAGCAAATGGAACGAGGCACAATCCATGGCAAAACAATGCAGATAAACCTACACCAGTCAAGTCAATTTTGTTGTCACTGAAAGTGCAATTGGCGATTCTTACGTAGAAATCTATGGCTGGCTTTTCTGCTTCTTCGCATTGTCTTAAGAATGCCCTTACTCGTTCTTGAATACCATCTACGACCTCGGGATGCATAATGCTTGTATTGGCATATGATCCCGCGATGTAGCGTTTCATTTGATCATGCTATGCTTTCGTCAGTGGGGGAATTGTATGAAGGTTGAAAGGCAGCTCACTTTTCGTTTCTGCAGCGTTGAGAACGTTGTCCTTTTTCTTTAGTTAACCAGATCCTTGACCCAATACGTTACAACTACCCACCTTATTCCATACTGTATGAACAAGTTGTAAAACTCAGTCTTGTCATATCCGCTCCCGCCACTCTGGTATATCTCCTTCAGAGCTTCCACGGACGTAAAAGATACCTCATTGGGACCCAATCGAACAACAGGCCCAAACTTCTTGTGCAACTCGTGAATATACACTCGACGATGAGCTGTGAATTCTTTGTACATGAGAATCGCATCAGAGAATCGGCTGTACCATGGCCCAGGAAGTTTTGACAAGGGTGCTAATGCTGCTCTGTAAACAAATAAACCCAGCCAGCCCAAGCAAAATGCTGAGATGCAAACCTCCCAGAGCTGGAGAGCCATAATGGCGATTGGCGGTCGAACGTTGAGACAGCGTAAGAACAATCGAGAGTTGATCCAGCTTGAGTTCTTGCTGGAATGGCCATTGATACGGATACTGAGAATTCCGCGAAAATCTGGCTGCCACCACCCCTCACGTGCTTCGGGTGCTTCGGGATTGGGGTGTGTCAAGGTAGGGGAAAACACCAAAAGCTGTCCCCATTCTTTAATCGGGTCAGCATCCCGAGCGGGGACATAAAGTTAGGCTGAAGCCCCACCGCGGGTACCATCCGGGAGCCAACGGGGCACTCACTAGGATATCCCTGAACCACATCAAAATAGGACAATTTAGTTGCAAAAGTAGCTACGAGTACGGCTTAGCGTGGATTTCTTAGATAGGAAGGAAATTATCCAGAAAGGGAAGTTTAGTGTGACTGTACTCTGGCGTGGCACCAAAAGGGAACGACGATGCTTCAGGGTTACTTAGAGTAAATCGTCCGAGCTAAGAACGAGTAACTTATCCCTTTTGGACTTGTGTCTCGGAAAGATAAAAGCTTGAGGCTTCACGTAGCAATATTAGAATACCTCCGCTGCAAACGTTATATTATGTTCCAGCCACACAACAATTTAGGGTATTATTGCTAGCTATAGCTTTCGTAGTGTAATGTGGTGAGACCACCGGAAAAACCCCCCCGGGAATGTCTCATAAGCTGAGCCAAAACTATCAACAAATTCTGGATCAAGACGCATGAATATGAACACTTCATAGCGCACCTAGACAAAGCTGAAGTGTAACCCAGATCTGCAGGTGATGAAAACGGATTTGTTTTTCTAGGAAATGGAGTTGCGTAAATGTTAGCTGAGGTGGAACCGAAGATAACGGATGCGGCAGTGATCTCAGATCTCAACAATACCCAGGTTGAGTCTTTAACCAATACGCTAGGGTCCAAAAGTCTCCGTAGGGATCTCGTGCCCGCAAACTGATACGTAGCCAATTATAAGCTTCAATTTGAATCTCAGTCAACCGCACGGTTCTTCCCGAGTTCCCCTACACGGACGTTTGGGCCGCACGGGTAGATCGCCTCATGAATCGTAAACGAATAAGATTTTCACAGCCGTAGGATGAGAATTTCGGGATCTGGTTCACTCGCAACTATACTACTGTCTCGCAACGGATTGTGTGATGTACAATGTTTCTTACCCCCCCGGCCCAAGTTGTCCGCGTGCATGTTTTCTTGGTCCTGACTTTGGGAGTCGGATAGTTGTGTCTTGTAACCAAACGCAAGGCAAAGGTATATAAGCCTTGATTTGTTGCACTGCGTTCTTCATCTGCTCAAACCTTCTCAAATTCTCTCAGGACACCTCCCATTTATTGGAAGTTTTGAAGATGCGTTTCTTCCTCCCATTCATACCAGTCCTCGCGGCAGGGTTGATCGGAGTGGCTGCTACAACGACTCATGGTGCAGATTTTATTCCAGATGCTGTTCTCAGAGTAACCGAGGAGACGAGAAAACAGTCTTGCGTCCCAGAGAAAGACATTTTGGTTGTCAATGGCACAAGTCCAGGGCCTGCTCTCAGATTCACGGAAGGCCAGACGGTTTGGATTAGAGTTTACAATGATATTGCTACTCAAAACCTTACCATGGTGAGATTCCGCGCAGATTCCTTATACCCACTCCAGTAGCCACTTTAACTAACTATCAAACAGCATTGGCATGGCCTCACAATGGCAACAGCTCCATTCTCTGATGGAACTCCTCAGGCTGCCCAATGGCCAATTCCTCCGTTCCATTTCTTTGATTATGAGCTTTACGTGCCAATTGGTTTTGCCGGAACATATTTTTACCATTCGCACGTCGGTCTCCAGGCTATCTCTGCTACGGGTCCGTTAATTGTAAGTAACATTTTTCTATTCGCTTAAGTCACTGCTTTCTTGTACTGATATATGACAGATTGAGGATAAAGATAAACCCCCGTACCACTACGATGATGATCTTATCGTCTTCCTACAAGATGTCTTCCCGGATACAGATGAATTTATTGAGCACGCATTGCTTGCCGTCCCTATGGAATATGAGAGAGCCCAGGAAATGGTACTTATCAACGGAAAAGGTGGTGGTATCGTCTCATCGGATGGCTCGCGATGCAACGATGAGTTGTCCGTCATCGACGTTGAACCCGGGAAAACTTACAGACTGAGACTTATTGGTGGAACTGGATTATCGTTTGACATTCTGGCCATCGAGGGCCATGAGACTCTCCAAGTGATTGAAGCTGAAGGGTATGTCTCCTCAGCCTATCCTATTTGCCAATGGAATTAACAGTGAATAGAGCTTATACCGATAAATTTGCAACCCATGTTATGCAAGTTAGTCCAGGCCAACGGTTCAGTTTCCTCATCGACACTCTTAAAAAGCCAGCAAAGCAATATTACTATATACAGCTGGAGAGTCGCGAATTTGGACCCCCTACCCGCTCTTTCGCGGTTCTCAACTACGGCCCTCCTAGCACCGATAAGACTCCTAAAGTTTATCCCCCGGCTACTGATCCTATCACCTTGCCACCAACGGACCCTTACTGGCTAGAGTACTCGCTTCGCCCCTACAACAACACGAAACACCCTGCCGCATCACACAATGCACTTGATTTCCCAACCGCAGAGGAAGTGACCAGGAGAGTCAATATCACATCTCATCTCGATATCCCAGGCGGTGGCCTGCTCTACACAATAAATGGTCAAACCTGGAATGAAGGTCTTGTGCACGAGCCTTATCTTGTCAGCCTCTACAAAGATGGCGGTTCGAACTGGCCATCCATGGAACGCGCTCTCCAGCATGATGGTTTGGACCCGGTCACGTATGCCTTCCCAGCAGATATAGGAGAGGTGATTGAGATTGTGGTCCAAGGCACCGGTTCTGCAGGTGGTGGGACAGAGACGCACCCATGGCACGCTCACGGAGCCCATTATTGGGATTTGGGTTCTGGAGAGGGTGTATACAACCGCGAGGAGAATGAGGCAAGATGGCGCAGTTCTATAGGACATCCCATTAGGAGAGAGTATGTATCCCCGTCCATGTCCCCGAATTCCACCGATAATTACTTCCGTGGCATTAGGTGGGAGTCTTACCAAGAACATCAGCACTAATCTTTGGATAGTACTACAAACCTATATATGTACGGCGGAAAATCACCAAATGGCACACTCTCGGCATGGAGAGCCTGGAGACTCAGGATTGATCATCCAGGTGTTTGGATGATTCACTGCCATCTTCTCCCTCACATGGTTTGGGGCATGAACTCTGTGAGTTTTCATCTTTTTGTGGATAATTGGTCCTCTGTTAAAGTTACTAACCCGTCTATTACAGGCTTGGGTTATGGGGAACCAGACTGAAGTGCTCTCATTGATTGATAGGCCAGGTGTGGAAGGGTATCTTACCTTTGGAGGGAGCGTTGTTGGGAATGAGACGCACCCCCCGGAGGTCGTTGAGTACTTCCCTCTCAGTGACTGGGAGGACGGAACAGTTGGCAACGAACAGCCTTAAGCTTTTGGATAGAAGCAGCAGTCAGAATGCTGCTACTGGGAAGAGAAAGTGGGGAAGGGTGGAAGTGGTGGCAAGAAATTCGAGTGTGATGTAATATTGCTAGGCTTTATTATTTCCGCGAATGACAAATGATGCTGTTTTCTTGAATTTTCTCTGGTATTGACAATAGCCATCTTCCATTAACTATTATACATGCTTCGTTTTGGGTTTTGGGATGTGGTCATATTTACTGTATTATGAAAGTAGCTGATAAGGGCTACGCAGCTGAGAGAAATTTATAATCCGAACACCAAGCGCGATATGGTATGCCAAGTCTGGGGATCAAGCTGCTGCGACACCCATGGCACTCAGGAACTGACATATGTATTCTTCATCGCACAGGCTATTGATACCACTGCTTCCTGGACAAGAGAAACGATCAGTGGAACGGGATGGCTGGCGTCTTGGGTTATTTATCTAAGACCCAAGGACGAGTTTCGATGTGTCAAGTCATACCAAAATCCAATTCCACAAACGAATAGTAAACTGAGAAATGCAACGAGATAAACACTGGTAAAAAGTCTTATAGTACTATCAATGATCTTTATCGCCTATGGGATAGGTCGTGAGACAGGCCTCGTCATAAATTCCAGACGATGCAACATTCGTGCCCGTCACATTATCATAGGCCAACCTAATCAACGATGGCTCAAAAGGCGAATATTTAGGCCATCCACCCCTGTACTTCGTCAACCCTGTCAGGGGAGATTTTGCAAAAGCAGCCCATGCCCCCTGAATATATCCCCTAATTGAAACTTCCGTCGCGGTATCCGGAGGAATTCCTGGTCCGGTAGGGAGCGTGTTCCAGATGAAGGCAATCTCGGAGCAATGCCAGGCGCCGCTATCGGGGTTGGTGAACAGGCGAGTGTTTGGGAAGTTGCCGAACCACCGGTAACGCCATATAGGAAGACCATGTGAGGCGCTGACATTCGCTCGTGCACCTGCCGGGCACGCAAACTCCCTATTAGCGTAATCAACCCAGAATTGATGGTCTTGAGTGACGCCGTTGAGAGCAAATAAGGGAATGTATGCGCCGGTCTCGAAATCGTTATTTCCAGTCAAAACAGGGAGTTGAGCAAATTTGCCTGCTTTCGAAAGAGCGGGATAGTCGGCAAAGCCAGTGATGCCGTCGACGCTGGGCCCGAAGCTATTGGATCCGATTGCAGCAAACAACTCTTTGAAATCCTTCGCTTGTAGACACGAAAGTATATCCTGATGACTAGAAGTAGCGTTTGTGCCGCAACCAAGAGTATCAGAGACGCTGTACCATGCTTCGGCATTGTTCGATGGCAAGGCCTTCCCAAAACCAGCCGCACCAGACTCCATAATGAAGCCAGAAACGATGGGGTTAGACGCATAGGAATAGGCATAGTGGTCCACTGAGGCAGAACCAGCGGATTGACCGAATAACGTCAATCTTGAGACATCGCCGCCAAAAGCGCCTATGTTGTCTCTTACCCATTCTACAGCCATCCGCTGGTCAAGGAATCCGGGGTTATGATTTTCAGACTCTGGATCGCCATGGAATCCCAAGATATCGACCCGGTAGCTAAAGCGAGAGATTTAGAATTTGCCCCTGGCTCATTTGATGATGGATTTCTTACTTGAGGGTGACGACGATAACATCTTGTTCAGCTGCAAGATGCTGTCCGTCGTAATAACCAATCTGAGTACTCCCTCCGGTATAACTACCCCCGTAGACATAGATCATCACAGCCTTGTGTGGTTCCCCACCAGCAGGAACCCAGACATTTAGAGTTAGGCAGTCTTCACTAAAAGTTGCCGAGACTTGAAATAGGTCCGAGAGAGTCGCAATTCCTTGGGCAGTCAGGTTCGCAAGGGCCATATCGTAATTGTTAAGATCATTGCCACGAGCGGCGAATGGTGTGTTGGCCGGACAAGCGTATCCCTAAGGTTGGCATGAGAACATACACTCGGATTTGTCAGGAGACAGGGAAAAACAAACAATACTGCTTCCATTAATGGGTTTATCACCATGGTATTTCTTCGGTGGCATAAATCTCAGATTTCCAACTGGTGGAAGTGCATAAGGGATGCCGAGATATACGGAGACATCTGAATTGACAGTCGCTGCGTGGCCGCTAACTGGGCCGCTGGATGTTTTGATCGGTTGACCAACAAGACGCCCGTAGCATCTTGAGATCCCAAGGAAGAGAATAAGACAAGAAACCTTCATTTTGCTGGTTGATACGTAGGATTGTGAGGATTTGGAGGGGTATACGCCATGGCTTTATACTATGAACTCAAGACATGGCTTTGTTGAGCTGGTAGTTTCTATCCAACTACATTTCCCTCAGGGTACTCCTATATCTACGCTAAGTCATATTCGGAACAGAATTACTGCATAACCCGAATCCCACACTTTCGGACACACTTGGAGACATAAGTGGTTAAAGTCAAGGTAGCGGAACGGCGTGTCTGAAAATGAGACGTTTGGGGCTATCCGACTCACATTCTGAAAACCGAGAGGCGCAGTAGTACAAGCAAGCCATAAACCGATCAATTTCCCTGCTCGGAGTCATCCGTCCATTCGATATGCAAGGTTTCACTAGAGTATGCACTTTGTTCTCAGGCGTCACGGGGCTGTGAGGGATGTGCCAGGCCCTCGTCAGCGTGGGACAACGAAGGGTTCGTCTTCCTCAGCGGGATCGACGTTAATGTCCATTAGACAAGTGGGGACACGTAACACGACGACTGCTGAGCTTTTTGACTTTGAAGCAGATTTTTAATCTAGGGTCACACAAGCATATCAATTGTGGTCGACTTCAGTAATCGGATGTAATATGGGGTTTAGTGTGAACTTTCACAAATTTTGAACTAGATATGAGCGATTTAGGAAACATTTAGTCTTTCTCATTTCAAGTCTCTAAATTGCAAATATCATTAAATCAAACTGCGATATGAGCTGAAAACTATTTAATCGCAAACTTCTACCCTCCGGTCTGATATTCACAATTCAAAACAGCGCTTGATTTCATCCGCGGCCTTGACATAACCCTCACAGCAGTCGCTATATGCTTTTTTATCGTGTTCTAGTTCTTTCCAGCAAAGCTCAAGTCCCTCTAGTTCTCGACGAGCTATCCTCCGCAAAATGTCTTGATCCTGGATAGACAACAGGCCGGATTTAGACTCTGATAGTACGGAATGCATCTTTGCAAAAGCAGTTGCCATGCCAATGAGCATACCCTTGTGACTCATTGGGCGCATCGAAAAGTGTAACATATAGACCGCAAATTCGGAAGGATATATTTTGAGAATTTCCTTTAGTGATGGTAGCGCTATAGGGGAGAGACCCTGTTGCACCATCATATTCATACCAATTCCGGCAAGGCCAAGGCTATTGGTGCGTTGGACTTCATCCATCCCAGCAGGACATTCTCTCTCAATGTCGAAGCCGCCCTGTGCACGCAGAATCTTGATGATTGAGCAGACAAATCCGTTCTTGGTTCTAATCGGAACAGACACGAACATTTGAAGAAGGCAAGGGTGAGAGATCCACAGTGGTAGTAACCTGTCCATAACTGGCCGGCTTCCAATATCCAAAGATGGGAGTCCTTGGAACTTGAACAAGGTTGTGGCTGGCTGGAAAGATTTTGGTATCCCCGAACTCCAACCACTGAGGGATTGCTGAAACACGGGGTATCCAGAAAGGATGTCCTTGCTGTTTTCATCATCGTCATTCTGTATCGTGGCATCGAGAGCCTGCAGAATTGAAGAGTTGCTGGGGAGGGTATCAACCCATTGCGTCAAGACATCGTATTCATCCTGGGTGAAAGAGCCAAACATTCTTCCATTCCATTGCAATTCCTGGATAAAGCGGCTTCTGCGACTATCACCCTTGCAAATCCAGTACTTGCTTGAGCTGAGCGCATCGAGCAGCCCCTTCTGCCATTCTTTGGACTCCAGTGCGACTGGGTCAAGCCAGTCGGCGACGCTTCGGGACCCAATCTTGACCCGGCTACTGCAATGAAACCCATGGGCAACCTGTGCCTTGGCCCTGAATATGCTGATTACCTTGACTTCGGTTGAATTTAGAACAATATCGGAGTCATTGCTCAATATTTTTTGGGATGGGCAAATAACTGCTCCTGGCAGGCATGCTGAGAGGAGATACCCTGCCTGAAGCTTTCCCCATGCCTTTTGTGCAGCTTCTTGTCCTTCACTTTCGAGTATGTGCCTCATGTATTCACAAACCACCTCTATCGCAATCGCACTGTGGCCAGAGTGGGTATTATCGATCGATATGTGGAGGAGGAAGTAATAGGGGTCTATCCCAACTTCTTTCAATTCCCGGGTGGCCTTTAGCGTGTCCATTGAAATAGCTTCGAAATGTAGATTAAATCCGATTATCTCCGGTAGAAACTCATGCGGAAATAGAGAAATCAGTAGTTGAGCGATTGCGGATTTCCATACGGAGAGCTCGTTGAGCTGATGCCTTGAGTGACCAAAGTCGGGAGATTCCGCAGTAGGTAACTCCGGAGCGGTAGTTTCGAGCAGCTTGTGGTACAGGTGGACGTGGTTCTTTCGCAAATCACCATCACCCAATTCCTCGGACAAGATCTGCCATGCCCCTTTCATCGTCTTCAAGAGGGCAAATGGTGTGGTCACCTTGCCAATGTAACCCAGCCAAGCGCCATCAACATACTTGACGGGAGAAAGTTGCTTCAACCACCAAATTGCTTCTTCCCTGTCGCGGACCAACTCCCGTGGAGACCCCTCTTTTCGTCGAATATTATAATCCTCCCATTCCTTTCCAATGGCGCGATCACGTCTGTGTTGAAACTCCTCTAGAGCATGCCGAGAGAAGGATGGGACTGACAAAATACTGTCATGTAGAGGTAGTGTCCGGCCCGTTGCACTTGTCTCATTCATCAATAAAACCAAGAGTCTCTTGGCCTGAGGAAGGACTTCGGGGAACTTTTCGAGATTGTGCAGTTGGTAGTATAGTTGCTTGAGCTTTTTGAGTTCGTCCAGCTTCTCATCATCGCTATCTTTGTTGCGGACTTCCCACTTCCGATGGCTGGCCTCAATCTTTATCTCAGTCGGCTTGTTGGGGAAACGGCTGCGTCCAAAATTCGAGCCCCATTTTGTTCGGAGCCAAGTTTTCGATCGAGATTGACCCAAGAGTATGACAGCTACCACAGAAGCGACAGTAGCAAATGTCGGAAACCATTGCACTAAGGGAGAGATCATGATGAGTTGGGGTTGATTGAGTGCCCAAAGTACGATGAATGAAATTGGACAGCTCTCTAGGAAATGCAATTCCCAATACTCAAAAGCTGATCCGCGGTATTCAGTGTCACAGGGGTATCGATGATCAGCGGAGCTTCCGATATGTGGCTTCCTATGGCTTACAACAACACCACATAATATATTATCATCCTTATCGCTATTTTGGCCTTATCACAAGACAAAACTGTCTTAAACTCGATACGGAGAGGAAAGTATAATTTTAGTATAGTGTAATAATGCTTCTATCCAATTTCTCAACAACAAGTAATATTCTAGGTGCTAAAGACTTGAGAGATCACATTTTTGTCACGACATGCATTCCTTTGGATGCTGGCCAACCCATCCATCCCCATGCCCTGTCTACTTAGTAGAGCTGCATTTATTGATCCACCCGTTTTCAGGCCTCAAGAAGTAGCTGAGGAAGTACCGATTGTTTGCGCCATCAACCGGCTGTGTTACTCTGTGCTTTGGTGAATGCAGCTTCCCCTCCGAGAGGGCCTGCAGTGTGTCGGCCACATTGACCAGGGTACAACCTTCCGGGGGTGGCGGGATGAAAGCCCATCTGTCGGCGTCGGGAAGAAAAGCATGGATGCTCCAATCCTTGTAAAACAGAAGGGTCAGGGTTCCGCTGTCCGTGTGTAGGTTTTCGCCAACGTCTGACAACCGAGCCAGGGATGGGTGCAGGACAAATTTCAGTCCAGTGTCGCTGGGGTGATCGGCACGGTGGTGCAGCAGGAAATCTTCCGAGAGACTTTTGAGCAACGTCAAGCAAGCCTCGTCACAACCAGCGATGAAGCTGCTGATCTTGGCCCAATCATGCTGGAACAGCTCCGGTATTTTCGAGATAGAAGCGCTATCTGATGTAATTTCGTCTCGTGATATCTAATTTCCATTAGGTCAGCAGAGATGCCATGGCTAGGATCTACCACATTAGAAGTCGGGCATTCTTACCTCAAACGACTCACCGCCACGGCCCCTCTTATATCCGAGATCCTGGGAAGGTTTGATGTCAAGCCTGGCGTCCCCTGCCTTGGCCACGCCGGGCTGGTCGAAGTACTTCTCAACTGCCGTATTGACGTCGGAGAGATGTGCAAGCACACCTTTGCTCTCCGTATCTCCACGAAAGTCAAGGTAAAAAAAGCCTGCCTCTGAGCACACTTTGTTGAGGAGAGCAATCTCAGCGGGATCTTTCTTGTGGAGCCGAGCCAGCGAGATGGTCGAGATCTGGGCAATAGGAGCGCCGCCGAGTGCGGCTCCATTGGCAGGGTCTGAAGGGTGGCTTGCCATATTGATTGAGAGATGCGTATTCTGCTTTGTCGTGTCTGAATGTGTAAGATTTGGTAGAATCACGTCGAGTTTGGAAAGATAATGAAGTGTCTGTTCTAAGTAGACCGTTTTCTTGCATCATATCTCAGTTCTCAGGTATAACATGTAGTGGGTCGGTGGGGAATCATGAAGCGGCTGAAATGCAGAACTAGCTCCCCTGCACCACCCTGATTAGAATATTAACATTTAAATTAAGTCACCTAGTACCATATTAAATCAATTTAAATAATTTTACGTATTTTTTAACCATGTTAATATTAATTCTTTTGGTAGGTTACTAAATGCAGCGAGATATAGGGTAGTACGCCAGCCTTCAGCTGTTGTCTTACAATATGAGACCTGCCCCACCGCCAATGCTTTTACGAATGGAGCGAAGACCCCGGAAAGACCCCGGCCCATTATTACAAAAACAGAAGTGACGTGCACGAAAGTATAGATCTCTGTATATCCCACCCGAACCAGTAATGCACAGGAGACCTCAGCTCTTGTCTTTCAATATGAGGCGAGACATAGGATGAGGTGCAGTAGGCTTCAGCTCCTGTCTTGCAATATGAAGCAGATCGGGGAGAGGCAAACTTCAGCCCTCGGCTTTTGACCTAAAGTGAGACCAAAGGCAAATGAGCCATTCAGAGGGTGAGCTAAAATTTGGCGCCAGAAGAATTCGTACGAGCCCGTGCGTGAACAGAGCGAATAGGGTTATTTTACTGTAGGTCGTGCACAGGGAGATTCTCTTTCCGGGGTTCCGTCATAGTCTGCTCCTTTAGATTCGTGATTGGGTTGTGGGATTCGCCGCCTATACATCCGCCTCTCGCTATCTCGTCTTTGACGCCTTTCAGTATTCATGTGCATTCTCATTATCCTCGTACTCCTCATCTTGCAGCCACATACCCCGCAGTTGAACCCAGGCTGTTTTCTTTCACACGCATATCAAGCGCTGGCATACTATCCCAAAGGACCGGCTTCCGATGTCTTCCTCAAGTTCCTGTACGCTATCTCGAAGGTCAAGCATGAGCGGGTTTGGTGAAGAATCTGCGGACGAAACAACCCAGTTACTGCCAAAGCCAGCAAAACCCGAACCGGAGAAGAACAGTAAAATATTTAGACTATGGCAGGTTGGAGCACTTATCGGTAGGCTGTGGTTCTTGCTCGCCTTGTTGGTACATTTTGATCTGATGAACTTTTGCAGGAATCCTCTTGGCATACGCGGATACCTCTCTTGTTTGGGCAACTCATGAGACGATAGCATCGCGATTTAATAGCCTCCAGAACTCATCATGGATGATGACGAGTTTCACGATGGGGTATTGCGTAACTCTGCCGCTGGTGAGTTGTTGAAGCGTTTGATAGACTCCGTTCTTGAAGGCAGACTCCAGGAAATTTCACTAACAGACCACAATAGTATGGACGATTAAGTGATAGTTATGGTAGCTTACGCCCTCTACTGGTGGCGTACTGTACATTTTGTATTGGTAGCACACTCTGGTAAGTGATGGCCTAGATGGCTGTTTGCCCTTCAAACGTACTTACGTGAGAATAGCGGAATTGGTCAAACTTACTGGCAAGTGATTTTGGGCAGGGTTGTTGCCGGCTGCGGGGCATCGGGGATGGTCTCTCTGGCTTCTATTATCATTACAGGTGAGTTCGTAACCCTCTTTTCTAAGATAGCTATGCCAACTGACTTTTTAAAATAGAGCTCGCTGACTCTTCGGATGTCGCGGTTTTACGAAGTTACGTCAACATAGCCTCAACAATTGGACTCTCAGGGGGTGGTCCGCTTGGCGGTTTTCTCGCTGGAGCAATTGGATGGAGATGGTAGGCACCCGGTCGCATTTATTCTACGAATTACTATTAACGTTTCTGAAGGTTATTTCTCGGCCAAGTCCCAATCGCAGCTGCATCTTGTTTGCTTATGGCAAAGAGTTTCGAAGTTATGTGTCCAAAAGTAGAACAGGAAGAGGAACCGCAACGAGAAGAACCTGTCCTGGCCTTCGATTTCCCGGGGGCGATTACTATTGCCATATCGATATCCTCGCTTTTGGCAGTAATTGATTTACAGGGCTCGCTATCTTGGTCGCATCCTCTTGTTCAGAGTTTGATTGTTATTGGCGCAATCTCCACATTAGCGTTTCTTGTCTTCGAGACCTTTCCCGGTAACAGGGAGCTCTTGATGCCTTTAAAGCTTTTGAAAACCGAGATTGGTGCATTTTGTGCTGGACAGGTATTTGAATTCTCTCCTGGGTCACAACGCGCATACTGACTTGTTTGCTAGTTACTTATCGTTGCGAGTGGTTATGGGGTATGTGAAGGTTTACATTCTCTATTTACTCTACTGACAAACCATGCATAGTTCGTTTCTCAAATAGCACCTTACTTTGCAAATACTCGAGGAGCTTCAGATGCGGAAGGTGGGGGGCGTACAGCTCCTTTCAGTATCGGAAATGCAATCGGCGCTCTGCTCGCAGGACAAATAATCAAAAGGTGGGCTTGGTTTATCGTCCCTTTTGAGATCGACTCAATGACTAATATCTATCCTTAGATTTGGAACATACAAAAAGCTTTCTATTATCTCGCTGTTCTTCTGTATCGCCAATTCGGTGGCTATCCTTATCCGATGGCCTCATACTATTGGTATGTCAAAGTTCAAGCTCGATATCACCTACCCTCGTTTCCTGTCTCCGCGGTGACAAGGATTTGGCTTTGAAAGCAACCTCAAATAGAAGCTAACTTATGCATGAAACTCATTTAGGCGTCTGGGAGGGAATCATGACTACTTTCCCATTCGGTCTCTTTGGTGGCATAGCCCTCTCCGCACAGTTCATCGGCTTGTACCAGTGTTCTTCGAAGCAATATATGGCCACAGCCATCAGCATGTACTATATGAGTCAACAAATCGGTGTCGCTCTGGGCATAAGCATTAGCTCGGGGCTTCTGAAGCACCAGTTCCACGCCACCTTACAGAAAATAATGACCGAAGTGCCAGGATATACAAAGGTTGGTCCCATGCCTCACCTTCTTCGTAAAGAAAAGCCCTGACCAGTACCAGGATCAAATTATTCAGAGAATCTTGGATGATTCTTCTGTCGTGGCACTGCTACCTGAGGCAGTCCAGTCACTCATACGCCAGGGTTATCTTGCAAGTTTCTGGGTCGTACCAGGTATGTCATTCGATATCGTGCACGATTTCAGTGGCTTCAGATGACTGATATTTTCTTAGTCTTTGCTGTGTCAACACAGGCACTCACCATTCTCCCTATGATTTCTACGACGGAGAAGTATTCATACTGACTGTAAGATTATTTCTGGTGGGCACTGCGTATTTGTATCTTGGGAAAATTAATGGACGATGTAACATTTACGGCCAGTACAATGTGCCTCGTGTTTAGTTTGGGGGACTCTTGTTTATGTGTGAAAACTGTGGCAGTACGGCGCTAAATAGAATGGATTTTTTTTTTGGAATGATGATGTTTTCGAAGCTTTTGTGCGCGGTTAGAATAGCTTGGATAGATAATGGAGTACATGTACCGATGAGACGCATGAAGTTGCACGGAATTTCCATTTGACATTGAATAGAAGATATGTTAATCTTTGTTTGAGCTATATAAGATTTTCAATCTATGGCTAGATATCAAAACTATGGATTACGACCAGAAGCTTTGTACCATTTGTAGGCACGCCATGCCGAGATCATTTCTTGCTCTCAGCAATAAGTCGCTCTTCTCTCTGCATCCGGCCTTCACTCTTCGGGTCATAGAATGCTGTTTATGTTAGGTGGTTCTCCCAGACCTGGAATTACGGGACTCACGTTTCTCCCCAAAGACAGTCGTTCTGATACCTCTCCTTATACCGGACTGGTAGTTTCCTGGTATGATCCGATGAAGACTTGATCTCTACACGCCTGTCAGTATCGATCAAATAGTTATCGTAGAAGGCTTACGTTATCCCATAAGGCGATACTTCCTGGTTGCCACTTCCATCTGACATAGTGGTCATCCGAACTGTGAATAAGCAGGGTCAGGAATTGGAGGAGAGCATCTGACTCCGCCTTCTTCAACTCGGCAAAGCCAGTGCAGTAAACGAGATTGACATTGAGCGACTTTAGGCCAGTGACAGGGTGCGTGCGAATCGCAGGATGATGTGTATCCATTGGTGGACGGCGGGGTTCATCGCCGAAGTAGTCCTGGATGGAAAAGTCAGCTACTTCGTGTATCGTGGTGTCAAGATATTACTGGTAGCGAGGGACGGGAACAGAAGGTCAGAGCTCACAATCAAGGTATCGTATTGCAAACGCGAGGTGTGCACAGCATGCAACCCTTCTAGAAGCTTTTGCATGTGAGGGCTAAGCTCATCATAAAGACCATACCCAGACACCCACGCCGTGTCTCCGCCAACAGCAGGATGCTCCTCCATACGAAGGAGAGAATAGCTTGGGGCTGTCTTTCGTCAGAGAGGAAGTTGACAATAGGTAGAGGGGGCATACGGTTGATCTCATAGCTCGTATCAGAATGGAAGTCCGACATTGGCCATGGAGTATACTTCAAAAGCGTCCGCCAATCTGCATTGTTTCCTCCAACAATGAAATGCTTCGTATCCTGGCAAGTGTTAGAAAGTTCCTTCTCTACCGGGTCAAGAGATGCGGCCAAGTACTTTTTGAGTGGGGTGCGTGTCCAAAACTCCAAAATGCTCAAAGATCTCAACTTGCCTCTCAGTTGTCAAGTCTTGGTCTCGGAAGAAGACCACACCGCGTTCATTGACAAGTGCAGCAAGCTCATCCAACTGCTTCGTATCTAATTGGCTCAATTGAACATTCTTGAGCTCCGTGCCTGGAGAAGATCAGTCTATGTCGGTTCTGCGTTCTGGAGATAGATACCAATGCTTTCAGTCACATCAGCGGGTGTCGCAACAGCGAACAATGCCTTCTTCTCTGGATCAGCGTAGGACCCCCGGTCTTTCGGGGGTGTAAACTCTTTGTGAGGGAGGTCCTGGGGAACATGGGCCTTGATTTTGGGGTTGTAGTTGGGGTGGATCGCAGTTGGCTCCCCTGAGTCTGGAGAAATGTGCTTGTAGGCCTCTAGGGACTCAATCGGGGAAGGTCGGACTTTTGCCATTTTACCAACAAGTCGTGATCAAATTTCAATCAATTTAGAAGCAATGGAACCGTAGATAAAGGTACTCCCGATTGAGAATATTGGGTTGCTATCTGCCTTATAACAGAGGTGTAAATATCATCTGGGGGCTCTCTTCCGGAGCCCAAGCCGCTAGCCCCCGGATCTCTAAACAGGGGTGTGAACCGGGGTCCCATTGTACAGCTGCTCGTATCCACCCTTGTGCAGATCACTACTAGTGGCTTTTATAAGGGCCCCACTACCCGAACAAGGTTCGGAACGAATATACCCAATTAGGTTATTGCTATGGCAATATTTCCTAAAAAGTGGAACATCAGACGTCGATACCTACCGTTCCAAGCATCTCAGCTACTGTCTGACCTCGGGAGGACGGGAATGGAAAGGGTAATTCGGGGCAAGTACAGAGGCTCCAGGTCCTCGAAGATGCAGTGAAACGATAGAAAGATATGATAGACCTACACCGCCGGTCGAATTTATTCCGTCTTAGTTCCGCGTCGAAAGAGCAATTCTGCACCCTTAGTGAGTAGTTGAGGTGTGTTCTCCGCTGAGACAAAGGGACTTGCAGCATTGGTTCACATTTTCGACCCGGGGACGAAACATAAAGTAGCTGTGCTCATTTTCTTCCATACAGAATCTTGACTTGGTTTCTACTTGGTATATCTGAGATACTGGACATCAACCTGAGAGTGCTTCTTGTTTTTGCCTCGTGTCAGAAAATCATCTTGTTAATATGCAGCTTCTATTTCCTCCAGTGTCTCCGTTTCTGGAGTTAATTCAACATGCGCGGCAACACCCCGATAGGATTGCTCTTAGGGACCATTCTACGGGGAAAACTGCCACAGCCGGACAATTGCTGCAGAGAGTTTCTTCGCTCCGCGATAAATTGAAGGATGAGCTGCTTCAGAATGGATGGGAAACCGCCGGCCAAGACAAATTTATCTTTCTTATAGCTCCTCCGGGATTGGAATATGTGGTATCGATGCTCACCATCTTCTCCCTCGGTGCCGCCATGTCAGCACAATGTAAGTAGCCTATTTTCGTGGGATGCACTATGCTTACTCAAACATAGCCATCGTTGTCAAGCCAGAGGATGTTCTGCGCTATTTCAAGCTCGCAAAGCCTCTAGCCCTGCTATATGCCCCCGCGCTCGCCGAGAAAGCCCAGGCAATCAAAGTCTTGTGTGCCAGCAGTGACAGCGGAGTCAACCCCAAACTCCCTTTCGTGGAAATACAGACATCTTGCCTCGACAGCTCGACATCTCTCGAATACGAAACAAGCGTTAGCACCAAGAACCTGTCTACTCAGAATGGTACATTGTTCTTCACATCAGGCACATCTGGAAATCAGAAAGGCGTGGTTCATTCCTACCAAGCTCTTCTTGCGTCCGCACGAGAGCGAATAGGAACGTGGCAGATGACAGAAAAGGATGTGTTTCTCAACCAAAAACCAGGCAATTGGATGGGAGGGATTTTCGGCATCATTCCAAGTTTGATGTCTGGAGCTTGCCTGTAAGACTTTGTGGCTCGTTGACACCTTCAATGCTGATAATATTTAGAGAAACTTGTGGAGGCGTCTTCAACCCCGAATGGTTTTGGGAACGCATTAGGCAAGGGGGTGTCAGCGTATTTGACGTTGCACCTACTGGTTATGACAGGCTCGCAAAGTACTTTGACGACCATATCGCTGTGCTACCCCCCGCAGAGACAGAGATTTATGTTCAAGGAATGATAGATGTTAAGGTTGCGGGCGTCTCGGGATCACTCCTTTCGCCACATACGCAAGAGAGATGGACGAAACTCCGTCGTGGAAAGCCATTGCTAAACCTATATGGATCTACAGAGGTCACCTTGATATGCAGCATGAGATGGGAAAACCCCGACTATACTGATATGGTAATGATAACGTCCTCACACTCTGCGTTGAGATATTGACTGACTGATAGTCCTCGATCGGACCACCCGTGACGGGAGTTGAGGTGAAGCTTGTGGACGGGGAGATGCGACTCAAGGCTCCTTCGATGTTCTCACGGTATGGATAATGACATGCATGCAGGACCAGAGTGCTAACGAACCAGATACATTTCGGATGATCCAACCTTGACCGAGAAGGCTTTCGATTCAGAGGGCTACTTCAAGAGCGGAGATTGTGCAGAAAAGGTCGGGGATACTTATGTTCTCCACGGCCGGGCAAACATAGATGGTTCGAACACTCTCCCGTATTCAAAATACTTCTAACCCTTATAGTTCTGCATTTCTGGGGCTTCACCGTCCATACAGGCGAAGTCGAAAGCGCGCTTCTCTCTCTCCCCTACATCGCCGACGCCATCTCCCTACCTCTCGCCGACACGGAATACAAGGAGCGCGTTTCTGCTATTGTGAAAATCAAGCCATCATTGGAGCAGCCGAGCTTCGACGCCCTTCGACATGACCTGACAGAAAAGACTGGTTTGATGCTATTCAAGCAACCGACAGTAATCTACTGGCTCAAAGAGGGTGAAGAAATATCTTTGACAGTAAACGGGAAGATTTCAAAGATAGATGCCCGCAAGAAGTTCTTTGGTGATGATTGGCGGGGAAAGGATGGAGTGGACGTTATAGACTTATCGAAGATGGAATATTGGCGAATGGGTGGGCAGTGTTGAGAGGTATGAGGAGTGGCGAGTTGTTTTCAGGGACTTATCGGGTTGTGAAAGCTGAATTCAGAAACAAATACAAATGGAGATATTTGACGATGCTTTAAAAAGTAAAAGACTTCGTCAGATCACAGGTCTTGTCAAAATTACGTTATCTCTTAATCGCCGTTGAGATCAGACCCATATGAACTACCCACAAATAACCACCAATGCAATAGCTTGTGTCTGAAACATTTGGCCAACATAAAAGTTCAACTTTGCGAGCTACATATTCATGGAACCTGTTGTGGTCTACGGACTGTTCGTCATACTCTGGCATGACCTTGTGGAACTGTGTGCGAGAGGAATCCATGCGAGAATCGGACAGGCAGCACGGTATATTGTTGCACCAGCAGATTGGTTGCGATAGGCATCTAGTGGCGTAATTGAATGCTGGTTGAGAATATCTCTGTACATGTACAGTCTCGGCGAGAATATCGAATAGGCCATACGATGCAGCATTGCACCAGCAGATCAATAGCGGTGAAACATCGAATAGGAATTTTGGTGGCGTAATTGAGTGCAAGTTGAGAGCTGAACTTTTATCACATTTGTGTACATGCATAGTGCATAGTGATACAGGAATCCTTTAGTGCAACATCAAAAGCAACCAACTGTGTCTCCGAGATCGCCATTCTCGCCCCAACCGTGCATAGTTTCTTCCTCGAGTCTCCAGTGTGTTGTCCGATTTAATATGCTCTGTTTTGTTGACTTAACATGATGCAACTGCAAGCGATATGTTCGAAGTAGGATGTGCAGGGACCCTCGGGAATATTCTTCAGCTTGCATAGCCGGACAACCCCACCTGCTCAAGCAACACGCATGGATGGCGAGATGGTAATCATAACCATCCCGCCATCTATGCTGTTGCTTGGAACTATTTGCCGTTGTGCCGGGATAGATGTCTTGCATATCCATGGCTTGTAGGCTCGCTTTGCAAGATCCCAAGTAGCACAGACTTTATGTTATAGGCTGCAGATCTATTTTCCTAGTCACAAGGTTCTTATGTGGCGAAGCTTGGCAGAACTGCAGGTTTCATAAGTCGTCATCGGTTGCACAGACTTGTTAGTTTCGTGAATTCGATTCATCCATCTCGAGGGTGGCAAGTTTTGATGGCTGAAAGCAGCGTATAGTCGTGGATTTGCTGAGATGGAGTAAATATTTGATCCTAATAAATACGCATGCTTAGGACTGACCTCAGTTTAAACAACGAAAACCGAGACTGACTTGCACAAAAATCAATATCCATCTCCCTATTCCCAAAATGGCGCCTTCAAAGCCAGAACTTCCAGCAACAGAACCAGTGTATGATCCTAGGTTAGTTGGCGCATCTTTCTCCTCTTCTTGCCTCTCTCCAGCATTTCTTCTAACTGACCCTTCCCCAGTCGCCCTCAGGCGGACGTCAAATGCCTCTACAACAACCTCATCCCAAACGCTCCTGGAAAATCCATCGTGTCCTACCTAATTTCGCAGCCTCCCAACGGATCCACACCACCACATACTCATGCCGGTGCATTCGTGAGCGCCCACATCCTAACTGGCCATATGCTCAACGGGATGAACAAGGAACCAATGCAGCTTCTGGGACCAGGAGACAGCTTTAAGGAACATCCGGGATGCCATCACAGGCTTAGCGAGAACGCATCCACAACGGAACCGGCGACTTTCATTGCGACGCTGGTGGTTGATACGAAGACGGTGGAGGAGCTAGGGGTGGCAGGGTTGACTGTTATTGATGCTGGGTATTTGGAGATGATTGAAAAGGCACAGAAGAAGGTTTGAGGGAGGAGAGCAAAGTAGAAAACAAATCGGCCGTCTGGCTTCTTCGTTCCATCGGTTATGGCCTTTGCTAATGTGAAAGGCTTCCGTGTATTTTGTTGAATATAGTACTTGTATTATACAATCGTCTCGTTCTCAATCAATATCAACTAATATATATCCGTCAATATGCCTCATCTACACCCCAAACAACCCATTCAACCACTTCCCAACCCCATCATCACGCCCTCCCAGCGCCTCACGCCAATCCATAATCTCATGCACCTTCCTCCCCACTAACCCCTCCGCACGCTCGCCCTCCCCATTGCGGATCTCTGCGTCGGTAATCGCGCCGTTGCGCGCCGTAAACAGCACAGATGCCGCCGCATGGACGTAGGGTGGCCGGAGAGGACGCTCGCGAGGGTCCTCTTCCGTCGGGTGCGACGAGAATGTGAACTGCGGTGTCTGGAGGTATATCCAGTCCTCAGACTATCATTGTTAGCATGGCCAGACTGTTATGGGAATATATAAACATACCCTCAATTCCTTCACACCCTTCCTGATCTCCTCCACCCCCTCAATCTCTTCCTCCCCAACCTCTACAACCTCAACCCCCCCGTACATCTCCTCAAACTCTCCAACCACTGCCTCCTCAAACTCTCCATTTCCAACACGCACATTCGCAATCGGCGAACTCACGCTATCCACCCCGCGCGCCAGCATATATCCCTTCCCTGGCGAGCGAAGATACGCCCCTATCCCCCCTATATTCGGCGAACTGAGCAGACACGTCCCATGATGGAGAGACCGCAGCCGCGTCAACTTATATGCCGACCCAGACACCTTCCTATGCGTTGGCGTCGCGGGTCCCGTGGCTGCAGCGCTTGTCGTGATGTTTGCTTTCTTGCTTCGTGGGATGGGAGGGGGCGACACGTCAAGCACGATGTCGTGTCGGGCATTCACGGCCGCCCGCGTCGCGCCGAGGGAGTGCAAGGCCCGCACGACCATGTGAGCGTGCTTGTCGCGGTCGAACTCGGATGTCGGGGTGATGACACAGTAATTCACGTTGCCCTCGTCGTGGAATACGGCGCCGCCTCCGGAGCGGCGGCGGACGAGGGAGATGTCATCTGTAGAGGCGGATGACGGGGTGTTTCGGAGGAGCGAGAGATTGGTTTCCACCCAAGGGTTTTGGTTGCGGCCTATGATGAGACTGGGCCGGTTGGTATAGAGGAAGAGGACGGTGGAGGTTGGCGGGGTGGATTGGAGCAGGTAGTGCTCCAGGGAGAGGTTGAGGTAGGGGTCGGTGCTGCGGGAGATGTAGATCTGAGTCTGTCGCGCCGGGTCGGTCGCGAGGTCGGGGATGGAGGTGTAGGAGCGGGTGAGTCCATGCCAGCGCTGAAGCCCGTAACGAAATGTCGTCGTCGCTGAGCAATTGGCGCGCAAAAGCGCGGTGATGCCCCTGGAGGGAGCCATGTAGTTGTTGGGAAATTTTTGAGGCGAGGCTGAGGGATTTGGAGTGACGAGGCGGAGGACGGAGCTGCGGTCTGCGGAGCCGAGTTTATCGATGACAGGGGTCCACCCCACCGATTGCGTCCCGCACATTTTCTAATCGAGTCACCGTTTTGCAGATTTCTGGACACAAAGAGAAGACTACGGCGAGTGGTATTGTCATAATCAAAATCAAAGGATCTATTCGAGATGTCTACGTTCGGAGAATACTTCAAGGTTACGACGTGAGTTTGGGCGCCCTAAATGTGACGTGGCGTCCCCGATACTAACAGTGCACAGCTATGGCGAGTCGCATTGTCGCTCGGTGGGATGCATCGTCGATGGCTGCCCCCCAGGAATGGAGCTCACCGAAGCCGATATCCAGCCTCAGATGACCCGTCGCCGACCCGGCCAGAGCGCCCTGACGACTCCCCGCGATGAGAAGGACCAGGTCGAAATCCACTCTGGCACCGAGTTCGGCGTCACCCTGGGTACCCCCATCGGCATGCTCGTCCGCAACCAGGACCAGCGCCCTAAGGACTACGGAAACTCGACCATGGACCTCTTCCCGCGCCCATCGCATGCCGACTGGACATACCTCGAGAAGTACGGCGTCAAGGCCAGCTCGGGCGGTGGTCGCAGCTCCGCGCGCGAGACTATTGGGAGAGTGGCTGCCGGTGCGATTGCGGACAAATACCTTCGACTCGCACACGGAATTGAGATCACGGCCTTTGTCTCGTCCGTAGGCTCAGTACACATGTTCCCCCCGACGCCAGAGCACCCGTCGCCATCCACGAACCCCGCATTCCTCAAGCTCCTCGACACCATCGACCGCGAGACCGTCGACTCCTTCGTTCCCGTGCGCTGCCCTGATGCTGCCGCCGGCGAGAAGATGAAGAAGTGCATCGAGGAGTTCCGCGACCGCCAAGACAGCATCGGTGGCACCGTCACCTGCGTCATCAGGAACGTCCCCAGCGGTCTCGGCGAGCCCTGCTTCGACAAGATGGAGGCCATGCTCGCCCACGCCATGCTCAGCATCCCCGCCACCAAGGGTTTTGAGATCGGCTCCGGCTTCGGCGGCTGCGAGGTTCCCGGCTCCATCCACAACGATCCCTTTGTCAGGGCCCCCGCTGAGACTGGTGCCGAGACTGGTGCTTCGCGCGCTGGTATTCCAAGGCCCCGCTTGACCACCAAGACGAACAACTCGGGTGGTATCCAGGGAGGAATCACCAACGGCGCCCCCATCTACTTCCGCGTCGCGTTCAAGCCGGCAGCAACCATTGGGCAGGCCCAGAATACCGTCACTTACGACGGTGACGAGGCTGGCGTCCTTGAGGCGAAGGGACGTCACGACCCGTGCGTAGTTCCCCGCGCGGTGCCGATTGTCGAGGCGATGGCCAGCTTGGTTGTCATTGATGCTCTGATGGCGCAGCAGGCGAGGCAGGCGAGCAGGAGTCTGCTGCCACCGCTGAAGCAGACGCTGCCGGCGAAGTCGACGGTGGTGGGTGGACAGGCGGCGGTGGAGAAGGTGGAGGCTAATAATGCGGGGGTAAACAAGGAGTAGAGGTTTAGAGGGGTCTAAAACGAGAAATCTTGGGTATATGATAGACGTATCGGCGAAATGAAAATGGGATAACGATTTGTTGATTGTGCTGTATTGACTACGGAATTCGCCCGTCCATATGTGAACTGTTTGTCATTGCAGGCTTCTTCCACGACTTGTATAATTGAAGGTTGAAACACCTCGGTATCTCCGTGGAGATAGCTCACGTCCACATAATGAGACGACAACGCCAGAATATCGCTCAGGTTTCAATCTATCAACTTACCTCCGCTGGATTCTTCGGGCTGTAGTTTTAAAACATGTATCCAATTCAATTCGCTGTTGTTAGGCCGAATGTTTGTCTCTACAACACATGTCGCACACAATGCCTCTGGTGCACAACACACCCCCATAGCAACCCAACATTTCAAGATGGACAATGAAAGTGATATTTTCGTCTTATTGTGTACACAGTGGTTCCAAACAGTCCGCCTTCATCCCATCCAACCCATCCCCTTCTATAGATCCTTCCATCATCACCCAGTGCGCATTTACTGGTTCTTCTTTGTTTGCCAGACTACACCACCGTTAGTTTCCTGCTCAGCGTCGAATAAAGGGTATAGAAGCCTTACCAGCAATTCCGAATGGCGCACCGAATCCGAGAGCTGTGGTCTCTAGTTAGCAATCTGGCTGGTAGTACCTCGGCCGTTCCATCAGGGAAGCCTACCCATGAAGCCCCAGTATCTCAGAGCGAAGAACTTGGTCAACGGGTTGAATGGCAAGTTGTTCCTCGGGCCCTCAGGGTAATGGTATGGCGAGGCCATCTGCGAGCGGGTAGAGTGGAAGCCACGGCGGGCAGCCATCTGGGCCATCGGGGAGACGCGGGTAGCAGTGCGGGCGAACATCTGGTCGTGTCAGCTTGAGTATTCTTTATTCCGCGATTCTGATATCAATTGAGCGCGGATTCGATTGGAGTCCATGGCTAACCTTTGCGGTTGTGTTGCGCGGGGCGGATTTGTAGTTTCTTTGGTGATGAAGTCGTTGGATGAGCCGAAGTTGACTGTAGCTTCAAGTATTTTAGCTCCGTTACGGCGAAATGACCCATGAATTCTCGCCTAATATTCTGATTGGCTGAACGGACCAATCCAAAAATTCATAGCAAGAGCCGCAACCTGCGATTGCGATAAAAAAATTAAAGTGAAATCAACCATTTTTGGGCAACAAACCACAACAGATTTATAGGATCGGTTCAAGGTCCTGAGATTACTGGCCTATGCAGTGAACTCAGTCACCATGGACGACCTTTTTGACGTCTTCAACGATGCGCCTCAGCGTGCGCCCGCGACTACAGCGCCCAAGAGAGACAAATCGAAGAAGAAGGACCGGAGCAAGAAGCGGAATGCCAGTGGTGCAGTGAAGCAGGTTGAGGAGGAGGAGCAGAATGGTGAAGAGGCAGCAGAGGAGGCTGTAGCAGAGGCTGAGCCAGAGGAATCAGAAGAGGCGGACGAGGCCGTCAAGGAGAAGGAAGCCAAGCGAAGGCGCAAGGACGAGGAAGCCGCGCCGGTTGTGACGGACACGTTCGAGACTGCTCAATCGAGAGAAGTTGCTGCCTCTGCAGGTCTCCAGGCCAGCAAGGAGGATGGCGCTCTCGTTTTACAGCACAACATCCAGCATCAAGTCTCGCTGCCGCCGGACTACGACTACATTCCCATCTCCCAACATGTACCGCCCGCGAAGCCCGCGAGGGTATGGCCTTTCGAGCTGGATCCTTTCCAGAAGGTTGCGATTGCCTCTATACAGCGTGGAGAGTCTGTGCTGGTGTCGGCGCACACGAGTGCCGGAAAGACGGTCACGGCCGAGTACGCCATCGCGCAGAGTCTGCAGAACAACCAGCGAGTCATCTACACAAGTCCGATCAAGGCATTGAGCAACCAGAAATACAGAGAGTTTGCCGCCGAGTTTGGGGATGTCGGGCTCATGACTGGAGATGTCACAATCAACCCAACTGCGACCTGTCTGGTCATGACTACGGAGATTCTGAGGTCCATGTTGTATCGTGGTTCGGAGATCATGCGCGAAGTCGGCTGGGTCGTTTTCGACGAAATCCATTACATGAGAGACAAGGCGCGAGGTGTTGTCTGGGAAGAGACCATCATCCTTCTCCCAGACAAGGTCCGCTACGTCTTCCTGTCCGCCACCATCCCCAACTCGATGCAGTTTGCGGAATGGATCACGAAAACACATAACCAGCCGTGTCACATTGTGTACACCGATTTCCGCCCAACCCCTCTTCAGCATTACTTCTTCCCCGCTGGCGCAGATGGTATCCATTTGATTGTTGACGAGAAGGGTAACTTCAGGCAAGACAACTTTGACAAGGCCATGTCGACGATAGAAGACAAGAAGGGCTCAGACCCGGCTGACATCAACGCGAAGCAGAAGGGAAGAGGAAAGGACAAGAAGACCAACAAGGGTGGCAATAAGGAGACGACCGATATCTATAAGATTGTGCGGATGATCATGGTCAAGCATTACAACCCTGTTATTGTCTTCAGTTTCAGCAAGAGAGAGTGCGAGGCATACGCACTTCAGATGAGCTCGATGGCGTTCAACGACGACTCGGAGAAGGCAATGGTCAGCAAAGTGTTCGACAGCGCTATTGAAATGCTGTCGGATGAGGACAAGCAGCTTCCGCAAATCCAGCATATCCTGCCTCTGCTTCGCCGCGGTATCGGAGTTCATCACTCTGGGCTTCTTCCCATCTTGAAGGAGACCATTGAGATCTTGTTCCAGGAGAATTTGATCAAGGTTCTCTTTGCGACCGAGACCTTCTCCATCGGACTCAACATGCCCGCCAAGACTGTTGTTTTCACGAGCGTGCGGAAGTTTGACGGTGTCTCCCAGAGATACCTGACGCCTTCAGAGTTTGTGCAGATGTCTGGTCGTGCTGGACGTAGAGGATTGGATGATCGTGGTATTGTCATTATGATGATTGACGACAAGATGGAGCCCGCCGTTGCGAAAGAAATCGTACGGGGAGAACAAGACAAGCTCAATTCGGCGTTCTACTTGGGATACAATATGATTCTCAACTTGATGAGAGTCGAGGGTATCTCACCGGAATTTATGTTGGAGCACTGCTTCTTCCAGTTCCAGAACACCTCTGGTGTCTCTGGCCTGGAGAGAGATCTTCAGCAGCTCCAGACTGAGAGGGATGGCATGGAGATTCCGGATGAGGCGACTATCAAGGATTACTACGATCTGAAACAACAGCTAGACACCTATTCGAAGGACTTGAAGGCTGTTATCAACCACCCGAATTACTCTCTACCTTTCCTGCAGTCTGGTCGTTTAGTCCACATCAAGCACAAGGGCGAAGACTTTGGGTGGGGAGCTGTTGTGAAGTTCACAGCCAGAAGGGCACCCAAGGGCCAAGTTGTGGAGGAGTATGCCCCACAAGAGTCATATATTGCCGATGTTCTGTTGCCAGTTTCGGAATCTTCGTCTGTCGGCACACAGACACACCAAGAGATTCCTGCTGGAGTTCACCCACCTAACGAAGGCGAAACCGGAAAGATGGAAATCGTCCCGATACTGCTGTCGTGCATCGAGTCGATTGGCCACGTCCGCATCTTCCTGCCAAAAGACCTCAAGGCGGCAGACCAGCGCAACACCGTCCGCAAGTCGTTGGACGAGGTCAAGCGCCGCTTCCCAGACGGCATTGCAGTTCTCGATCCAATCGAGAATATGGGCATCAAGGACGAGTCGTTTAAGAAGCTCCTCCGCAAGATCGAAGTCTTGGAGTCTCGTCTCCTCTCGAACCCTCTACACAACTCGCCTCGCCTCACCGATCTCTTCGACAAATACGCCGAGAAGATCGAATTTGGCAACAAGATCAAGGAGAAGAAGAAGTCGATAACCGCTGCACATGCGATTATGCAACTGGATGAACTCAAATCCCGTAAGCGTGTTTTGCGTCGTCTCGGCTTCATCAATGACCAGGAAGTCGTCGAACTGAAGGCTCGTGTAGCTTGCGAGATCTCTACTGGTGATGGACACGAGCTGCTTTTGTCCGAGCTCCTGTTCAACCGTTTCTTCAACGAGTTGAGTCCTGAGCTTTGTGCTGCCGTGCTGAGTTGCTTCATCTTTGAGGAGAAGAGCCAGTGCCCTCCGCTAAAGGAGGAACTTGCCAAACCGTTTAGAGAAATCCAGGCACAGGCGAGGATTATCGCCAAGGTGAGCCAGGAGTCGAAGCTGGAGGTGAACGAGGAGGAGTACGTGCAAAGCTTCAAGTACCAGCTTATGGATGTTGTTTTGGCTTGGACGCAAGGGAAATCCTTCGCGGAGATCTGGTGAGTTACCCAATGATGAAAGACATGAACAACACTGACAATAATAGTAAAATGACGGATGTCTACGAAGGATCTCTCATCCGACTTTTCCGCCGCTTGGAAGAGCTACTGAGGCAGATGGCGCAAGCTGGCAAGGTTATGGGATCAGATGACCTGTCGGCCAAGTTTGAGGAGGCTTTGACAAAGATTAAGCGCGACATTGTCGCAGCACAGTCTCTGTACCTATGAGCTTTCCGTTTGTATACAATATGATAGCGTGCATGGGGAAGCGGAGCGGCGTTTCGGGTGGCATCACTACATAGTGGGAGGATAAACTTTGTACAAGGTAAAGAAAGGACATAAGCACGTCACAGGTGAGACTATCATAATTCGGTTCTCAATCAGAGCGAAATTAATGTTCATTTTACCGCGAGAGCGTCTGCCATCTTTGTTGTGTTACATGTGTCCCTTCAGCGCCTTGTGACTGTTTACTTTGACTCGGGCTGGGGCTCCTCCGCGTTGCCGTACTTGACAACCAGTCCGCCTTCAGTCAGGGGCACTCCCTTTCCTCCATAAACCTCTGGCAACTGGATTCCACACTCGGGAATCTCTCCAGCCAAACTTCCTCCATAGCTCAGAGGGTGGAACTTCTTGATCGTCTCGGCGCTCAGGAACAGCTTCAGAGCAGCAAAGACCCAGCCCATGGCCAAGGGCACGTTGACAAAGAACTTCTCCTTGACCAGCTCTGGGTACGCCATGGCAAAGGTCTGGATTGCGGCCTTGGAAGCGGCGCGGACGCTGGGGTCCATTCGGAGGAAGCTGACGTTGAGGTAGTCGTGCACTTGGATCATGCGGTAGGGGTCAGGGCCGCCGTCGGGGATCTTCTCGGTGGCGGAGGCAAGATCGAGCTCCTTGATAGAAAGCTCCATAAGAGCAGTGCGCCATTTGATGAACCTGTAGCTGGTTAACACTTATCACATGAGGGGTCTATAGTACGTACTCCTCAACATTGTCAAACGTGCCCTTGATGTCCTTTACTGCTCCGTAGATGTTCCAGGTGATGATTTCCTTCTGGGTGCCGGTGGCGTTGTAGACAGTGACATAGCCAAGGTTTCCGAACTTCTCCTTGTTGTGCTCCACCTCTGTAAGGAGCTTCAGAGGGTCCACCTTCTTGCGCCATTGCAAGGCCTCGAGGAGCTGGGCCTTGGCTTTGGCAACATCATCGTTGTTTGCACGGAGGAACTTTTGAAGGATGATGGTGGTTGGAACATTGGTGGCGTCCTCGAGCTTCACGCCCCACATCTCACCGTGCTCAGCATCGACGATGATCTTGGGAAGCTCTCCAAAGAGCTTGGAAAGAGGAGTCTCGGGCTGGCTCTTGTCAACAACAGCCTCTGGAGAGGTCTCGGCAGTCTTGGATTGCTCAGTCTCAGCTGCAACTACTGGGTTTGGCTCGGCGGGAAGCTCAGTAGGAAGCTCAGTAGGGGTGTCCTTGCGTTGGTTGATCTCCGCGGCAACCTCAGGGACCGACTCGACGGGGAGCTCAGCAGGAGTGCTCTCAGTAGGAGTGCTCTCCACAACCTTTTGGGTGGTTTCAGGCTCCATCTTTGAGTTCGTGCTTGTTTTCGGCAGATCTGCCTTTTTAAGGGGCTGTTATTGCAGAAAGATATAACTGTTCAGGGTCCTGATCAACGTTGATCAGATTAGATAAACGTTGGCGTCGCGCCACGTGATTTATTTGTTGACGTGTGCGGGCCGACGCGCTAGTGTATTTAAGTCACGTGAAATACAGGGATCCACCTGTATACTTCTATGGGTTATATAAAGGCAAAGCAGACAAAGCACGCTGGCTTGAGATGTTTGTTGTTTTTTATGGGATAGGTTCTTTGGGGGGGGGTTGGAGTATATTATTATGGAATAGACCTAAGATATTATTTAATTGATGAAAAATGATTTTTTTGGGGATATAATTATCAATGAAACTAATAAATTTGGGGATAATATTTAAATCTCTACAGAATAACATACTAAAGGCTTTGGTATCATGAAAAAGCTATAAAAAGTGTATCGAGAGAGCTACTATTTTTGAAAAGCATAATAAGTGTCATGTATTTGAAAGGGCGTGGTTGTTGACTCACTCCCGCCTGGCAATTGATTATTGATCAGTGCCTAGAACCGCGTCAAATACCGAGCTCACAAACGCCGAGGACCCAAAGCCCGGAATACCTCATCAACGCGTCCATTATGCGCCTTTTTATGCCTCAACCAAATAACCTTCAGGATATACCTATACGTTTGGAACGGAACTGACATACGGCGAGTTCAATCTCTACCCATCCCTCAAGGTGGCAGATCCACATTCGACCCTACCACAGCACCCAAAATGCCCGTCACAGAATTCCAAGAGCGCGTCTACACCCTCCTGACCCAGATCCCGGAAGGCCGTGTCACGACATATGGCGCCCTCGCCCGCGCTCTGAAGTCCTCACCCCGCGCCGTCGGCAACGCACTGCGCAACAACCCCTTCGCGCCCGAGGTCCCGTGCCACCGCTGCGTGAATGCCAGCGGCTATATCAATGGATATGACGGAGAAGTAATCAAGCGGACGACGTTTAAGAGGGCAAAGGATGGGACGGCACAGGGAACGGCGAGCAGGTCTACGCCGAAGGGGGCGAAGGCGGATGTCGCGAAAAAGGTGTTGCCCGAGGGGGGGAATGTGTCGAAGAAACTGTTGATTCTGAAGGAGGAGGGTGTCGAGTTTGATGAGAGGGGGATCCTGCTTAAGCCTAAGAAGGTGCTTTGGGATGGGCCGTGGAAAGTGTAGACTTGATGGGTTAGGCGTCGATTGTGATACCAGTTTCTTTAATTTCAGACTGTAGAGGATACGGTTGTTCAAGTCGATATGATACGAAAGATAATTCGACGGCTCTGCCTGGTTACAATGCTTGTGTCAAGGTTTCACGTGTATTTCCCGCAGTTGACAAAATATACATGCCTTTCTTTGATATATCTACATGTGGAATCCCTCTGTAAAATGGGTATCTATCTTCTTACCAGGGCCTGGCCCGTTAACCTGCAGCAGCACCAGCGTCTCCATCTGTTTGATGAACCTCTTCGCAAACTCCTCTTCTGTAAAACCTTTTGCAGACAACCGTGCCCTGCGACGCCAGTCAAGTGTATCCTTGAGTGACAGTGCCTTCTCGAACCCTTCGGCAAATTCAGTCGAAGTTGTCGCATGGAACCCTGATATCCGTTAGATCCTGGCAAATAGAAGGCATTCTCGGAAAACTCACCAGTTGGCTTCCCCTCCACCTCTGTAACAATATCTATCTTCGGTCCGCCACTCTTATGTACCACCGCGATCAACCCCGCCGCCTGATATTCTACAACACCAATGCCAAAGTGCTCATTCCACATTCCATTGACACCCACAGACGCCTTTCGTAACCACTCCAATATCTCTGGCCAAGAGGCATCCAGATGGAATTCCACACTGTCCTTGATCTGGAGCTCGTTGGCCAATAATCTCAGCTCATACACGCGCTTTGAGTCGGAATCATCCCGCACACTCCCGACAAGGACAAGCTTTGCGCCTTTCGTGGCAGGCGTCTTTGTGCGCATGAACTCGGCGAATGAGTTCAATATCAACGTGTGATTCTTCTCCGGCCGGAACTGCGCAATGTACAAGAGCGTCTTCGACCTCTTCTTCTCACTCTCTGCCGAGATTTCGATTTCGCTCTCGAGCTCTTCGACTGCGACGGGAGGGTACACAACTGCTATATCAGACATGACGCCACGCTCAGCTCGGAAACCGCCCCATAGTGAGCGGATATGGCCCTGTGTCCATGTAGAGTTCGTCATGACGACGTCAATCGAGGAGCCGACCCAGCCGTAGACCTTGGCGAAAATCTCCCAGTAAACCTTCTTCGCTGCACCCTTCGCGCCGACGCCCTTTCCGGCGTTGACACCGTGTGTGCTGTTGGTCGTAGAGTCGAGCGAGGCAAGCATGTCTGTGGAGATTGTGGGGTAGTGGACGTATGCTCCCGTCGGCACCTTTGGGAACATCAGCTTGCACAGCCCAAGAGCGAATGCATAGCCCATAGTGTCGACAAAGATATCCGGGACTAAAAGGGAGAAGGCGTCGTAGGCCATGAACAACGAGCCCAAGGATTGGCCGAAGAGAGTTGCAAATGACCATGTTGAGGCTAGGACTAAGTGCCGTGTTGTGAGATAGAGGAAGGTGACGGTCGGCGCGTGAAGCTGGATATTGAACCGATTCTACTCGCAAATCATTAGCAGTGAATTGTAGGGCGTAGGACCAACATACCTCAACCCTCTCCAGCATCTTCTCCTTGGTGACATCGTGGTCGCCCGTATAAACCACACATGTAGCCTTGGGCCACCTCTGCTGCGTCGCGCGCACAGCTGCCCAGAGAACTCTCTCACCACCACCCCCTGCGTTGCAGAATGGGTGTAGGAAGCCCACGATCCCCTCCCAATCCTTCTCGGCGACATCTCCGTTCACAGCGTTGCCAACAGTGTAGCTTTCAACCCTCTCCCACTCCTCGTCGCCTTCCTTGGCCTTCTTCCCGCGCGCCGCCTCCTTTGCCAGCTCCGCCTCTTCCTCGGCAACCTTTTTGAGAATGATTGCCCTCTTCGGGGCCGTCCGCTTTAGTAAGTACCACCCTATCGTCTCTCCAAGTATCTGGGCTAGCGAATGGCCGTAGAGGAGTAATCCTACGGGCAGAAGTGTCACCAAGGCAGTGATGCCAAGGAGCCAGCCTAGAGGGATCATTCTGCCCTTATAAAGAGGCACGAAAGTGTTATATCAGCATGGAAATGGTCCAGAACTATGAAACTCCGTATTAGGTATGTATGTTGCTTGGCGCATGGCAAGGCTGAGGACGTTGCGACGTGACAAGTAACACACGTGGGCTCGTGTTCTCGGCAAATTAAAGGCCCGGTGCCGAAAGGCTGACGCCCGCGATATTTTGTCTTCATCCCGCGATACATTGACAGAACGGTAGATTGGGTATCGCTGCTATTTCAAGTCAGCCTGTCTCCAGCTAATATCTTTTGATGGTCAGAGCTATCTAGCAAAGGGTTTCGTGCCAATTGGCCCCGAACGCCTCAAAACTCGGAGCCAGCTTCATGTCGCGGCATCTCGTGCAACGCCCACTCTCTCGAGCAGTGCGGCTACAATTCCAGCAAGCTCGACAACCACAACCGTTCCTGTCCTGCTTCCCCTCTGCAGCCTCACGATCCTTCCATGCTACGCCCCGTCAGAAATATACAATCCTCGACCCCGTCCTCGAGGCTACTCACAACGCCTTCCTCGGAATCCACCATGTTCTCCCTTGGTGGGCGGCCATCCCATTTGCTGCCGTCGCAGTCCGCCTTGCCTTTCTCCCGCTGACGATATGGTCTCGCCGCATAATATCGAAGCAACGAAGCCTTACACCTCTCATTACAGCATGGCGAGGGGCACTGGAGCGCAATGTTGACATATCCAAGGGAACCTCCAACATGAAGGTGCTGGCCGCACGCAAGACGATGGAAATCTACAAGGCCTTCTCCTGCCAACGCTACAAGCTGTTCATCGCACCCGCGCTACAACTCCCATTCTTCCTCATAATCATCGAGTCAATCAGACGGTTGGCTGGAGCTGGCAGCGGACTGTTGCGTTTGATTTTCAGCTCCGTGCCTTCTGTGACGGAAGGCGCTGCTGAAACTGCGTCTGGTGCAACCGCGAACACAGACATTGCCACTGCGCTCACCCGGATAGAACCTTCGATGACCACCGAAGGGCCTCTATGGTTCGTCGACCTCAGCGCTGCAGATCCGCTCCTCATCCTCCCCTTCGCGCTGTCCGCCACAATGCTCCTCCATCTCGTGCCTTCGCACTACTTCACACGCGCCGCAGCCCCAGTGGGCACACCCTCTACCTTTCAACGCAGACTTCGGAACATGCTGAAACTCCTCGCTCTGGCAGCGGGACCGCTGACGCTAGCATTGCCCGCGGGAGTATTGTATTATTGGATCTCCACGATGTTGGTAAGTTTTGTGCAGGGGCATCTGTTGGATGTGTTCATGCCGCTGAAGAACCCTGTCATGCCGTGCACACCTCCGCGAAGCAAGTTGATGGAGGGTGTTGGGAAGGCGGGATGGGATACGAAGGTCAGGGATGCCGCCGCGGCGAAGCTGAAGGCTCCTGATGTGAAGCCCTGAGCTGGACTTCCTGGCCAATAGGTTATCGAACTGATGCCGATCATGAGTCATGTATAGGTCGTTGAAGACGCCACATTGTCATAGCCTTTTCATGTTGAGTTTCTCCATGGACGTCAAGGTCACGCTACGAGGAGAGCTGTACTATACTGTACCATATAATACGACATACTGTAAATACTACACGTTTGCAAGGCAGCTCCGGCCTTCTCCTCCCTCCCTCTATGAGTAGCCCCTATCACAAATACGGTCTGGTTTCCGCGGAAGTGCCTGCATGGTCATCTTATGTGCAGTCGCACTGACCATGTGTTCGTCGCCATCAACGGGACACAGTGCTGGAGAGGGTTACACGGCACCGAGCACAGAACCTCGGTGTCGGCCCGTCCTGAGTCCGTCCTGTGGAGTGAAGCAGCAGCACGATACCAAGTACCCTACATGGACGGACTTGGTGTGTACATGTTATCTATGTAGCTGCGGCAAGAAAAGAAAGACTCCGACTTCCTCCCCTGCTCCCACGAAAGGCGTCAAAAGCGGCGCTCACCTGTACCCCCAGCCAACCGAAAGCGCACCAGTGCCTAAGCCACCATGACGGCTCCTCGGGCTTGGAAGATGGGTTCAACCTGAGGCACTTGCGACAGTTGGAGCATGGGAGAGTCGAGTTAGCATTCCTCTCTAGGGTCAGCTCACCAATCCCATGAGTCTATGCCTCGCTCATCCTTCACTCGCGCCGCAGCGGACAGCCGGGCCTAGCGGGATGACGCGCAGGAGGTCTGCATTCATCGACCAGCAGAGTCTCCTGTCGTAGTGGAGCCTGCACGAGTACTCTGCATGAAGCCTCGCTCGCGCACGGCCGCCCGTCGCAAAACCCGATCGAAAAGTCGCGCACATTTTTGGGATGGGGACCGCGGCTGAGGCGGCCACAGGGGATTTAATCGGTCGTGGATCCGCGCCGGCCCCGCGCGCGACGGACGGGAAGGGGAGGGAAGGGAAGCGGAGTTGGGTCGTGCAGCGCAGGCATGGGAGGAGGAGGAGGGGAGGGTGCTTGGACCGTTCCTTGGCCTGACATGGCCTCTCGGCTGGGAGAAAAGGGCGCTATGCGGCGGGATCGCTGGCAGGTCTGACTTGGGTAGGGAGAGAGAGGCTGGTTTATCTGGCAGTTTTGTCTTGGTTTGTCCGACTTTGATTGGGATGTGCTTAGTTGGGGGGGTGAGGTAAGCGTGCCGCCGACGGTGCCGAGCGTCGATAGTGCGTGTCGAGGTGAGATCTGTCTCACGTTCTGGCACTGTCACTGTCGAAGTTTGGGGTGTTGGATGCTGATTGATGGGCGTTTGTTCGGTTTGTTGCGGGTATAGCGGGCATGGTGCGGGGGAAGGGGGAGGTGGTGGGGAGAGAGTCAAGATGTCGCTCAGGACAGGGCAATCTGATGCTGTGTAATATGGGATATTGGCGCCGCCACAACACCACCACAACACCACCACACGTGTGTGTACTTTACCATATCGGTGATGCCAGGCGAAAGTGCAGCCCAGGCCATAGCTTGGATGCGGGATATTTGCCGTGACCTGGCAGCTGTGGATGGTAATATTGGCGGGTTTGCCGTGATCTGGCTCCTATGGGTGGTAATATTGGCGGGTTTGCAGATATTAAGGCCGGGCTTCCCATACTCCATACTCGATTGTTGCTGGCGGCACAACACCCTAACAAATCAAGGATCATATATGTCTTTGCCTCAGGAGTGAGAATATGTATCTCTGGCACCGTGTCTTGACCCAAGGACGCCGCTGATGCCGCTGACACGTCCGTCTGCGCCCATCTTTAGGGATTCGCAGCGATCTTATCACCCTCACTGGCCCCAACATGCCAACATGTCAACATGCCGGGCATTGTTTGGGAGGAAGTACAACAGTACAGCAGTACAGCAGTACAGCAGAGTACGGGAGATTGGTGGATGAGACATCGGCCATCAGCCATCAGCCATGGTCAAGCAGGTACCTGTGCAGCATGACAACCCCAGCATCTTTCTTTCCTTATCGTGGGCCGTGGATTGGTTCGATCTGGGGACGAGGGGCAGGGAAGGGACGGGAGTAGGGCAGATGGCAGATAGGGCAGCATGGAGCAGGGAGTATGGATTGGGCGACGATGGCGGGCAAGGTAGGGACGGCGGCGACTTGATCTCGCCGCTTTTAAGGGGGAGGGGAGGGGATAGGGATGGGTATGGGAGATGGGAGTCTTGGGAGTGGACATGCTTCCATATATCGATGGTATATCCCACATGCTATATACTATAGAAATCCTCCACGTTTGGGCCATTTCAAGCTACACCCAACAATACCCGACAATCCGCAGAATACTCTACATAGTATTTCTCAGAACAACCAGTGTATTTCTCAGCACGACACACCGAACGGGTACTTCGCAGCACAGTACTCCATCGAGAGACGCCACAAGAGAGAAAAGAGAGAAAAGAGAGAAAAAAAGAGACAGCTACAAGTACCTCCAAGTACTAAATTGTATTGGACGGTACTTACAGAATCACTGATTAATGATTTCTGATCGCTGATCTCCGATCTTAGTGATCATCCGTGCTATTCTACTGCTATTCTACTGCTATTCTACTCTCGACAGAACAGTCCCGTCTTGTTCTACTCACCTTTACTCTACTTTCTACTGGTTATTTATTGGAAATCCTCATCTTGATACCTCTCGCCATCACCGCCCTCCTCATCGGCCTCATTTCACCCTCGCCGTCGCTCCTGTCGCCGCCGTCGTCATCGTCGTCACCTCAAATTCACACCAGGTCACTCTCCCACCTACAGCTCTTTTCTGCCAACCCAAACTACCCAAACTACCCACTTCCGCCGCACTTTTGGCCATTCACCGCCCGCCCTGCCTGCCTTATCCACCCGCGCCCCTCGCCCTCGCCCTCCACCCACCCCCCCCTCGCCCCTCGCCACCCACTCAACTCAACTCATCCCCAAAATCCACTCAACGGACTCACATCCCGTCAACTTTTCTCCCACTCCGCCGCCGCTACTCGCTGTCCCATTCTCAACCTCACAATTTCCTCAAAATAACCATTTAATACTTCGAACTTATACTCGACAATATACTCGTTCGACACTGACACTCGAACTGCCTTCACAAATACACCGCCTCCGCCTCCTCCCACCCGCCCACATCCACCACCACCACCACCACCACTCAGCTGCGGGAGTTATGCACTGAATGTGCGCACCACCATGTTGGTTTTCAGCAGTGAACAACTTCACCAGCCAGGATGAATATGAATATGAATATGAATCCCCACCCCATAAAGACTCAGGGCATGGCTGCCACCTCAGCCATGTCCAGCCCCGGGCTCTACAGTCCCGCGCAGAGCAGCTCCCCGTCTCGTCTCTACCCGGCCTCGTCGTCTGGCACGCCCGCCGGTAGCCCCTTCCTGCACCCATTGCAGATGCACAAGGTTCGAGAGTGAGTCGTCGCCCCATGCACTTCACAATCCACCAAACCTTGACATGTGCTAACCGTCTCTCTCTTGCACAGGACGCACAAAGCCGCCATCGAACAAGACTACATCACCGGGCGCAAGCTCATCAACCAGTATGAGATCCTCGGAGAGATCGGTCGCGGCATGCACGGCAAGGTGAAGCTGGCTAGGAACATCGAGACCGACGAGAAGGTCGCCATCAAGATCATCCAGCGATACTCGAAGAAGCGCCGGCTCACCCGTGTCAGCTCCTCGCCGGAGACGAAGACGAAGAGGGAGATTGCCATCCTCAAGAAGATACGACACCCCGACATCGTGGGCCTGTACGAAGTGATAGACGACCCCGACTACAAGAAGATCTACATGATTCTCGAGTATGTCGAGCTCGGAGAGATTAAATGGAGGCGCAAGGGCACATCGCAGATCTGCGCGTTCGAGAGGAGACGGATAGAGAGGGAGCTGCGCTGCGAGGAGGACGGCGGCGACGAGGAGAGGCTCTTCAAGATGCTCGAGCGGCGCAGGATCCGCAAGGATGCACAGCGAGCGAAGCTGGCCAACCAGACGCACTCGGCCGACTTCTGGAGCTTGGAGCATGGAGACGACGAGGACGAGTTTGGCGATGTGACGCCGCTCTCTCGCGTACCGACGCACGAATCGCTCTTCATCCCGCGGTCCTTCCAGTCGCACACGTCACACGTGTCGCACACCTCGCTCGTCCGCTCGAACCCCAACTCGAATCCGACCTCGCGTGCAGCGTCCTGCACGCCGTCGCGTACGAGCTCTACCGCGCATCGCACCATGGTACCGACGTACCTGGACATTGGGCCGATCGACAGCGACAATGAAGACGACGAGCCATGCCCCCTGCCGTCAACCCCGTCAACCCTGTCGTCTGCTACGGGAGGGTTTGGAAGCGCCAATCCCCTCGCACTGCGAGACGATGCGCTCGCGAATCGTGCAAGGTCGCCGAGCATGGCCGACAGTATCATCTCGCACATGTCGTCGGTTGACGATGTCACCCACAACGACTCGTTTGAAGAGGACTTCTCTTACGTCCCGTGCTTCACGATGGATCAAGCGAGGTCAACCTTTCGAGATACGGTGTTGGGACTGGAATATCTACACTACGAAGGAATCGTTCACCGCGATATCAAGCCGGCGAACCTACTGTGGACAAAAGAGCACCGGGTGAAGATATCCGACTTTGGCGTCTCCTTCTTTGGCAGGCCAACGAGGGATGGCGAGCAAGGAGAGAATGCCTCCGAGTCGGATGAGACTGAGTTCGATGACGACGTTGAGCTATCAAAGACAGTCGGCACGCCGGCGTTCTTTGCCCCAGAGCTGTGCTATACAGACCTCGATACCCCACAGCCCAGAATCAACGACCAGATCGATATCTGGTCGCTGGGCGTGACCCTCTACTGTCTTATATTTGCCAGAATTCCCTTCCTGGCCGAAGACGAATACCAGCTGTTTAGAGCAATTGCGCAGCAAGATGTATATATACCCAGGCGGCGGCTCAAGGCCGTTGACCCCGGAACCCCAGACCCGGACCATAAGATTAAGGAAGGTGATTACAGGGCGGACGGAGAGTTGGTGATGGAGGATATCGACGACGAACTGTTCGACCTCCTGCGCCGGATGCTGGTGAAGGATCCGGCCGAGCGCATCAAGTTGCGAGAAGTGAAGCGTCATCCTTGGGTCCTACGCGGCATCGATGACATCATCGGGTGGCTTGACGATACGGATCCATCGAGGAGGACGGCGGGCAAGCGGATCCAGGTTGACGATCGCGAGCTCGAGCGTGCTGTTGTGCCTATTAGTTTTGTAGAGCGTGCGAGGTCGGCAGTGAAGAAGGTGGTTGGCAAGATTCAGGGGCGACATAATGGAAGTCGGTAATGTTGAACTATGTCGGGCAGATGGAGGAGGACTTAGAATCATGTAGCTGTCATAAAAGGCTTATATTCGATATTTACCCCAGTTAATCCGTGTCTTTTGGGGTTCGGGGGCGTTGTGAAGATAGGCAGGGTGGTCGGCAGTGCCGATGATATGCCGGAATGCTTATGTTTCAAGATTTCACCGCAGATCAACTGATGCTCAACAGAAATCGGTATTCGATGAACCGATGCCGAAGAAATATACCGGGCAAATGGATCCGTCGCCATAAGAGGGACCGACTGTTCCTGGGGTCGAATGTTTAGAAGCAACAGGGATTGGCAGTCAAAACTATAAAGCTTAAACTGCCATTAGTGGATAATTCCCGCGTTCTCCGCATTGCGGGGAACCCTTCTAAACTTTCCATATTGCATTCCAAGATTAACCTCACCGCGAACGACACTAAATTGCTCCCAAGAACGCACGGAGAGCAGATGGAAGGATATATCATCTTGTGACCCCATAACGCATTGAAACGTTCGGACGATGAGTGGAAGGCAATTTCTAAGACGGGGGCACTAAAGCCGTTTAGATTGGCGAGGAGGTTATACCCCACAGCCGGCAATCTATTTCTAACTGGTGACGAAAAGGGCCAGCACTCCCAAGGTTATCGCGGCAAGCCAGGCCCGGCCGTGATGATCTCGCGATGATCCTATAAATGGGAAACGATTCCCCGAATTGCTATCTTTTTTGACCACCGCCAATTGCAATTGCCGACCCTTCGCGATGCATCTTTTTGTACAGTCCGTCGCCCTGCTGGGCTGCGTCTCTTCAGCGTTTGCTGCCTTTGGTATCACGACGTCCACTGCGAGCTATGCCATAGACGCCGGTTCCGCCGAGTCCTTTGTTGTGACCGTCAGCCGCACCAACTGCGATATCACCTCGATCAAGTACCGCGGCGTTGAGTATCAGTATCAGAGCACAAAGTCTCACATTGCATCTGGGCTTGGATCTGCGACGGTGTCCGCAACGACGATTAACAGTTGGTGCTCATTCCCTTGTTTTTAAGTAATCTAACGTTTCAGGCCAATATGCCAAGATCACCTGTGTGGTGAAGAGCGCTGATTTCGATCTGACTCACTACTATGTCGTCAAGTCGGGAGACAGCATCGTGTACATGGCAACCAACACCAATGCTCAACCCGCCATCGGAGAGCTGCGCTACATTGCTCGTCTCGATAGCGCTCTGCTGCCGCTCGAGTATCCCTTCGGCACTGCCTCTACCACTGTTGGCGGAACCGCCATCGAGGGATCTGATGTCTACCTTGTGAACGGCCAGACAAGAAGCAAGTTCTACAGCAGCGAGCGCTTCATCGACGACAAGGTCCAGTGCGTCACTGCCAGCGACGCATCCATCCACGCATGCATGGTTCTATCTACCCCCGGCAAGGAAGCCAGCTCTGGCGGACCGTTCTTCCGTGACATCAACACCAACAACGGAGGAGCTTACACTTCGCTGTATAACTACATGAACTCGGGACACGTTCAAACCGAGGCCTACCGCACTGGACTCCACGGCCCATACGCGCTTCAGTTCAGCCGCAGCGGGATCCCGGCATCTGTCGATGCCAACTTTGCCTTCTTCAGCGACCTTGGCATCAGCGGCTACGTCGCAGACTCTGGCAGAGGTGTTGTTAAGGGTACGGCTACCGGAGTTGCGTCTGGATTCCAGATCGTCGTTCACTGGTACAACTCGGCCTCTCAATACTGGGTGTATGCCTCGTCGAGCGGAGCCTTCACCTCGCCAGCCATGAAGCCGGGAAGCTACACGATGAAGCTCTACCAGGGTGAATTCCAACTTGCCTCGCAGTCTGTCAGTGTTTCTGCCGGAGGAACTACCACATCCAACATTGCCGGAGCCAGCCAGTCGCGCAACACGCTATGGAAGATTGGAGATTGGGATGGACAGCCAAAGGGATTCCGCAATGCCGACAAGCAGCTCAGAATGCACCCTAGCGATTCGCGCATGAGCAGCTGGGGACCATTGACCTACACGGTTGGCAGCAGCGCCCTCACCGACTTCCCAATGGCTCTGTTCAAGTCGGTCAACACTCCGGCGACGATCAAGTTCACCCTTTCTTCCGCGCCAAGTGGCACTACAACTCTCCGCATTGGAACGACTCTGTCGTTCGCTGGAGCCAGGCCAGTAGCAAAGGTCAACAGCTGGCAAGGAGCGACACCAGCAGCTCCCACGAAGATTGATAGCCGTGGTGTCACCAGGGGCGCGTACCGTGGATTTGGAGAGGTTTATGATGTGACGATTCCTGCCGGGACACTCACATCTGGAAGCAACACGATCACCATTGATGTTGCGTCTGGCAGCAGTGGGGATACCTACTTGCAGCCCAATGTCGTAAGTATAGTCATGCGTATGCTGGGGTACAATGCTAATGATTTCAGATCTTTGATGCTGTTGAGCTGTTTAACTAGACGGTTCCAAGGGTGGGGGAAAGGTTGTGAATCAATGATAAGAGTATTTTATCAGACAATATATGGTTTTCATCAGTTATATACTGAACATGCTCATTCCTTGCATACCTAGCTGTACCGGCGTGAACACCCTTCGTAATTACGTGGAATGACCGGCAAATGTAGATCCATATATTCATGAATATCTTCACAGGCTAGACTTTGCTGGCCTTTCCTTCACATCATCCCAAGCCTTATCAAAGCCCACACTTCTCGCCCATGGACTCTGGTCGGATCCCTGTACAGCCTCAACGCTGTCAACCACCATCCGTCCAATTCCCAACCACTGCTCCTTCTGCACCTTCCCCCCTTCGAACCCCTTGGTCACCTGCTCTGCAGTCCCAAGTGCCCTCAGAAGCTTAACTGCATGTCCGTCATCGTTATTAATCTTGAACAGCCTCTCTCCCAACTGATTCCAAGTCAAATCCTTGCCAGTTTCTGCAGTATACTCCTCGATTTCCTCCTTCAACAGAGGCGGCGTTCCACGAGAGACATACATTACCAGATCCAGGCGTCCTTTCCATTCTAGTAAGCGGCATTTGTTCTCGTCGCTTATCCAGGAGAGGGCGTTGAATGTCGGCCAGAAGATGGACGCATTCACGCAGTGCATAAAGAAGAAGTCTATTTTGATCGCCTTCGGCGGGTGCTGCGCTGCTGCCGTGTAGAAAATGGTGGCATCCATCATTTCTGCCGTCTTTTGAGCGAGCTGGTCCAGTGGCACGTGGTACTTTGACGCATGGTTGATCATCTCTTGTGGGGCGCGTTTGAGGATCCCGTCTCGGATTTTATTGCCGTCAGCCTGTGATGTTAGTATGCGCTTCAAAGGGGACGGTGAACATACCCATTTAGGAGATGCCTTCAACTTCTCATCGGAATCAACATCCACGACGAGTTGAGAGAGGCTTTTGGAGGTTTTGCTCTCTTTGGCTAGCTTTTCGGCACCAATAAAGAACGGCTTAAGCCAGATATCGTGAACTGCAGCCTCTGCGAGAGCCTCGGCGACAATGAGGGGCTGTTTAAATTCAAGACCAAAGCCGAGATGAATTAGGGGATGGAGGAATCCTGAGAAGTGAGCAATGGCATCTGTATAGAATGGAGATGGACATACCGCCGTATAATCTGGCGAGCAGATCCTCTGCAAGCTCAGACCTGGAGAATAAATACTCTTGAACGACCGCCTCTACGCCCTTGGCCTCGAGTTCCCGATGGAAAAATTCGATATAGTCATGCGTGTACTTTATATTGCCGAGAAACTTCTTGAATCCCTCCGGCTCGCTCATAGCTTTCACATTCTCTTCTCTTAGTGGCTTTGGCTTCATCTGGTACGACGTGTTCGACTTGTAATGCGCCTCTATCACATTGGGAGGGGCTCCAAGACCGTAAAGGGTTAGAACTTGGTGCACGATGTGGTTATGGAAGCCTTCTTCATTGAAAAATAGATTCTTTTCATATTAGTTTAATACAGTGAAGTCTTCGGGTGGCATACATATTTCTATTCACGTGTCAGCCTTGCCCTCTCAACGGATGATAATATTTACCTCATGATTCTCCTGCAAGAGACGGCTGGCCATTTGAGCACTCTCTTCGCTCGGCTTGGATAGACTAAAGACCCCCGAAACTTCTGGGGAAAGTTGGACCTTGCGTGAGGTTGCCATTGTGATACTCCGCTTCTGATAGTAAATAGACCCCGGATAAATTGGTTTAAATTTTGCAGCGTTGACGAGTGTTATGGATCGTGAGATGGAACGTGGGACAGCATGATACATATATCTCATTGTCCTGCACTAATTGTAAATGTGTAATAAATGGCCTTTGAATGGTCTGGATGGTTGTATGGTGGTGCAAGCTACGTCGCGCAACGGCGGATGATGACGTCGGCGATACCTGTTGGGCCGAGTCTTACAAATATTAGTCATGTGATACAAGGCAAGATATTTCCGGAGATGTGCAGGTGCAGGATCTAGGTTTCCTCTCGCTGCATGTCTGACAAAGCAGGAGGGGTATTGTGATACAGATGTTCAAATCTAGATTCCCATCTCCGGCGTCTGACGAAGCAGCGTGAGGGTATTAGTAAGTTGATATGTGTTGTCTAGTCACGTGATTGAAACGTGCGGAGATCTTCTAATCCCCGCTATTCACACCACATGATAATACTGTACTATCCAATCGATCTCTCCTTTCAACCGAAAATGTGAGACACGCGAATTGTTCTGTAAAATGACCTCACGTGATAATACCATTTTTGCGGTTTAAGTTATGGCTTCCACGGCTGCAGCTAAGAGGGGGCGTCCACATTCTCATATCCACATCATGCCGGCATGTTTCGAAGAAGTAAACTGTGGCCCACCTACTGGGCCGGATCTCATATCCAGACCCGCAAGACGCCATTAGCGTGCTGCTCTGGAAGCAGGAGCGTCAGGGGATCCAAAGATATATTTTCCAAGAGGAAGATGGTATTATAAGGTGGTAGCGATTATTAAAGCGTATCAACGAGATAGAACAGATCGACGGTGCAAAACTGGCAGCCAATCCGAATCTCTAGAAAGCTCAGCCTTCCTTCAGCTCCCAACTTTCCCGTTTTTTACAGGGGTCCGTCCAAGGGTGCAGGGGTAAATGCCACATCCTCTAACCGACATCACGTGCCGCGATTGGAAAACAACATGTCAACGGCTTGCACGACGTTGAACGTTCATCAGCGCATTTGCATTTGAAGGATGCGCGATACCCCTGGAATATGGCGGCTTTAATAGTCGATGCTCTTGCTTTGCACATCAACCTCAAACGCGACCCCGTGAGCCTCCTCCCCCGAGGCTGCGCCGAGGCCAAACTGACCGCTAACCCCCTTTTTAGGAGAACAGTGATCCAAGGGTAGGATCAGCGAGGAATGGTTCGACCAGCGGTGGGACATTATCGAATGCCACCAAGGGAACTAACACCTCCTCCATTCCGGGGCTGTTGGCCACGCTCGTCCCGGTTATTGTCTACGCGGTTGTGTGTTTGCTGATATTCTGGGGCTGCCGAACACGCTACCCTCGTGTTTATTCCCCGAGGTCGATTCTGAGCAGTCTAGAGCCTCAGTAAGTGTCATGGCAGATATGGAGACGCGTTCTAATAAACCGCAGTGAACGCCCCAAAAAACTACCATCCGGATGGTTTAACTGGTTGAAGCCGCTCTTCAAGACCCCAGATCTAGACGTCTTGCACAAATCGTCAATCGATGGATTCTTATTCCTGCGCTTCCTCAGGATCCTCTGCACGATCTGCATCGTTGGGGCCTGCATCACGTGGCCAGTTCTTTTCCCGTTGCATATTCTGGGCGGTGGAGGCGGGTCTCAGTTGGATGCATTGACGTTTGGGAACGTCAAGAAGCCGTCATGGTACTTTGTTCACGCGTTTTTGGCGTGGATCTTCTTTGGTAGGTTGTTTGACGGTTTGTGGGGTTGTGACTGACGTTCGGCAGGGTTTATCCTGTACATGATTTCTCGGGAATGCGTGTATTACATTAACCTGCGGCAAGCATATCTTTTATCGCCATACTATGCAAAGCGCCTTTCTTCGAGGACCGTGTTGTTTACCTGCGTTCCTGAGCAATTTCGCGATGAGGCGAGGTTGAAGAAGCTTTTTGGAGATTCGGTTAAAAATGTTTGGATACCGACTTATAGCGGCGACCTGGATGATTTGGTGAAGGAGAGGAATCAAACTGCATTGCGACTGGAGGATGCCGAGATTGAACTGATCAGGTTGGCTAATGTTGAGCGGAATAAGGTGATGAGGAATGGGAAGTCTGATATTGAAGCGAATACCCCTGCAAGTGAGATGGAGTCGAAGGGGGAGGAAAGTCCGGAGAAGGATGTGTCCACGCTGCCTACGAACGTGGCTGGTGGAGCTACGTCGGGGTTTGAGTTGGCTGATAGAGGGGCTGTGGCGTCGCCTGAGGTGATAGGGGAAGGGGTGGGTGCGACAGAGTTGACTGTTGGGTCGTCGGCTTTGGAATCGGTGGATGCAACTTCGGAGGCTGGTGGAGCCTCGTCGCCTCTAGGATTTACCAGTGGTGCGTCGCCTAAGTTGACGCGTGGAGCAAGCATTGCGTCGGCTTCGAACTTGCCTGGTGGTGTCACGTCTCCTTCAGGCCTCACAGATGCGACTCTTGCGTCTCCTTCAAGCCTCACAGATGCAACCCTGGCATCTCCTTCAGGCCTTACAGATGCAACTCTGGCGTCTCCTTCAGGCTTCACAGATGCAACTATAGTATCGCCTGCCTCAGATTTCACCGGAGCAACTCTTGTGTCGCCTTCATCAGCCTCAACAGACGAAGCAACTATGGTGAAGAGCAATACCAAAGACTCAAAGAACGAGACATCCTCCATCACCATAACCCAAAGCCAAACCCCAAACCTGGACACACCCAACGCCGAATGGCCAGAGTTGAAATGGGGAATCCAGCGCGGCATTCCTAATGTCAGGGGGTCCGTTGCAGCACAATGGATACCCGTCCACTGGCGACCACACCATCGCCCATTGGCAAACTATGGGCGCCGAGTCGACACGATCAAATGGACGCGGAACAGGCTGAAAGCGCTGGCGCCTAGGATATATAAATTGCGACGAAAGCATCGCAATGGGGATGCCAGACGTATGCCTGCTGCCTTTATCGAGTTTGATACCCTCGTAAATGCCCAGAGCGCGTATCAGACATTGCCACATCACCGACCATTCCACATGACGCCGCACATCAACGGGATCCGACCAGAGGAAATCGTTTGGTCGACTCTGCGCATGAAGTGGTGGGAACGGATTGTGCGGAATTTCATGGCGACAGCAGTGGTCGCAGTCATGGTGGTGTTTTGGTCCCTTCCAGCAGCAGGAGTCGCATTGATATCCAAGATTGATTTCCTGACAGACAAGGTTATTTTCCTCAGATGGATCAACAAATTGCCGAAACCAATTCTTGGCCTTATCACTGGCCTTCTTCCCGCAGTGGCTTTGTCACTGCTGATGGCTACTGTGCCGATGATTTTGAGAGGTTAGTCTCATCTCCGCTATTGAGTTTTTTCTAATATTTGTAGCTGTCGCGAGACAATCTGGCGTGCCTTCGCTGTCCATGATCGAACTGTTTGTGCTAAAGTCATATTTCATCTTCCAAGTCGTCCAGGTCTTCCTCGTTACGACCCTCACCGCGGCCATATCAGCCTCTCTCACGAAAATAATCGAGAACCCGCTGTCGGTTCAAAATCTCCTGTCTGAGAGTCTCCCCAAAGCCTCCAACTTTTATGTTTCGTACCTCATTCTGCAAGGCCTGGCTATGAGCGCAACGAGGGTTGTGCATCTGCCTTCGCTTCATCGAGCGGTGTTTGCCAACGGAAAGACTCCGAGGATGATGTCGACGAGGTGGCACCGCCTGAAGACGATCCATTGGGGGAGCGACTTTCCATTGTTTGCCAATATGGGTGTAATTGGTTAGTCTTTCGTCTGTTGTTGTTTCAAAGCTAACCCCCGCAGTAATAAGCTATTCGTGCATTGCCCCTATAATACTCGCATTCGGCGCCATGTGTTTCTACTTCGTCCACAAGGTGTATCACTACAACCTGCTGTACGTCTACTCGTCGGAAGTTGATACGCGTGGGCTGCTGTATCCCCATGCCTTGATGCAGATTCTCACAGGTGTGTATCTCGCCGAGATATGTCTCATCGGGCTTTTCGGCATCCAGGCCGCCTTTGGACCGCTTCTGATGATGCTTATGCTTGCTATCTTTACCTTTTTGGTTCAGATATCTTTGAACGATGCGCTAGGGCCGCTGTTGTATAATTTACCGCGATCCCTTTCGGTGCAGGGGCTGTACGATGATCTCGAGGAGGAAGAGGCTCCGATAGTTGTTGAGGATTTGGAGACCCAATACGACTCCGATTTCGATCCCGGGGAACCGAATGCCGTGACGCATGAGGAGTTGGGAACGCGTGGAGTCGCAGTGGAGGGGACGAAGGGGTATTCAAAGGTAGCCTTTCGCTTTCTGTCGGCGTCCATGCAAGAGAAGTTCTCCGCGAGGGCTGGATCAGTGTCGTCGTTCTTTCAGAGTATTGATTTTTGGAGTGCTTGGATCTCTCCGGATGGTACAAATCCGAAGCCGAACTTCCTTCTGAAGTGGCTTCACCCAGAGGTTTTTCATGATTTTAATGCGTTGCGGGGGAGGATTCCGACGGATCTGCCAGATCCAGATTATACGCCAGAGTTGCTTAGGGAGGCGTATCTGCAGCCGTCGCTGAATAAGATTAACGATCCGATGCTGTGGATTCCGGCTGATCCAGCGGGAGTGAGCAGGCAGGAGGTGGAGCACTCGAAGGGGATAATAAAAATTACAGACCAGATGAGTTGGTTGGAGGAGAAGAAGAAGAGTTGGTTTCAGATGAAGAATAGGGGGGTGAATGTGAAGATACGGGTTGATTTTGATGCAGAAAGTCCTGTGGTAAGGAAGAGGATGAGATATTAATAGGATATAATGCTTTTCTATGATATATTTGCTGTGCTGGTCTTTCTACAATTATTTAATGCCTATCTAAAAACTTTGAAACCTCCTTTGCGAATTGTGTTGGTCGTTCTACCATGGGTAGATGTCCAGCGCCCTCAATCTCTACAAACTCTCCAACTGAAGAGGCCAGATTCTTCATGCTTGCTGGAAGTGCGCCGTCCTGTCCACCTACGAAGAATGCGGCTCGGACCGTGTTCTTTTCTAGGAGGGGTGTCATATCGTAGTTGTATAGGGCCTGCACGCTCTTTTCGAATCCGATGAGGCTGTTGCTCGCGACCATCTGCTTGACGGACTCGAAGGTTTCTGCCAATTGTTGGTAGTTCTCCGCGACAAACCAGCGTCGGGTGGTGATTTCGGCTAGGTTTTGGCCAACGACGCCTCCAGCGTTTTCTGCCCGCGCCAGATCGATGCGCTCTCCCCATGCCTTGCTATTTCCGGCTGGACTCTTTGCGCTGGTGTCGCAGGAAATGATTGAGGCGACTCTGCTGGGGTGGTTGAGCGCGACGTTCAGCGTCGTTGCGCCGCCGAGGGATACGCCGATGACGGCCTCTGCCTTTGGCACGCGGAGGGCATCGAGGACGTCGATAATGTCTGAGGCGAGGAGGTCGACGGTGATGGGCTGATCACCGCAGGCGTCCAGACGGCCACGCGTGAGGTAGCGGACGATACGGTATTTTTTGTTTTCTGCGAGGAAAGCGGCCACGAAGCCGTCCCAGATGTGGTAGTCCACAAGGATGGAATTGCTGAGGACGATGAGAGGGGCCTGGGGGTCGGAAGAGCCTTCTAGGCGATATGGGAGGGCGACACCATCTCTGGTCGTGATGTATGATTCGATCGCGGAGGTTTGCGAGTCTGTGGCAGGGAATTCTCTGATCTTGCTGTCGGTGGACACGATGGGAGTCTGGATGTGGGAGAGGTCTCGCTGGGCGGGGCCGATGGTATAGAAGAGGTCGTAGCGCCTTGATCCGGTTGGATTGCTGTCAGGGGAATAGTCGTGGAGAATGAGGTATTCGATTTCCTTGTCCTCGATTGATGCTGTTTGGTATAGCCTGGTGCGTAGCCAGCCGGGGGTGGTTGAGGCGGAGGTGAATAAGTCGTCGCTGGGTTTCGCGGTCTGGGTGGTGGAGATGAGGATTCGGTTTTGTCCTTCGGCGGAGACGTCTTCGAGAGGGGTGAATGCATTTGATTGACGGCTGTCGAGGAGATCGAAGAACTTCCTGCCGACAGTGATTTGTTTCATGGTGTCTCTTTCGCGCTGGCTTTGGATGGGGGGGAGGCGGAGGCCGATGTATGGCTGTTTGACCATCTCTGCCATGTCGGCGATATCGTAGATGGCGAGCCATTCAGGGAGGTCTTTTGCCTGGTCTGTTGCACGATACCGGAAGCCATTCTTGATGAATGGGAGCCGTAGACGCATAGGGCCGTGTTCATTGTTGTACCAATCATGGAATTGATCGGCCGACAGCGACTCTGCCGGCTTCATAGTCACGTAAAGCATTCCTGGGGCCATGATTGCGATTATTTGAGTATGTTATTTCTAAATTGTCTAAATGTCTTTGTTTTTGGATGTGGGATAATTGTCCGCGGCTTCATGACGTGGGGGAGGAGGGGTGGCGGGATAAGACTTACCCGCGGAAGGACATCCGCGATTATCATACGAAGTGGATTCTGGCGGCTGATCATCCGAAATGGGATTATCATACCGGATGGATTCTGGCGGCTGTCGGCGGAAGTGGGATTATCGAAATGGATTCCTGACAAGCTGAAGTGGGACTATCACACGAAATGGATTCCTGACAAGCCGAAATCAGACTATCATATGAAAAGGATTCCGGCGGATAACAAGCCGGAATGGAGACTCTCATGAAATAGCTGGTCAAGCCGAAATGGCATTATCATAAATGGCACAATTGGTTCCTGGTGGCTGATTAAAGCCGATGACATTATCATAAATGGCATAATTGGTTCCTGACGGCTAGCTAGAGCCGAAATGGCATCATACAAAATGGTTCCTGGCGCATCTAATCGTACCAAATAGCATTCATACCGAACCCGGGCTCCTTGATATCTAAATGTGCCACTCTCCCCAAAAACTCATCCCGCCAGCGGTAAACCTCGACAAATCCATCCTGATCGTCGGTCAACGCGATCCATTCGTCGCTCCATGGGCACGGGCTGACGGCGTTTGAATGTCCGCCGCTCGTGGGTGTCGGGTTGAGGCAGATCTGTCGGATGACGTTTCCCTTGGGTCCAAGCTCGAATGCAGCAATATAGCCGGTGACGTCGAACGAGTTGGAGCGGGTTGTCGCGAAGAGATATTTCTTGCTGTGCGACATGAAGACGACGTCACCGCGATACATTTTGAGGGGGAGGCCAGGCGGCACGAGGGGGTAGGTGATGTGCGTGAAGACTGGCATGTGTGTGGCCTCGTCAATCACATAGACGGCGACTCTGTTTCCGGCTTCCATGAGGGCGTAGAGGTAGCCTGAGGGGTGAAGCTCGACCCATCGCGGGTGATCGCCGGGTGCCGGGGCATCAATGCTTCCGACGAGGCTGAGGGTTCCGTCGGCGCTCTTCTTGTGTGTCCAGATCTTGTTTGCGCGTAGGTCCGCGGAGTAGAGATAGGTCTCGGTGGGATCAAAGACCATCCCGTGAATGCCAGAGTTTGGTTGGTACTCGTAGTTTTGAATGTTCTTTTCTATCGCGCCGGTGGCGTCTACGGAGAAGACGTTGCCGTAGAGGGCATGGTCGTAGAAGGTGTTTCCATAGACGCAGTAGGGCGGTTTTTGGGCCGCGAGGAGGAAGATTGCTCGAGTGTTGGTGTCGGGGGAGGCGGATTTGGCTGGGGCGGTTAGTTGGGTGGTTGATGAGGGCGGGGGACTTACGATCACCTCCCATGGGTTGGGATGAGGAGTGGGTGATTTCGGATGGGGCTTTGACGGCGTAGCTTGACCATTTCTTCATTGATGCGCCGTAGATGTTTTTTCTGGCATGCTGGGGGGTGTTAGAGAGGCGTTTGGGGGGGGGGGAAATGGAATTGCGAAGGGAGGGAGGCCGAGGGATGGTAGCGCGAGGGGAATTGGACGAAGGGAATGAGACGAAGGGTATTGAACGAAGGGTATTGAACGAAGGGCACTGAACGAAGGGAATTGAACGAGGGCACTGAGATTAAACTTACATCAAAGGTCATCCATGAGATTGGCTCATCGTGGGGAATTTCGGTCCTCTTGACGAGGCGGAGGGTGAGGGCTTCGTCGTCGAATTCTACGGTGAAAATGGCCCCTGGTGGAGTCCACGTCCCTATCATCAAATGGTGAAGCATCGCGATGTTTGAATGAGTAAATCATCATTGAAGCCATTTTGTCACATTTAATTGATGATGACCTGCCGACTCCAATGCCGTCTGGTAAAGACTTATCCGGTGGGGTTACGTTCTTCCGATCCGAATCTTCAGCGGGGTTGCGGGGTAATGCAGGGCGGGAATTACAAACGGCTGGCGGATGAGAGGTCGGCGACTCAGGGAGGCGGGAAGGCGGGGAGCTAACAGATGGGAGGCGACGGATGAGACCCCTGAGGTCAATCCATCGGGGGAGATATTTGCCGGTAGGTTGGTGATATATATATCATATTCCATTCTCTGTTGTAAGTCATCAAACATCATCTCATTCATCACATTCATCATGTCTACCTCCGCAACAAACACCGCCGAGTCGCGATTCGACCCAAAATTCACAAGCCATGTCGTCGACACCATCGGCCCCGCCACCGACGACCGCACTCGCGCCGTCTTGTCGAGTCTGATTCGCCACCTCCACGACTTCACCCGCGAGATTGAGCTGACCCCCGATGAGTGGATGATGGGCGTGCGCTTCATGAACTCCATCGGCCAGGCGTCGACGCCAATCAGGAACGAGGGATTGAGAATTTGTGATGTCCTTGGCCTTGAGTCGCTCGTTGATGAGATCGCGCACAAGCACGCCAGCGAGTCTGGTTCGCCTACGTCGTCGTCGATTTTGGGTCCGTTCTGGTCGCCGAATGCGCCGTTCAGGGAGCTGGGAGGGAGCGTGATCCAGGACAAGCATGATGGACAGGTCGTGTACATGCACGGGCAGGTTTTGGACTTGGAGACGAAGAAGCCGGTCGCCAACGCTGTGTTTGATTTCTGGCAGGCGTCGTCGAATGGAAAGTACGACTTCCAGGACCCGGACAACCAGACCGACAACAATCTAAGGGGGAAGTTCCGCACGAACGAGGAGGGGAAGTACTGGTTCTACTGCCTGAAGCCGACAGCATACTCGCTGCCAACGGACGGGCCAGCCGGTGTGCTGTTGAAGCTGTTGGATAGGCATCCGTTTAGGCCGGCGCACATTCATTTGATGGTAAGTTCGTTTTTCGAGAGGGTGGGATCTGGCTAACTTGGTAGATTTCCCACGACTCGTATAAGCCGGTGACGACGCAGATCTTCCCATCGGACGACCAGTACTTGACCACGGATACGGTGTTTGCGGTGAAGGATGATTTGGTTGTGGATTTCGTGCCGTATGAGGGGGATCCAAAGGCGACGTTGGAGTTGAAGTATGATGTGATTTTGGCGCCGAAGGCTTGATCGGAGAGAGGATGTATATACCTGTAGAAATTGACGTTTTATGATCTGAAAATGAGCTTTTGTGAGAGGCGGGGAGATATGTAAGTGGCCTACCTATGCGAGTAGCCTACTAGAACACTAAAATCTAAGTATTACTAAATAAATTATAATTTATAATGTAGTTCGTCGGCGAGCTAGTCACCTGCGCGAGTTGGTCACTAAATATCTCACCTAAAATCAAGAAATTAACATACTAATAACTTAACAACTTAATGAAATACTCTAAAATATCTATATAGCTTTATCTATACATATAGATTCCTTTATTCTAGCTTTAGACTAATTAGATATAATAATTAGGAGGTAGTATTTAGCACCCTTATTTTAGCATTTATATAATTTTATATAAGGAAACTAGCTAACTTAGCTAGTATTTAGGCGTAGATACTACTAGCCTCTTAGTTTGGGGCGTGTCTCGTCTTTTGTAAAGTCACGTGACGTTTTTCTTAATTCTAGGTGGTCTCTAATTCTAACAGCCGTTAGGGTTTAGAGTGTTTAGTAGTAGCATTAGAACTTAGCTTATATAAAATTGTAAGAGATATTAAAGCATATGTAGATTTTAAGATAATTAAAGTTAAAGTACCTATCATTTCTTCTATGTAGGGAGGGACGTTAATTATGCCTATCCTCCTCTATTATTCCCTACACATCCACTCTCCCCTTCTCCTTTCTCGCCAGTAGAGCATAACCCCTTAGAATCAGATATTTCAAAACGTTTAGCAAAAGAGAGTCGTATCATCGACCGCATCGCGCGGTTCAACAGTTTCGGCAACACCCCTGTTTTCCACAGGTCGTTATAATGATATGCATCATCGTGGACTTAGAGGCCGGGGGGTAAAACGGACCAAGCCCCTTCTTGGATAATTAAGCTGTCTCCACAACACCACCCGCAGTAGCCTCAGCTGGCGCTACCTCCCCGGCTCTATGGATCTTCTCTACGATCTCGTCCTCGCCGTAATCCCTCATAGCCATGCCCAAGACAGCCGGATCGATCTGTCTATGCCCCCAGAGTAGCAGCCCCACAAAGCCGACCCGCGTAACCGTGTCGAGGACACCATAGAATACCATCTCGCCGACGATCCCGATGACGTTCCCGCCCTCGCTCACGCCCCACGAGATTGGGTAGATGAGGGACATGAAACTAAGCCAGGCGGCGAGGGAGAGGTAGGTGCGTGAGATGGCGGAGGTGTGGCGGGCTGCGTACCGGCGTGCGGTCCACAGGAGGTTGTAGACTACGCCGAAGAGGGAGAGGATGGAGATGACGAAGTATCCCCACTTGTAGGAGGACGCGACGAGAGCGCCGGTTAGGAGGGTCAGGACGGACATCCAGGTTAAGAAGAGGGTCCAGAGCATGATGGGGAGAGGGGTGCGGGCGGTCAGAAGGGTGGCGAGGACGAGGAGCTTGGAGGTGTTAGGATTGTGCTGGTGGTATTAAAAAAGGGGGGAATTGTAGGACTTACAGTGCCGGTGAGGAACCAGTCGATGTACCTCACGTAATAGATCTCTCTCGTGTCACCTCTGACGTGCGCCTTATCCCGCACAAACTCCACGAAGATAGCGACGTAACCCAGATTCGAGGCCATAGTGAAGTAGTTGATCGTGGTCACCACGCTCACGGCAGCAGCGAGATAGTGGAAGGCGCGCGCGCGGCGGGGAACGAGGTAGGAGTCGCCGATGATGCCGCAGGTGAAGAAGGCGAAGAAGGCCGTCACGGCCCAGAGCCAGTCGGAGCCGTGCGAGTTGTTCGTGATGTCCGCCGAGGTCGGGTAGTGGAAGATGTTGGGGTTCGTGTGCAATGCCATGTTAGAGCGCGGGAGGATGCCCATCTTGGCGGCTGTTGTTACTATTAGAGCCGTAGAGTGGCTTCGTTGGTGTTAGATGAAGTGTTGGGCGACTGCTGGTCGAATGAATTAGTGGGATGTGTGAGATGAGAGACACAGGAGGAGGTAGATGGGGGGGAACCCTTATATACCACCCCCATGATGCCTGCTGGTGAGCAAATAAATGATAATCTCTCACCCTCCCCCTCTTCAGAAGCCAACTCTTACCAAGCAAATATCCACATGCCGATCCCCACTCTCTACACTCTCTAGAGCAGCCCATCACCACCCGATCCGACATATCCGTCGCGCCTCCGAGGACTCGTGATCACACACACATAAACAGCCCGCGAAAGCCGCCACCGAGGGCGTTGCTGTGCGTTTCATTGGAGTTTAGAGGTTTGTGCGAGGGACGGGGGGGTCTCTGTTTGCTCTGCCGTCGAAGCCGTTGTGACCGTGAGGGAGGTTCATGAGCTTGGTGTTAGCAAGGACTTCGGTACTCTGGTACTGTATGTGCTGACAGAGACGAGGGGGGGGTGCTAGCGGGATGGGATTACTGTACTTTGCAGCTTGCATCGAGTGCCGGTAGTGGCGGGCGGTACTGTGCTGTGCAGTGCAGTGCAGCAGGGAGCAGTAGGTGGAGCATGGCAGTTTGTCTGTTGTAGATACATACAGGTGTGATCCGGGACTTTCGACCAACAGCGGCAACATCACTGATAATGAATGCTCATATCCTTGCCTATAGTCGAGGGTCAGGGAAGACCCGGGGGGCCAGTCACTTTGACATCGGTGTACTGTATCGATATTCCTCACTTCTCCTGCCGTATGCCGAACAATCCGGGGTACTGAGGCAGGGCGTTAGTAATGTGCATGCTTGTATTCCCCGACGACAAACCAGAGGGGAGAGTATGCAGCACGGTGATGCAGCACGGTGACGGAAGCACGGATGCTGCGGGATGGTGAGAGGGGAATGTGATGTAATGCTGTCAGTGCGGTTGGAGGCGGAGACGAGGGCAAGAGAGCAAGGTAAAAAGAGACTACGACAAGCAAACACACTTCACTTACATACATACATACATACAAACATACATGCATACTGACTGTGAAGGAGCGAGTATAGGATGAGAGACGGTTACTCGAATATCCTCACCACTTACACACTTTTACTGACTGTGCAACAGCAACAGCGACAGCAACAGCAACAGCAACAACAACAGCAACAAAGTAAAGTCGTCAATCAGCCATAGCACCTGCAGCATGTAGTGCTACCCGGCACTCGCCGGCAGTCGCTGTCAAATTTAAGTTTTTAGCACGCACACGACCTCATCACAAGGCTCGCTGTCCCTAGCACCAGCACTAGTATCGGTTCATAGCTCGTCAAGTACCCGCGACTACACTCCACTACTCCCGCTGTCGCATGCCGCCAAGTACCAACTACCGCCCTTCCCCTGCTAATGTGCACACTGCTGGTAGCTCCGCGGCGATCCACACGCATTAGAGAGAACCGAGAGAACTGCACGTCGCATTCTGACTAAGAGGGGCCAGTTAGTAAGGCCTGGCAGTTAGGAGACAGGCGGCTGGGCGGGCGGGTCCCGGTATACCGAGTCCTCACGTCGTCTTGTCATGACAAACGGCATTCCCACCCTCGTCACCCATGTCCCATCATCATCATCATACCCGTCACCTATTCCTAATCCCCATCCTACACCCAACGCCGCTACGTAGCCATCCCCCATCCCCTACCCTCATAGCCCAAGAAAATCACCCCCCCCTTTAAAATCTCAACCCGGAGAACCGGGAGAAAGGCTAACAGACACGCCAAAAAAAAAAAAAAAAAGGGTTGCATAGCTCCAGCAGTTTGCTCCCGGGTTCTAGCTCCCTCCGTTCGCAAAGCGGAAGGGGGGGGGGCCTCGTGCGAGAGAGCTCGCAATGGGATAGCACGAGGAGCTCGAGCTGGCTGTGGCGTCGTGGCTGACTACACACCGCCCGCGCTCTGCTCAAAGGTCGGGAAAGCCGAGTATCCGCGCCCATACTACAAGCGTCACATAGGGGATGCAGGCAAGGTATATTTCGCTGTTTAGCCCGTCTGTCTGTCTGTCCGGTCTAGGTTTAGTCGCCGTGTGTGTTTAGGTGTTTAGCTACCGCTACCTTTAGATTTTAGGTTAGTGACGGTAGTGGAGATTTTGGGTGTGAGTGACTGTGCGGGGTTTGGCGTGGGTGGGGGATTATGACAGTGACTGTGCGGAGTTTGGGGCAGGAGAGTGACTGTGGTTTGGGTAGGCGTGGGGATGCAGGAAGTCGCAGGGAGTTGGGTGGCGTCGGGGGGAGTGAATTTTGGGGATTTTCAGAGGGGGGATGCAAAGGGGATTGGATTTGTGGTTTGCTGGGGAATTTCAGGGCGCGCGCAGATGTTTGCAGGGTGTGATGGGCTTTGTGAGGCTGTTTGTGGCGGTGGGTGCAAGAAAGGGCTGGGGATTACGGGGAAGTTCATCGAGGGTCACAGAACAGTCACGATTTGCAAGCGGAGGCAAAGATCAATAGTTTCAATTCTTTAGAATAGACTTGATAGCTTTTCTTGCAAGGACTTGCAAGGCTTTGGAAGCATCCGGAACAATCGGGATCCTGCAATCAATGGCAGAGAGTTGCACAACGATGCAGAGCACAACGATGCAGAGCGATGTCGAAGATTAGTAACTTGCAAGTAATTAAGGTCCTATATACAACTTCAGAGAGTTGGGACTCGCAGGATGGCGCAGAGGGTTGGGAAAAAAAAACTTCGTTGCAGGCGGATAGCGCAGAGAAAATCAGAGGGCGTTGCAAGAACAATCCGTGTGCACTCTTCTCACTCATTGCGAGGAAAGTTCGAGATGCTGTGCATAACGGCCTCAGATTCTCCCACAAGACCCTCAAAGGTGTCCCGAAGGACCTTGATCTGGTTGAATGCTTCTTGCGGGTGCTTGCGTACCTTGAGCACCGAGTCGCTACAAATCAAACCCAAATCGTCCTTAAATTTCTCGAGCAGGGTATCGATGCGGGAGGCATCGGAGACGCAGGGCGTCTCAGGGCGTCTCGGGCCATCCGTCATGAGAGCGTCAGAGGGTCTACGCAGACCTGTGTCGTATTGAGCGGCATTGCCCTGTTGGGCGCTGGGTGTTCCCGAACGATTCGCTGCAAACTCGTATGCAGCTGCCAGATAGACTTGTCTTTGCAAACCTTCGCCTTGGTACGCAGGGTAGTGGTATATATTGTTCTAGGCGTACTCCTGCTTTCCTCCAAACTGATTTTGCATGGGGTGGGTGGCGGGGTATGTTATGGCACGCTGGTGGCCACGGGGAGGCTGCATCTCCTGGGGTGGTCTTAGGGATTGCCATGATGTATGGCCCTGATCGTTGCCGGTTGCGTGGCCTTGGCCTTGATAGGCCTGGAATGAGGATCCGGCCTGCGAAGCGAATGGTCCCTGGGCATACTGCGAAAATCCCAGATGTTGCTGGGCGAAGTTTGGGGGGTTCGAAGGATGCTGGGCAGCCGGGGAATAGTTCGGAGGCTGCTGGGTGTTCATGGCCGGTGGCTGCTGGACCAGATTCTAGGGGGGCTGGGAGAAGATCGGAGGCTGTTGGGCGGCCGGGGGAAAGTTTGGTGGCGGCTGCTGGGGGGCAGGCTGCGATTCCTCGTCGTCCAATTCCTCGTCGTCCTTTGTATACTCCAACGACAGCATCTTGGTGCGGAGATTGTCTGCATCCTGCACGGCGGTTGCAGGGAACAGATGGGGGCTCACCCCAAAGAAAGGTCCGGCAGGTGGGTTTTCGCTCCTGATCGATCCTGGGGTGGACGGAGACGTGATGCTGAGAAAGATTTTCGGATGCTTGCGGCAGAATTCGTCCGTGAAGATGGCATATTTGCCTTCTGCGACCCGCTGCATGTATGCAAGGAACACTTCATTTTCGACAAGTTCCTCGATCGGCGGCCTAGTCTTCAGCTTCAAACCCCACTTCCCGGGGAATGTGTATTTTTGGGTATGAGTATTCTTCCCATTATACACAAACGGAGCTCCCTCCCCGACGACTTTAGCGTTAGTGCGGACGTGGTGGTGGCTAGGCGTGTAAAAGTTGGGTGCTGCGGTCCCGACATTCTCAGAGATCTGCTCAGTATGGACTCGTACAAAGACTTTCACGCCAAGGTCGTTAGAGAGACGGTGCACCTTCAGATCGACTTTTACGTCCCAAGGTGCGAATACACCTGGGTCATAAACTGGAAACTGTTTATAATAGGCAAGAGAGCGCTTGCTGTACTGGATTACTAGGGAGTCCGACTTCGCAGGGCTCCCTGCATGTCCTTGAGAAGAACTCGAGTTAGGGGGCCCCATAGGGCCTCTACGTGGCTCGGGGTTTTTGCGAGGACTTAAGTTCTTGCTCCAACTCGATCAGCGAAGTCTAGTGGTACCCTCGGATGGTGGCGGGGGAGGCAGATTGCTTTGCAGGTGTTGCTGCACCTGTTAGGATTCTCCGAGGAAGTGGTTTGATAATGGCGGAACGGAGTACATGCGGCTGGAGTAATTCCTGAAATCTTGCATATCCGCAATGAAAGGCCCTTGTTGCTGCATGTTCGCCTGGGTTTTAGCTGGTTGCTGAGTGGGGTGGTTGAGCTGGCCGGGCTGTTGCACCTGCGTGTGCTGTGCAGGAAACCTGGGCAGCTGCTGTCCCGGCTGGCTAACTTGGCCAAACTGTGCAGTTTGGCCAAATTGCGGGGGATTGAATTAAGCTTGTCCAGACTGATGCGAGAGATCTCCGGGCTGGTGCTGAGGATCCATTGCGATTAATCGATCTATTTTGCAAGTTAGAAGTGAGGTTGTCGATAGGAATTAAGGAGTAACCTACGACGTGCAAGATGCAAGGTTTGGTGCAAGACTTCTTTGATTGATCTGTATGATTACTCGATTTATATCGGAAGCTTGCAGGTATAGTAGAGGAAATGTAAAGGAAATAGGAAGTGTTGATGCGTATGCAAGGTGTTGATGCGTATGCAAAACAACGTAAAACAAAACAAAGGTAGGCGAAACAACTCAGGTAACGCGCCTGCAAGCGTGAGGTACATACCCTAAAACTTTACTTACTGAAATTAGAGATTGAAGTGAATTTTATATATGTTAATGGGGAATATAGTGCGTACACTTACAGAGCGGCATAGATAGCAGCAGAGCACCCTGAGCAACCCCCATTCACGTGCATAGGAATCATTATAAACAATTTTTATTAAACTATAGCTAGAAGACATATAAACAGGAAGGAAATAATAAAGGAAATAGTAAAAGGAAACGTAGACGTGTGCAGACGTGTACAGACGTGTGTAGAGACGTGAAATCGTGTGAGGGGGACTACCCTAACTACCTAGATCTTAAGTTATTAGGCTAAAAGTAGAACGGTAACAAATTATGATAAAACGGATGGTGAACCTTATCTAGCTGTTTTATGTGGCGGGGATATCCGTTCTCAACCCCTATTTGTAACTAGTAGCAACCCTACGTAGTAATTAATAAGGCAAGGTTGTTTATATAATCCTACGGTGTCTACCAATTAAGTCGGATGTAGGCATACTTTGAAAGAATTCGAGTAAGTTGTAGTAGGACTATTATTATATCGCGTATAGATGTTTATGTTTAAACTCTATATAGCGAGTGTACTAGCAATGTATTACTTGTCATATAAGGTTGTTGTTAAGAAGCAGCAATTATTTTCCGGAATCGTACACAATGATTAAGAGTTTTCTAATGATTACAGAAAATATTGTCTGTTTACAATAGCGATCACCATGGCATCCTACTTCAGTACTACTAAATAAATTAGAATCCTACTCTATCCCCCTAGTGATTTTACTAGGCATCATCACTTACGCATTAGTCCTATGTAGGTCTCAAGTTTCGCCTAATATTCTATAGCGGCGAGGAGGCTAGGGATCCCATCGATCCACAACTAGACCCTAGGTTTCTAGCCGCCTTGTCATTTTTGCTTAACTACCTAGCAACGTTCCCCTTGTTTAGTATGGCTAGTAATGTAAGACATAGGTGAACCAAATATAAATTCTACAGGCCCCGACGCATTAGGAAAGAGGTGTTAGAATGTCAACCATTTCCTAGGTATTTGAAAATATTCTAGGTTTGTAAAGCTCTTATGAGAATAGGGCCAGATCGACCACCTAGCATATCGTGCGAAATGGCTAGACAACACTTGTTGCATTCGGCCATTAACTAAGGGGTACTGCAACCTCCTCCGGATGGGAGACTGGGGAAATCATGGAGTACTTGCTAGAGTCAGGTATAAAGCACCTCGAGTTTCCAAAGAAAACTTCCTCAATCTAAATTCTTCAAAATCTCTTTAGCTCAATCACATTCACCTAATTCATAACAAGGCCTTCTTGTTAAACTCAACTTCAATTCAAAATGCAATTCACATACCTCGTCCAGGCCCTGTTCGTCGTCGTCGCCGTAGCTGCGCCAGCTCCTCGAGGCGGTGGTAAGAATCACAATCGTAATATAGGCCAACTGTGGCCCATGCTACCATGAACTCAACTAACTCCCCCAGACATTCCCGCTGGCATCTTCCCATCTGGTGCATGGCCAACCGGTGGCCTAGGCCCTACTGGCACAAACATTGCCTGGCGAACCAGCACCGGCATTCCCTACCCACCCGGCACCGGCATGCACTATCCAACTGGCACCAGCAGTGGCCTAGGCCCTACAAACATTGCCTGGCCAACCGGCACCGGCATTCCCTACCCACCCGGCACCGGCATGCACTATCCAACTGGCACCAGCAGTGGCCAAGGCCCTACTGGCGCAAACATTGCCTGGCCAACCGGCACCGGCATTCCCTATCCAACCGGCACCGGCAGTGGCCACGACCACCAAACCAGTATTCCCTATCCAACTGGCACCGGCAGTGGCCACGACCACCAAACCACCACCCAGACCCGCTTCCTAACCCGCACCATCACCCGCACCCGCACTGGTGAGGCTGAGGCCACTGGCTCGCCTACTTCGCCATGAATGTGATAAGGAGTAAGCGTTGGGCGTGGCGACGAGCGGCAAATCCACAATCCTCTCTGATACGACCGAGGCGGCTGTAGGGCAAAGAGATGGTGTAGCGGGCTGCTAAAATTTCCTTTCTGCGGATTAGTATCTAGCCTTATTATTTATAGCTAAATTTGATTTGTTAATGCTGAAATGAAGAAGAGGATGTGGGCTGTGATGTGAATTACGTTACCCTCTTTGCTGCTGCTGTTAAGTAGATGCTAAAACCCACATACCGCATTACCACATTGAACTCGTCATACAAGGTTACGCATATTGTAGGCTTAAAGGAAAAAGAACATCGCGCCTCAACGCCTCGATGCCTCAACGCGTTGATGTCTTAATGTCTTAACGCCTCAACGCGTTGATGTCTTAATGTCTTAACGCCTCAACGCGTTGATGTCTTAATGTCTTAATGTCTTAATGTCTTAACGCCTCAACGCGTTGATGTCTTAATGTCTTAATGTCTTAATGTCTTAATGTCTTAATGTCTTAATGTCTTAATGTCTTAACGTCTTAACGTCTTAATGTCTTAACGTCTTAACATCTTAATGTCTTAATGTCTTAATGTCTTAATGTCTTAACGTCTTAATGTCTTAATGTCTTAATGTCTTAATGTCTTAATGTCTCATAGGGAACCGTTATACACGGTAGGTTAACGCGAAAAATACTACGTACTAAAAACTAAGCCTCTTGTGGTTTCTTTATAGAACTTTCAAGGCTTAGATGCATGGCTCTAACTAATGGCTTACAAATGGCGAATCATCCCAAAATTAGGAGCAAAGGCGCCCTTAGTATGGTATGTAAGCTAAGGCCTCACATTACCCTGCTTACCCACAGCTCATCATCACTTTACCTAATGGCACGAGATCCTTGCAGAAATCTTACAGCAGCTAGCTTATTCTGTTCGTGGTAGTAATAGTTAGTATTGCTCTAATTTTAGAAGCAAGTAAATCTAGATAGATAAAACCCACCCCTCTATTCACGTCTCACGGCTTCATCACCCACCACCTAGAATATCAAGCCCATATTAACATGAGCGGCCATAGTCTAGGTATTGCCCGCCATGCCGGCCTCACCTAGCTCGCGTCCGATACCACTCTGCTTACCCCCCCCAAATGGAATCCTATAATCCGAGTCATTGCTGCTTAGGATGTGGTTATCAACGGCCTCGTCAGGGTGGATCTCCTTCTCATCCTCAAAGCTTATCTCTGCATCCTCGGGGCCGATCTCTAGATCACCGTCGTAGCTAATCTCCGAAGCCTTGCCGGTCTCCTCATCCTCGTCCTCACCATACACAGACGATACTGTGCCATCCGACGCCGTTATGGTAGTGCGGACTCCCTTCATAGGAGAGGGATCGCGTGGACGCGGGGTCGAGTCGGTGTCGGATGGGGGTGGGAGAGGGAAATCCAAGTTAGGTCCTTTGAAGTTCGTGTTATTAACAAAGGGGGGAGTCTCAGTATAGGTCTTCGAGGGATCAAAGAGTGTCGTAGAGATTGAATGATACTCGTAGGTAGGGTTCTTAGGGCATCCCGCTCTCATGGTGCCGAACGACCGAAGTTTGTCGTCCTGCTCCTTAGCCTTCCGCCTCTGATCCTGCTCCGACTCCTGCTGGTGTTCCTGCGCAGGCTCCTGCTGCTGCGCTAGCTCCTGCGTTGGCCCCTGCACCGGCTGCTGCTGCTGCGCCGGATCCTGCTGCTGCGCCGGCTCCTGCACCGGCTGCTGCTGCACCTGCTCCATGAACTCCGGATCGTACTCTGAATCATATTCGAGTTTTGGCTCGTACTCCTCCGAGCTATCCGTCTGTGGCGCTTTCCACGCAGGCGCCCCAAAAAGAAGCGGATCATAGTCTTCACCCTTTATGAACGGGGAGGGCGTGCGTTCATACTCGACGTGGGAGAACTCGGAATCGAACTCCTCAGGATTGTCGTATCGCATGGGGTGGCGGAAGGGAAGAGAGAATGGGGCGCAAATACCGGCTGGATCAAACACGGGCGGCGGGCGGCTGAGCAAATGAAGCCCTGGTATCGTAGCTGATGCGAGCTTCGCAGGGGCGCTCTGGTGCGCCGGGTTCACTGGCCGTGGTCGGACCATCTGGGTCTTGGTAGTATGCGGCGGGGAGCCGGCGAGGCCATTGTCGTTTGCAGGGAGTCCTGCTCGGATGAGAGGCGTGCGATCGTGGGGTGCTGGGAGAGGCGCGGGCGTGGGAGTCTGATCAGACGGCGGCAGAGGGGCCTGAGGGGGTGGCGTATGGTCGCCGAGAGGGGTTGGGCCAGCGAGCGCTTTCTTCACGAGCGCCGCCTCCGCCAAAAATGGATTTGCAGTAGGCACTACAGATCCGAGAGACGCTGCCATAAGTCAGGATACGACAGCAGGAGGAAAGACTGCGGGATCTACCCCAAAAAATGGGCCTAGGGGAGGGTTTGGTCCGCCGATGGAATTTGGGAGCGACGGCGAGGTTATACTCTTCAGAATCGCGGGGTATTTCTTCAGGATATCCGGCGTAAACATAGCGAATCTGCCGTCGCATATCCGATGGAACCAATCGACGAATTCCTGCTTCTCACAGAGCTCGATAATACTCCATGCGTCGCCCGCTGCGATCCCAACCTTCTAGCCCTGTCCGGTCATTGTGTGAATAGGATCCCCTACATATTTGACGAACTTTCCCTCATAGATGAAGGGGGATCCAAAGCCGATCACTTTCCCGCGCTTTCGGACGTTGTTGCCGGATGTAACAAAGTAGTTGCGCGCCATAAAACCGTACTTCGGCTTCTTGTGGATTGTCGCCCAGATGATGATCTTACTCGCAAGGTTATCGGAGATGCGATGCTTGTTCAATGCGGTGGTGCCAAATATCGCTGCTCCGTCAAACGCCTCGAACATTCCAGGATCCAAGAGGGGATAAAAGGCGAAATACTTCGTAGTGTTTGCCTTATGTGGGTTGTTCGGATCCGGAGTATCTTGTGTCGAGTTCGTGTGACTCGTGAGCGGCGTCTCTGGGATCAAGGGGGCATCACCGTCGGATGCAGGAGCAGGAGAGCTCATGGCGGCTTCTATCAGAAGTCGAGGACAGGAAAGATCGGTGGTGGTGAGTTTGATGATGGTATTGTAGATCGGTAGGATCCAGGAAAGATCGTAGGACTAAGCTCGGAGCAAACGTAAACGTAGAGATCGGAGTAAAGGGGAGTACGTAGCAAAGTGAAGTTGTTTTGATCAAACTTGGAGCAGAGGGGGATAAGTGGTAAAGTGAGATTGTTCTGATGAGAGTTGGAGCGGAGGGGGCAAGCGAAAACAAAAATTCACTGTTTACGCCTTGGTGCGAATAAGCGGTAGTATGGGGTAATTATGGCATTCCCACGATAAATAAACGGAATCTCTATTTACATATAGCTATATGGCACTGCTTTTACCATTCACGCGATACGGGAACACAGGGAACATCTTTTCATTCGCTATAGGCCTATAATAGCTGGAAGAACTCTAAGATACAACGAAAAGGAGAAAAAGGAGAAGCAAGGAAAAACGGGGGATGACAGGTACAGGCTGTACGATGGGAAAATGAGAGGGGGAAGAGGAAGTAGAGGATGACAAGATGGGCTGTATGGTAGGAAAAACGGGGGATGACAAGAGGTGCTGTATGATAGGAAGAACAATAGAAAAAAACAAAATAAACACCTATGGAAGGCGAGCGCGGCGAAGAGCTGGGACGATGGGGTCGCTGCTGTCGATGATGGGATCAACGTCCCGCTCATAATCCGGTGATCCCAGGTCCATCATAGGAGCAAGCCCATATGACTCGATCTCATCGTCGTCTTCCTGTACGGTACCGTCCTCCATGTCATCTTCGGTCTCGTCGGCGCGGTCTGCGGGGGTGGTGCCATCCTCTGATCCTTGGCTGTAGTCTCCGGCAGCCAGCTGGCTGTAAGCGACAGAGCGAGCTGCATCCGCGCAGGCGTCCATACTAGCACTCTCCTCGGCGGAGAGCATCCCCTGAATTCTGCCATAAATAGCCTGGTGCGGCGCCACGGCCTGCGCGCAGGAAATTCGGGCATGGTGGTCTTGGACCACAGCACGCACCTTCGCCGCATCAGACGTATAGTGATTGCTGAGCACCCAGTCTGGTGCCACCCCTGCGATCTCCTCCCATGCGACACCAGTAAGGGCGTGGGCCCCTTGGATGCTGGCTCCGGCGATGGCTCCGTTGAACCCTCCACCCCGAGAGGTATAACTCTGCGCCATCCGAGAGAAGATGATTTCAGCGAGGGCACAATGCTCTAGCTTCTTCATCCTGCCCACAATACAGCCTTGGAGCTCGTAGGTTTCGCCAAACTCTCAGATGGCGGCGTCAGCAAATATCTGCATGATCTTATTGCTGCTCTCATCCGCGAGGTGCTGGTCGATCCGGGCGGCGCTATCCCCAGAAAATCCAACGTCCACGATCCCCCCTACAATGGGATCCCGCAATTGCTGGCCCGCCATGCGGATCTCCAGCTCCGTGCATAACTTGAGCGCCGTCTCCATAGCGGGTCGCTGGATGGCACTAGGGCCAGCCACCTGTCGGATGCTATGGATGATGAGGAGCAGGTACTCGACGGTCGGGGGATCATGGGTCTCTCGATCGACGAGGTAGATGGTATAAATCGTAGGATAGATAAACTCGTATCTCGGCGGCACCTCTGTGTACTTTGGGTCCTGGAGGTACTGGACCTCTACGTTCCCGGACATGGCTGGGAGATCCCCCCGAATGATAGCCCGAAGGACTACTGACGGGGTGGCGAGGAGGATGTGATATGCCGCAAGCATGATAGCCTGCTTTGAGTAGGCGTACTGAGACGCCATGTATTCGTCGTCTAAGTATCCGTCCTGATCCAGGATTGCCTTCACCAGGTCGAGAAGCTTGGTCTCCTCGGCATCCAGGAACTTCTGCGCGATTGACTGTCGGGTAGCCATGTCGTACCGTAGGAGTATCGTATGAAGAAAGAAAAGAAGTAGAGTAGAGTAGAGCGTATGGTGGGAGTATGACACAGAAAGTAAAGAAAAGGAGTAAAGTAGAGCGTATGGTAGAGTAGAAAAGAAAAGAAGTAAAGTAGAGAGTGTATCGTAGGAGTATCGTATGAAGAAAGAAAAGAAGTAAATTAGAAGCTGTAATGCTGTACCGTAGAGCGAGATGGTGTCTGCTCGTAGTATCCCACCAAAGTGAAGCTGTTGATAGATGGCCCCTATCCCCCGGTAAGCGGCAAATCCAGACGCGTCAACTGTCAACACTGTCATACCCCAAACACACGCACATTTCTCATCGAATTATCGCACATTACCATACAAGCCTACCTACCATACGAAGCAACGAGATTATGCAACCATCAGCGAATTTTCAGAGGGGAGGGGGGAATTTTCCGCAAAGGGGGCGTCGCGGCCGCGGCGTCCTGGGATCCCGCAAGGTGCCAGCTCTCGCAGGGAATCTTATGGACTCGCAGATAGATGCTTTGGTACTTGAGACGGAGGAGGTTTTGTTATTCGACACAGCCGCGCAGGTTGAGGAGATGCTAAACTCCCGCCGTGATGCCGCAGAGCTGCCCGCGCAGCTCCTCAACGTCCCCCTCGTGGCCCTCGAGGAGGTGTGCCGCCTCGAGCGGGTGCAAGCACAGAGTCTCACCCGAGCGCACCAGGCTGGAAGTGCCATTCTCAAAGCCCATGATGAGAAGATGGAACAGTTCGATAAGAAGCTGGATATGGTGAAGGAGGCGATTGATGAGATCCCGGGCGTACCGGACGAGGGTCTCACGACCAAGCAGCAGAGGGATGTCCGCCGTGCGGTGGATGAGGGGCTTGAAGATATCAAAGAGTTTCTCGAGACGACGCAGGGTCCGGATGGGCGGCTGGCGAAGGGGTTTATGGAATTCTGTAACTATTTCGACGGGGCTCCCACCACTATTGCCAAGGAGATCCAGGACCAGCTGAAGAAGAGCGCGGAGGACCAGGCGAAGGAGGCGAAGCGGGCGACGGCCGCTGATATGGCTATGGCAAAGCTGCTTGAGGAGCAGAAGACTGCATCCGCGAAGGATCTCACAAACACCCATAAGCTCATCGAGGAGCTGAAGACTTCTTCCTATGATGCCGCGAAGATATTCGACAAGCTAGCTACCATCGATGGGATGAAGGCGATGAGCGAGCTCATCGAGGGGATCAACCACGGCCGCGAAGAGCTGCGATGAGAAGATTGCCGGTATCGTTGAATTGCTCGGGGGTGCGGGGGGGATCCAGGCCGACATCAAGGGCGCAGCCACGTCTGCAGCAGAGGGTCTCACAGGGATCAAGGGCGTCTCCGGCGGTGTGGATACTGCTGTGAAGAAAATAGCAGCAGTTGAAGCACTCGTCGGGGATGCCCACCACGATACGGCGATGGGGTTCGCTCAGATAACGATAGCTCTTACGAAGATCGAAGACATGGTAGGGGATACTACGAAGCAGAAGCTCATTGACGAGCTCGCGCGCGCAAAGGCCACAATCGACCAGCAGAAAATCGACCTTACCACCGCAGCTACTTTGCGGGAGGAATTGATAGCAAAGCATGGGGAGGCCATCGGCGAGATGAGGGCCACCGCAAGACTGCACGAGGAGGAGAATGTCGCGCTCAAGGCACAAATCACCGAGCTCCTGCGCCAGCTCGCGGATCCCCGCGAACAGCCCCCGCCACCGTCGAGACGCGGAGCCCTGACCTTCGCAGAGTCTATCCCGCGTCGCCCACATGTGATCCCCTCCCCTGGCGATCCGACGCCCCTCCCCGTGGGAACCCCCCACATTCTCCCACCTCAGCGGGATACGCTGATGACACCATCGGAGACGCCGTCTGCGCGGCGTCGTGGCTCAGCGCTCGAGGAATGGAATCGGAAGAAGAGGCGGGCGTTGTCGACGTCCGACGTGTCGTCGGAGAGGGTAGAGTGGGCTGTCTCTACCTCTGACGACGAGGACGAAGACACGTCCCGTCATCCGCCGTTCTCCGCCGTTCTCCTCCACGTCCCACGGCCCCGTGCCATTTCTTTCCGGTGGTGGCGGTGCGCCTGGCTTCGAGCCAGCACCGTCCGCCCCAACCGCCGCGATGAGCGCGATGCCCGCTTCCGGCTCATTCGAGCCTCTGACTTCCGCTGGCGCCGCGATTTCTCCCGGATCCCCGGGTCAGCGCTCACCATCCCGCTTCGCGTCGCGCGCATCCCCTGGCTCACCGAGCCAGCGTCGGTCTTCTGGCCTCGCACGGCACATCTCGCAGGGCTCACCGAGCCAGCTCGCAGGCCCCGGCTCCGCGAGCTCTAGCTCTCGCGGACCGGGGCAGATCTTCTCTGGCTTTGCGCCAGTCCCTGTCCTGTCCGGATCCGCCGAGGACCGCACTGCTCCGCCTGGCCGTCGGCCAGCCTCCATCGCCCCGGGTTTATCTGGGAGTCGCGGTCCCTTTGTAGGGGCGCCTACCGTCTCGCTCTTCCCGTCCGACCTTGCAGGGCGCGGCGTCTTCTCTGGTGCGATGCCAGCTCCGGTTCTCCCGGGCCCTACGATGGGTCGCGGTGTCTTCTCTGGCCCTGCGCCAGCTTATCTTCTCCCGGGCCCATCGCAGGGTCGCGGTATGATGCCACCGCCAGCTCCAGGGATCCAGATCCCATCCGCAGGAGGCTTTGCCTCAGCACCCGTCCCCGTCTCTGGCCTCGCGCAATCGCCGAGCTCTGTGCCATCCGGCACAATCACCGTGTGATCTCCCCGCACCATGGCCGTCCCAGTCGAGTTTCTTGCGACTGGGCGTCTCCGCGATGGCGCCATTGCGCATAGCGTCTCGGTCGTGGCCATTGACCACGTCGCCGCCAAGATCTCCGAGTGGTGGGCGAGGGCAGAGGCGAATCGTCCCGGATCAGGGAGGGTGTGGCATCAGCCCACGAGCAAGAGGATTCTCTGCGTGGAGCTGAAGTCCAGGACCTCCCGAGTAGTCGTGGCACAGCCAGCGTCCAACTACTATGGGAAGGACCGCCGGGATTAGGGGTATAGTAGAGAAGGCTAGAGTTGCTAGTTTACATAGGGCGTTTATAGATAGGGCGATTATACAAGAACATAATGACAAGCACACATTAGGGTTAGGGTTTTAAGAAGGATTAAGGTTGTTTAGGAAGTTAGAGCCGTATGCTACGAGAGAGATGACAGTAAGGCGGGAAGGGGATTTAACGGGAGGTGACGTTTTCGTGCATGATCTCCGTCCCGTTAAGGCGGATTTTCTCGCCACTTGCTACCTTACGCATAAGTTCATCCCTCTATTACACTAGCGCCTTTCATGTAGCAATGGCTTTGCTTCTTCCGCGACCCTAATTGCTGCTGCTGCCGTGCGTCTCCGAATTCTACCGTCTTGCTCGGTCACCTCTCTAGCATTTTGTCGCAACTTTCTTTTAACATTTTAAATTTCAGTTTATACACCGCGATCCGAGCTAAACCACTAACTTGAACATAAAGAACATAGCCTTAATATATTTAGCTTTAATTAAGCACAAAGTACTTCGCTCAGCTACGAGCACTATTTACAGAAGAGTAGGATACTCTAATGCTAGATACCCCTAGAGCAAGCTACTACCCTAGCATACCCTATAAGCTATAGCTACTACGTCTCGGATACCCTCATCACTTAAGTCAAGTATGGCTAGAGATTTAGATCGGAACACTGTCTCTAAATTAGCACCTTAGTATATTACAAGAGGAATGCTATAGCTTACACGTCGACCCAGAATCGCTCGTTGTCAGACAAGTGGCCACCGTTAAGCTGCTGCTCAGTCCAGTCAACACCTCCCTTGTACAGGTTGATGTCTGCTGTGTTCGGGTTCGCTAGACCAGAGGCACCATTTCGGTGTCCAGCAACCCACCTATTTAGAATATTAGGACCTACATAATAAGGAGGATAAGAACATGTGACTGACTTCTGGTAACCGTAGTAGCTCTCTCCCTGGTGCCTGCATGAAAGATCTGAGGCTAGATTAGAGTTCAATACGGCACCATTATTGTACTGGCTGGAACTTTGTCCCTTGAATTGACTGCAGCTTGCGCGGAGCATTCCCCAGTTCTGCTCCGGTTAGACCCGGCTGTTGAAACTATAGAGATTCCGGACCATACCTGCTTAAAAATACCGAAGTTTGCTGCATCGCCGCTCTTGTTGTCACCGTATCTACGCTACGTTAGCCTAATAGGCTAGATGAGCAACCCAAATGCTACTCACGCGTAATTGGTATCCATTTTCTCGGTCTCCATCATAGCGATCGCAAGATCACGGGATGAACCTCCAGCATTTTTAATTTGCGTCTTGCGCGAGCCCAGGCCAGACACAGTGTACTGTCCGCATCCGCCGCCAGAGTTGTTTGGGCACGTGAGACCAGCCACTAAGGTGGTGAGTGCGAGGATGTTAAGCGCAGTGACCTTCATGTTTCTTGATGTGTTTGTCTAATTTGGTGGAGTGAAAATGCGGAGAGGTTGATCATTATTTGTCGATCCATGGGTTGATTTATATACTTTGGGGTGATCCCCCTTTTTTCTGTCGGTGAGTCTGACTAGACTATTTTGGCAAATCCGGTCTGGCCTCGTGGCACCGCTGACGTCCATACAGCATCACACAAACTAGGCCAAGAGAATGGAAGGCGTCCCTCCGATGCTGCGAAAATAAAGAGTCCGTAGCAAAGATACGGAATATTGATCCGCAGGTTAAGATGCGCTAAGCATATGAGACTGTTCTATGCGGGGAACTAAAAATTGGATTGATTAAGCTCCGTGTGGGGAAGACCCTACTAGAATAAAGTAGGGTAACCTTGAGAGCGCCACTCCCCTTGTGGACGGCAATGTTTGACGGCCCGGCAGTGAAAGAAGGCCAATGGTAAGATCTTAATGGCTCGACGTGGGTGGCGTCGTATTACGGCTTCGCTCCGTGACGTACATACACCGCGCGCATTCAAAGCCTGTTTAGGGGAGTTCAGAATTGCAAATATAGTATGTCATGGAACGTCGGAGATCTGCCTCCGGGATCAGTTTTAGCTCTAGCCGTCATGTGCACTAATATGTCAATATCGCGAACTAGGCTATGAAACGACGTTGTGTCGTCACATACTCCTCTCAATTCACTACTTACGCGGGCCCTTCTACGAGATCTTCCCCCGCACGCATCAAGCTCTGGCCCATTCGTAGTATATTCCACTGTACGACATGTCATATCCCAGTCTAGTTTTGACTGGAGCTACGTCTACATCTTTGCACGTGTGTTCGCCGCACTGCTCGCCTTTCAATGTGTAAGGCGGTCCTCACGTGATGGCACGTGAGGTGCCACGCCGAAGGCAGCCCTACGGTGGAGCTGTCATTCGGGTATAGCCCGGTTATTAGGGTTCACGGTATAGGAAGATATATCAGGGGCTGGAGCCTCAGTGGAGGACTCCAGTCAATAGTCGCTGTATCTACGTAGACCTATTGTGCTTACTGAATACGATACCCTTCCTGCCTCCTGACCTGGTTCCCTGGACTCCCGTGAGACCCTAGGCTTACGCTTTACACAATGCGGCGTCATGATGTTTCGGAACAAGCATGAAGTTGCCATTTCCTTCGAGCCTTCATCACTCACATCGACTAGAGAGTATAGTCCTGATGACAATGTCTCGGCCCATCGAAGTCAAGCTGGCCAGTATATCAACCTATGGATTCCCTCAGTCAGCTTCTGGTCTTTCCTGCACAGCCACCCATCCGTGATAACCAACTGGGCCAACACATTGGAGCTTTTCATCCAACCTCGGAGAGGCTTGACTTGCGAACTTTCCGTATGGCGCTTAATAGCGCGACTCCGTACCTCGCCTGGCTTTGTTCAGCGGACCGCATGGAATTAGTGTGCCAGTGGGAGAGTACGAGACGGTCGTTATGGTTGCGACGGACTTTGGTAACTTATCGCCGCACAGCTGCCCTACCTCCGCAAGCTCATTCCAAAGATCTCACAAATTTAGATACTGGCATGGCAGCGCAGTCCCTACTAAACAGTGCCATAGGTGATGACACCTTAGGCGACGGTTATGTGCGCATGGCTGTTCATACCTTAGATACTTTGCTGACTTGAGATAGGCCTTTGTAACTCAATCTATCTCAAGTCGAGTAGTGACGACAAGGTGCCTTTCGGTAAACGTGCGACCATGTATCTAGGCACGACAACGTCGAAGAGATCCTCTAATTGAGTTGACTAGGAAGTGATGAGGGATCATTAGGTGGTAAGAGACCATCGATTAGCTGAGGGATAATCAGTGCAGTGGTACTATCCTTTGAAATGTGGGCCACCTCTAGTGCCGTTGCCACCCCGCAACCTTCTTTGTGGAGATAGATAGGAAGGGAAATAAAGAAAAGAGGTCCGAAATTAGGGATAAAATGCAGAGATAGAACAGTGTGTAGTTGTTCATTAGATTTGTTGTGAGTTGACGGAAGTAGAGCTTCCGCTACTAATAAGAAAACTAAACGTATGGAGAACTACTAGCATCTCCGCATTTTGTCGCTACCCCGCTACCCCGCTACCCCGCAAATCCCCTTAATTGCTCAACCGGATTCCACCTTACTACATATTTCCATTAAGTCATTTTACTGGTACTATAAGGTTAAATCATCAAATGCGGCAGAATTATTCTCTACCTTGTCATTAATTTCTCTGTGAATACTAGGAGTGATCGGCAATGGCTTGCGATCTGCGTATGCAAGGAGCTATCTGCCCTAGGTTAGCGGACAAGTCATGTTTATACCAGGACTGGTCTATAAGTTATTTTCCGGCTTGTTGTATGGTTCCGAATTCCTCATTTAGTCTCCGGACTCACAAACCGATATCGAGGGTGTTAGTTGTTATGTAGTTTATAAGAGCTTCACCCACAGCTTTAATCCAACCCCCAGCCATTCGTTAATATCTCGCTTGACAGCTTCACGATGCATTTGTCTAAGGCTTCAACAATCCGGCGTCAGTGCTGCTCTTACTGCCAAGTGCACTATGCAGCCCCTTAGCGGCAGACGTCGCAGTTTCAACCGTGATTAAACTATCTGCCCAAGCCAACATTGCCGCAAGGCCAATCCCAAAAGACATAGCCTCACTCTCCATTGAGTTCTGCTACGTCATAGACTACCTCAGGGACGTCGACAGCCCCAACGTCCTCTCCCTCAACCTCCTCCAAAACATCGAGGACTTAGTTAGCAATCCTCTTGTCATCCGCCTAGGTAGACACACCCAAGACGCCGCGTCGTTCTGCGCCGGCTGCCTAGAGACATTAAATAACACCTTCACCCCTAGCAACGACGAAGCTATTGCCACCAGCTACAACAAAAACCTTTTCACTGTCTTAAACGAAAACGTTCCTCCGCGCTAGGAATTCATCTTCGGCCTCAATTTGGGCGGCAATGACGTCTCGATCCCACTCGCCGAGGTCAAAGCAGCGGAGAAGTATATGCATCCGTCGCGGCTGCGCGCATACGAACTAGGCAATGAACCCGACTTCTACGGGTCACAGCGACCGAAGCCATGGAACCTGCAGACGTACGTAGCACAGCAAGAAGATTGGCTGGATCAGCTAGCCAAGAAAACCGCGAAGGGGTTTTCGATTAGGGCACTCGCACAGCTTCCTGTCTATCAGGGAAATTTCTCGCTCGATGAGATCGTTGCTCTCGGGCTGCCAAAGAAGGTGGATTATGCGGTATCACTTTCGGATCACACGTATCCGTACTCTATGTGCGATCGTAAGTTTTATAAGCCCCAAAATTTGCGTTCCTATTTAATGAAGCCCAGCCGAGAGAGCTAAGCTAGTGTCGCTTCCTAATCTCATGAATCACACTGCCTTGGTGGAATTTCTCGCTCAGTGGGATACCGAGATCAAGGCTGCAGAGGAAGCTGGTGTTCCGTTTTTGATGGGTGAGACGGGAAGTGTATCTTGTCATGGTAAAAGGGGCGTGAGCAATACCCTTGGCGCTGCACTGTGGGAGCTGGACTACATGCTTCACGGCGCGACCATAGGAATAGGCGGCGTCTACTTTCACATGGGCACACCCTTCTACTACAGCGCGTGGCAACCCGTCGCACACAATGGGGAACCTGCTGCGGTCTACCCAACGTAAGTTAAACCTTTGGAATTTGCCATATTAAGACATCAAGACAAATAGAGACTAACAGCGTTGATGCAGATACTACAGCATGTTATTCATGGCCACCGCCCTCGCGCTTAAGGAACCTTACATCGCCTCCCTCCCATCGGCCGACACCGACCTAGCATACTATGGAATCTACGAAGGTGCTCCATCAGCAGCCGCGATGCCTCAAAAGCTCATCATTCTCAACATGAGTTTCCTCTCATCAAATAACACGGGCCCTGTTACTCCCGCGAAGGCCGTCGACGTCTCGCAGATTGTTGGAAAGCGGGCTAAGGTGACACGCTTGTTAGATCCTAACCCTTCTTCCCTAGGGAGTGTATATCTAACCTATCGTGTGGTACAATCGCTATCACAGGCCTCAATGGACACGTATATCGCTCGTAGAGGGGAAAGGGAAACCTCAGGCAGGTGTGGCCGTGCGACTTTCTCTCTAAGGACATGCTATGTTGCCGCACGATGATCTACGGCTAAAACTCGACGCTGTTAACACATAGGGTCGACACGATCATGGACTACGGCTAAGGGTTAGTAGAGGAGCTCAAGAAGGTCAGGAATACAGAGGAGGTAAACGCCGTCACAAGAGTGTGGTCTAGACACACTTACCAGCATAGTCCACATAGCTTCCACTTTGTAGAATCGAATGCAGTAGAAGGAGGCCAAGGCATAGAGTAGAGTATGGCACAGTAAAGAAAGGGAGTAGAGCGTACGGTAGGAGTATAGTAGAAAAGAAAAGAAGTAGAGTAGAGTAGGAGTGTCACAGTAGAAGAAGGAAAAGAAGTAAAGTAGACGCTGTAATGCTATACCGTAGAGCGAGATAGTGTCTGCTCGTAGTATCCCACTAAAGTGAAGCTGTTGATAGATGGCCCCTATCCCCCGGTAAGCGGCAAATCCAGACGCTTCAACTGTCAACACTGCCATACCCTAAACACACGCACATTCCTCATCAAATTGTATCGCACCTCACCAAGTACATCTACCATACAAAGCTATAATTTCTTACCTCAGCACCCGTCCCCGTCTCCGGCCTTGCGCAATCGCCGAGCTCTGTGCCATCCGGCAGCATCACCGTGCGATCCCTCCAGACTATATAGGCGCCGGTGGAATTCCTCGCGGTTGGGCGCCTAGCCGATGGCGAGATCGCGCACAGTATCTCGGCCGCTACCATCGACCGCGTCGATGCGAAGATTGCTGGATGGAAGGAGAAAGCGGGTGCTACCCGGAAGGGAGGTGAGGCGCTGTGGACCCAGCCGGGTAGCAAGAAGACTTGCTGTGTTGCAGTAAAGTGGTCGCGGGTCACCGATCCGAGGTGGCCCACAAACGATTACCATAACCCAGCGGATGCAAATCCCACCTTCGCCTGTCCCATTTGCGTGGGCTCCTTTACACCGTGCGTATGGACGCACAAAGACTTTGCTGCAGAGGCTAGAGTGCTTCCCCTCCCTCCTGGTGCAAGAGCGCCCGGCGCTACCCCTCAAACGGAGGGTTTCTATGTGCGTGTATTCGCGCAGTAGGCGACTATGCAACCTTATGCAAGTAATGTATAAAGTAATGTATTATAGTAATAAATTGTATTTCTATACGCTATAATTATGTCGTGATTTATAGTAGGGTAATTATAATGTATAGTAAGGAAAGCATCCCCTTGTGTATCGTAGACTATAGAACGTATAATTGCGATTTTAAAATCTATAAAACGATATTTACATATACTATAGAATCGTGCGAATTCAACGCACTTATTTTGAAGGGAATCGCTCCATAGGTACAGAAGTTAATAAGTGTTGAAATTACGGCTTGAAAATGCTCGCCGCTATCCCCACTGCCGCCTTGTTGCCACCTTGTTGCCGCCTTTGTTACTATCCCCGCCATTTCCATTTTCCATTCCCATTCGCCCTATGCCCGTTCGCCCCATTCCTATCCCCGTTCCCATTTCCCATTCCCATCCCCATCCCCGTTTGCTATATTCCTACGATTTCCCTACTCCCGTTCGCCTATCCCCGTTCGCCCTATTCCCATTTCCCTATCCCCGTCGCCATACCTATCCTAATCTTTATAAATTTATCTAACTTACTTATATCTTATTACTTACTCTCTTAATCTACTATATAACCGTGGGTGGAAGCAAGTTCGGCAACTCAATTTATGTAGTATTACATAGTAAATTATATGTAAAGTGACTTAATTTATAACTTCCTTATTTTTATTAGCTATTTTCTAACATTCCTTTAATAATTAAGAGCTTTATAATAGTAAAAAATTTAAATGCTTTTAATCAGTGATCCCCACGGATACCTGAGTATCCGGGGTATCCGGATACTTATATGCGGATACTTGTATCCTTGAGAATTCGACGAGTATCCGGATACTATGAGTATCCACGGATACATATCTAGATACCTACTAAGAATAGCTAAGAATAGCTAAGAATAGAAATTTCATCGTTACGCTTACTATTACCGTCAATAGGAAGAGTTGAGAGTTGCTTTACTATGACTTTGTTACTGTAGACAAAATGAGCGACTTGCCTTTATTAGATGCTCCCACTTATATTAAAGCCCCTATAGGCTATTAAGAATTGAATCTCCCACCCTTAAATACCCCTATTCTACTGCTGTCTACATTAAGAACTCTAGTCTACTTGCAGCCGCTACTACAGCATAGTTTGCCTATTACCAAAACATCACTCTTCTCTATAAGGCTATATAGCCGTTTACTACTTAAAACGGCACCTTTAACTATATAGTATAAATGCCTTTAGCTAGGCTATAGCTATAAGCTGCCACTCTAACTTGCAACCTAGAACTCAACTAGTAACTTATAGTTGCATTATAAGAGAAAGCACCCTGCTTTAGAGCAGCTACATAATAGCAAGAACAGCAATATCGGTATATCTAGCGCTTTAAGCAGTAATTCATCATCCTTTTTCAAGCCTTACTAGCTAGTATAGCCTACACTTAAGCTAGCACTCTACTAAGCAAAATATAGAGAATTGTTAATACAATTTATTATATTAAATAACCTGTCTTTAAGTATTGTAGAGAGCTACACGTACCGTTAACTAGTACACTTCCTAAGCCTAACTACACTTAGTATATCTACTACAACTATTAGCTGTGAGCTGCTCTACTAATTCTCATATCACTAAGGGCAGTTAATTATAGAGCTTAATTCTCATATTAAGAGTAGAGGACGAATATTAATTATATTAGACGCCTAGTTAGCTCGCAACTATACCTAGTTTATAGCAGTTACTAGTTATTAGATTAATAATAAATGGTAGCAACAGTTAGCTTTACTTAATGTAATACATCTTAAAGAGCCTATTCATAGTAGTAAATATCTTATAGAGGAGTTATAAGCTATTATAGACAGAATGGGCATTATAAGAGCTATCTTTACTTACACTTAGGACAATGCCTTAGTTAATGATGTAATGCTCTCTAAGTTTGAGAAACTAGCTAAAGCCTATCTAATTTCATCTTAACAACTATAGCCCTTTACTATTAAGGAAGGTAACGTACGCTATATTGCCTATATTATTAATCTTATAGTTTAAGCTACTCTTAAAGCCTTAAAAGCCGACCTATTAGTAGAGGTTAATGATTATTAATGTAAGCTAGGTGTAGCTTAGATTCTACGTATAGTTAAGAGTAATATAGAGATTATGATAACTCTAGTAAAGCTATAGAGGCATATATATGTATTCTAGAATCAAAGGCAATAGAACGACGCTCTATAAAGGCAAGCACTTATAGCTAGGCTTAAGCCTTAACAGCTAACGCTTAACATGCTAATTTAATGGAATTCTACATACTATATGCTTATAACTACAAAGTACTTACAAGATCCTATAACTGCTATATGTGCTACATAGACTTTTAATCTAAGTATAAGAGAGATTGCTCTTACTTTAGAAGATTAGACAATTATTTAGAGTCTTAAGGATTTATTTAAGATCTTTTTAAGCCTGTCTTAAAAGATGCAAGCAAGCGCCTACCTAACTCTAAACTACGTTATTCTAAAATATCTTAAGATAATTAAGAGACTTAAAATGACAATTTAGGCAGTTAGTAACTAGACGACAATTAGCCTAGCTTATATAGCTACGTTGCTTAAACTTAACAAATACTATACTTTAACAATAGGCTAGCGTTATAGTCACTTAGCTATAGCTATAGTTTGTAATCTATAGATAAATCTTGCTGTATTTTAGAGGCTATGGCTAACTAGCATTAAGAATGCTAAAAGGCATTAAGTATTAGCTTAATTTAGGGCTGTATACAACTAGTATAACAGCTATGAGTATTAGCTTACTAATGAGAGAATTAAGTAATAGATTTAATTAGAAGTTAAGGAGCAACTAGAGCTAGACTCTAATGATGATTTATATGTTACAACTACAACCTCTCATTAAGAGCTAGAATAGAAAAGATAGAATAACGAGGGCTATCCTAGACTATAGACTAATATACTTAAATATTAGGCTATAAAGCAGTACTAATATCTAGTTATTGCAAAGATTGTAAGAGATCATCTTACAATCCCTATAACATTAGCTGCATTAGAACAGGTATTTAGTAATGGTAGTGATATTATTACTAAGAAACGGAATAGACTGTTGCCATTAATAGTTAGATATCTACTTTGCTTATAGGATTAGGGCCATTTACTAGAGGTAGATGATAGTGATGTAGACGATGAGCGGGAGGAATAGGAGTTATTGTATATATATATACAATCTATTAAATTTTTAATATATAAAAAGAGTATTTAGAGTAGTTTATATAACGTATTTCCTATATAAGTAGCCTACCTAAACGAGTAGCCTACTAAAACACTAAAACGTGTTAATGTAACTATAGTTAATAATGCTATGACTAACACAAGCTAAATCCTCTAATTAAGAGGATAGAATACTATTAGCTATGTAAGTAATTAAATAAGGCTAGTTTTAAAGTGTCTAAGTAGCTATAGCATTATATAATATCCCTTAAACAACACTACGTTAACGAATTTAAGGAATGACATCCTAATGCAATTCTATACCTAACTTATAGAAGTTAACTCTATATAAAGAGTTAGCTCTTGTTTAGTATATCCTTAACCTAGATTTATATAGATTTCTACCCTAGCTATAAGCTATATAAGAAATAGCTAACCTTCTACTCTCTAAACAAGGTAAAAGCCCTATTAGGAAGAACTAGGTATTATAGCTAAAACATGCAACCTATATACTATAAGATAGAATAATAAGGTAAAATAGCTTGTAGCTAATTAGCAGTAGGAAATAGACGTAGAGATTGTAGGTAGCTTAGTTAATAAGGGCACCTTTAGGAAAAGGTACCCTTCTTAGAAGGTACCTAGCTAAAGAGAGGTGCCTATTAGGAAAGGCACCTATATAGAGTAAGGTGCCTCCTTAGAAAGGCACCTATAGGAATCGGTACCTATAATAAGTATAGCACCTCCTATAGGACATATACGTAATTAGATTAGTAGGAATAGTGAGAATAGTTAGAGAGTCTACTATTCTAACTATTCCCTTTAGTATAACGCTACTATATAAGTAGATAGTTATTTCTTAGATAGGAGCTTCGTGCTTAACTTAATATAGTATTTTATTATATACTATAACGTATTTTACAAAAGCCTTTGTGTCTAATCCCCTACCTCCTCTATTAAGTAAACTAACGTAACGAAACCTCTATAAGTCTTATAGTTTAAGACCTAGCGTTGCACTAGGCTATAGGCTTTATAACGCATTATATAGAAATCAAATCAAAGTTTAGTTAGAAGTATAACTATAAACAAGCAAAATGTAAAGATCCTAAGATAATTTAAGAGTGGTTCTTATAATGCTAGGTCTTAAACTTATAAGGCTTATAGAGGTTTTATTATATTAGTTTACTTAATAGAGAAGGTAGGGGATTAGATACAAAGGCTTTTATAAAACACATTATAGTATATAATAAGTACTATATTAAGTTAAGCATAAAGCTCCTATCTAA